TTTTTTTTTTTTTTTTTTTTTTCATTCTATTCTTTAGTTTAGGATCATCGTGCCGCGTGCGGCTCAGCATAGACTACTATTTAATCTTAAATAATTAGTAAAGATCAATATTTTACAAGCATCTCATGTACAATAAATATACATAGTCAAACAGTATTTTCAACCACCTCCACTTGAAATGATCTTCAGTCCTTATACGTAGTAATTCTATCGCTTAACACATCTCTCTACCCCATGGGAGGCCACAAACGAGCAAGTAGGCACTAGTCTCTTTGTCACATCTGAAATTATACTACTTCCGCTTCCACAATTCGAGCTAATAGGCATCTACCCGCGCCGTATATCCCTCCCCTACCACCAGTTCTGGTTTCCGATACGCACTCTGGATCACGGCATCAGCTTGGAGCTGCACTCCAGCGAGTTGAAATGGTCGTGTATCCATCGACCAGATCGTAAGAGCGAGATAGTTGCTGCCGTTATAGTTGAGGATTCCTTCGGGGATAGGAAAGCGGGTTTGAGGACCGATGTGGTTGACTATTTGGTTAGACTTCTTTTTGTTATGTATAGAGTTGTGCGTGAAGAAGTCAAAAGGTGACAAGGTATGGTACTTCGGTATGAACTCACTATACTTCCCAAACTGCCATCCATTCACAAAGATCTCGGTGCGGAATTGGGCGGGTGACTCGTCCGTCGAGTTAAGGACAGTAGTGTTGGTGAACACTACACTCAGCGGGATGTCATATCCCTCTGGAAGACTCAAGTCAAACTCCGTAGCATAGAACCGTATGCCCGGGGCAGATATGACTTTCTCCGTGGGCGAGTGACTAGATTCCCATTGTTCCACCGGCGCTCCAGGAAGATGATACCCCTGACGTTCGGCATACCACGCCCCCTCATTCAACGGTCCTCGACTATGATCTTTGTAGTTCTCCCCACCTAGATTCCCTCTCATTTTCCAGGAAATGACATCCTTCTCGCGTCCATACAGGGTATAGTCGAGCACACCGCGCGGATCTTTCATGATGGCTCCGTTGGCGGGAAAATTCTCGTCGTTGCCCATGTGGTCGATCAGGATGGTAAGTGTATAGATTCCCCCTGGTTGAAGAGAGGGGAAGAGGAGGGTCTGGTTGTGAAACATTTCCGCTGGGCTACCTTGCCAGGAGGAGAGGAAGGTATTGTTTAGCCAGATAGAGTGGCCATAGGCGTAGCCGCCTTCGGTGAGGAGGTAGAGGGCGGATTCGGAGCCGTTGGCGGTAAAGGTGCCGCGGTAGACGAGAGAGGCGCCGTTGTAGCCGTAGTCGCTGGAGTAGAGGGATGTGGGAGTGGTGAGGGACCGGGGGTTGTGGCTGGAGGTGTGGTTGCAGACAGTCCAGAGGTCGTCATCGTAGGTTGGGTGGATCTCGGGGAGAGAGTCGGTGTAGTGCCACTGGAGGGAGGACAGGAAGGGGAGAGCGAATGGGGGTGGTTGGTAGGGGAGGGTGGCATGGAGGCGGCCGTTTGTCTTGGTTGTTGTGATCAGCTGGCTGTTGAACAAGACGGTGGATATGGATGGGGGTGCTGCGATGATTTCCAGCTCGGTGGTGGCGTTGAGGTCGCCGGTCAGCTGCAGCGTGGTGCCGGAGACGCTGGCAGTCCGCAGGAGATAACCCGCTTTAGCGATGATTGAACTATTGGCACGCGAGGGTGAGGCGTGGCGGGAGATGCCTGGCAGGGGGAGATCCAGAACCCAGTAGTTGTAGGCTTCGTTCCGCCACAGCAGATGGACTTCCAACTGCTCCCCAAAATGAACCACGCGGCGCGAGGGCTGCACTGACCATTGAATCACCGTGGATGCAGACGAGTTGATGAGCAATCCATCGCCTTCCACGGCGGACGGTGTCAGGGCGCCCGGGACTGCAAACTCGTGGGTTTCTCCCTCGCCCCCGTAGAGAACGAGGACGGATTTGTTGCCGGCCTTTTTCCAGGAAAACACCTCGGCGGTCGAGTAGATCAAGTTGATGCCTCCCACGTCGTAGTCGACGACGTGGATCTTGGAATCGCGCCCATGCAGGCTGAGAGATCCGCCCAGCTGGGGAATACTGATGTTTCCGATGGACGTAGAGACTTGCAGTTTGTACGACACAGTGTCATCATCTGCTAACTCACCATGGCGCACAATATAAAAGTTCGTGGTGTTGGTATGCAAGCGTGCAGTCGCGAGAGCCGTGCTGTCTGTATAAACCCCATAAGTGCCATTGTCGGGCTGCGATATTAGATAGGCTGGCGATGACTGCAGAAAGCCCGCTTGCAGCTTCAGTTCACTGTATTTCTCCCGAGTGACTTGTCGGTCCTCCTTAATAGCAGCTCCGACGTCGTACGAGGTGTATCCTCCAGGGTGGCCTAGATTGCCCCAGTTGGTGCCGCCAAAAATCTAAACTGTCAGCACGGGCCGAGATGTAGATGGGCGACATACCATGTAGAGGCTCTGAAGGGCCGCGCGATAGCTATAATTGAGCTTGTAGAACATGCGCTCAAACTCGGGTCCGATATATGCGGCACCAGTATCCACGCCCACTCCTCCCCTATACCTGTTAGTGGAATTCAAGAAGAATATGAGCTACAAACCAGGCATCAGGCACTCCGCCTTGGAACTCGGAGATAGAAACCGGAGTGGTAGGACTCTGCGCCTCATGAACCGTGTAATTGTACCATTCGAGCGGGTTGTTCAGCGATGACCAGTTCGACGCATTGGGAGCTGCTTTGTTAGCAGTAGAAGACACCGAGGTTACGAAACATACGGGCTGTGCTCCACTGAAGGGGATAGAAGTCGAAACTGTAGATATCCACCGCTCCCACTCCGGTGCCCGGGGCCCAGTCGCCCAATGGCTCGGCATCGTTGACGATCAGAGGAACGACGACTCCAGCCTGGCGGTATTGACGTTCCACATACGCCATGTATTCCTTTTCCAGACACATGTTGTTGGCGGCCGTGACCGACTCGTTGTTCATCTGGGTGTAGCCAGTCTCCGTCATGCAGATGGTGTATTCATTCTCCGGCTGCACAAGAATAACTGGACCCCCATTGGTGATCTGAGCCCGCGCAACAATCTCACCCACGGCAGCAATGTATGGCGTGATGGCAGCCAGGTAGGATGAATTCGTTCGCTTGAGTGGCCCGTCCAGGCGCTGCAGCCAGCCAGGAAAACCTCCCCCAGAAACCTCGGCATTGATGTAAGGGCCTGGGCGAGCAATCAGGTAGAGTCCCGCTTCTTGAGCAGCGTCGAAGAACTGCTCCAGGTCAAAGACCCCTTGCGTGCGGATGTGGCCGGGCTGTCCTTCGAGCAGGGCCCAGTCGACGTAGAACGAGACGGCGGAGTAGCCGAGGGCGCGGACTTTTTGGAAGACATCCAGCCATAGACCTGGAGATGGGAGACGGAAGGGATGAAATTCGCCTGACAGGAGAAGGATACGTTCTCCGTAGATGAAGAGAGACTTGTCATCCCAGGTGACGATTTCTTGGCTCAGACTGGTGTTTTGGATGCTGAGGACAGCCGAGGCTAGTCCCAGGAGGAGAGGGAGGAAGCGCATGGCAAGTAGTGTTTCTGAGTATTTTGAAACAGCTCATTATGGCTGGAATGTGCACTTTATACATGTGCGTCCTGATGCTGCGACATCGGCAGAACTCCGGGGAGATGCATCCGAAGAGAAGCGGGGAAGTGACAGCAGTGAAGTAGACCAAGGGGTGAACTCGGCAGTTTAGAAGCAAACATGTTACCCCGAGGTGCCCCATAGAACTAATGCCCATAGATGTGGTGGATCTGATTGTGGAATCACCCCTCACCAGCCCCGCAATCCCCGGACAACTGGCCAGCTGCATGCCGAGTCGGAACAGCCCGATCATCCTCGAAGGTCTTTGGCCTGTCAGAAATTTGATGAGAAGCCATTCCACAATAGTATTGGCTTCGTTGCTTGACAAGGCTGGATTCTCCTTGACTAAGCATCTAGGCTGACGCCTTATAAATCCGACTCAACCCCACATCCTCCAAGCACCAACTCACCAGCATGGCGACTCTCAACTTCACCCAGTAAGACTATCCCCAATACTCAGACCACCTCTGATGAATTCTGCAGGAAGAAAGGTATCTTAAACACCGGAGCCGAGATCCCACTCATCGGCCTCGGCACCTGGCAATGCAAGTCCAGAGACGCCGTAGTCTCAGCCTTGCTTGCTGGCTACCGACACATCGACACCGCCGCCGTCTACGGCAACGAAGCGGAGGTTGGCCAGGCGATCAAAGACTCGGGCGTACCGCGCCAGGAAATCTTCCTGACCACCAAGCTGGGCAATCAATGGCATACCCGGGTCCCTGAGGGTCTGGCCGCCTCCTTGCAAGCCCTGCAGACCGACTACGTGGACTTGTATTTGATGCATTGGCCGTGCGCGGTCGATCCGGACGATCGTGACAAGGTCGTGCCGAACTGGGATTACGTTAATACCTGGATTGAGATGCAGAAGTTGCCGGCTACGGGAAAGGTCAAGGCCATTGGGGTTTCGAACTTTGGGATTACCCATCTGGAGAGGTTGTTGGCGGATGCAGCGGTTAAGGTAGGTTATGCCATGAGGGTAGGATGGTTGCTGATGGTGTTAGATTGTTCCGGCTGTGAACCAGATTGAGCTTCATCCCTGCCACCCATCTCCTAAGTTGGTCGCGTATAACACGGCCAAGGGGATTCACACCACGGGATACTCGTGTCTCGGATCCATCGACTCGCTGCTGTACAAGAATCCAACTATTATCGAGCTGGCTCAACAGAAAGGGCGATCCATACAGCAAGTCCTTCTCAAATGGGGCCTGCAGAAGGGCTGGTCGGTGATTCCCAAGTCGGCCAATCCTGAGCGAATTCAGGCCAACTTTGATCTTGATGGTTGGGAATTGAGCCCGGAGGAGATGAAGGCGATTGATGGTATTCCCACACGGTTCAAGATCTTCCAAGGTGGGCTTCTTCCGCCGGCGATGGACGGCAAGGTATTCTTAGGCGATGATGAGTAGTGCAGAGCATTCAGCATGATAGATACATACATACAGATAGACCACGATATCAACACTATCCAGAAATTATACCACACACGTACTTAACTCCCCTCCAACACCAACCGAAAAACATCCCCCAAGCCACCTCTGTCTTGATCCCAGCGAGCCCGAATACAATCCTCCAAATCAATCTCTTTCACCAGCAAGCCATCTGCCTCTTTTGGAGCGAGCATCTCCCCCAACGGGCTTACCATCCACGCAGAAACCCTACCCATCCCCTTCTTCTCCTTTCTCCCCGGACTGACCCAATCCTCATCGGCATGTGTATCCGGCCAAACGATCTCATGGGGTCCCTCCGCCGTAGATCTCCTCGCCCTTGAACCTACCACTGCCCCTACCCCCTCATCACCCTTCTCTTGCTCTTGCTCATGATCAGGATCATCATCCCTCTGCGTATGTACCTCCGGCCACACAATCTCATGCGGTCCCTCCGCTGTAATCGACCTGGACCGTTTCTTCCACATAGTGGGATGTGTATGCAACGCACCGAATTGGAATCCATCTGCATCACCGATACCACCCCCAACCCCAGCCCTATCCCCAGATCCAGACCCAGAACCCCCCTCCCAAACCCCCAACCCAAACACCCGTCCTTCAACAGCCACCGTCCGCACCAACGCCTCCCAGACCTCTTTCTCGTGTCCAGCATCCCCGCCACTAACGCCACTAATTCCTCCAAAATCACCCAGAACCTTCCCCCCAAAAGCGATATAAATTTGTATGCCATCTCCATCTCCATCCCTATACATCCGCTCCCTAAACCCCGTCACCCAATTCTCACCCCCGATTCCAAGACCAATCTTCACATCCACCCCATTGATCTTCGTAGTAACTGGGGCTGTGTTCGTTGGGGTGGATGGTCCACTCGTAAGAAGGAGTTTTTCAATTCCAGTCTATACATATCACCCATTAGCACAATTCCTTCTTTCCCTTAGAAAAAGAACAATAAGGAGAAGAATAAGAATAAGAAGAAAAGGGGAAAAGATAACGAACCAAACTACTCCCCCTCCTCACACTCACTACCCCATCACACGGATGCACAAACACCACAGAGCGATATATCCGCCCTTTTGCGCGTTCGAGCAGCCCGATAATGAGGTAGAGGTTTGTCGTGTGAGCGATTTGCTCTAGATCCTCTCTAGTGTTGTTGCTTTTCGCTGTGGTGGTTGGTGAAGTGTGGGGATCGTTTAGGTCAATCGCGTGGTTGTATATCTGTAGGTATGTTTCTCGGATATTTTGTGCTGGATTCGTTGTTGTTTCTGGTGGTTGAGAAAGAGGAAGGGGTGTCATGGATGGGACGAGGAGGATATGAACTCCTTTCGAGGCTGCGAGGTGGATGGTTTGAGGGAGGGATTGAAGTGTGGTGGTTGGGGTTGTGGTGATGGCGAGGGTGAGTGGTTGGGGGGACATTTTTTGATTATTAGGATTATTTATTAGAGTGTTATTGATGATATGTGCAGTGGGTAGTATGTATAGGTAAAGTGTGGTGGTTCGGTATGAGTGATAATATCGTGAGAGGAAAGGAATGAGGGGTGAGGGGTGAGGTGAGGGGATGGATGAGGTCACAATGGAGAGATCCATGGTTCACATGCCGTGTGACATGACTGACGTGATCTCTTTGTTTACAGAATGTTATTCCAGTCTTCTTCAGTTGTATTCTGTCATAGTATTCTGTCAGTAGTATTCAATCCTATGGTACAAAAGCAGTGCTAGAAATGCACCATGCGCCTCGCTAGATGACAACATTTTATCGCAAAATCCATCGCAATTTCGTAATCCACCGAAAATCTGTTAATAACCAGTTAAACGTGCACCCCCTTGGCATTCGCAACCTCTTGCAGCACGCGAGGCCAACGGGAAATCAACTCCACATCGTCCAAGGCTCCCTTGCCCTGGTTGCGGACGTACTGGGCGCTCGGGTCCACCCGCGGCTCGTAGTCCCAGATCGATGGGGTGCCCTTGATCAGCGACGAGTATACTAGTCGGCGTCGACGCTGAGACCGTAGCACGTCCTCTCGGATCTGCACCAAGTTCCAGCGTGCGTGCACCTCCTCCGTAAAGAACGCCAGTAGCTGCGCTGGGTCGCTGGTGGTCGGCAGTGCAGACGCCGTCTTGGCCGGGCTGGGCGTGCGGGGAGGAGTCGGGAATGGGAACGACGACGTGCGTTGCATCGGGGACACCCGCGGCGAGTCGTTGGGCGTCGGCAGCGGTGCCGGATGCAGCTGTGTCACGGCTACTGGCTTGAGCGTCTCCAGCTGGGGCGTCTCCGTCAGTCCCGCCACCAGGTTGACCCGTTCCGCGGGATCGGTCTCCAAATCGTACAGCATGGGCGGGTCGATCAGAGAGTACACGAACTTGTAGCGGCCACGTCGGATCATCACCGTCGGCGACTGCGTACCCTCAGCCATGTACTCGCCTAGCACCGTGTCCGTCTTGACGCCCTCCTCGCCCGTCAGGTATGGCATCAGCGACACACCATCCAAGGGCAGCTCCGGGATCAAGGGTGCGCCCACCATCCCGGCAAAGGTCGGCAGCAGGTCCATGGTCGACACGTTCTCCGACACCCGCTTAGGGGCAAACCGCTTCGGGGCGTGCACGATGAACGGCACCCGTGCCGAGTTCTCGTACCACACCATCTTGTACCAAAGGCCACGCTCGCCGAGCATGTCGCCGTGGTCGCCGGTGAAGACGATGATGGTGTCATCGCGCACACCACAGTTCTCGAGCACCTTCAGCAGCTTACCCACGTTGGTGTCGACGTAGGTGCAAGCGGCGTAGTAAGCGCGGCGGGCCGCCTTGATGCGCTCCTCGGGCATCTCCTTGCCCCAGAGGTCGATGCACTTGAGCACCCGCTGCGAGTGGGGATCCTGCTCATCGTGGGGAATGGCGCCATGCTTGGGCAGGGGAATGTCGACGTCCTCGTAGAGATCCCAGAACTCCTTGGTCATGGCATAAGGGTCATGTGGATGAGTCATAGACACCGTCAGGCAAAAAGGCTGGTCGTTGCGGTGACGCACATGGTCGTAGAGGTACTGAGTCGACTTGTAGATGACCTCCTCATCAAAGTCAAGCTGGTTGGTGCGCACCACAGGGCCAGCCTCCATCACAGAGGACATGTTGTGGTACCAGTCGGGACGGATATCCTATTTTCATTAATTCACTGTGTATGCCTCAAGGTAACTTAAGGACTTACTGGTTCATCCCAATTCACGGACCAGCCGTAATCACCAGGGTAGATGTCACTGGTCAGACGCTGCTCATAACCGTGGAGCTGGTCAGGACCGCAAAAGTGCATCTTGCCAGCAAGAGCCGTGTGGTAGCCTTCACGGCGCAGATAATGAGCATAAGTTGGGGTGTCTGCTGGCAGATCGGACGCGTTATCGTAGGCGCCGATCTTGGAGGGCAATTGCCCTGTCACCATCACGTAACGCGACGGAGCGCAGAGCGGCGAGTTACAGTAGGCTGAGTCAAAGACGACACCCTCTTCAGCCAGTTTATTCAGGTTAGGAGTCTTAATGGGGGAGTTCTTGTCGTGAAAGGCCAACAGGGGCGCCGCCATCTGGTCGGCCATGATGTAGAGAATGTTAGGCTTCTTCGCCGCCATGATGGTGATGGACGCGCTGTCCGACGCAGAAGTGAGTCAATCAGGGAAGAAATGAACTGCAATGTCGAAATGGTGACGAGCAGACGGATGGCGATAAAAGACAATGAGAGATTGAGTTCGGTGAAGAGGCTTGAACAAAGCAAAGGCGGGAATCCAGGATATAAGTAGTTGGAGTGAAGGCCGGTGGAGACGGAAGGATGTGGAAGCAGAAATTGACCAACCATCCATGGGAAGAGGTGAAAAACGGGCTTACGGGCGTCGCACCAGATCTCCATGTCACCGCAACAATGGAACCATCAGCGGGGCCGATGGTGTGATTGCGGGAGGTTCCATGGTTGACGACGCAGGGAGGTGATCGCAAAGCCACGGGGAGGGATCTTCAGGAGAGTCATGCAGCAGCTGCTGAGAGACTGGCGATTCTTCAGGTTTCTCCTGAGTCTTGAAAATGTGTCTCACGGCTGGGCTGGGCTGCGGGAGGAAGTTCCCGGTTGATACGTTGATAACCCGGCCATTACCAGGAGATAGATAACCTAGGTACTCCGTACTCCGCAGTACTCTGTATACTGTACTGTTACAGACCACCGCTTCTCAGCCTGCTCAACCTGCTTCAGCCTCGCCACGCGACCAATCGGTGGCGGCTAATCTAGCGTGACTGTTTCGGTTACATAGTACCAGGGTGCTTATCTATCTGTGCACCCCATTCCTCCCTCCTGCATATTAACAGTATGTCAGTAACACCCCTATCTCTACATACCCGTATCTGAGATAACACCAAAACCTACACCGCCCTCTTCCCCGGTCTCTCCAGCCGAGCATCGCTCCGGATCGCCCACTCTTGGCCTCTTGGCGAGGTGCTCCCTAGCGATTGGTTGAACCAACCCACCCCGATCGGTTCCGACAGGGGTCCGGAGAGCGGACTAACCGGAATGCGTCAGCGCGTTTGCCACGACCACTGGTTGGTCAGCCGGCCATCGGGTATTTCCTTCCTGGGAGTTGGAGGCTTGGAGGCACGCGATACCGCCAGGTTTCTGTCAGGGGAGTAGTACAGTAACCAATGTGACAGAAACCTAGTCGAGGGTGACCGATACCACAGACTCCAATTGAATCAAACTCAACTACTACAATACTAACTACAGTGTACTAAAACTGGGCAGAGTAATGAGGATACCTTCTCCATCACGCAAACCAAAACCCTATCCAAATTGCCACCACCACCACCACCACCACCACCTTCTCATACCGGCATCACCTGCTTCCCCGATCCATGGTAATCTCCCACCAATCACCACAATCGCTCTATACTTCCTACGAACAACCAGTCCCATGATCAACCCAACCGTCACACAAATCATCCCCACATGCCAGATCCCAATCCTACCCCCATACACAGTATTTCTAAGCCATGAAATGTACCCCATAATCTGTACTCCGTAATCTAAGATGAATCAATCAAACTGTCAAACATTAGCGCTATACCAATCGCCCGGACCTATGGCATCATTCCCCATCCGCACCATCCATCCTATCACATCCCATGGCTAGGGATGTAAGTACCGTGCATCCCGCGTTTACGTAGACTTTGCGGGATGATCATGCATTAGCGTTGACTTTTTACGATTTAGGATTTAGAATTCGTCTACCCCGGATTACGTGGACAACCCACTTGTAACGGTAGTGGTTGTTGGTTCAGTGACTGGTTGCTTGGTTAGCTGTTTAACCTCCAAAGACCGGAGAGTTGTTGGGGAATGGGGAAGGAAAGCTTCCCCGCATTGAGAGACGTGAATATCATGACTAGTTTTGGTCTTGGTATTTGACCGGTAGGATTGTTTGAGGAATCTACGGTGCTAGTAGAAAAACTGACTGGTGCTGACTGGTGCCTAAAATTTGGATCTGGCATCTGCATGTGGTACTAGGCTGGGTGAGGTCGTGCAAGCGGTTGCCCAGTTACCGTTGAGGTGGCACATTACATGTTGGTCTGGTACAGACAACCTGGTAGGGCTAGCAAAAATTGATTCCACCGGCTTGGCACCTCCGCGATGCGGTCTCAAACATGGGACGCTTGGCGGAGGCGTCGTGCATCATGTGCCCCGTCCCTTGCGGAGGAGCCTTGGCAACTACATTTTGAGGTCTCGCCACCTCGTCGTCGGTACAAGGAACTGCTATGATTTCGCTAATGACAGATGTATATATATCAAGCAGGGCCACAGGCCACCGCTGCAGCCCGCCGCCAACCCATTTTCTCTCAAAGAAATGACAGACGCAGGTGTCGAAGGATTGAGCATGGCGATGCCACGTAGGACAGTCATCAGCATGACGGCCCGGTCAATTGTTGTCATTGGCTCGGCATTCAATCAACTTTGACAGAACTGTTCTCGGTTAGCGTCGGTCTGCTTTCCGGATCATTAACTTACCTGTAGATGCGGCGGATGAATGCATATGCCGTCAAGAATCCAACCGTGCCCGTCAGGAGACCATACACCGCGCACGCCAGGAAGCTGTAGCTGAAGAACAGCAGACTCGACACAAAGCCGGTGATGTGTAGGTGGAAGATGTAGTACCACACGCAGTAGCCAAACACCCAAAACGCACTGCTTCCACCAGTGAGGAAGCTTTGCCACCACCAATGATAGTTCTACTCCAGTCAGCTCGGCTCCCCTATCCGGTCAAGAGACTTACCTCTGCGCAGAGTTGAGTGTACGTCGCGATAATGGTCACTTCACTGACGGTCACCATCAACACCGTCGAAACAGCGCTCAGGAAGCCAAACACATAGTAGTAGCCACTCTTGTCCTGCCATAGGTTCTTGAACACAAACAGGAGCTCGATGAACAAAACGGCAAACGGTCCCAGTCCGGTCAAGAGCGTCCCGCTGATGCTGTGTAGGTACCAGGGCTGCGGCGGGATCTGGCGTGCGATGGAGGTGGTCTTGGTCGGGTGCTCCCAGGGTGCCGTGCGCACGTAGCCGTACCAGCTGCCAACATAGACCAGCGGAACTTGGATGAGCAGCCAGAGAGCCAAAAGACCAACCAGCGTACCAAAAGGAATGGCAGTGCTAGAGGCTTGCGCCCACACAAACAGATTGAGAATGAAGATGAGGCAGAAAGCCAGACCAGGGAAGAACAACGCAGTCTAGACAGTCAGCACTAGCATCACGAGGGGTTATGTGACTTACGATGAGGGTGTTTTTCCGCCAATAAGTGCCGCCAAAAGTCTTGTAGAGGCGCCCCGAAAAGTACCCCGAGAAGAGACCAGCAAAAACAAACAAGCCCATCCCAACACTGACGAATCCGCCGCGGAAACTCGGGTTCAGAACCCCGAGGCAGCTGAGTAGCAGAAGCCCCGACACCATGAACAACAGCTGCATGCCGGAACCCACAAGCGGCGCAAGGAGTCCACTGTACTGGGGCACCCGGAACACATCCCCATGAAGGAGTTTCCAGCCGCTCACATCGTCCAGACCCTCGTCGTCGGATGAGACATCCGCATCCCGTTCAACATCCGCTCCTTGCTCCAGCAGCCCATCGCCCTTTCGCTCCGACCGAGCTTTGGGAGCCCGAACTTTGAGTTTGCCATCCTCCATGACTCCGTCTCCACGGCCCTTGATGTCTCCTTGTACCGTCCGACTCCAGATAACGTACACCGCCACTCCAAGAACACCAGCGATAGTCATCGAGTTGAGGATTGCAAGCCAATGAGTCGTAGAGCCTTCGTCCTGGTTGCTGAAGTAGAGCTCCCACCGGTTCCACCATTCGACCCCGTTTTCCTCCTTAAAGTAAACCGAATAGGTGTAGGGGATCTTCAAGATAGCATCATCTTCGAGCTCATCATCGTCCTCCGGAATGTATGACGACCCCGGGTACTTCTCGCGCAGCTTGGACAGGTCCGGGGGAATGTACAATTCCAATCCATCGTGGGCCTCATGCACGTGTTTGGGGCAGCCACCCTCTAGGTGATCGGCCGCGCGGATGCTCTTCGGATAGATTTCGAATCCAACAATGACCTTGCCGCCCTCGGGGGCCGACCGCCAGCGGATGACAATGGTAAAGTGATTGTTGATGTAGTACCGGGCCTTGCCGTCGATGGGCGAGAACTCCTGGAACCCCAGCTTGAAGCCAGTGGCATAGTACTTGCGACTACGATCGACGGTGACGAAGCTAGTTGCTCCAGGCAAGTTATCCGCGATCCACTCCGCCACGTAGCCTTCCTGGATGAGCTGACGACTCCATTTGACATCCTTGCGGCTGATTTCCTGCGTACAGAGCGCCTGGCATTCCACGTTTTTGCCCATCTGCAGTTCAAAATCGGAGGTCATAATGCGGTCGCCTCGGAGGATCTCTCCCAGGTTTAGCGAAACACTCTGCCCCGAGCCAAATGGGGATCCGCCATGCGACCGGCCGCTGGGAGGACAGACAAAAGGCAAGTCAAAGTAGGCATACTGGAGCTGAGTGTGGTCGGAGAAGATCTTATTTACAAGGAGCGGAATATGCTCGTCGTCATTATAACGCTTAACCGAGTAACCTAGCGGTAGCATGCACGCGTAAGCGACAGTGCGAACAGCGTCGTCGCAACATAGACAACCTACCAGGGATGTAGAACGCATAGGCATACGAAACAAACAGGAGCCATAGCGTCCACTGGCGGGGACGCCAAAACCGGGTTAACTCCATGATCGGATGGTGGAGAGTTCCGTCCCAAGCAGTGATGGTTGCAACGATCGTAGACAGCGGTTCGTACGTGGCGAATACGAAGATCCCAGATGCAGATCAATCACGTTCAACTGACCGCCCGATCTTCTCCTCTGAGCTCAACTCGTGTGGATTAAAAGTGGTATGTGCGAATAGAATTGGCGGGCCTGAGCTCAAAAGGCGAACATAATCGGGGCACCGACGAAAGGACTGGCAAGTTGGCAACGGGGACAGATGACGCAGCCCAACGAATAGGTATTGAACAAGATCCAGCGGTTCAATGCGACGGAAGATAGAAGAGCGGGAGGACAACTCAGGCCGAGAGAACGAGTGGAATCGGCATCGAATGCCAGAGAAAGCGAACAGACCGCGAGGATGAAGAGGAGAGATCGAGGGGATCAATCTACGGAAGGACGGGGTTGATGCTTTGTTTCGGGACGGGCGAAGACCACCCGGACGCCCCTCAACGGGTTTAGTGCCATTCCGGAGCAAATGAGCCGTGGTCCAGCCAGTCTCCTTTTCCACGGTGCCTAAATCCTCAGGCACCCTACGTCGGGGGCGATCTGTGAATACCATCATAAATTGTCATAAATCTGCTAAATATCACCTTCGGCTGGCTGCCACAGAATTGCTACAAGGTTCAGCCACCCTCAGTAAAGAGCACGCAGAAGGGTACTGAGAAAACCGTCAACCGCCAATATCGACTTTGTCGTTCCGCATCGACACATACGCAGAAATGCATCGTCAATAAAAGTAACAACAAAACAACAAGAAGAGAATAATTTGCACACATCATGATTAGGAAGAATGGCTCAGCAAATATTCCACGGCTCCTTGCACGCTACCTCCAGATCGGCGGAGAGCCTCAATGTTTCTCTCAAACTCAAAGAATCCCATGTCGTTCAATTGACGTAGCTGCTCGGCATACCGTTCCTCGGGCGGCCGGTTGTCCTGCGGAGGGGGACTGCCGAGCCCACCCCCAAAGAGTGCCGCCAAAGGATTGGCCCCAGCCGCACCCCCCTCTCCCGGTCCAGCTCCCAAGGACTGCATCACTTGTTGCAGCAGCGCTGGATCTCGGAGCAACGGATTATGCTGCGGATCGAAAGGGTTCGCACCAGCCTGGCCGCCCTGGCCGCCAAAGAGCGCGGGGTTGAAGAGACTGAACGGGTTCTGGAAGTTGGGCTGGTTCTGCCCTTGCCCGGCAGTGTTCTCTCCGGTGGCGCCGGCAGCCCTCTGTGTAGTGTTTGTCTGGTCGCCGCCTGCGGTGGGTGAGGTGCTCGACGGCGTCCCCGCAGCGGGGTTACCCATCATAGGGTTGCCTCCAAAGAGGGCGGCAAAAGGATTTCCAGCACCAAGTCCAGCGGGCATGAATGGGTTGAATGCGGCGCCGGGAGTGGGAGTGGCACCATTGTTGTTCTGGGTGTTTCGGTTTTCCTCAGGCGTGGTGTTGGTGACTCCAGGAGCTGGGAATGCGCTGCCGCCCAAACCCCCGCCACCCATGGCTCTCTGCATTTGTACCATCTGACGTATCGAGTTCGGGTCGGTGAGCATGCGGCGGAACTCCGGGCTCTGCATCATTTGTCGCACGCCGGGACCCATGTCGCGCAGCATGGGATTCTGTTGGATCATCATATCAATCATGGCGGGGTTCTGCAGGGCTTCGTTGATGGTGGACTGAAATTGGGGATTTTCGAGCATATTGAGCATCGTTTCGGTGTCAGGAGGAGGACCCATCTGGAAAGCAGCAATTTAGCAGTCGCTCGAACAACTGGAGGACACACCGCGACCTACCCCACCGTCAGGACCAAACATGCCTGCACCTGGGAGTTGCGCGAACCCAGCATATCTCGCGCCCGTCAGCCCAGCGAGCGGATTGTTGCCGGTGCCGGCAGCGAGGTTCGTAGGAACACCAGCAGCCGGGGCATTGACAGCCGCGCCAGCTGGCGCAGTCGAGGTGGCCGGCGCAGCACCTCCGGGGCGCTGGTTGCTGGCAGCACTTTTGACCAAGTGAATAGTATGTCCATCCTTGATCTTGTACGTCGCCAGGGTCTCGTTGTCTTTGAGGACTCGGCCCGAGTAGATCAGACGTTGACGCTCAGCTGGAGTATCGGCATATTCCGATGATGCGAGCTTCTCCTTCAAATCTGACACGGGTGTGGATGAGGGAAGGGTGAGGGTGAATTTAGCATCATTTGAGGACTTGACATTGAAGGTGATGGGCGCATCTTCGGCCGTGGCGGTGTCATCAGCCATGGTCTATGGATTGCGGCGGTGGAGGGGGGTCGAGGGGTCCGAGGCAGTCAGCCTGATGAGACAAAATCACGTCACACAAGAACGGTGTCAACGAGAGTGATCAAACCCAAGGATGGTGGGGAGCGAAGAGTTGGTATGGGCACTGAACGGATGGGAAGATGTGAACAATGGACTAGGAAGTTGTCCTCTTCCAGCGACAGCCCGAGCAGTCAGTCCGTCCGTCTCGGCCAGTTAGCGGATGATAGCGTAACCGGCGAGGTGGAAGCGGGCAGAAACCCATCGTCCGCCTTCCACCGGTGTGGGACCGTGACCGCATGCGCCTGGTACCACCCAAACGGTATTCCTCCCGCCGGTGTGGGCGAATGCCTAGAAACCCAGCGCAAGCTCGGTATGGTGCCGTACCGCAAGCTGTTCACGTGACTGAGCCAAACCAGGCAAACTGCCCCAAGCTCCCATTTCCTCTTCGCACTGGAATTTTCACTCTTTCCTTCCTTGCAGACACGCGTGTTGGCTCGGTCCTTTCTTTCCACCCAACCTGCCCTCAGTGTGAGGACACTCGGTTTCGAGAGTCCTCCTTCCCTATCTGCTCCACTAGCAATGGGACTGCTTACACTGTAGTGTCACCCTGGCTACAATCGCGTCGTAAACAACACAACCCCTCCACGGTACAGGCTCGTGAGAGCCGCGTCCGTTCACCATGGCGACTACTTCGCACATGTTCATGTACTCCCTGACGATCCAGCCTCCTACTGCGATCTCCCAAGCCATTCTGGGTCAGTTTGCAGGGACCAAGGAACAGCAGATCGTCACCGCGTCGGGGTCGAAGCTCACGATCCATCGTCCTGATCCGACGCAGGGCAAGGTCACTCCGCTCTTCTCCCAAGATGTCTTTGGCATCATCCGCTCCCTGGCTGCCTTCAGACTGGCCGGTAGCAATAAAGGTATGTGATGGTTCCCTGTCTGGACGTTCGAGATCATCATAGTGATTCTTCAAGCTTCCCGGGCAGCACGATCCTTTGCCGATTCGTCCCCTCTTGATGGGACGTGCCCCCGGGCGGCGAGGTTGACACTGGGTCTTGGTGGTTGAACTGTGCTGAGAGATGCCTTTAGACTACATCATCATTGGCTCAGACTCAGGTCGCATCACCATCATCGAGTATGTGCCCTCACAGAACCGGTTCAACCGGATTCACCTCGAGACCTTTGGCAAGTCTGGCGTGCGCCGCGTGGTCCCAGGCCAATATCTGGCTGTCGACCCTAAGGGCCGTGCGTGCATCATCGCTTCTGTGGAGAAGAACAAGCTTGTCTACGTTCTGAATCGGAACTCGCAGGCCGAGCTGACGATCTCATCCCCGCTTGAAGCCCACAAGCCGCAGACCCTGGTCTTTGCCATGACCGCGCTAGATGTTGGGTATGAAAACCCGATCTTCGCAGCGCTTGAGGTAGACTACTCCGAGTCCGATCAGGATCCGACGGGTCAAGCATTTGAGGAGCTTGAGAAGCACATTGTGTATTATGAGTTGGACCTTGGTCTCAATCACGTTGTCCGAAAGTGGTCTGACCCAGTGGACCGCACGGCGTCGATGCTTTTCCAAGTCCCTGGAGGTGCGGATGGTCCCAGTGGTGTATTGGTGTGCGCCGAGGATAGCGTCACCTATCGTCACTCCAACCAAGATGCCTTCCGTGTGCCGATTCCTCGCCGTAGTGGCGCCACTGAGAACCCCGAGCGTAAGCGCTGCATCACTGCTGGAGTAATGCACAAGATGAGGGGTGCCTTCTTCTTTCTCCTGCAGACCGAAGACGGTGATCTCTTCAAGCTCACCATTGACATGGTTGAGGACGACAACGGTCAGCTGACTGGTGAAGTCAAGCGTCTCAAAATCAAGTATTTCGATACCGTTCCGTTGGCATCCAGCTTGTTGATTCTCAAGAGCGGTTTCCTATACGTTGCCAGTGAGGCTGGTAACCATCACTTCTACCAGTTTGAGAAGCTCGGTGACGATGACGAGGAGATTGAGTTCACCAGCGAGTCGTACTCCGCGGATCCCTCGATCCCTTGTGAGCCCATCTATTTCCGACCCAGAGGCGCAGAGAACCTCAACCTCGTCGAGACGATCAACTCCCTCAATCCGTTGATTGACAGCAAGATCCTGAATATCTCCGAGGATGATGCGCCTCAAATCTACACCATCTCTGGCGCTGGCGCTCGGAGCAGTTTCAGGACGCTCAAGCATGGCCTAGAGGTGTCGGAAATTGTTGAATCTGAGCTTCCGAGTGTGCCCTCCAACGTTTGGACCACGAAGCTCACCAGATCCGACGAGTTCGACGCCTACATCATCCTTTCCTTTGCCAACGGCACCCTTGTCCTCAGCATCGGTGAGACGGTGGAGGAAGTTACGGACACTGGCTTCCTTTCCACTGCGCCAACGCTGGCCGTCCAGCAGCTGGGCGAGGACTCGCTGATTCAAATCCATCCTCGGGGTATCCGTCACATCCTTGCGGATCGACGAGTCAATGAGTGGCCTGCTCCTCAGCATCGGTCGATTGTGGCTGCCGCAACCAACGAGCGTCAGGTCGCCGTCGCTTTGAGCTCCGGTGAAATCGTCTACTTCGAGATGGATTCGGATGGTTCTCTGGCTGAGTATGACGAGCGGCGTCAGATGTCGGGCACTGTGACCTGTCTGAGTCTAGGCGAGGTTCCCGAAGGTCGAGTTCGCAGTTCCTTCCTGGCTGTCGGGTGTGATGACTCGACGGTTCGCATTCTCAGCTTGGATCCAGACTCGACCCTCGAAAACAAGTCTGTTCAGGCCCTGACAGCTGCTCCTTCAGCCCTGAACATCATGTCGATGGCCGATTCCAGTTCCGGTGGAACGACCTTGTATCTGCACATCGGTCTGTATTCAGGTGTTTACCTCCGAACCGTGCTGGATGAGGTTACGGGTGAGCTGTCAGATACCCGCACGCGCTTCCTAGGATCGAAGCCTGTGAAGCTCTTCCAGGTCTCGGTCAAGGGACAGACGGCTGTGCTTGCTCTGAGCTCGCGTCCTTGGCTGGGTTATTCGGATGTACAAACCAAGGGCTTCATGCTGACGCCCCTGGATTATGTCGGCCTTGAATGGGGCTGGAACTTCTCCAGTGAGCAGTGTGTGGAGGGTATGGTCGGTATTCAGGGTCAAAACTTACGGTACGTGCTTTTCAGCAATCCTTCCCCTCCCTACATTTTGATCGTATGATGAGAACTGGGATCCGAATATCCATGTGGAAAAACTTTTTTATTATTTTTCCAATTGTTCCTACTGAGATCAGCCTACCCAATATGCTTTGCCGATGGATTTGTCTGGTGAATGTCCGCTAACCGGCTTGCTAGGATCTTCTCTATCGAAAAGCTTGATAACAATATGTTGCAACAGTCGATTCCTCTGTCATATACCCCGCGCCGCTTCTTGAAGCACCCTGAGCAGCCATACTTCTACGTCATCGAGTCGGACAACAATGTCTTGTCTCCGTCCACTCGGGCGAAATTGCTTGAAGACTCCAAGTCCCGCGGCGGTGATGAGACCATCCTCCCGCCAGAGGACTTTGGATACCCCCGTGCCACCGGTCATTGGGCTTCTTGCATTCAAGTGGTTGATCCCTTGGATGCGAAGGCTGTCATTCACACTATCGAGCTTGAAGAGAACGAAGCGGCGGTCAGCGTCGCAGCGGTCCCGTTCACCAGCCAAGATGACGAGACTTTCCTGGTGGTTGGAACCGCAAAAGACCTGAGTGTGAACCCGCCCTCTTCCGCTGGTGGTTACATTCACATCTACCGTTTCCAAGAAGATGGTAGAGAACTTGAATTTATCCACAAGACCAAGGTTGAGGAACCTCCTCTTGCCCTGTTGGGATTCCAAGGCCGCCTGGCTGTCGGCGTCGGATCGTTGCTTCGAATCTATGACCTTGGTATGAAGCAGCTCCTCCGTAAGTGCCAGGCGCCGGTGGTGCCTAAGACTATTGTTGGTCTCCAGACCCAGGGCTCTCGAATCATCGTCAGTGATGTCCGGGAAAGTGTCACCTATGTTGTGTACAAGTATCAAGAGAATGTCTTGATTCCGTTTGTGGATGACTCGGTGTCTCGTTGGACAACCGCAACTACCATGGTCGATTACGAGACTACTGCCGGTGGTGACAAGTTCGGAAATCTCTGGCTGCTGCGTTGCCCCAAGAAGACGTCTGAAGAGGCGGACGAGGATGGGTCAGGTGCCCATCTGATCCATGAACGCGGTTATCTTCAAGGAACCCCTAACCGGCTCGAGCTGATGATCCACGTGTATACCCAGGACATCCCCACGAGCTTGACCAAGACCCAACTCGTGGCTGGTGGTCGGGACATTCTCGTCTGGACTGGTTTCCAGGGTACGATCGGTATGCTGGTGCCGTTCATCAGCCGAGAGGATGTGGACTTCTTCCAGAACTTGGAGATGCAGTTGGCTGCACAGCACCCTCCTCTCGCTGGACGGGACCACCTGATCTACCGGAGCTACTACGCACCGGTCAAGGGTGTCATTGACGGAGATTTGTGCGAGATGTACTTTTTATTGCCTAATGATACGAAGATGATGATCGCAGCGGAACTGGACCGTTCAGTCCGGGAAATCGAGCGGAAGATTTCGGTAAGTTGCTGCACTGCTCTGTGGAAGAATGATGACTAACGAGCACAGGACATGCGGACCCGGGTGGCGTATTGATTTGAATGGATTCGGCGCTTATCAGGACTAATGCTGTATGCGGGTTTCAGATACCCCATAGTTGATTTGCAAACATGTACATGTATCCAATACCAGATGACTGATGGTATCCGTGGTTGGTGTTCAACGTAGGTGGTAATGCAAGTCTCTTGCCTCGCTCGATCTCCCGCTCCCCTCGGTTGATCTTGAGCTGGATGCAGCTGTACCAGGTACAGATTGTACGAGACGAGAAGAAGGCTATGCCTGCGACGATCTTTGAGTACGATTTTATCCGCATGCCACGGATATGATCGTAATTTATCCGTCGGGACATGACGTATTTATACAACCAATGCTCTGTCACTCTTCATGAATGCAAATACTCGTCTTGAATCTTTATCCATCCATCCTAAAGTACCGACTGCTATACGCAACTACACCTAGCTCATAACCACACAGCTTTCCATCGGAAGCATTAATTCCCCATCTCATCCGTCATATTTCTAGGTAGTCATGAAGCCCCAGATCAGCCATGGTCCTGGTCAGTCTTTATATATCCACAGTATGTGCTTGGATGTTTGTTCAACAAGTAGAGGTAACCTCTCCAGTGATAGAGGAGATGTTTGGGGACGATCATAGTGATAACTTTATGGAATATGATATACTTTTCGACCAGAGACACTATTACTCAACTGGAGTCATTCAGATTTCTATGCAGTTGGGAAATGCCGAGAACCATACGGAGTACGAGAAAATGAAACACAGGGACAGGGATAATAAAGACAAGGTAGGAAGGAGTAGTGATAGGAGTGGTGGGATAAGAGCAAACGATGACAGATTTAGCAATACTCTGAGGAGACGAGGGGGGGGAAAGGGGATAGTGGGAATAGGTAGGAATCGCAGCATTGTACACATATTCACCTCTAGATGATCTTTTCAACAGGTTTGCAAGAACCAGGCTTGGAAAAATCTCTCCTATCCCCGTAGCCATTCTGAATCCCCACCAGAGATGAGGATGAGGATGGAGAGGGATGGAGAGACCGATGGCCTGCCTGCAGTGAGATGGGGAAAACAAGATGGAGGCTGGTATGATACTCTGCCGTACAGTCCGGTATGATACGCGGGGGAGACCACAGAGCAACCCAAGAAGCATGGTCAGATGTCTAGCTAGGTATGTATTTTATTCGGGGATGGCTTTGGAAAGGAAGAATGGTGCTGGTTAGAGGGATAGTGGATTTGGTGTATGCTGGGGTTGCTTTGAGATTCAGTGAGTGGGATGGTAAGGGTTGAGCAGTTTCGCTTGGTTTTGGGATTATGGGTTGATGGATGGTTTATTCCCGTCGTGAGCGTTGTAACCCAGTACACGAGACTGTTGTAGCTAGCAGTTCCTTATGAGATAGGATAATACGTTTCTAAATGGTGGCTCGATGGACTTCACGTAGGTAGGGCATGTCATCCTCTTGCTACCCTGAGTATTATCATCCTCTCTACAGATGATGGTTACATGTTTATCCCATCCGGGCAGACAGCTTAATCATCCACATCTCTGGGATCATGCTCGCGCCAGAACTGCTCATACTCCTCGGGCGTCTGTCCCGGGATCGGCTGGTAAAAGGTCAACGGCGCTAACGGAATGCCCAAATGCTCCATCTTCTCAATGCGCTGCCGCGTCGCCGGATGTTTCTTGTTGACGCTGTACACGCTGATGCGATGCGCCGAGGACGTCACATGGAGACCCCAGTTCCACGCGGCCCGGACATTCAATGGCTGCGTGTTGAGCGAGTTATCCCAGCAGCGACAGACGATCTCGATCCAACCCTCCACATCACACGGCAACTCCATCTCCCAGGTCCGCCACGTCCAGCGCCCCTTCTTGGATAACTTCTCCTGCGGCACCGCATACCAGCTGAATCCCCCATCGGCCGACAATTCCACCCGTTCCGGCCACCGACCCCCCCCCGAATAGGCCCAGCCCTTGCACCGAATCGTCCCCTCGTGCACAATCACCTGCTTCGTCCAGGGCGACATGATCGCCGAACTGACCGGCATCTCCTGGATCTGGATCCCCTCCGTCGGCTTCTGGTTGTATTTGCCGATCTGCTGATTGAAGTAGAGATACTCGCGACTCTGCACGGGGGCGCGCGACGGGTTCTCAATGGCCTTGATGCGATACAGCCATTTGACGCTGCGGGCTCCGATATATCCCAACACCACCACCCGCAACGGATAGCCATGGATCTTGGGCAAGGGTTCGCCGTTCATCTCCCACGCCAGAATCACCTCGTTCGCCTTGACTTTCGACCACGGCACACTCACGACATAATTCATCGCCTCCAGATCCTTGATGTACGTCTCGGCCCCATACAACTCCAAATGCTTCGCGGGGGCCACCAACCCCCCACAATCCTTAATCACCTTCTTCAAACTGATCCCCACATACCGCGCCGTGCCGATCGCCCCCTCGGCCCACGGCGCCTGCGGAACTTCATCCCCTTGCCCGCCATACAAACTAATCTGCTCAATGCGCCGAGTCCCCGAACACTGAATCGTCACCGTCTTCTCGATCCGCGGGAACCGCGTCTCATCCTGCAAATCCTCCAACGTATAATTCTTCGGATGCTTGACCAACCCATCCAACGCCAGACTCCACTTCTCCTTATCAATGAGCGGAATCCCCCCATGATTCCGCACAAAATGCAACGGATTCGGCGTGATCACCTTGGACGTCACCAACCGTTTCGGCGGCTCCCCATTATACGGAAACTGCAACAGATGCAACATATCGGGGTGTTTTTCGCGGAGCACCGTCCGCCACGAATCCTCCGCCACGGAGGCGAGTTCGCCCCCCAACGCCTCATGCCACTGCTTGAAATCCTCGCCGGTGAGCACGGGGTTCGAGTCGGGAATGGGACCGAACATGTAATCCGGGACGGGGTCGAAGGTCTGTGACCTCAGGATCTGATGCGCTTTGGCTTTTTTCTCGGGGTATTTTTCCCATTCCACGTATCTAATCCCAGCATCCATGTCAGCAATATTCCCAGGCAGAATGGAATAAAGAAAAAGGGGGTATTACCCCTTCCACCCCACCCTCTCCCGCTGAAACAGTTCATTACGATCCCCCACCTCCGCAATCGCCTCCTCGTCGCGATCGCGCTTCGTCGGCCCGGGCGGGTAGATATGCACGGTATCCAGTCCCGTTTGATCGAGAATCGGCAGTTTATGGCCTGCCATGCCTTGCTCGATCTTCCATTCGTCGGGCCGGTTGGTGGTGTCCATTTGGGCGGTGAGGGTGGACATTTTCGTGGTGGTTTGAGTGGATGTCATGTTGATTATTCCTCGGGGGGAGGGGGTGCTATATATATACGTGTGTGTTTGATTGTAGGTAGGTGGAGATGATGGGTGGGTAAGATTGACTTGTACGGAAGTGGAAGTGGAAGTGGAAGTGGAAGTGGAAAAGTGGATGGAAGTGGAAGATTGGGAGAAAGAGGGGCAGGCAGGGAATGCCAGGATTTCCATCCCAGCTGAAAACAATCCATGCAGGCATGCCGGGACGGTGACTTCATGACTATCTGCTTGTCCACCAGTAAACCAACACTACTTAGCCAGGGAGCCGAGGGTTCCCCGAACCTATCATACCAGCCATCCTATCGTGGAAGTTTAGTGGAATTGGATGGTGATTGGGTAGGTGGTATGGCTTGATCGGATTCTGGGGATTTCATAGGATAGACAGATTCTAATACGTCGGTGGTAGATAGTAGGTGGAACTGGGAGGAGGAGGTAGTGGTGGTGGTCCCGGAAGCAGCGGATCTACCCCACTGGCAAGTGCTTGAGCTCAGGGTCTCGATATCATCTCCAATAGCGCAGGTCTAATTGGTCCACTAGTCATACTCGTTCGGGATGGTTTGACGGGTCCGATCGCAGTGGGAAAATTGATCGAGTGGCACATACTCCGGATTTGGGGTTGTTATGGATATTGGTGAGGGTATGTATTTTGCTGCATACCTGGATTCCAAGTGGGTTGGTGTCATGGAGATATCCCTTGATTGCACTTTTAGGGGTCGTTTGGGATTGTTTCTTGCTTGTATTTTATACCATCCATTAATCCTACGGAGTATGGTGTGGTTTGCATGTGATGACAAAGTGAATCACGGTCTAGACTGATGGATGCATAATACGAGTATTATCATGGTACGATCTTGTCATAATACTGCGAATCACGCATTGTTCTGAACTCGTCCTGAATGATTGCCAATGGCTGGGCCGCCATTCCCGGGAATGTTGACTTTTCTCCGATACATGTGCATTTACGAGTCTTGTCCTCTAAATAGTCATCATATCACTTTATCAAGTCTTGTGTGCATCATTCACCAACCCCTCCGTCGCCTTTCTCACCCCCTCCCCCAATCCCCAATCCACCCGACCAAACAACCCTAACCTTCGCATTAGCCCCATCCGATCATCCGATGACAGCATGTGGCACCTACCGTACACCCTCTTGCGAAGCGCACTAGATTTCACCTGACTCAAATGCACGGCCACGTTGCCAAAGAATCGCTCCTGGTGCCCCGGCTCCTTGCCAATCACCTTCCACAGCCCCGCCGCCTGCTCAAAGTCGTCCTCGTACAACCCGTACTGGAAATTACTCACCTGGCCCACCCACTTCTCGTGCTCGGTGAGCGTGCTCACCGTCTGGGGCGGCTGGCCGGTAAGATCCTGGTAATAGGTGATGGGCTGCAGACTGGATCCGACGTAGTTGGGGTCCGCGCCGTAGTTGTCGGAAAAGTTCATCTGGCCGTCCCGTTGGTAGGGACAGTACACGGGGGCTTTGGCCGCGTTGGTGGGGAGTTGTTGGTAGTTGGTGCCGAGTCGGTAGCGCGCGGCGTCGGGGTAGGAGAACATGCGTGCTTGGAGGACTGACTGGTTTAGCTGCATACACATAGGTGCTTGAGGGTAAGAGATATATACCTGGGTCTGCCGATGGAGCGATGCCCGGGACCATGTTGGAGGGGGAAAAGGCGGCTTGTTCGATATCGGTAAAGTAGTTCCGTGGCTAGACCCTTAGTAACAAACCACACAACATGAACTGATGGGATGGGTACTCACATTACGGTTCAACTTCATCGTCCCAATCTGTCGCAGCGGAAAATCACTATGCGGCCACACCTTGGTCATATCGAAGATATTCCATCGGTAGGTCTCCGCCTGTTCAGGCGTCATCACCTGCACGTATACCTTCCACTCGGGGTAATCTTTGCGCTCGATCACCTCGAACATATCCTGAATCAGGAAGTCCGGATTCTCCCCGGCTACCCGGACCGACTCTTCTTTGGTGAAATTTTTGATCCCTTGAGTGGTTTTGATGTGGAATTTGACATAGTTGAAGGAGCCATCCTAGACGGTTACTTCCATCCTTCTTCAATTAACAGTTGGGAACCTACTTTGAGAGTGAACTTGTAGGTATGTCCACTATACGCATTCATATGGCGCAGCGAGGCTGGCGTGCCTCGATCGCTAAACAGATGGAGAAGTTGGTGGAAGCCTTCGGGATTGCCGGCGTGGAAACTACATCGTCAGTACGAATACCAGAGACTGAATCAAACGTACTCCCAGAACTGTACCCGTTAGTATCACTCTATACACTGTCATTGGGGGCAGGGATCACCATATTCGGATCCGGCAAATGCGACTGCGGATTCCTCTTATGCGACCGATTCAACGACGGAAACTTCAACGGATCGCGAATGAAAAACACCGGCGTGTTGTTAAACACCCAGTCGAGGTTGCCCTCATCCGTGTACAGCTTCATCGCCCAGCCATGCACATCCCGGAGGGTATCGGCCGAGCCGGCCTCGGGTCCTACGGTCGAGATGCGCAGTAGCAGGGGCGTGGTTTTGCCGATCTCACTGAGGAAGCTGGCTGAGGTGATGTCGGTACAGTCGTGAGTGCAGGTAAATTCGCCGTATGCTCTGCGATCATTAGCGTTCTGTGATCATTGGTAGGTGATTGAAGGGATGGACTGACCCGGCGGCTTTGGCGTGGACCACTCTGGACATCGATTAGTGATGAATTAGTGAGGTACTGACGGGATGACATGCCGTTCGGGAATCCGCTCGCGGGCAAAATGTGCCAGCGTCTCGATGAGCTGCGTGTCCTGCATCAGAAGCAGGCCGGCATTGCCGCTGCGCAGCTGCACCGAGGTGGAATTGCTCGCGTACGGGCATCCTGGAGGGTTAGCAGGGGATACCAGGATGGCTGGGACGAGCACCTTCTGCGAGAGTGTAGTATCGTTGAGCCATGTTGCTGATTAACCGTGCGATTGACTTAATTCGAGTTGATTACCCTTGAATTGGGTCACCGATGGTTTTATATGGATCGAGTCAATTACATCATGGCTGGTCTCAAGAGACCGAACCTTATTCTTCCACGAGCAAAGATAGATTATACCACCGGCAACGCTTCCACTCGACCCGGTTTCACCAGCGTAATGCCCATCCCCGGCCTTACCTCGCCCCCCCGCTTGACCACCCCCATCACCCCCGCCCACCGTCGACCAACGCCCACGAATTCCTCCCTCAGCCCTACTCGCACCCGATCCAATCCCGGTCCCGGCTCTCTCACCCCCGTCAACTCAATCACCGCTCCGTCCTCAAAATGTAATTCCGTCCCGCGGGACAACCCCGCCAACTCAATCCCTTCGGTGGTGACATTCTCCCCGATTTGTCCGGCGGCGAGGGTTGCTCCCGGGCCAATCTTGCGGGACACTTCGCGGAGGGTTTCCACCGGCACGAGGTGGACTTGACGGAGGTTGGTGCTGGTGGGGTTGTTCTGTTGCTGAACGCTGTGTTGGACGGTTGGGCCGGCGTGGCAGTCACCTGAGACGCCGAGATTGGCGAGGAGGGTGATGGAGGGGACGGGGGTTTTGGATGGCGAGTGGGTGGTGGATTTGGAGACGGAGAGGACGCGGGGAGTAGCTCCGATGAGGGTGGTGGTGGTTGTCACAGTCGTCGACATGATGTGTAGTAATCGTTGGATTGGCAATGGGTTGTTGTTTGCTATAGCGTATATACCGTGGGTGTTGGTTTTATTGACGTAGGTATAGGATTGATTACCCCTCCTGTCTGCCGTGCCAACTCAGCGACAGGGATGGGGCCGCCATTTCTCACATCTGTGCGCCGAGGGCGGTTGTGTAGATGCAGACTGGCCAGTTGATCGGGAAGCTTGGGCAGTCACGGGGAGCTGAATTGGCGCCAGTCCAATCATTAGTCTATCGATGAATGCGCTTCTGTCGCTGTCACATGTCGGGCGGAGACTCTTCCCTTATGCTCCTTTGGTATTACTATGACGGGTCGGGGTTAACTAGAAAACATTCCAATCCCGTTGATGAATCTTCCTCCCACCCGGATCATCCCCGAAAGACTCCCCAGAGATGATCATCCAGGTTACCACGAAACCTCTTTCCTCTCGGTCCAGTCTCACCAGTTAACCCTTCACCTCGATCCCAGAATTTGCATCCATCGACGATCTCAAGGCCTTTAACGACGACGAATTCACGGACAACCCGTTTGGCATATTTTTCGGGTATCTGGCCGAGCTCTGCACCACGTACACCTCCGAGGCCTCCATCAACCGAGCGCACCAACGGAAAGCCAGCGACAGCTCTATCGCCACCGAGCTCTCCACCTCTAGTAATGAGGGGAAGCGCGAGACGGTCAGCACCGAGGCCCTCAAGATCTTGATCAAAAGTACCCTGGGGAAGATGAAAGAGGATCGATCCTTGGCTACGCCGGGCCCGGAGGGGTTGTTTCTCACATGGTCCGTACGCCGATCCCCATGCGAAGGATACGTATGTATAATGGGCAGTCTAACAGCCAGAATAGCTTCGCCGCGGAGAACCAGTTCCAGTGGGATATGGCGGGCGTCACGGACGTGGTGGTAAACGATGGGTCGGTGGGAGTTAACTTCCGAGGAAGCTTTTCGGGATCCGATCGAAGCTCTAAGGTACCGGTGGCTAGTTTGGAGGTTAGTAGCTTGGTGCTTCATACCAGCTATTCTCCTTTTCTCTCTCCCTCTATTTCGAAATCACCCTGTTTCTTTCCATCGTTTGGGTTCTGCTTCATCTCCTTTGGCATCCGTACTCGTCTAATGAAACAAAAAGTGCAAGCCACGGGATGCCGGGGGGGTCAAGCGTGGCTCTGGGGATTCAGAATCCTTCATCGCATCGGTGTTTGCCCAGGAGGTGGGTGAAATGATCGGGGGGATGATCGCCCAGAGAACCAAACTGGAATTGATCAAGCACCGGGATCAGGAGTCGTTTGTGGTCAGCATGCATGGAACGCTCTTCTATATCAGCGCGGCGTATTTCTCCCCGGAGTATATTAGATATATGGAGACCACCCGACCTGGAGAGGTCACAGATGTTGACGGGGTTCTCCTATGGGTTCGAAGATCGATCCATTTCGATCTCAAAGATGCGAATCAACGAGGACAGGCGTTGAAGTTCTTGTGGGCGTTGATCAGGTACATCGCCAGTGGAGAGGCGAGATTGAACATTGTGACGGCGGCCATTGATGCGCAGAGGGGCGTTGCAACGAATTAATCCTGCTATGGACGTTGACCACATGTGATATGGTATATAGTAAGAGAATTAGATTGAACAGGGGGTTGATCAGACGTCGTCAGCCGTCGTGGCAGCTCCTGGGAGAACTTGCAAAGCGCCGACCTTCGCCTTGCCACTCAGCAGGTATCGAAACAGCCTAGACAGAGCACGCGTAGCTTCCAGCCAATCCTTCTTGAGACATAGATTGTAGCCTCGCGTGAATTCCAGCTCGAAGGCTTCATGGTCTGAGCACCAGAAGTAATCAGCCAAGACATACTCCTGTGTAAGATATGATAGGCAGACGTTCATCCCGCGGACCAACGGTGATCTCGCCCTCTGGCCTACTACCATACTGTTTCCCGCCAATCACGTATTTAACTGTCGATGCGGAGATAGGAAACCTGTCCTTCGTTAACATTGCGAAACGAATCGACAGAACACTCCAACCTAGATACAAGAGACTGAGCGACTCACCGAATCTCCACCTCCTGCTTCACAACACTCTCCAGACGCTCATATACCGTCTGCATCAGGAGGCGTAAAAGCATGCCTTGTGTTTTGATAAGAGACCGAGCTCGGTCCCGGTCCGACCCGGACCAGCTTTTCCGGGGCAGAACAATGTCCTCTCGCATCGGCATGGCCGCGAGGTCCGGTCCTCGTGGGTCAAAGTCGGCATAGTAGGAGACGAGCTCATTGAAGAAGAACGTAAGCCTGTTGCTTCCATCCGGCCAGTCCTCCAAATACTCTTCTTCAGCTATTTCGGTGTGTTTGAATATCCAGGGGAGGAGATTCTCTACGTCTCGCTCTGGGGTAGATTAGTAGATTGTAGGAGAATGGCTGGATTTGATGGTACCTTCACGGTCGTGGCTCACGACTCGAGGAATAAGTCGGTCAACATCCACAACTCGAGAGTGGATGGTTGCTGACATGCTGAAGAGGAGACGTAAGAAATGCTGTTCATGGGTCAGCTACGAACGAGTGGATGGGTTCGCTCGTAGGTAATGGAGTCTAGAGCTCGGTCTCTGGCGGTGGGAGGAGATCGGGTACGGGTGAGGCGCACGTGATGGCCGGCTGATTCGCCTTTCTTTCATCCTGGTGGATCTCACTTCTCCATAGTAAAGTAGGCCACGACCTAGTAATGCTACTAAGATCTTTCTTATGTCAAATCGTCGCGAAGAAGTGGTACCTGAACTTACCGTTGAAACGGCTGTGCGCCCATGGACCAGATCGTCAAAGGATTTCAAGCCGCTGTGGATGAGGATTCCTTCGAGGACGGGGAAAAGATGTTAACCGCTAGATAGTTAGTGGCTGCGGTAAGCAAATCGAGGATAGGTTGGACAGTGGGAATTCAAGCTATAAAGTTAGTTGTTCGGGCTCGGGCGATGTGCTTGCCTAGCGTACTCACCTTTTGTTTACCATCTATCATCAACGTCAACATTAACTACTATCTGGATTCTCATGCAACATATTCCTCTCAATAATTATAACCCCAACCTAATATATAATACATTCCAACCCGATATGCAATAACCACAAACGACAATAACTAAAGATCCACTATCACTAAAATCACTACCCCTCTACCATCACCCCCACACCACCCTCCGAATCCTCACATTCGCAACATGCATCACCGCCACGACGGCCCTAATCTCCGGCACCCCACCCCCCGGAAACACCAAATACAACGGCTCCTCCAACTCCTCCTCCGGCCGCCACTTGTCATGATACGCCTTCTTCCCTGCCAAGGGTAACCGACCGAACGCAAACCGATACATCTTTCTCGTGACGTGTTCCAATGCACTTGGTAATCCGCTCACCTCGCCGAGTTCTTCGAATGGCTCGTATCCGATACTGAGGTAGGATACCCCTGCGGTTTTGCATAGTGCCATGGCGGCGAAGAGGAGGAGGTCCGTGGTGCCTTTTGGGGCGGTGGGGGCCGCGATGCACGGGTCGATGTGGTAGCCGGTTTTGGCGCCGAGGTAGCGCAGGGCTGCGAAGGCGATGGGTTCACCGGTGGGGGCGCGCGCGTAGATGTAGGTCATGAGGGGGGTGGTGGGGAAGAGGTTGTAGGAGGTGATGAAGGCCTGTGGGGTGGTGGAGGCGTTGCGGGTGGTGCGCCAGGTGTTGTAGATGGATTGGAGGGAGGTTTCGAGGGTGATGTCAAGGTCTTTCTTGGGGGTGGTGGGGATATAGATGTCTAGGGTGAGGTTGCCTTTGGTAGGATGGAGGAGTTGTTTGGTTTGGAGGAGGATGCGTTTTCCGGTGGTTTCGTGGAGGATGGGATTGGTGGTGGGGTTCAGGACACGTTCTTTGCCAAAGTGCAGGAGAGTCCAGGGTTGGACGGTGGCATCGGCGTAGTGGGTGAGGATAGGGCTGGCGCCGAGAAAGGCGATGCCGAGATGGTGGGCTTTGCGGTAGGTGTGGAATTCGGAGAGCAGGGCGCTGATGTCAGATGGATGGCTGATGGGGTCGCCGGAGATGATGGCCGTCTTGTGGAGGATTTTGAAGCAGAGAGCGGCGGTGTGGGTGGTGTGGAGGAAGATGGAGTAGCTGGGGTCGAGCAGGCCCATATGCGAGACTTGACTGTGTTGAGCAGCGAGACGGGTGATGGTGGAGAGGGCTTCGAGGGAGGTGTTGGGCCCGGCGAGCGTGATGATGCGGTTCGGGAGAGGGGGTGGCAGCGGGGGCTTCGGCATGGAGTCATGGCTGGTGCGGCTGGACACGATGCTTTTGATGTCGGAGGTGGAGGTGGCTGGGGAGAGGGTTCTGGTGCTGGTGCTGTGGATGCTGCTGCTGGAGTGGACAGAGGGCCATGGAGCGAGGGGGTGGTGGATGGAAACCGGACCGTCCAGACGAGCTTGGAGACGCTCGTACAGCGCTTGGCCGATGGTGTCGGCCAGCAAGACCTTGGAATTCGGCTTAGATTTCCGCTTGGGGTCCTGCTTGGGTTGCTGCTTGCAAGACTTGGATGGAGGATCAGGATTCATGTCGGTGCATAACATTGTACAGACTATCTGAGAATGTGTAGGATGTTATGAGATACAAAGTAGAAGATGCAAATATAATCCAGGTCAGACTAGGCTGCCATCAACGGATCAGCGCCATGTCTCGGAAAGGCCGTGAGGGCTGCAACGATGCCCTAGAGTCAATCTGCAGCTGTCCAACCCACGGTGGGGCCAGGACAATACCTCGGAATCAAAAGTCATGCTGAGCCAACCACCATTGGCTTATTTCGGCCTCTCATGATACTACTTGGCCTATACTAACTAGAGGCATAGATAGCTGCGCCTTCACATCGTTGCTGTCTTCTTTTTATATCATGGTCATCTCACGGCACACTCGTATGCTCGTCTCTGCAGAATATGGCTGCCTACTGGACCCTGCAAGCATCCAGGGAAAGCTTGTGCCCAAGTGGGGCGCGGGAGGAAGACTCGCTGCCATAGGCTCGGCCGGCGGTTTCCAAAGCTTAGGGGTCGCCTAGACGGACCGCGATGGGCCATGGTCAGCCCTACGCTAGGCTGGCTGCAGGGCTGCAACGGAGGCCGCGGGGGCCGCCGGATACTCCGAGTCGTATGCTGGGCCGAGATGGATAGTGAGTTATGCTGGTGTTTGCTTTTGGTGATTGGGACTATTGAGGATTTGCTAGTGGAGCTAGAGATCAGTACACTATCTGCACTATTCAACAGAACATACACCACCTGTTCAGCGGTTCCACTCACTCGGTTAGTAACAGACATTCCATGTAAATATATACACCGCAGTCAAGACATTGGAGACAGCACCACCACACGTCCTTTCAGGCTTTTCCTTTTCAAATACGTAACTCTCGGAACCCCCTTCGGAATGTTCCATCCACGTGATATACGTCATGAATTTTCACATCAACCGTGACTATTTAATCTGCAGCTGCATCTACATCCACATCCACCAATCACTAACCCATCATCACCATGCCCCTCCGTCTCCCCAACCCCCTCACCCTACAAACACAAACCCCAACCCGCCTCCTCAGCACCAAACCAACCCTCACCCCCACCCCCAAAAATGAACAATTCAATCTCCTCCCCGCCACACCCCGCGACAGCCCCTCTATAACCGACGTCTTCCTCCACTCCTTCTCCGACCCCTTCAGCCGGCGCATGTTCCCCCTCACCAACGACGTCCGCAACTGGTGGGTGGACCACTTCCGCACCGAGATCCAATCCACCACCTCTGCCTGTGCCTCGACCCCCCGCACTGCATTCCTGAAAGTCACGACCGCAGACGGTGTAGTGGCCGCCTTCGCCAAGTGGAAGTTACCTACCCCCAAGACCCCAGAGGAGAGTATTGGTAAAGTTGGTCAAGGAGCGACGGTGTGGCCGCCCAGCGCGGACGCGGACCTCTGTACGCGGTTTTTTGCCCTCATGGAGAGTGAGAAGGGGCGGGTGATGGGGGGGAGGGAGTTTTTTTGTACGTTTATTTCTATTCCTTTTCCTTATTTGGTAGGTAGGGCTGTAGCTGATTGTGACGATGGTAGATCTCGATATGCTCGGCACCTTACCTGAATACAACGGCCAGGGCATCGGATCCCGGCTGCTACGCTGGGGGTTGGAGCGGGCGGATGCAGCGGGGGTGGAGACGTTTCTGTCGTCGACGCCGCAGGGTCGCGGGCTGTATGAGCGGTATGGGTTTCGGGTGGTAAGGGAGTTTGAGGTCGTGCCGGGGTATTGGCAGGCGTCGATGGTGCGGGATCGGGTCTGAAGATGTATTACTAGTTGTGTACTATATGGTATATGTATGGAGTATCAGGATGAGCCAAGTGTAATATCAGCCGTGTACTACGGAGAAGACGAATCCTACTGTCACGGATTTGGGTGCAGTTGGTTCGTATGTTCAGGAAATCTTCTGTAAAAGACTAGTGATACTGATTCGTATACTCCCAGTTGATTTCAACGATACTTTCGACGTTCGGTGGATCTGGGCCGGGAATCTGTTTCTTCTGTGTAGTCATGGCCTGGCTTGTTAGATCTATTGGAATATATGAATATCGAGTACATGATACAGGAAGATGATGCCATGATCAAAGCTCCCTATGAACATAACACAGCGCCAAGGGTGAGCGGAGTAATTGGTCCATCACCAGACTCCAACCTCAAGCTAGGCTCTCTTCTGAACGCTCTTCCATCCTAGACCCCAACTAAATAGAAACGCCCCCCCCCCCCCCCCCCCCCCCCCGCCGTTCCAGCAACCATATAGAACACATGCTGAATCGCATCATTATAAGCGATAACCACCCCATCTAGACTAGCATGCGGGATCACAGATCGCAGTCCAGATACCCCAGCCGACGTCACTTCCGAAACCGAAACGTCCGGTGCGTAGATGGGGAGAAGGGTTGCAAGACCGGTGTTGAACACTGTGCTCGCGAAGGAAAGCCACAGTGCTCCCCCGAAGTTCTGGCAGAAATAGAGAAAGGCCATGCTGGTGGAGATTTTGGAGGGAGGCAGATTGTTTTGCGACGGCTATGAGGGGCTGGTTGGTTCGCTGGGTTAGTAATATTGGTCAAAGAATCGGTCTGGGTACAGAGTACCGATACCATTTGAAGAGCACAACCGCGCCCCACCCCGGCGATGATTTGATACCCGATCCATTTCCCCATGCTGGTATGCGGAGTGAAGAGACTCATCAGTCCAGATCCGATGGCGGTTAAGACGGTTCCCGTAACTGCCGAGGGCAGGTAATAACCAAGCCGGGTGACTTGAACGCATTAGTTACTCACTCATGAGGTGGAACAGAATGGCGAGACATACCCGCATACTAATGAGCCAAGCTCGAAAAGAGCGATGAAGGCCATATATGTATACTATGATATTGTTGGTTTCAGGAGGTAGTGTGTAGGCTGATCGCAACTACCTTGACATTAAACCGAGAATATAACTTGCCTGACATAGGCTGGAGAGTACAAGCTTGGAGACAGTGAGTAATCTTCACACACAGTGAAGGAGACTTAGGAGGATAATCTACTTACCTTGTTAATAAATACGCACTTCCGTACCAACCAACGCCCGCAGTAGAGTGAAAGTCGCTCATGATTTTAGGGATTGCCTTTTTTTTTTTTTTTTTTTTTTTTTTTTTTTTTTTTTTTCAAAATGCGAGTCTACATGATAAACTTAGGTGACTCAGCCAGAGGTAATTACTCACCGTTGCGATTATGGACATATCAAGCATGACAAGCAAAGCGATCGCAATAACCGCAATGATAACCAAGGCCAATTTAACTCCGGAGAGATATTCGAGTTCGACTTCATCTTCATGACCCACGGCAGGGTTACCCTGACTGCTGTTGTCGGGCTGTGAGCTTCTCGCTTCTCTCAAGACATCGTCTCCCTGATCGAATCGGGCCTAGAATTCATTCCGCCTGGTTCTTTCTCAAGATGCAGCGTCGGGTCATCGATCGCAATGGTTAAAGTAAAAGGGTGATTTTGCTGACTGATGGCGGGCTATCGTGGGCTGAGCGGAGAAGATCCATATGAAAAGAAGTGTCTGAACTGGAGAATGGGTGGGGGATGGGGGTTTCACCCTTTTGACTGGAGCCTAGAACGGAAAGGGGATGGCATGGGTATGATACTTTTTTGGGCTTAACCAACTTATTAAAACCCGGCCCATGGTCAACTGATTTCAGTACACCCAGATTTGTTCAATAGTACTGCCTCTGCTCAAAAGGCCTAGCGCAGCTACATGACCTGCTTTTATTACTGCGCTTGATAAAGAAACTAGTACCTGATTTGATTATACTCTGTTTTGAGTTTATTTGAGCTTCTATAAGGTTTGTGAGATCATAAGTCTATTTCTTGTATAAATAGCTATCTCTAGAATTTAATATATAGGACTCTATAAATAAACTGTGATCCGAATCTATTAACCATCCAGTCCTGGCCTGTAATAAAGATGAGGTGGTTGTATGGAGTAAGCGATCGACCCCGATTCAGGCGCCGCATACGAGCTGAGTGATTCGGACCTCGCCACGATCAAGCCCATCGACTATGACGATCCGGCCACGGATATTTCGGGGCCGTGAAGCTATTCAGCCACCGAAAACGAATTCGAGCATGCGTTGCCATCCTCGAAAAAAGCCCCCCAACCCGATCAATCTCTGGCGAATGGGGCCCCTCAAAAACAGCGCTACTGGGTGACAACCACCACGATCGAACACAAACGAATCGGCGCCAGTATCCAACAGCCCAGCGGGACGATTGTTAATACCGGCGGCGGAACCTTTGATTCCAAAGTCGTTCTCACGGGCATCGATCCCGTGACGTACACACTGGACGACCTCACGCTGGAACGAGAGGATACCGCCGATGGCAGTTTCGAAGGCGATCGAGCAAACGGGACTTGGGATCAGGACAACTATTATCTTACCATGAGCAAATTTGGACTCCAGCAAGCGGAGTTCCGCAGCTATAATGGTAGCTCAGATGCTTCCCTGAAATACTCGACTGCCTCGTTCTGCAAATCCCTTCCTTGCACTCTGTTCTATTATTGGCTGATGGGCTCGATCGATTTGGCAATCATGGCACTTTCTACACAGGCTACACGGATGATTACAACGTTCTCAAGATCCAGGACCATCAGTATGCCGGCTGAAGCGATTGTCTTTCAAATGTGGGGAGTTCGTTGGTTTATTTGTGCTCATTTTATAGTCTGGCAATCTTCACTACCAACTTGCTCATCGAAGGGCCATATTCTGCCGTAGAAGTTCCCTCGGAGTACTTGGATTCCTACAGCGAAAGCATCTGCAGTGATCCAGTGTGTATATCTCATAATCTCATATAGACGACGGCTCGTCGGGAATATTGATTCTGAATCCCTATGCTGAAGCATCCTGTCCAGACCACAACTTTCAGATACCCTGCTAAACTATGTTCAGCCTCGTGGGTATTAGGCAACTATAATCAATTTAATACACGGAAATGGGTATCATACTAGTAGCCTTCTGCAGTAACGATGTATGTTCGAGCCACGTCAGCAGTTGGGGCCCTCCCAATGGTGAAGGCATCCAGCCAACCACGGCAGATCGGCTCAGCCCTACAGGGCGACCGCCCCACCCATCCCAATCCGGCCCAAGATTCCCATTCCTCTTTTTGGGACTTTCTCCCCCTTCTTTTCTCCCCAGCTTCTGCTCTTCTTCTGCTGTCTCTTCTTCTTATTCTTCTTCTTCTTCCTCCATGGTGGTCCAATTCTCCTCACTCCCACCACCATGTCCGCTCCCTCCCCGATCCCAAAGCTCCTCCGCGAGTCGAGCGACCTCACCATCACCTCCACCTCCCACATCTCCCCCAGCAACACCAGCGTGTCCTTCATCCGTTCCCACCGCCGTTCCTGCAACCCCTTCACCCGGTCCCAGCCCCGACTACACCTCACCCAACAACCACTCTTCCGCAACTCCCTCCTCGCCGGCGTCGGCTTCCTCGAACTCGCCAATGCCGCCGATTTCGCCGCCAACGTCTGGAACCAAATCCCCGTCCCCCGATACGCCATGATCCTCATGGCCATCGGCGGCCCCGTCGCCCTGCTGATCACCCTCGTCGCCGCCCGTGACCTCTACCTCAGCTACCAAAACGTGCAACTCCTGCGCCAGGAGCGCCAGCACCTCCACCACCTCGTCGCCGCCTCCCCCTCCGCCCACACCACCCTCATCCTCAAATCCCGCCTCAGCGTCAACTTCCGCGAACTCGGCACCGAACTCGTCGACCGCATCCTCATGGACGCGCTCATGGGCTTCGGCGCGCTCCTCGTCGGCACCGGCACCCTCATGGCCATCTGGGGCGCCAACCACCGCGTCTACCACGCCAGTAACCTCCTCTCCGGATACATCGGCAACGGACTAGCGGCAGCATTCGGCGTCGTGAACTCCATCTGGTCGGGCTATCTCGTCCTTCGCTTCCAACGCCACTACCACGCATGCATGTCCTCCCATTCCACCCCCACCACCACCACCACCCCAAACCCACTCGACATCCACAACGACTACGACCTCGACATCTCCCTCTTCAAAGATCCTCTCCGCCTCCGCTTCCGCGGTCTCCAATGGCACGCCGTCGTCAACGGCATCAACGGCATCGTCGCCGGCGCCGCCAGTCTCGTCACCGCAACCATGTGGTACGGCTACGTAGTTCTCATCCCGTGCATCATCAGCCTCATCGCGTGTAATTGGTTCTGGAGGGTGCGATTGGGGTATGATCGTCCTTTACTTACTTCTCCCATACCACCAACCACCACCACCACCACCACCAACCACCCCTACGAACCAACCGACCCCAACTCCGACCTCGAAGAAACCAACCTCCTCACCGACCTCGCAACAACCACCCACATCCACCGCACCCTCACCTCCCCGTATCCCATCCTCCCCCGCACCATCCTCAACCCTGCCTCCCTCCAATCCACCCTCACCTTCATCACCCGCAACGGCATGTTCGAGAACTTCTGCGTCTGGGTGAATGAGACCCTCCCGGGTGGTGTCGAAGACGTCCTGAATATCCCTCCTACCACAGCCCCCTCCAATCCTCACCCTCACCCTGATCCTCTACCAAATCCAAATACAACTACAAATACAAATACAAATACCCCTCCTCCTCCCTCCCAAACCGAACCCTCAGAACCCGACCCCGAGAAAGACGAACCACCCCAAGAAGAAAACAACATGGTTGTACTAACACCAACCACCTTCCTCACCCACGCAAAACCCGATCCCCTATTAACCACCATGAACGAATACCTCAATCGCTTCGCCAAACGGGCCATCGCGTATCGCGAACGTTGGTTGCTGGAGGTGGTGGGGTGTGCGGTTTATGAGTCTCACCTATCATCGAAGTCATCTTTATCTGGGGATGAGGGGGGGAGGGAGGGTTCGTGATGGATGGTTTGTTTTTTGTTGGATTGGGGATAATTGGGATGGATGGTGGATGGTGGAAGGATGTGCGGGACACAGTGGGAGGGATAGTGTGCTGGGCACAATGATTATGGTATATTAGGATGAGATGGGTGGATGCATGCGAGCGTGCATTAGGGGGTGGGAATGGGTTATATGCTGGCATAGACTACTACTCTGATAGAAGGATATAGTAGTAGATAGATGAGGTGAAGTAATATAGTTAGTTAATATTAATGAAAACATACTATATCCCATATTCATGGATCATCAAATTTACATCACTACTTCGTATGTTCCACTCTCCGGAAGCTCAGTCCGCCGTACGATCACTCCACCATATATACAGGCGCCTTCACCAGTACATTCATCGGTCCTCGTCCTCGCACCTCCGCCGTCACAAACGACGCAAACCGGATCCGTCCCGGGCCCCGTTCGCGCTCTTCCACCACCCGCGGCTCCCCCGTCGGCGCTGACGGGCCTGGCCGTCGTCCCATCAGCGAGCTAAATACCGATCGCATGCGCTGCTCCCGCGGTGGCGGACCTGACTCACCTCCCTCGTCCGTCTCCTCAGTTCCTCCCTCGCCGCGCTCCAGCTCGACGGACCCGCTGGATTCCGCCCGCACATGGGTCAGCGGCGGCAGCCCCGTCTCCACCTTCATCGTCCCCTCCTGGACTACGGTCCCCGGGGGAATGTACTCGACGCACACGTCACGCGACTCTAGTGGGATCTTCTCGGCAATGCCCACCGCGTTCTCCACAATCATCCGCGCGCCGTTGTCCAGCCCCGGCGGCGGAGGCTCGTGCAGGTGCGCCACCAGTGTGGCCACCAGGCTGCTGATCAGCTGGTCAATGAGCTTCGCCCGGTACTCGTCCGCCTGCGGGCCCTGGAGGTTCGTGAGCCCATCCAGCGTTGTACGACGCCAGTTGGAGATCCGTGCGATCTCGTTCTCTTTGTCTTCCTCCGTGCATGTCTTGACCTGCTGCCGGCGCAAATTCATCTCAATGCTCTTGAGCTGGCGGCTGAACGTGGGCTCCAGCGCCGGGTGAAAGTACCGCTCGAACAGCTCCTCCACCAACCACCGGCTCATCACGGCCCGGCCGATCGCCGTCATCTCCTTGGTGCCGGTGGTATGCGCGTCGTCATTGACATACCCATTGAGCCACGACGGCAGGGTCGCCCAATCCTTGCGAACAGCAAAGGCCAGGTCCTTGATGGCCCCGTCCAGGCGACCGAATCGGTTGGCATACTCGTTATCGTCCAACACCGTGCGGGACACTGCCATACGCTGGTGGGCTACAGTATTCTGCAGATGTTGCACCTGCGCTTCCTTTTCAAAGTAGTATCGCTTGACCTTGGAGTATTTGGCCTCTGTTTCGATTAGTCTTCGCCTTCCATGATAGCAGCTCACTTACGAAGTTCGTCATGCTTCTGAACTAATGCCCGCACATCAATCTCGCTCGCTTCCTCGCGAGGCTCACGTCGTCCGTCACGGGAAATCGGCGTGTTCCGCCCTGGCTCCGGAGCAGACGGTCCAGGGTTCCGGAAGCCAGCTTCCGGATAAGGGCCATGCCCCTGGGCCGGAGACTGACCCGCGGGCGCAGATGGACGTTCGGACATGCCACTCGCCACGGTGTCAGGATGAACAGGGAGTGGGCGCAATGGTGATGGAGGCCCGATGGATTGGCGGGAAGAGGGTCGAGCACCGACCGTGGGGTCCAATTGAGGCTGTGTTGGGGCCAGGTCGGCGGGCGGTCGGGACGGCTCCACCGGTGAGGGACGGGGAACCAGGTCGAGCAGACCGCTGTCAGTGTTGGCTCGTTGGATGGAAGGATGCGGTGAACGAGGAGCTCGGGTGTCGAGAGCTGGTCCTGTGCTCGGCGGCATCGGTGATCGGTCTTCAGACCGTGACGGCGGCGGCTGCGGCTGTGGTTGGGGTGGAGGTTGGGTCCGCGGCTGGGGCTGAAACGGAGCGTCTGCTGCACTCCGAGTCGGCGTCTGAGCTTGGGACTGGGGCGGAGGCTGTGCTCCCGGCTGAAGCTGGGGCGGCAGCGGCTGCTGCTGCTGCTGTTGTTGCGGTGGGGGTTGACGGGGCGGCTGAGGAACCTTGGGCCACGGGGCGTCTAATTCATGCTCCCTCGACCAGGCCGTGGTCGGGCGATGTTCCGACGTGGTGTCTATCGACAACGGTCGCTGTTGTTTTGAGTTTGGTCGACCGGTGATCTTCTTCACCGATCGGCTGCGCGGGAGAATGGATTGGTCGCGAGCGTTGGCCGACGAGTGGAGGGAGAATAGACTGCGACGGGACTTGCGAGGTTCGGGCTCCACGGGCTGCAGTGGCTCGTCTGGTAGAGGCCACGACTGATGGGGAGGGTCAGCATCGAGGATGGGTGCAGGGGCGGCTGCAAGTACCGGAGAGTCGTCGCTGTTGTTGCCTCGAGGGCTGCTGGTATGCCGCTGGCTCTTGGAGCGGCGCAGAGGGTAATGAGCAGGATGGTGCGCCTGGGGGAGATTATTGCTGCTGCTATTGTTGTGGTTGAACAGAGGTGTCGCGGTCGGCGTCGAGGTAATGGTGGTATTGGATGGAGGGGCTGTTGGAGTATTGGTGACAGGCACCGGAGGCAGAGGCTCGCGGGAGGTGGAGACGGAGAAACGACGGTCGAGATCGTCCGGGTCGTTGGGGTAGACGCCAGGGGTGGCCGCTGGCAGGTGCTCGACAGATCGGAATGCAGATGCGGCAGCAGACGGCTTGTGCTTGCGGCGGAAGAGGGGCATGGAGATGGTGATGGGAGAGAGGAGGGGAGGGGAGGGGAGGGGGAGGAGAAAAGGGAAAGGAAATGCAGGTGAGAAGTGCGTTGGCGATGGAAGGATGAGATGAGACAAGCCATCAAACATAAAGAAAGGCACGATTGGGTCCGGGCGGCCACCCGCGGGACAGGCGCCTCCCCATTGGCGCTCTGGCTTTCCCCGGCAGGGCTGGTGCTTACGCTTCACTACACTGGCGAGTTGCTACTAAGGACGCCGTCGGTCGCGTTCAGGCAAAGATCAATCCCGCCCCATCCTTCGTGGTTACAGCAGATCCACCATGCAGTCAATGATCATATTCATGTCATGTTTCATGTACAAGATGTCTACCCAGTAGCATCCGATTATCATGTACAAACTCCCCGTCTTCGGCTTCCTCTAGCACACACCGTGAGTCTTGCCATGCTTGCCCTGCAGCGAATGGGTCTCGTTCTTGTAGTGGTGGTGCACATGCTTGGCCTTGTGCGAGTTGGTCGAGTGCTCCTGAACGTGCCTGCTTTCGTCAGTCTCGCTCTCCAAACCGAGTCACCAAAACTTACTTAGTGTACCGCTCCAGCATCGTCTTGTCCATATCGCCCAGCGTCTTCAGCGCCAGCTTGATGTCCGCCAGCAGCGCATCGCATCGGCTCTTGGTGAAGTCCTCGCGCACCACCACCCGCATCAGCTTCAGCGAGTTGCTGTTGGGCGCCATCGTGTACGCCGGCACGATCCATCCGCGCTCACGCAGCTGGTGCGCAATCGCAAACTCATCGAACTGCGTGTCGCGCTCCGCGGGCAGACGGAACGCCACCAACGGCAGTCCCTTACCACGGCGCTGGTTCATGATCACGAAGCCCTGCTTCTCCAGCTCCTCCGCCAGGTAGTCCGCAATGCGCGTGATGTTCAACATGATCGACCGGTAGCCCCGCTTGCCCAGGCGAATCATCTGGTAGTACTGTCCAATGACCTGCGACGCGCCCTTGGAGAAGTTCAGCGTGAAGCTGGCCTGCTCCGCACCCAGGTAGTTGATGTTGAAGATCAGCTCCTTGGGCAGGTACTCGGGCGAGCGCCACACCACCCAGCCGACACCGGGGTAGACCAGACCGTACTTGTGGCCGGACACGTTGATCGACACCACCTTCTCCAGACGGAAGTCCCACTTCAACTCGGGGTTGACGAAAGGAGCGACGAAACCACCACTGGCGGCATCGACGTGGATGGGGCAGTCAATGCCACGCTCGATCAGGAGGTCGTTGATGGCCTTGACGTCCTCATACTCACCAGTGTAGGTGGTACCCAGGATGGCGCAGATACCAATGGTGTTCTCGTCCACCAGGTCCACGGCCTGCTGGGGGTCGATCACGTAGCGATCTTCCGTGCAGAAGACGTAACGCTCCTCCACGTCAAAGTAGCGGGCGGCCTTCTCCCAGCACACCTGGACGGCACTGTTCATGACAATGTTCGGCCGGGAGTAGTCCTTACCCTCCGCCTTGCGCTTGTTCTGCCAACGTCTCTTCATGGCCAAGGTGCCCAGCATGATCGCCTCGGAAGAACCGATGGTGGAAGTGCCCATGGGGTGGTCCTCCTCACTGTCGGTGGGGGCGTTGAACAGACGGGCAATCATGTTCACACAACGGTTCTGGATCTCGGCGGACTGGGGGTATTCCTCGTAGTCGATGAAGTTCTTGCTGAACGACTCGGTCATGAGCTTCTCAACTTCCTCTTCCTACTCGAATTAGCATTGGCAGACGGATGCCATTGGATGGGAAGCATACCATGTAGGTGGTCACGAAACTCGCAAGGCTATCCAACAATTAGCCCACCATCCAGTCTTACGATCGGGAAACCTACTTGAGCATGGGGTTACCATCCAGGCTCAGCTCATCCTTGATCATACGGTAGGCCACCTCGCGAGGCATCTCCCGCTCCGGCATCTCAGTCGAGGGCAGCTGCTCCGTAGCGAAGCGGGTGCCGTAGACGCTGGAGTAAAAGCCATCCTCCTCAGTAGACTCGAGCTTGATCGAGTCAACCCGTTCAAGGGTCTTGTCGATCTCGCTGTCGCGCTTAACCTTGGCAAGATGAACCATTGTGTAGAGTGAGATAGGTGAATTAGAGAATTGAGAGAAAGAAAGATGCGGACAGGAAAAACAACAGAAAAAAGGAGGAGCAGTGAAGTAAATAAAGGGAGGGGGCCACCTCGTCCCACGAGAATCAGCCAGCCCTCCAGGCAATTAGCTCGGTATTGTCCCCCCCTCCTGCCCTGGTCTGCCGCATCATCCGTCAGCTCAGGCAACACACGGGTGGAAGAAACCGCCCACGAGTGGCTGTTGTCCTCAGCCCCAGGGGGCGTGGCGGCCAGTCATGAAGCCCCTTTCCAGCAGCTCAGACATGGCCCTAATTCCTAGAACGCCCATCACGAAGGACGACGGAGGACGAGTGGGTAGACGGGCCCCTCCCCCCTCCTCGTTTGGCTGGGTGGGCGAATCACCACGAGCCAACCAGGAACGAAGCGCTAAAAGCTTTAAGGAAAGCTTGGCCTGGATCGGTCGACAGCCGGTGGAAATTGTCTCAGCCACGATGGGAATGGGGACAAGATGGAGCCTGATTCACCAGCAGGTCCGAAAGAGGGGGAAACGAGGACGAAGGGGAGACGCGAATTCCCTCATCGTGGGGCGGCAAGTGGAGGGGTGACGGAGGGATCGGCCAGGCGAGTGATATCATGGGCTACTAGCCGATCTTGATCCCCTTTCTTGGAATCCGGTTGGAGTCAAGAAGGATAGCCAAGTGGGGGAGAAGAACGTCGAAGGGAATCGTTGTGGTCCTGGAAGGGTACTTGGAAGAGAAGCTATTGATTTAGGATGGACGATGGAGGGGTTCAGCGCCACCGCATCAATACTACAAGTACGGACAGTACTGAGTACAGTGACAGAAGCCGACAGCGTACTGCGTATCAAGGCTAACCCGAAGCGACCCGGAGACGCTCTTCCGATCCCGATCCCTCTGCGGCGGAAATGGCGGTGAATTGCGGGCTCGCAACGATGTGTTGTCCGAACTAGCAGTGATCGAGTTAGATGGCCTCTATACTATCGTTCGACTAGTATCTACGTTGTCAGTTGTCATGTCACCTGTCACTATCGTAGCCACCTGGCCATAGATAACTACAACAGCCAACCCTTGATAGCCTCCGGAAGCCACAAAATAATCAATCGTCGCATTTCCCCTCCATTACCATTAAACCAGTACTTACAGCATCCCATTCTCGGCTAGACATGAACATGAACATGAAACACATGTGCTTACAACATCCCAGTCAGAAAGCCCAGCCCAATCCGTGTGGTATCCCGTCCCGTCCATTCATATCGTACACCCGCCATCCATCGTCATATAGGGGCGTTATCTCTGGTATATTTCTGCCTAGGTTGCGTTGTTTCCCTTGTTTTCCTTTTTTGTTTAGAGGTTTTGCTTTTTTTATATCCGTCGCTCCATGCAACCATTCATATGGGGTATCAGCAATACGGGCTTTTTGGTCGGCATCCACCACCAAAAAGCCAAAAGATCGATCCGGATCGGAAATCCATCCGGTAGCTAAGGGCACAAAACAGGGCAACGCTTAGTTCTTGTCGCCCTTGACCTTGCGCTTGAGCCAGGTCCAGAGTCCGCTCTTGCGCTTCTCCGCCTTGCTGCTCACTTCCGACTTGGTCCTCTCGGGGGCCTTGTTGGCCTCACCCTTGGCAGTATCCTTGGCCTGCTCAACAGTCGACTTGCCCTCGGCGGGTTTCGGGGCAGCTTGAGCGGCCTCGGGTTTGCTCTCTTCGGCAGTCTTAGTAGCAGAGGCACCCTCCGGTTGGGGCGCCGAGGGCTTGGTCTCTGAAGGCTTGGCCTCTTCGGCCTTCTTGACTGCAGCGCCTTCCTCTTTAGGAGCCTCCGAAGCGGCTTGAGTCGCTTGGGGCGCGGCCTCCGGCTTGGTGTCCTTGATCGTGGAAGGAACAACACTTTGGTGCTTTTCCGGCGCTTGTTCCTTCGCCTCCTGGGGCTTGTCTTCCGCTGCCTTCACGGGCTGTTTCGCCTCGGCGGACTCGACAGCGGACTTCTCGGCCGTCTTGTCCGCCGCATCCTTACCCATCGCAGAGGGGTTTGTGATGCTGGTGGGAACGACTGAGACGGGTTCACTGTCTGCGGCTGCGGTCGGGGCCTTGGTGGCCGTCGCTGACTCCGCCTGTGTTACCTCACCGGCCGTCGGCTTGACTTCACCGGTGCTCTCGGCTACAACAGAGGTGGGAGCTCCAGAGGGAGCAATAGCCTCAGCAGTCTCAGGCTTTGCGGAAACCTCCACTGGGGCGACAGCAGTGGTGTCGGCTGCGCTTGTCTCAGCCGCCTGGGCCTCGGTTGCGCTGGATGGAACTTCAACAACCTTTTCGTTGGTGGCATCGGTAGCCTGAGGCGCGGTGCTGGATGTAGCTCCAGCGGCCTTGCTGGCGTCATTGTCCGCCGCAGCAAGCCCTGGGACCTCCAAGTCCTTGGACGCCTCATCCGAAGCACCAGCACCAAGTCCGGGAACAACTTGGGGCTGCACAGTTGTCCCACTGGGAACCTCAACCTTGTCGGCAATCGCATCCTTCTCGATGGCAGTGTCTTGCTCGTCTTCCACCTTGGGCATCTTGTGGGGCTTGTGGTTTTCCTCCTTCGTGAAGAGGCTGCTTTCGTATGGTCGCTTCACGTGGGCGTCGGCGTGGGTCTCCGGGGCGTTGTCTTTAACTGGCAGAGAGGTGGCTGCCACCTCGGTAGGGGAAGGCAATACAGCTGTTGGAAAGCAGGGGTTAGACGTGTCCCTGATACTCAACATGCGCGCTCTTGGGTTCGACTTACTCGTTCCCTCTTCCACCTTCTCGTCCTGGGAGATCGGCGCCTTCTGCGCAGCATCTTCTACGACGCTCTCATCCACCTTGGGGAACGAGGTGCTGACCGCATTCGAGGCTGCCTCGGTGAAATTGATCGGAAGAGCGGCCGAGGGGATCTCAGTGGTAATGTTGGGAACAACAGTCTCGGATGTCGCAGGAGCTGCAGCGACAGTTTCAGGAACATCGGGCTTGGTGACGGTCTCGGGTACAGTCACCCCAGCGCCAGCAACTTCAGCGGCGACGGCGTCACTATCGCTCTTGGTAACTGTTTCAGGAACGATGGTCTCGGGTGCAGTCACCCCAGCATCAGCAGCTTCAGCAGCGACTTCGCTGTCGTCCTTGGTGACAGTTTCAGGAATGACGGCCGTGGGTGCAGACACGCCAGTGTCATCTTCAGCGACGGCTTCAACATTGCTCTCGCTCTTGGAGGCCGTTTCGGGGACGACGGGCTCGGATACTGTAGTCACTGCGGCGCCTGCTTCGGTAGCAACAGTTTCGGGTTCGCCGTCGCTCTTGGTGATGGTTTCCTCGACCTCGTTGGCGGGGGCGCTGTGTGGAGGTACAACGGTCAGTGTGCGAAACACAGATGCGATCAAGGAAGCAACCGCACAATTTCAAATTTCTTGCAATTGAGGGGTGCCACTCACACATTGTTGGGGACATCGGCGGGCTTCTTAGCAGCACCACCACCGCTCTTCTTTCCCTTACTCTTGCTCTTTCCTCCTTTCTTGGGCATTGTGGACGATCAACCTATTCGGCTGCGAAATTGTTAGACCCTGGCGATGACGACAACGACTCGAACCAGCTGCAGAGGGCGAGACTTACGGTCTGTGCGGACGGAATGGGCTCGAATCGTGGATGCGAATCGACGAAGTCGTGCGATTTGGGGAATGGGGATTAAGAAGTCGGGCTGGAGAGGTGGGAAGTTAGGGGCGGGTTGGTCTGGTATGTTGCCCTGTGGCCCTGTGGCCCTTTCCGACTGCCTAATCGATTCGGGGAACGTTAATCCGGCGCAATTCGGGCCACGCGGGATCGCCCAACAGCTTGAAACGCTCTCAACCGCACACGGAGGAGCCAGTCAATGCGCCGTAGACTCGTAGCGTAGAGCCCGGAGGGTCGAGGCTCGAGGAGAAACAATAGTAGGCTGGTACGAGCGGGGGAATCCAAAGCGAGGCAATGGTCACGCCGCGGTCACATGCGGTCAAGGGGAGTCAATTGGAAGGGACACCAGGACCGCGGGTCCAAATATGGATGGGATACTAGCATTGCATGTATTGAGAAGAGCGTCGCGGATGGTCATTTTCGCAGCGATTGCGCTGGGCGACAATTGACTCCCTACACGGCTCGCTCGTCTTCGCAACACTGCTCTCAGCCAGAACTGCTGACCACCCTTAATGTTGTTGCTACTTCGCACCAGACCGCACCCAGCGCTTGCAGCTGCTTGCGGCGTCTACAGGGATGGTAGTTACGAAGCGTCTGCCCTTCATCGAGCAGTGGGAGTCGGCGCACATCCCCCCTGATTCCGGCGACTCGGGACTGTACCTGCAGATGGCTTGTCTTAACAGGCCGCATTAAGTGGACTAATCCTGACGATGGCAGGCGATCCATCCCGCCAAGCGGGGCCTTTGTTTATCCGAGGCCCCTGCCGTACAAGGCAAGGTATCACTTGTCTGCTCCCGACCGGGGCCCAGAGGACAATGTCTTTATGACGGACTGCTGGCTAATGCCGTGTCAACCGTGCAGAATCTCTTCAGCGCTCACAGAAGCTGAAACTGTTAACGAGTTCCCAACGGTATGCCGTATACACAGCTGAGAATCCAACCACGTCCCTTGTGACCGTATCCGATCGGGACGAAGGTCGATTGCATCATGAGGCATGCCGCCGGGGGCTGGATCGGCCAAACCCGGCCAGGAATGTCTGGGAACGATTCCGGTCGACATGCCCGGCGTCTTATCTATCTCGTTCTTCACGGCGCCAAGTCCAGAAACCTACACTTACGCACTTGATTGGGATTATCATTGATGGGGTCTGGCTACTATCACAGTCACGTGGCATAACCATGACACAACCCCAAGCCGTCTGGTATATATTGGGGGGCTCGAGCTAGAACAGCCTAAAACGGACGCGCAAGGTGGCCACGGAGTCTGTATGGCGCACCCCTTGCTGGCGACAGGTGGGCGACTTCGCGGCACTCCGACTGTCGGAACGTATGTATACATGCCCGAAGAAGTTTACCGGGATGATGGAGGGTTGGGGGAGGCAAAACCCGGGGTGCAAACTATCATGACATCATGGATGGAGCCAGGTGGTTACGATGCCACGAAAGTGACGGCCCAACAACGTGCGCCTGTTGCCCTTGCATTTTACAGAACTTAAAAGGTCTTCATGGCGACCTGAATACTGCGTGGCCATGACATCCACTTCTGTAGAGAGCTCGTGTTGCTGATAGGTCCCAAAAAAAACGACGCATCTATCAACTGGTGGCAGCTGAGAGCAGTGGTAAAAATAAAAAAGAATGACCTACGCAGGACTCGAACCTGCAATCTCTTGATCCGTAGTCAAGCGCCTTACCATTGGGCCAGCAGGCCTATTTGATGAAAATTGGTTGTTACAAATGGCAATATAGGCTAAAGGTAACGGTTCCACCGGAACCGCCGTGCCGAGTGGAGGCGACTCCAACTCTTCCGGCGGGGCAGTCGGAAACCATGGCCGTCCCAGAGATATCATTCGCACACACTTATCATTCTCAGTTTCATTCATCATCTCATTAGTCAAACCCATCTTTTCCTACGCGATTCTTACACCAGGACAGGGTGAACGCCTCCCAGTGGCACCGTTCTTTTCCGGCGACTGACGTGGGACAGTCATCTGCCCAGCCGAGTCGACAGCCAAGGATGCCGCCAGGACGAATGATGATGTCGGTCGCAAGGTCGCATCCCGGCGAAAATCCGGTCGCCCAGATGCCCAGAGGGTTCCTTGGAATGGGTTGAGTCGGTGGTGGCACGTAGATCGGACCGCTTGGCCGTGTTCTGGAAGCGTTCGGTGCAGGACCACGACAGCATCCCGCCTTGCTTCGATGGATTGTTTGCCATTGCCACACGATCATGCAGGTTCTGCAGCCTGGATGATAGCAGGGGGCAATTATACCAGTCTGCTGCAGTTACGAGCGTGATCATTGTCGCCGCCAGCCTGCACCGATTGGGGGGCGGTTTAGACGGGAAAAAAGAGGCCAGACCCTTCCCTGTCGCAACCCAAAGGCCGGAAGAGCTTCCTCCCGACCTTTGCTCCGCGGAGGCATCGAGTTAGAGCGGTACAACCATGGTCGAGGCGAACCCGTGGATGGGTGGGAGACAACTACCGTAGTACCTCTTCAAGCGATGCAACCCGACGGTGAACCTCGCCGACGGCCCTGATTGGAAGGAGGGAGCACCGAAGGGGGCAGGAATCAAGGGGTTAGTCAGCCTAGCTGGGGGGAAACCGTCGGGACTCGGCACCGCGACGCCGAGTTTGCAGGTGCCCCGGAATGAATGAGGGATAAAAGTGAAAAATGGAAAATGGAAAATGGAAAATGTCCTGTCAGGCTGCGGGCGGTACTAACTAGTGATGATGATGCTGCGGATGATGAGGAGTGATGACATCCAGCCCTCCCTCAAAAGGCTGCAGGCAGAATGGTTGTCTCTTTCCCTTCATATCTTACACTTTATGATCCCGCATATTCTGACTATTCCCACCCCAACGGACATAAATCAGACACACTCACCTTATCTGCTCGTCTACTTCTTCCAGCCAAGGGCAACGGCTAGTCCGTCTGGTTAATTCACGCACAACCCCCCTCCCCAGGTGGATCCTCCACGTTCGGCGTTGTCTCTCATTCTCGCATCGGATTTGGCCGCAGGCAATCGCGGCTTCTGACTTGCCAACCACTGCCAGTGACCACCACTTCGGCCGTGGGGTCGCCTTGGCCTGTGCAGGGGAAAAGTAAGGTTGAACGAGCCATGATAAGTCACTTCCCGGTAAGTCCATGGCGCCCAGTGCCTTCTGGGTTTGGTGTGCTCCGTGGATGGAGCCCGGCCTGGTGGTATGGGACTAAGTGCCAATCAGATTCCTCCCGGTCTGGACTCGAGTAATTAAAGCCCCATCGCATTGGATCATAGGTATGGACTCTGATTCCGATTACTCCTCCCAGTTAGTCGTGCCTTTCTCCAACCACTAACTGTTGGTCTTAGTCCGAACATACTATCTATTCTTCTAGCCCTTCCTCCTCCTCCCTCTCCTCCCTCTCGTACTTACTTGCTTCACTATCCTCTCCTCTCTTCTTCCCTCCTTCTTTCCCTCCTTCCCTCTACCCCCCTCTCCTCTCTATTTCCCTCCCCCCCACCAGTGTAGCCAAACGATGATACCAGGGGTCTTGTGCCTACACGATTGTCGTCTGTGCTTGCACACCCTCCCTAGCGTCCGCTCCCTCACCGGGAAAGGTATGCAACATTGAGGTGCTGAGTCGACACTGAACGCATACTTCTTCGCTTATCCCACATCGGTCCACTACGCTTCGGTATCATCCCTCTATCTCGCCAATCCTACGCTCCAGTCAAAATGAATTTCCGAGAAAAGGTGCGGAAGGTGTTCCGCCGGTCCAGCAGTGGGTCCTCCAAATCCAAGGGCAATGGCATCAAGATCGAATACTATAAACGCCATGAAATCCCCCGCTCCAAGTTCAAGGGCCCTTTCGATCGAGAACATCAACGCAAACTCGCAGCATGGTCATTCGGCGAGGCTCAAGCAGAGCGGCCGCGTTCGCCCGACCTCTGTCTATCCCCGTGTGCGTCAATACCGGACTATCTGAGAGCTCGTTATGAAGAAGACGACGACCTGGCTCCCGATCAGATCCCGACAGCAGCACCAGAAGTAGACGTGACAGTTGGTATGTGGGATGCCTCTCCTCGTCGGCCCTCTGGGACGTCGTCCAGTCTTGACCTATCGTAAACCATACCATGTGTAACGACCGTCTGACCAATCACCAGCATCCCCTTCGGTTTCCCACGACGAATACGCCTGCGGCCGACAAGGAGACAGTGGTTCGTCATCCTCCACAGCCGTGGAGCCCGAAAGCTACAGCGAATCGATGATGACGCTCTATGCCGAAGTCGACCGGCTGGACTCGATCGCCCAGCTGAAGGAAACCATCCGCTACACCTCCCCGGCGTTGCGAGCCATTTCGCCGCCCCCCTTATCGCCCAAGGGGTGTTGCATGCCGTTCTCACCGGAAGACTTGACACGGGCGTTGAACGCCGTGCAGATCTGCTCATAGTACTTTTTAATTCGCTTCCGACTTCCGGCAAGATCTTCGCTTCTTCCCATCACGTGACACCGCCTAAATAGGCTACCGACCCTATCGACGGCCGTCCTTTTTGACTCCTCCGTTCTACCCTAATCCTTCACCCACTATGCGACACAGGTGTGAGCATCTTCCCTTCTTCGACCCCCCCTCGGTGGGTCGTCGAGGGCGACCTTGAATACCCGGCTGTGTTCGAGGCAGCCGTTTTCCCCTCCAGTGACGCAGTCCACGTATGCAAGCCGGCGTGAGGGGCGTCTCGATTATTGCATATTCTGGACCGTGTCTGCCCTTCCACGCATGAGACGAGCGATGTTCGAAAAGCGTCTGTTTTATGCTTTTTGCTTCGTGCATTGCGTTTGAGCGTATACCCATCCAAGCTGCACGTCGTGTGCTGGTGCCTAGTGGGTGCCTACTACTAGCACCGAGGATAATCGCCGGCCACGTACTCCATTGTAATTACTATCTAGAGTAAGGTAGCACCTTCAATGAAATAATCAATATACTGTGTGATTTCTGTAGCATGTGGCCAGCTGAGCCCACTTTAGCATCCAGCCTGACATCCGCCACCACAGCATCACACTGCACTGACCCCATTAATCCAAGCCACTATCGATAACACAGCCCCGGAAAATCAATCTATCTACACCATACATACGGAGGAGAATCCGGTCCTACGGAGTACACGACAGATACACAAAATAGTATGACGTACCACTTACTACTCCGTACTCCCTCCGGAGTTGAGTCACCGCCAAGAATCCAGACCGACACGCCTCCTTTCCCCCTCCCATCCGGGCCAGTTTGATCGGCAATACCATACCCATTAGCCGGATGAACTAGGCTTAATAGCTTACTTGCATCATAGGTATTTTCGTTTCTTGTTTTGGTTTGGTTTCTTTGTTTGGACTTGGGTTTCTAGTTTTGACTCGGACGGAGTACGGATTACGGGGGAAGTAGAAGGACCGTCCGTAGTGCGTACTTTACCTTAGGTAGGGCTTGGTGGGTTTGGTTTGGTGGATAAGGTGAGGCGGAAGTTTATTCTGTTGTTTGTGTTTAGAATTTAGATAGGTGGTGTGTGGGTGGGTGGATGAGCGGTGGTTGGTGCATGGGAACGGAGCTGGAGCAGTAGTGGAAGCTTGTACGATGTATGGGTGTGGGTGGGTGTGTGCTTAGTGTTTGGGGGTATTTTTATTGGTTTATTTGGATTTTATTGGGTGGTGTGCATATGTAGAATGGGATTTAGGACTCGGTTTGTGTATGTGTGTGTGAGTTGAGCTGAGTTGTATATATTATGGTTTGGTGGGTCATCAAATGCAATATAGGTATGTGGCATTTCATATGGGTTCCTTAGCCTTGATCACGTAGTACGATGATGCTCATTCTCTCCTCTTACATTCCGTAAAGGCTATTTGTATGTGATTGGGATTTCTCGTATTATCATTGCTTATCTTTCAGCTGGGGTTGGGTTACATGCTTGCTGACGAAGTAAAATCTTATTGACTAGTTGATCATCATTATTGACTATTGATGATGTTCAGCTGATGCAAGATCGTATATGCTTATTTTGAGAGATATATGCAGGTGTTGGATATATTTTGAATGGATTCAGCTACGGTGGGAATCCCGTCTCGTATAGTGGTGTTCCTGGTTGTGTTCCTGTTGTGTGTAACAGAAATGGTGCATAGTGGTTAGTGAATCACCAGAATGTATTGGTTCATATCTATGGTATCCTTCCTAGTCATCAATCATATCAGGCTGTACATGCATCCGGCCGTCAGATCCCGGAAAGTAAGGCTCGCTTACTCCTCATGGGTCACCGTCATATCCAGAACTTCCACACGGCCTCGGCCGCGTGTCTCGTTGCCCACGAATTCATTCAGACCCTTGAAAGCCCCGGGCTCTGCGAAGCCAATGATCTCCCATTCGTCTCCACCGACCACTTCCTGAGCCTCAATCGATTCGATGTAACTCAAGATCTTGTCCTTGACATTGCTCGGGCCCTTGGCTGGCCCGGCCTCTGCATCAGATTCACCAGCCTCATCGTCCGATTCCTGCTGACGTGACTTCTTAGATCCCTTTCCGCCCTTCTTGTTCGACTTGGCGCCTCCCTTTGACGGCGCCTCCTTCTCTTTCCCACCAGCACCAGCACCCCCAGCCGCAGCACCCTTGACACTCTGTTTCAGGAGCGACACAGGACAAGTAACACGAAGACGCATCCGCGCCCGCATCACAGGAATAGGCTGCCAGGCAATAAGCGCCTTCATCGCATCCAGCGCCTGACTCTTCGCCGACTTATTAGCAGTGACTCCCGTCCACAGCGGTTTCCGAGGCTGAGCCGGGTCGGTCTCTCCCCCATTCGTCTCTCCATTAGCCGGTTGACCCTGCGATTGCTGTTGTCCACTAGCCGAGCTCAACTGGTCCAACGCCTTCGAGATCATTCCCGGAGTGTAGACCCGCTTTGTCGTAGGGTCGACGAGCCGTCCTGACACAATATCCAAGACCTCCTTCTCCACCCGCTCGATAATTTCCTTCCGCTCGCGTTCGCCAACTTGCACTTCGCCCTTTCGTAGAATCTCTTGACGGATCTCATCGGCGGGGGTGTCGGCGCCGAAGGCCTTCGTTAATTCGGCCGAAGGGGCGGTTTGGGCTTTCGAAACGGACAGGAAGATCGTGGGGACTTGGAGGACATTGTCGAGGTCTTTCTCGGCGCCGGAACGGTATTCCAGGAGTTTGTTCTTGTAGCAGGCTAGTTCGAAGCGCTTTTTGCCTGTTCGAGGGAGAGGTTAGTGGGGTTGCGGGGTGGGTTGGGACTTTCATGGGCTCTTTTCAGGATGGGTTTGACATCGCGTATGATCGCACCCAGTTTGGATGAGATTTGTCATAGCATGATGATCGCAAGAAGGATGTGATCTGTAAATAAGACGTACCCTTTTTTAGCCTGACGACTGATACATTGGTGAACTTGATCTGATTTGAGGGTTGATTGATAGGCATCTTGGTGGAGGCTTCTGAGGAGCCGTGAGCCTTCTAAATTATTAAATTCAGTCAAAAAGGAAAAAAAGTCGCTATCTTGTAGTTGCGACAGCAGAGGCTTATGAATGCGCTGAAAAAATCGCTGTTGACAACTTCTTCCAAGCCAGTCACAACAGGCTTTGATTGGAGGAGAGGGCGATGACGCTGGTCCCGTGCCATGCGCTGACTCAGCTGCATGACTCAGCGCGTGACTTCTGCGGCCGGAAGGCACCGGCTTCTGATTGGCCGCCTTCCTTCCTGCTATCAAGGCGTCATCTGCAGCCCAGCGAGTAGACCTCCTCTCTCTCCTCTCCTCTTCTTCTCTCCATCCTCTTCTGGGTTTCCATTGATCACCCGGTAGCTGGTATTCACTCGGATACCTGTTCACTTGGTATTCACGTCTCTGCTCCGTGAGTTTCCTCTATATCTCCCCCGTCGCTCCCTTGATAACATGTGCTGATAAGCTCCCTGTCTGGGTACTCCATCATCCAGACCGCAAGGTCCCCATCGTCTGCCTACACCTTCCATCACCCTTTCGACTTCAGAGCTACCCAAAGGGTATATAACATACAATGAGAGTTCTTCCAGCTGCTTTGCTGGTTGGAGCGGCCACTGCGGCCGTTCCCCCCTTCCAGCAAGTCCTGGGGGGTGGTGCCAAGCAGGCTGCCGATCACAGTGCCGACCATGGTTACGACAGCTTCTCCAAGCCGCTTCACGCGTTTCAGGAGGAGCTGAAGACCCTCTCTGATGAGGCCCGTAAGCTGTGGGATGAGGTTGCCAACTTCTTCCCGGAGAGTCTGGATCAGAACCCCGTCTTCTCTCTCCCGAAGAAGCACAACCGCCGTCCTGACTCTCACTGGGACCACATCGTCCGTGGCTCCGACGTTCAGGACGTCTGGGTCACTGGAAGTAGCGGTGAGAAGGAGCGGGAGATCGACGGAAAGCTGGAGGCCTATGATCTCAGAGTCAAGAAGGCCAATCCTAGCTCTCTCGGCATTGACCCCGGCGTCAAGCAGTACACTGGTTATCTCGACGATAACGAGAACGACAAGCACCTGTTTTACTGTAAGTTATTGCTTCACTAGAGATTCATCTCAGACTGCGGATTCTAATCCGGCACAGGGTTCTTCGAATCGCGTAATGACCCTAAGAATGACCCCGTTGTTTTGTGGCTCAACGGTGGCCCCGGGTGCTCTTCCCTCACCGGTCTGTTCATGGAGCTCGGCCCTAGCAGCATTGATAAGAAGCTCAAGCCGATCTACAATGATTACGCTTGGAACTCCAACGCCTCCGTGATCTTCCTTGATCAGCCCGTCAATGTTGGTTACTCCTACAGTAACTCCGCTGTCAGCGACACGGTCGCTGCTGGCAAGGACGTCTACGCCCTGCTTACCCTCTTCTTCAAACAATTCCCCGAGTATGCGACTCAGGACTTCCACATCGCCGGTGAATCTTATGCCGGCCACTACATTCCCGTTTTTGCTTCGGAGATCCTGTCTCACAAGAAGCGCAACATCAACCTCCAGTCTGTTCTGATCGGTAACGGTCTCACCGACGGTTACACTCAGTACGAATACTACCGCCCCATGGCCTGTGGTGACGGTGGCTACCCTGCTGTCTTGGACGAGGCTTCCTGCCAGGCCATGGACAATGCCCTGCCTCGTTGCCGTTCTATGATCGAGTCCTGCTACAAGTCCGAGAGCGCTTGGGTCTGTGTCCCTGCCTCGATCTACTGTAACAACGCCCTCCTCGCCCCCTACCAGCGCACCGGCCAGAACGTCTACGATGTTCGTGGCAAGTGTGAGGATAGCTCTAACCTCTGCTACTCGGCTATGGGCTACGTCAGCGACTACCTGAACCAGCCTGAGGTCATCGAGGCTGTTGGCGCTGAGGTCGACGGTTACGACTCGTGCAACTTTGATATCAACCGCAACTTCCTCTTCCACGGTGACTGGATGAAGCCCTACCACCGCCTCGTCCCCGGTCTCCTGGAGCAGATCCCTGTCTTGATCTATGCCGGCGATGCCGATTTCATCTGCAACTGGCTGGGCAACAAGGCCTGGACTGAAGCTCTGGAATGGCCCGGCCAGACCGAATATGCCGCTCTTGAGCTGGAGGACCTGACCGTGATTGACAACGAGTCCAAGGGTAAGAAGATCGGCCAGGTCAAGTCGTATGGCAACTTCACCTTCATGCGTCTCTATGGCGGTGGCCACATGGTCCCCATGGACCAGCCCGAGGCCAGTCTCGAGTTCTTCAACCGCTGGTTGGGAGGTGAATGGTTCTAGAGCAGATTTGCCACCAGCGATTAGACTGCGTGCTCCTTGCGTGACTGCATATGTTTCTAACGATAGTTGAGGATGCTTCCAATGCCCACTAGTTCCAGTTATGTTGCATGAAATATATGGTACTGTCACTAGTGTTATGCAATATTGTACTTCGTATAAGAATGAATTGATCTACCTACCAACATGCACATTCGTAGTTCGAAGACTAATGTTAGTCTACAGTATCTGAATACCTACTAGGCATGCAAACGACCACTACCCAGACTAGAGTGAGCCTATCCATGACCCACTGACTGGCGTCCGTGGATGGAATCAAGATGAGGGAGGTGATTCAGTATTCATTCATATTGGTATGATTCTTTTCATTTCGGACTCGGCATGTTCTATGATTCCGGTCCCAGGAAGATTCGTTAAAACACACCAACATACAAAAGGAATCCTCCTTCCCACGATCCACTCCAGCAAGTACGAAGAAACAAACGCAGATATGACCCCGATGATGTTTTTAGTTCTTCTTCTTGCTGACACCGACGGTGCGTCCACGACGACCGGTGGTCTTGGTGTGCTGACCGCGGACACGGAGACCCCAGTAGTGACGGAGACCACGGTGGGAGCGGATCTTCTTGAGGCGCTCAAGGTCCTCACGGATCTTGCTGTCGAGGGAGTTGGACACAACCTGGAAGTCCTTGCCATCGGTGATGTCGCGCTGTCTGTTCAGGAACCAGGTGGGGATCTTGTACTGGGTGGGGTTCTGGAGGATGGTGACAATGCGCTCGAGCTCTTCGGTGGTGAGTTCACCGGCGCTGTATAGTAATCACGTTAACTGCTGTTCTGTATTCCTCATGGCGTCTTCCTCATCCTCCTTCTTTTGTCGGAATCTCGTATCATCATCGTAGGAATCGTCAAACGTACCGCTTGCTGAGGTCAACATCGGCCTTCTTGCAGACCAAGTTGGAGTAACGGCGACCAACACCCTTGATCTGGGTCAAGGCGTACATGATCTTCTGCTTACCGTCAACATTGGTGTTGAGCAGACGCAGGATGTACTGGAAGTTCGTCTTCTCGCCGGACACGAGCGCTAAAAAATCGAAAAGAATCCGCAGTCAGCCATTTTGTTCCTTATCGAGTTGTTGTGTAGCAAAAATTATCACTGCATCCGATTCCGCCGCTGCCGTGTTTCTCCTTCGATGATTTTTGAAACCTCCCAGCGATCATTTCATTTCATATTTTTTCCATCGGGCAAAAACGAACAGCGACGAAATGCAAATGCAGTTCTGGATTCCGATTCAGGGTTTCATTCACGTACACATGATGGGCGATGGCGCGAGGGACCGCGATTGATTGTCGACAGCGAGAGGGATGAGGAAGGAGGTGAAATCGAGGCGCTTGCGAGTGCTTCTTCCAACTTTGCTCTCAGCCCGTTGTGGGATCGGGTAAGCTGGCGCCTAGCCTGTTTGGGCATGGTGCGCTTAAGGGCTCGCTTGTGAGGGGCGCTAGCCCGGAAAGGGGTATATTGTCACTTGATCGTAATCTACACGTGATAGAGAGTTTTGGTACGGTATCTTGGGTATCTTATCTTACGCCGGAGCCTTCCCTCTTACATACTTCGGGTCTTTTGGTGTTTGGCAGATGACTTTGCATCTATCCTTGTAGGATAATGCCTACATTATTTCTTAGTTGATACTATGATTTGCGACAGTCTTGGAGTTACAATAAAACGAGGTCCAGCCATTAAACGAATTTATTCAATGCCCCTCTAGGCATGAGCGAAGCACTGACTGCCCAGAAACTACATGGTTTCTAACACGATCACTGATATCTTCTCTGAGAGCCATGACCTGGATGTTCCTGTTGATGCCGATACACTCTTTCATATTGTAATGAAGCATTCTCAGCGAGGATCTTTGAGGAGCCATGTTCCATTAGTTGACAGCTCCATGATACTCGTCCGGTCTGCAGCCGCGAACAGTGCAGCATGCCTTTCTTTCGGAAGCTTCAGATATTGGCTTTTCGATATATCATGCAGATCGGAAAATGCCATATAACATCAATGCTGGTGTTCATGATCATTCTCTTGGCAAAAGCTTATTAAACTTTAATGAAGCATATAGATGATGTTCGTATATTCGAAACTGACTTTGATGAGTGATGGATACAGATAATGGAAGGAGCAGGCTCAGGGACCCGCCAGATAACAATGGACAACACATGGCTAGATCGTCAGATACCTTGGAGTATTCCTACAGCATATACACATTTTTCCAAAGCCAAAGCATTATATACTCCTTCGTCATCCTCTTTATTCATCCAACATCACTCAACATCGCTCAGCATCACCCTGACAATAGTTCAACCCACGAGCACTCAACGCCCCTCATCCTACACATCACAGCTTCAACATGCCAAAGACTGTGCTTAAATATATCCACCCCCTATGTGGATTTCCACTATATGATGCCAATAGACTACAAGAGCCTCCTAGTGGGGCCAACATCTGTGGGATGACGAAGAAAGACCTCGTGGTAAAGTTGAACAAAACGCGTGTTCCTTACATGGACTTACTGGAATTTCATGCCTGGGGATACATTCAGGGGGCCTACCGGTATCGCAGAGATATGCGCAAGGCTGATAAGATCGCGGCGTTGATCAAAATTCTCTACAATCAAGATGATAAACACCGACCTCGCTCCCTGGAGGAACTGTATGATGTTAGCAGGGACACAGGGCCTAGACTGTTGAAACCTGCTGTCGCCACTGAAGATCTCCTTCCTATCAGTCGTTATTATCCGTCGCCCCCCGCGCCAAATACACAGGTGAAGCCCGGCTTCGTCAGACCAATCGATGCTCCCGATTTCATTTCGGACGTTTTCTTGGAGAGAATGGCTGAAAAGAGTGTTGTGGAACCCGAACTGGAAAATCAACCAAGCGACAAAGAGACTGTTGGCCATGGTGATGAGGAGCAGCAAGCAGAAGCTTCTCGCCATCTTGAGGATACGCAACCAGAAGAACAGATTTCCCTTTCGGAGCAGGGTGTTATGTATGAGCAGCTTGAGAAGCAATTCATTGACTATGACCCTCAAGTCCCTGCCTTTGAGGACCTCCCGGCTGAGAATCAAGCGTCCGCCGGACCAAGCATCGAACACCCGATGGAGCGTTCTACAATGACCCAGGGACAGAGCAGAGTTGCCGCTGGGAAACAGAGGGTGGCAGATGTTGCGCATATCTCCGAAGACTGGGATATGGAAGAAGAAATTCAAGATGCGACTCAAGGTCCGACTCAAGGTGCAACTCGAGGTGCGAGACGAAGTGCAAGCCAGGGTGCAAGCCAGGAGGCAAGTCAAGAGGCAAGTCAAGATGAACTCCATATCAATATTAGAGTACCGGCGATTGATAGAGAAGCACACCTGCCACTTGTTGAGGCGATAGAGCGTGTTGTCATGAATTTCGCTTATTCTGGACTTGAACGTGATCCAACTGCTGCCTCTCTAGAAGCAGCACGGCCTTATGTTACCGCCACAGAAGGGAAATGCTTGACAAGTGCCATCTTTGGCTCATTCCCAGCAACATCTCAGGTGCAGCTTGCCCCCAACCCCTGGGCGAGTAACAGTCTGCACTTCGATAAGAATGGCCATGTTTACCCTTACCGAGGCCGTGGACCCGTGTGGAGCAACTGTTCAAGTGCTGTCGACTGTGCTATCGTGGCAGGTCGACTGCTGGACGCTGGGTCCACAAAGGTCGACCGCGATTGGCAGGGCTGGCAGGACACATTTACCCCTGTCGAGCGAGCCTTCATCGAGGCGACAGATTTGAACTGGGATGTGTGTCCTTTGGAGAAGAGCATCGAACTGAGAGACCGCTTCCTGCAGCTCGTACAACCTGACAATGCCCCAAGAGAGGATATCCAAGCTCTACGAGATATCTGGCACAGGTCTACGCACAATTTCGACCAATTTCGCCCCGATTTCATAGAGATTATGGATCCCTGTCAGTGCAGTGCTCCTATAGGCAGCAATACATCTAGTGGACATACCTCTATAGGATCATCTGAGCTGGAAAGCAGTTATGACGGCCTCGACCTGCAGGATGCGCTTTCTCGGTTGTTAGCCATCTCCAGCAAGGTACCTTGTAAAAGGTGTGGCAACGAGTCCGTGAATTGCAGGAAAAGATATAGGAAGCTACCATTGCGTCTCGCAGTAGAGCCTGGCCCTAATATGATTATCCAATCACATTGCCAAGATCTTACTCTTGCGTATCCCGATGAACATGGAAGAGAGCAAATCGCCTCATACCGCTGGTTAGGAGGGATCTACTCCCACAAGAACCACATGCGCCTCTACTGGAACGATGTCAATCGCGGGGAGCATGACAACACAGGAATGCTCCGTATGTATGATAGTACCGAGAACCTCGGAGTCATCGTTGGTGGTATAGCCCCAGCCAGCCGGGCGGACCGAGTACCCGAGGAATACTGGCGAGGCAAGGAGATACCGCTGCTCTTCTACGAACGGATCATGAATCCCAACATGGAGGACCTCCATGTGGCCTTGAGCGCAGTAAACAACATGCTTCAAGTCAGTGAACAGGGGAAGCTCATCCTTCAGCAGAACCCAGGATGGGCCCTGTCGGGAGACCTGGGGGGCCAGGACGTGTATCCATGGAAACCATTTCTCCCTCCACTTGCGAGACGCTTCAACGCAATGTTGACCCCGGCGACTCCACAAGTAGTATCCCAAGTCCTCAATACTCTCGTGGCCGGAGTTGATGTGCAACCGACTGGCATGCTGGCTCGTTCCAGCGACTCAGGTAGAGTGCCGGCGCAACCAGGACCTGCATACTATCCAAGCTCCCTACTCCCTCCACCTGTGGCATCTTTTCCCGCCTCAAGCACGACCCCGGGCACCGCGGATGCAACGATGACCTCTCCACCCGATATGGCGAATTCCGCATGGAGATTGGCAGGCTGTCCGCTACCCAAGCTAGCTTCCCGCCCTCCGCCTCCATATCCAATTCCTCCTATGAGAGCTTTACCGAATTATCCACCTTTAGGATCCCAGCCCTTCCCTGCTCGCCCTCTCGCCCCTAGCCTTCACCCTTTGCGTGGTTCCAGGGTTGGTGATTCACGCCACAGGCCCCATCTCGGCCAACATCATACAATGACGGGTATGCAACAGGTGGGCCTAGGTCTATCGACGGAAGGAGCGAGCATGAGCGACAACCCGGACAATGCAAATGCTTTCAATGCCAACGCTCCTTATTCCCACCGCAGGTACGGTAGCTACCACAGCCATCGTGGAGACCCTAGCGGGTGACATTGCGTGGAACCTACACACCGAGACCAACTAGAGGCTGATGGGATACCCTCGTCCAGGTACAGAGAAAAACGGTCTATTGCTAAAATTACCTTAAGGTCTAGAATGAGCGCCTGTGATGTAGCTGTGCGTGCGTGCGTGCTTTCTTTCGAATGAATGATAATATTATGAATGTAAATTTGTTAGTTCGTAGTTGACGAGTGCATGTCTGTAGAAATAGTCTGCTGTTGATACTGAGTAAAGTGGATCCGAATCTGGGGTAACGGAAATCAGTTTGGCTGCCAGACCTTCCACAATTGCACTGCTTCAACAATACGGGGTATGCTCGAACCCTACGGAGTACTCCGTACTAAAGACAAAACTCACTAGCAAGGATGTGCTTGAGCAATGACTGGACTGGCTGTTGAACGCGTCGCCAGCATGCGGGCTGGGCCAATGACGGCCGGGACAAAGTCAGCGCATGGACTTCCCCGCATTCGATCCCCGGCCCTTTTCTCGACCCTTGTGCCCCTTCTTTCACTCCCTCTATTCTACTTTCTACGATCTGACTTCTTTCAAATCATCATAAAACATCCGTTGAGATCTATTAATCTGGCAATATACATGCTGCTCTCTCTATCCAATCTCTCTAGAACCCTTCTATGGTATATCGAATCATGATCCTCCCAAACAAACAGAAATCTACAGCCGGGCCCGCGGGGCCTTGGGCTTCCTCGGGGGTCCAGTGGGCGTGTTGCTCTTCTTGGGAGCAGAGATGTATCCTCCCTTGACGTTGTCGGTGTTGAGAATAGCATCGTTCTCATCCCGTCGGATACCCAGCTCAACTAACTTTGCAAACGCCTTGGCAAAGTGATCAAAGAACAAGTCCTTGTCCTCTGCATACCGCTCCACCCACTGTCGGAATGATGGGTCCGTCTTGAGGGCCACATCGGTGGGCAGCATCATCAACAACTCGTCTCCCTCCTCCGCGTCCGGATCCTCATACACAAACTGGCTCATCCCGTTCGCCAATTTCCGGGGCGTCCACTTCAGCTGCAACAATAACTTGAAGAACTGGTTGGAGAATCGCGTCGGGTTGTTCACCCAGGGTCCCTCGAAGCCACTGCGGTCGGTGTGACACCGACCCAGGTTGTGTCCTCCTGCCAACGCCACGATCTCCTGGTCGTTGAAGCCCATCCGGTTGAAGATAAAACGGAGGTGATCTGCACCTTGTGCACCGTCAGGAAGACGGCCACGAGGCGGGACCTTGGAGTCATCGACCAGGTCGGTCCGACCGGGCTTCCACTCAACCTCGGGCCCGCCCAGCTCCTTGATCGCCACGACACCTGCTAACGTCCACAGATCGGAGTATGTGATCCACGGGTGCTTCTCCTTGACTGGCTCTAGAAATGCTCGACCGTATTGCAGACCTGCGTTGGACGGATCGCCACCCTCTGCTTCATATCGCATGCCCGCGCCGTTGCTGCCGCCCGTGTCGGTTTCGGCGTCGTAGGTACCGGCGGAGTGCCTAAGGGGTTAGTGGCAATGACACAGAAACGATTCAACAAACTCACCATGCCAGACGGACAAACACTGGACCGGCGCTTCCATCGTCGTAATCGGGTTTCTTCAGTTGTGCGACAATGTCCTTGCGGACGGCGGCATAATCGCCTGGGCTGCTCATCTCGGCCGATAGATCGTTGTCTGGGGTAGCGCCGGTGGGTCGGATACAAGAAGACTTCGCGCGCTGGAAGTGTTGAGCGATACAAGAGAGCGACAATTGACGATCAAAAGAGGGATTGAGGGATTATTCACGGAGATATGGAAGAGGACGGAGTAAAGTGGCTTAGGGATGCTTTTGTTGGCACATGAAGGGATGGCGACCAGTGGATCCGCGGCCCGAATAATTGATCGAGGCAAAAGCCGAGGTTCATCGCCAGGGCGGCGACCGGCCCCGTCTTTGGGAACATCTCTGCCATTCAGATTGCCCGCAGACCAATGCTTATCGGTCTTGCTGATTGGACGGGTTCCTTGGTTCGCTGACCCATCTTCATATGAAGAGGCGACATCTGCTGAATCGTCGCGATCATGTGGTGGGCTGCAGCATTCGCAGTGGAATAATGATGACTGGGTTATTTACGCGTGCTTCTTGCTCTGTCTGGGCTCATTTCAGGCTGGCCAATAGCGGCTAGCCTCGGATTTGGGTTCCCGTCTGCCAGACAACGGCGTACGGCCGGGTGAAGTCGCAATGCGAAGCAGCAACATGTGTGGTACGGTTCCTACGTGCAACTTTGCAAATATGGCAGAAAGCCATTCAAATGGTGGCCAGCTGGAGCCAGTCAAAGTATATTAAATATTCTTCCAGTATTAGTGGCTCCGTGACTATGTCTGATGAGCCCGATGATCTATGCTCTATTCTATGCACTCTATCCCATACAGGATGATCATTCGGAGACCTTTTCAATCTGATCATCTTTCTGGCCCGACCTTGGTCTACTCTTGATGAGGTAGAGCAAACTGGTTGCAACTCCGAGCCCGCCAAGTCCGATACCCAGATACAGAGCTGAGCGATAACCTTTGAGCGTGTCATGGAACGTTGTGCCACCATTGTTCACATGCACCTCGACCGTTCCTGCGAACCCAAGGCCCAAGGAGATACTATAGTTCACAACCGTCGTGACCAGCGACGCAGCCACACCTTGGTGGCGACGCCCCACTGCATTCGACAAAACGACCGTGGCAGCAGGGAATGACATGTCCATTCCCCATGGAGTGACCACGAGCGACACGAACGTCAACGCCCAGTATGTCTGATGAACTGGAGCGATGGCCGCGAAGAGATTGCCCAGAGTGAAGGCCATCATGGCGATGAACATGATCCAACCCGGGCGCAACTTCGCCATGAGAATTCCGGTCGTGAAGGAGGCCGTCAGTCCCGACAAGGTGGGCGGGACGAACTGCGCCGATGCCAGCAATGGCGTTATTCCCCGGATATTCTCCAGGAACCGCCAGAGGTAGTAGACCCAGATGCCGAAGCTGGCCCAGCCAAACGCAATACAGCCCAGGATGAAGCAGACATCGAGATCCAGCGCTTGGAATGGGATGAGCGGCTCGGACGCGTACTTGATCTCCCAGACGAAGAACAAGGCCAGGATGATTGCGCCGATGATCAGCAGCACGTACACATACACCTCCTGCCATCCTACCACGGGGCCTTGATTCCATGCGATATTGATCAAGACCAGACCGGTCACTCCCAGGGTTGCTCCAATGACGTCCAACTCGAACACCAGCTCCTTCAGCGACATGCCTTTTGCCACTGACATCGAAGACGGGATCGCCAGGGCCGACATGACCGCCAACACGGCACAATAAATCGCCATCGACCAGAACGTCCACGGCCACCAGGCGAGCTGCGAGAACAGCGAGGCAATCACCGCTCCAGCGACGGCCCCGTTCGGCGCGGTAGCCCCGAACAGCGAAAAGACCATGTACTTCTTCTTACCCGGTCGGTAGGTGGCACCCAGCAGCGCCAGACCATTGGGAAGTAGCATCGCAGGTCCCAATCCCTGTAGCGTGCGCGCAAAGACGAACAGGATGTAGTTGGAATAGACACTCAACCCTGCAACCAAGGACCAAATGGCGAACCAGACCCAGCCGATGATATAGAGAGTGCGGTACCCGAAGATGTCACCGCAGCGACCGAAGAAAAGAATGAAAGTTCCGACAGTCAGGGAGTAGCCTGCGATCAGCCAGCTGGAGAGACCGGGATTGGTGATGTTGAAGCTGTCGCTGATGATCTCAAGTGGGGCGAGGGTGTTTCCGAGAGCAGCCTGGGTCATGAACTGCGACATGCAGACGACAAAGACGAAGACGATCTCATGGAGGGGCGAGAAGGTTTGGACGGCAGAGCGAATAGATTCCGAGCGCGTGAGAGTGCGCTCGACATCTATGTCGTCGGCCAATTTTGGTGTATCGGTCATGGTGATCCAGCTGTCGCCTCCGGCTACGAGAGATGAAGAGGGAGAGTGGCGCCGCGGCGACCAGGCATGAAGAGTCGATCCCGGCTGAAAGTGACACGGGTATTGGTTCCCGATGAGTTTGTTTGGCTTTAAGTTTTTTTTCCCCTTCACTTTTTCCTTCACTTTTTTTTTTACCTCTTAAGATCTGGGCTTCATTGCTTTGTCAAGCTGATGTCACCCTAAGGTGGGAAAAAAAAAGATTAACAAGTGGGAAAAGTGGAAATGAGTGGAGACGACCGGCTGCTTCTGATTTCTTCTACTGCCGTTTCCCCTGGCTCAGTGGCTCAATCGTGCCTTTTATCTTGTCTCGGTGAACTTGGGACCACTATCTGGGTGGGGATTGATTCCTAGCTGATTAGCTGTTCTGGGTTAATGTGCTGCAGTATAGCTAGTTACAGTGCAGCTACTATTTCTTGACAAATGCTTACCATGCATGATCATGCATGATTAATGCAATCTAGCCCTGACGAATAACTTTGTTCTTTAATCTTTTACTCCGTAGATTCACCGCACTCGGCGCCACTAGATAGACATCCTAGCAACAATTTTCCCATTTGATTCAGCACGGCATCGCCACCGCGTTGATCTCATCATTCCGCCCAGGAACTTCCAACTCCGGCCATCTCGCCCCATCAAGACTCAGCTCCCAAGTCTTCCTCTTTCAGTTTCCCCGCTCCCACACCAACCAACGATTCTCCTTCCTCAAACCCTCAATCGTCTTCTTCGCCTTTCCCAGCTCCTCTTCCAACCTCTTCACCTCCCCTTCCACCTCCACCTCCCCCTCCATCTTCATCTTCATCTTCATCTTCACCTCCCGCTCCCTCACCTCCAACCCCCGTTCCCACTCCCCCAACCCCAACCTCAACGCCAACACCCGCACCACCACCATCACTTTCTCCCCCGCCGTGACATCCCCGAAATCAAGTTCCCCAGCTTCCGTCCGCTTCGAGATCAGAGACAATGCCGTGACGAGTTCTCGGACGATGAGGGTTCTTCGTTCGAGCGGCTCTTCGGGGAAGATGGTGAAGTAGTGCGCTAACTTGGTGAATGTTTCGTTGAGGGTTTCGGTGGGATTGAGGGATTTGAGGAGGGGTTCGTTTCCTTGGAATGGGTCTGGGGTTGGGTTTGTGCTGTTCGCCTTTGAGGGGGAATTGACAGAAGGAAATTCGTCCGCAGCCTCAAATGTCATGCCATGATGATTTCCCCCCCGAAACCGAAACGGACGGTCCGGTCGAGGAGGAAGGCCGGGTCCTGCCCCGGGCCAGTTTCCGCCTTGGTTAGGAATGGAGCTGGCTATGTTAGGCGGAGTCCCGAAGAAGGGATGGTAAGTGAAGTTCGTGCTGGCCGTTCGGGGATGAGGACTCGGACTGAAGATTTGTGTTGGGTCGGGGGTGGTGTGGGTGCCGAATTCGAAGTCGTATTCTGGTTTAGGTTCGTTGGTTTCGGTGGTGGTGGTGGGTGTAGTTTGGGTTTTGGTATCTGCTTTGAGGGATCGTAATCTCTCGAGGTAGGATTCCTCGAGGAGTGGGATTTGGGGGTCGTTGTTGGTTTCGTTGTGGGGGTTGGGAATGGGAATGGGAATGGTGTAGTCGATCACGGGGAAGGTGTTTTCGTGGATGATTTCACTGGAGGGAGAGGGTCTGGGGGTGGGTTCGTAATAGTTGAGGTTAGGTAGGTGAGTTCTGGATTTGGATTTGGTGTTGGTGTCGGTCATGGGGGTGTTGTTGTTCTTAATCTCCATCTTGGTTTCGATTCTGGTCTTGGTCTCAGGTTCATTTGAGGCATCAGACCCAGTCACAGTCCCTCTGCCAATAGACTTAGACTTACTAGTCTTAGGATTGGGATCATGCTTAGTCTCCGACACATCCAGCAACTCAAACTCCTCATCGATATCGGATAACTGGGGGTGAGGGAGGGAGGGGTCGGGTGTGTAGGACATGTTGAGTCTTCGTGTTTATCTTCGTTTTGGTATTGATGGTGGTATTGGTAATGGTTGATTAACCAGTCGATTGGTTTTGAAACAGCCTGACTTGGAGCATAGGAATAGGGACATGGGATCTACCATGGGTACAGTATTTATATTCATTGAGGGATAGTATACGGGCTGGATGGAGGGATGTTCCTGGATATTATGGATTTAGGGAATGAGATGTCGGGGGTTCGCGATGTGAGATTAGCTGTACGGTGGGATTGGTGTTATTTGATGGTTGATGGAGGTATTATGCTGTGAAGAAGGGGAAGGGGCCGAGGAATATGGTCTAGATTGGTTGGACTGGGGTTGGAGTCGATATGCTGGATGGGGTGTTTTCGGGGTGTTTTATAGTTGTTTAGGAGCCTGCCTGTGCCATTCGTAAGCTGATGGGACACTACCTATAATTTCCATCATTGTCTTGAACTTGCGAGAGTCCACGGAATATCATAGTTCAACCTTACTACGGAGTGCCACCATACATAGTCGTACACCTATTATGCAGCGATCGATAAGATAAGGGCTAGCCCTCCCCTCATGTTTGCACCCTTTGCAACCGCGATAACACCCCATCGCGACAAATTCTCAGCTCATCATCACCCCTCACCCCACATCCACCTCTTGATCCAAAATGGGCCAAATCGAAGAACTCCCCGACGACTACGACGAGTCGCTCAACCTACCTCAACCCGCACCATCCCCCGTCGAAGAGAACAATGTCCCCACGCCGCCCACCCCCGAGGAACTTCCCATCCCGATCAAAGAAGACCGGTTAAAGGATCTGAACGAGAATGCGGACCCCTTGGCCCCGAAGATGCCTCCTGCGATGGAGGCCGTGAGCACGCATACGACGGATGAGTTGGCGGAGATTCTCAACCGCACGCCGCTGTTCATGACGGATATTAATAAGGCGTATGATGAGAGTACGTCACTTCCACTGTATTGTTTGGTGTCAAGGGTATGTGGTTGGACTGATGTTGTGTAGAGGGTGAGAACGTCATGCTGGATGCTATCCGCGCTCTCCAGAACGAAGGTACCCGCGGCGAAGTCGCCCAGAATTTCCGGGAACAGGGGAATGAGGCGGCGCGGGAGAAGCGCTGGATTGATGCGAAGGAGCACTACTCGAAGGGTATTGCGGTGTTGGTGGCTAAGGAGGATAAGTGGGATAAGCCGGAGGATGAGAAGGAGGAGGCCAAGTTGCGGAGGGAGGCGGAGGAGGCGTGCTATATTAATCGCGCGCTGTGCAATTTGGAGCTGAGTATGTATGCCCCAGGGCGGAATGACTGGTTTGTGGTATGGGTGGGATGCTAACGATGATAGAGAATTTCCGGTCTACGACGCTCGATTGTGCCGCGGTTTTGAAGCTGAACCCGAAGAATGTCAAGGCGTTTTATCGGTCCGCCATGGCGCTGTATGCGCTGGATAAGATTGTCGAGGCGGAGGATGTGGCGACCCGGGGACTGCAGTTGGAGCCCGCGAACAAGGCGCTTCAGACGGTGGCAGGCAAAATCGCGGAACGGAAGGCCGTGATTGAGCGGATTGCGGCGAAGAAAAAGGCCGAGGATGAGCGCACGCGCAAGGAGAAGAATATGCTCAGTGTGGCTCTCCGCGCGAGACAAATCCGGACTCGCAAGACGGAGCAGCCGCCGGAGATGGAAGATGCGGGCATCAAACTCACGCCGGATCCGTTGTCTCCCGAGAGTACGCTCGAGTTCCCGACCGTGCTGCTGTATCATATGGATGCGCAGACGGACTTCATCAAGGGATTCTCGGAGATGCATTCCATTTCCGATCACCTGGACTATATCTTCCCTTTGCCGTGGGATGAGAAGAAGGAGTATTCGATCAACACGGTGGAGTGTTTCATGGAGACCGTGACCGGGGGGTTGATCCGGGCTGGAAAGAAGGTGGCATTGTTGCAGATCCTCAGTGGTGGCAAGGTCGAGGTCGTGGATGAGTTGGTGAAGATCTATGTCGTGCCCACGAGCAAGACGGCTGCATTTATTGCGGAGATGAAGGCCAGGAAGGATAGCTGAGCGAGCAGCAGTCTTAGTTTCCTACAAGGTTCTGCCTGTCACAGGTACCCTGCTCGGCTTCGCTCTGCTGGGCAAGACATTCATGTCGCCCGAGTTGCACCAGCGAAACGAAGAGCATCCGTGTCGATCCAGATTAAGCACACACGCTGCATGCCTGGATGGTATTTATACCCGACTTGCGGCGAGAATAGCCATGTACATAGCATTATGATGTTTGTCTAGATTACAGACTCATTCTCTCCAACAAAATGTAGAAATAGGATTCTTCTGAGCTCCACAATAGATTCATTCATATCAAGGAATGTAAGAAGAATCGGTTCTATCGATAGATTCAGGCAAATCTAACCAAGTCACATCGTACGGCAAAAGCCTGACCATCTACAGTGTAGCCTTCTCCCAAGCTCAGCAACCACACACAACCCAACATCTCTCTAACCGGAAAGACTATTAACAATATCCAAAAACTGCCAATCCTCAATCCGCACATCCTTCTCCCCCACCGCATTAATCCCCGCCGGTCGATCATACAGCGCATCAAACGGCAGCACCATCGGAGCCCCCACGACCCCCGATTTACCAACCTGAACTTCCTGCGCACAGTACGCAATCTCCTTCCTCACACCCTTCTCCCCATCCAGCTTCTCCCCAACCTGCCCAACCACCCACTTCTCAAACCTCACATCCTCCCTCCCCATCAGCACCAACAACACAATCCTCACCAACCCCCCCGACCTCCCAACCCACCACTTCGCACTCTCCACCAACTTCCCCCTCGACTCCCCCTTTTGCCGATAACTTGAAGGGTTGTCTGATTTACCTCGATGAGGCTCACACTAGAGGCACTGATCTGAAGCTTCCTGCCGACGCCAAGGGGGCTTTGACATTGGGGTTGAACCAAACCAAGGATCATACCGTGCAGGGTAAGAAGCAACCCCTCTTGACTTCCGTTCTGATCTAATTGGATTAGCGGCAATGAGACTTCGCCAGCTCGGTACCACTCAGTCCGTCGTTTTCATCGCGCCGCCCGAGGTCCATCAGAGCATTTTGGACGTCTGCCAGAAACATCCCACAAACCCAGTAGATTCGGCGGATGTGGTTCAGTGGCTTCTCCATCAAACGTGTGCCAGCAATAGAGAGTTGGAACCGCTCTTCTACGCCCAAGGTGTTGACTTTTGTCGTCGCATTCAAGCCGTTACGGACCATCCTGATTTTCTCCACAATCGGGCCGACCAGGATGACTATATGGAGACCCTGCAGCAGCCAGAGCAACAAACCTTGGAGGATCTGTACAAGCCTCGGATTGACACCGTGGATGAGTCCGTGACGGGGATCGATTCCGACCTGCTCCAAGGAAGGGTTTCTCAGTTCATGCAGGAACTGCAGAATCGGCGCGGGCGGTCGGATCTGGTCCAGAATTCGATTACCGGTTCAGCCTTGGAAGAGGTGGAGCAGGAGCGAGAGGTTGCCTACGAGGTGGAAGAGGAGAGGGAGGTACAGCGTCCGGAGCGACTGCAAGCCTATCGGTTTCCTGGATTGCATCCGACCTTGTCCGAATTCGCACAGACGGGCGTTTTGGAGGGCTCGGGGACCTTGCCTGCCGCCGAGGTGCTTGATGCCACCAAGATGGCGCGTGAACACGAGATGGACTCGGCGGGTCTGCTGTCTCATCTGCATGTGTCGATTGAGTTTACCCGGACGGTCAAGCTCAAGCGTGGGAAAGAACGGGATGAATTCATGGTAAGATCTGATGATACATGTTGGACACCGCTGACGATGGATAGCGCCCGGTAAACTGGATCCTTTGTAACAACCAATTTGCGATCGTTGTGATACCCGAAGAGGCGGAAGCATTGATTCCCATTCTTCGCGCCACTGCCGCCCAGGCCACATACCTCATCACGTATGCCGCGCCGGTGACGAAGGCCATGCTGCATTTTGATAATCTCGACTATTATACCATTCCTGCCTTGCCGTCACGGTCCCTACTACCGGTCTGGCTATCGTTCGAGCTTGGCATCTTTGCGGGACGACTGTATTTTGAATATTCCGAATACGTTCGTATCCGGGAGCGAGTGCTGCCGGAGTCGATGAGCTTCTTGCAGGAATGGCTGGCATTGCGTCGCCAGGGACAAGATATTTCGCATACCCCAATGGGTTATGTGTGTCAGAGAAGGACGCTGCGGAAGGACCATCCATTCTTTTCGGAGAGTAAGACCCAGAAGCATATGCTGCGGCCGTTGGGACAGACTTCCACTAGTGCGGAGGAAGAAGAATATTATGACAGTGAGGAAGAGTGGTATGAAGCGGAGGAGCATATTTCTCGGCAGGAGTGGGAGAAACAGCATGGTCAGGTGGACTATAATAGTGCTGAGAGTGACAGCGACAGCGATGCCAGTGAAGATCGTGAAGAGAGCGATGAAGAGACCCGTGACGAAGAGAGTCAAGAGAGTGGTGGCAATGATGAATACTATGTCAGCGACGAGGAACAATAATCGGTGAGGTTCAGATGTTGGTAAGGTGGTTGGATTGCATGTTGGGAACTAATTTGGCACGGCTTTGGATATGTATTGGAAGAAATTGCACCTCGTTCCCCAAGGCCCGTTCCTGCTATGATTTCATCCTCGCAGTCAGAGACAGTCTCCTAACATAATCACGGGTAACCCATCCAAAGCTGCGCAGTCCATCCTCAGGACCCACCGAACTCTATATCTCGAATGTCTATCTCTAGTCTCGTCTTGCATCAGCAAGAAAAAGAAAACCCAAATGAAGAAGGAAATCAAGATTGATAAACCCAATCCCTCCCACCCCCCCAATACATGGACCTCCACAAATGGAACGAACTCCATGGATACACAAACCAATTCTTCCCGGTATCTCGATCGACGAAGTACTACTGCTGAATCAACCTAGGCCCGTAGAGCAGATCCTCAAAGGTACCGAAAGGAAAAGAAAAAGAAGAAGGAGAACGTACACTCGAACACCCCCCCTCTCCCACCCCATGCACCGTCCCCTCCATCGCCCGATGTAACTCCTCATCCCAGATCCGTTCACTGTCCTCTCTCACCTCCACGGACGCTACCTTGCCTTGGAGAATAGGTGTAATGGTCTTGATGATGAGATCCACCGCCCTGTTCCATATATATCAATACCAACCAACCACATCGCTACCTCCCCTCCCTCAAACCCCCCAGTCATAAAATATAGGAAGGGGATACTCACGATTCAATCACCCCCACCGTCGACGTAAACAACCGTCCGGAATTCGGTCCCATGACGTAGAAGAAATTGGGGAATCCGTGCATGGCCACTGTTTTGTAGGTGGCTTTATGCCCGTACCCGTGGGTAGACCAGTGTTGGGACCGGGTGAGGTTGTTGCGGCCGGTTAATGGAGTGGTGTATTGGGTTAGAGTGAAGCCTGTTGCTAATATCTATCCTATCCTTAGTAGGGTGGAGGGGATGGGGGATGGGGGACGTACGATGATATCCACGGGGACGGAAGATCCAGAGACAGTGTTGATAGCGTTCGCTGTGAGCGAAGCGATGGGATCATTCGTGAGGCTGATTTTATGGGTTTGGTGCAGGGTGGTGAGGTAGGTGTGGTCGAAGAGGCGGCGCTATATTAATTCATCAGTTTATGTTGAATGGGTGGGATCGGGGGAGGGGAGGGGAGGGGATACCTTGCACCCGAATTGATATTTCGGGATGAGAAGGTCCCAGTATTGTTCTATTTATATCAGTATCCGAACATAACTATGAGAAGGGAGAGACAAAAGGGGAAGGGGATGGGATACCTGGGGCTGTCTGTTGAACATATTCCTGACTCGCTTGTTGGGAAGCCTGACGACGAGATTTCCCCGTGGGAGTGTTTTGGAATTGGAAAAAGGCGGTTTCCATGTAGAGCAGCATGAAGAGACGGAGGAGATACAATAGGATAGGGAGATGGTGGAAGAGGGCGCGCCAGGTGGGTGAGATATCGTAGTTGGTGGCGGGGACGATGTGATGGGGGGTCTGCCATTGGAGTTAGGGTTAGCGGGTGGTGAAAGTGGTAGTGGTGGTGGTGGTGGTGGGGTGGGGGGATACCCTCATGAACTGGGTGATGGATTTGGCTTTGTCGGCGATGGCGGGGATGAGTTGGATGGAGGATGCTGATCTGTTAGTATTTGAATGTTATGGTTGGAGCAGCAAGCATACCTCCATTCCCAATAACAGCGACATGTTTGTTGGTGAGATCTACGTCGTGTCGCCATCGTGCCGTGTGGATTATCTCCCCTTGGAAATCCTGCATCCCGGGGATGTTTAATTCATGTGGATTCACCAATCCTCCTACGGCAGAGATCAAGATCTGACATTCCTGCGTAAAGGATTGGCCGGTGTGGATATCCTGCAGGGTCACCAGCCAGGTTCGTGTCTTTTCTTGCCAGGATGCGCCGGTCCACTCCGTATGGCCGGTAAAATGCCGATCGACGCCGTATTGGATTGCGACCGTGGATAGGTAGCTCAGAATCTCCTTTTGCGATGGAAATAATCGTGTAAAATCAGGGTTTGGGGCAAAAGAAAAGGTGTAGGTAAAGCCGGGGACATCGACGGCGCATCCGGGATCTGGCCGGTTAGGGTTGAGACTCGCACGAGGGAGGGATCTTACAGGTATTGGCCCACCACGTTCCCCCTAAGCTACTCTGACGGTCATAAATGCAGTAGTCATGGAGATTAAAGGTGCGTTTGAGCTGGCATGCCATGGCGAGGCCGGAGATGCCACCGCCGATGATGATGACCCGACATGGGGGACGGGAAACAAGACCCATGTTGATGAATGGGTAGAATAAACTTGAGTGAATAATGACCCAAACACACAAAATAAATACATGTCGAGGCAATCCAGCTCAATGTTTATATTTGTATGGTTTGTCAGGGTGAGGGTATGCATCCGACCAATCCGCGGCCTCGCTTGGAATTGCTTCATTTCCATCGGCTCCTCGCTTGTGTCACATTGCCCGTGATTGACATCTGTGCCGACCTGCTGCCCAACGTGCATTCCGTCGAATTGTGATCTAGGAGTATCCCGTCAGGCCGTTTGTCTCAGCCAGCCATCTTATGATGTGGATCATCGTTCTGACGTTGCACGCCACGCTCAAGCCACCGTGACATGTTCGCTACCGAACGGTTCGCGATGAGGCTGAGTGCTGGGCTGGCTGAGCAACAGCTGGAACAGGCGAGCTGAAGAGTGGAGTGCCGTCGGGCACCTCGGCTGCTTCGATGCAGCCGAGACCTTACTTAGGGATGCCCTCGCCATGCCAGATTGTTGCGTGAGGACTTTCCAATCCACTCGATACAGTGGGATTCTGCATGCAAAATGGTTGTCCAAGATCTTGCCCTTTTGCTGGTCTATCTCGGCCACAAGTCTCACATCCCATCGTTATGGATCACGGCGCTGGGAGCTACGGTGGGAGTTGCTATCATCACCTCAACCATTATTCTATCGTTCTTTTTGATACGAGTCCTCCTTCGCACCCGCCAACTGGTCTCCCTTTCCGATGAGCCCCAGACCGTCCTGGGAAAACCCTTATTGTTTCCCATGATCTTCAACCACACGCGCTTTGTGCCAGTCAAAGACCAATTCAGCAACCGCTTTCTTGCGGTGGGAGTCCCCGTTGGACTACGATGTCGCATTGGCAATCTCTTAGCCGTGGACGACCCGACATTGGATCTCCACGGTCCTCCTGGACAGGGCTGGTCGTGGACACGGACATTGTCCCATCTGAGCTGTTGGTTCAGCTTCGATTCCGAGCGGTACCTGCACCGGGGCGACCATCAACTCGATCTCCGGGAAAAGCTGGATGGTTTTCTACGAGATCAGGTATGAACGCTCTCTCATCCACCGGATTTTTCTAACGTGGTATAGAATCAAGACCCCGCCCAATGGCCCTACGCCTATCTGCTCGGCATCCCACAGTTCCTCGGCTGGTCCCGCAGCGTCGTCTCCTGGTGGTACCTCTACACCGCAGACCGCGAGCTCGACGCGATGATCCTCGAGATCAACAACTCGTACGACGAGAAACGGAACATCTTCATGAAAGTCTCCCGAGTCTCCGACCCACCGCTGCATCCCCCGGAATCCACCCAGAAAGAGTTCCTGGACCACTCCTACCAAGTCCGATCTCTCCCCTCGCGGCCCCAGTCGACCTTCTACAAAGGCGTCTGGACCAAACACATCTTCGCCTCGGTCTTCGAAAAGGTCGACGGCCTCGTCACCAACCGATTCATGGACCCGTTACAGCCCGCGTCCTGGAAACCCAACGCGTCCTTTTCCAATATGACGACCATCGCGGAGTCCGGGGAAGTCAAAATGGTGACCCGGATGACTTGCCGTGAACCGGCGATCGATCCGACGCAAATGACATCCCTCCAATTGTTGAAGTTTCTCCTCCACTGGACGGTCCCCGGCTTGCTCACCACCGCACATATCGTCTTCCAGGCCCTCCTGATCCACTATACCGGATTGATGAAGATGTATGTCAAGACGCCGGTCCGGACGGGGAGTGTGGGGCGTCATGCTACTCAGACGGAAATCGACCTCGAGGGCTTCTTCCGCGCATACCTCGCCAGCCGTGTCGAGAAATATCCTCATCCGGTCGAACTCACCTACCTCCCCTGTCGATCTTTCAGCACCGAGACCATCACCCTGCGATCTGCGGCCTGCCAGGGGGATGGCTCCAGCATTCGTCGGGTTTCCATCGAGCCCACGGATCCCGGGTTCTATACCCGGATCGTCAACTACCCGGATATCGAAACGGCCCTGAATACGGAACTCCACCCCACCGGGCTCCACGCTGATCCTTCTTCCCAACGACTGCTGGTGTCGGATCAGGCGCTTCTGGCCTCCATTCTCACTCGTTCTCTTCAGACGAAGCCGTTTATTCTGGATTCTAAGAAAGAGACCTCTCACATCTGGGGGAGGTACAGAGCAAACACCCCATCCTTCATGGATGACTTTGTGTCCTCTAGGTCCTCGGATCCCTCGCGGGTGGCATACTTCTCCATCGTGAGCAAACGGCGTCAGATTGACCGATTTGCCTTCGGGTCTGAGACTCTCCTGGGGATATATACCTTCCTCGGAGCGTGTTTGGTTAGATGGGTGGTTTTGGAATTCATTACTCGTGGCGGGGATGTATTGGAGGGAGGTATCGAGATGGCTGCGGTCGGGTTGGTGGGGTATTTTCTGTCCATGAGGGGGGTGGGTGTAGTGGGGGGTTGGTTTTTTCGGGGTTGAGGTGGATAAGATTGGAGTTTAGGAAGGGTAGATGGGTATGATAGATGATCGTACTCTATACGGTAGAGAAAAGGAAATGTCGATGATTGAATTCCTACACGTTCTCAAAGATAGATCTAGCCCCTTACGCAGCAAGATTCCATACCTCCACACAACACAGTCATTCTACCCGACCATCGGATGAGACATAGAACTTTCTTGACGTTATTTTCTTTTCCTGCACGCAATCCTAAAGTAATAAGCATGATAATATGCAGGATAATACGATTCATATCGGCATATTGGATAACAGGACCGTTTATACGTAGATGAGGAAGCAGTAGAATCAAGGTGAGGATGATGTATTTGCCAGTTGAGGTTGCGGTTTAGATCTGAGGTAGAGAGGGCCCTCTGTGGGGGTTTTCTGACGAGGCAGTTGAGTAGACTGCTTGGCATGGGGCAGAGGGTTTGGGGGTGGGATGGATTATAAAGTTCATTGTAACTCAGATGGAGGGCTTTTTGGTTTGTTATAATTGGGAGGTCTTGTCTAGCTAGAGATCGAGTAAAGTGTCGAGGCGTGGGTGCTGTCCCCTCACAACAGCCCGTAGTAATCATCCCACGAAAACCAATCAAACATACTGTCAAACGTCCGTCTGCCCCCACCTTCCCTCTCATTTTCACCCACAGGCCAGACAGCATCCAGTTCCATGTCGGCTGGAAGCCAGTCCAAATAACTAGCGACGTTCACGTCCCCTATGTGGATGCTGGAGAGGGATTCGTGAGGTTGTTGCTCTTCGGGTCTAGCCCCCGGAAATTGTACTTTATGGCCAGCTTTGCTAAGAAGAACCAGGAGGATTAACAAATTAGGCGCCGTATTGGGTGAAATTGAGATTATTAGTGATTAGCGGCACCGCATATAATCATCTCCGTTTCCGGGCAAAAAGCCTGCCTTGCAATTAATAAACCCTGGCTAAGCTGATACTCATAGCGTAGCCTTCAGCGTAGCTAGCCTGGCCTGGCTACTTTCTATTGACCGTTCATAATCCTCCATCTTTCTGTTGACCTTGTCCCTCGCATTGGGGGCATCGACTGGGATTTGAGTTGCCCATTCCCGTAATGCAGCGAGCTCAGGTTGCAGAGACGTGATAAAGTTTTCGATCCTCTGTACCTCTGCCATGGATTGCTGCCGCTCTGAGCGCCCCATCTCGGTCACAGAGTCCAACGTCCTTCCAGGGCACAGACGTTCTGCATCGGCTCTGGCAGCTTCCCATGCCTTTCGGTAGATTGCCTCCTCCTTCTCTACATGGTATAGGGAGATGCGAAATTCCTCGGTGCGCTCAGGATCAGATTCGGTCGCTTCTTCCATCCAATTTCGCTCAGCCTCCACTTGCCTTTGCTTGCTCTCGTATTCCTGTCGTATCACATCCGCTTCCAGCAAGGGCATCTCCTCTGACTTCAAGCATACTCCACCCGGGCAAAGTGTGTTGGCGTTCTCCTCGGCCTTCTCGAGTTCTTTGGTGTTCCTGCGATAAGACTGCTCCGCATCCCACAGGTCCAGCCGCATCATCCACTCTTCATCTGGGTTCTTAGCCGTGGAAAGAGACTTTTGCCGATCCTGGATTGTGCGACTATTCCATTCCTTCCAATCTCGGTACTTCTCCATCTCTCGCAAGGGTTCTTCCGCTCTGTATTTGACCGTGTCCGCGCAGTAGGCTCTCGCTTTGTCCACCTGGAAGGCGTCGCCATCAAAATTGTCCGGCCATCCATGCTTCCGATACAACTCCTTCAGGCCCAAGTCCGGACTCCACTCCAGCCCGCTGTACTCTCCACCTCCTGGCAACTCCTCTAGCTCGCGGTACCACCTGACGATGTCCCGCAGCACATCGCCTGCCGGCCGACTAGGGATATGGTCGAAACTATTCCGATTCTTGCTCTTCGGTGTCTCTTCTTCCACATCCTCCAATGCAGGATCCGTGGTGGACCAGCCCTCTTGGTCGATAATCCAGATCTGGTGTTTCCGTGCATCATATACAATCACACTGTTGTGATTTCCCAGCCTTGAGAGCGGCGTGACCCAAGGACGCATGTAAGGACCATCTTCATCCTCAAAGTCCTCGTCCGAAGGACTGCCGTAGAACGGATCACGACCTTGTTCCACATCATCCTCGATCCGAAAGTCGGTAAACGTGCCGCCATGGAAGAAATCCTCATTTCCTGCTGCAGCAGTATCTACATACGGCAGTATGCTGTATAGGTAGATGATGGAGGGGTCTAGTCCATGTTCTTCGTACAGGGGACGTAGTTTGGAGATGTCGTGCGGTCCAGTTTGGATTCCCCGGGCGTCAATATAACGCATCTGTGCGAGAGTCTGATAAATATCCAACATCAAGTCGGCAACTTCCTGTAGGTGAGCTTTTTGGGCCACGGAAATGCCAGCCATTGTGGGCTTCGAGGTGAATGATTTCAAGAGATTAAGGAAAGGCAAGATACTGGTCGGCCAGAGGGGAATGAGCAGGGCCAGAGCTAACACTAGAACGATCTGCAACGTTACAGGAAAATACATGTGGAACTGCGCGCGGCGGACAAGTCAATCCCTCGTGTTCGGGCGACCATTATATATGTGGTGAGAAACTCGACAATGGGTGGATGCCGCTTCTAGACCCGGTGGGCCATGGCCCATGGTCCGTGCCCTCGTTGCTGCCTGGACCCTGCCGTGGGTGCCTGGGGACCCTGATAAAACTATCTGCTCAATGCCTGGCCATACTCGATATCCACCTTGTGCACAACACTAATAGCATTAGGTGACCCGTGGCTGGTTAGTTCGTGCTGCTCCTCGTCAATCGTGTTTGTAATCGAAATTGGCACGTCCGGCTTTTTCAACGCCATTCGGGAGGATCCCGCGCTAATCTTCGTCCTGACGGGTTGATGATCGAATCGATTCATCGGATATACTGCTTCCTGCTCTTGTAGTTGTTCAAAGGCCTGCGCGCTCGACACACTGTACTTCTTCCCTGCAGTAGAGAAGACTTTGTGGAACATGCGCGAAAGTAGCACCTTGAGCAATGGCATGTTGGCACAGATGATCGCTAGCTCGGGTTCTAGCACGGTCCACATAACCCCCATCTGAACAGAATGAGTGATATCGGTGAAGCTAATTGCCATCAAGGAGAAGAGCCGTATGATGCTGATCACGGACACGCTAAATCACCAGATTCATTAGACAGAGCAACAGGCATCTTTTGAGGACACTAACAGTAAACCCAGGCAAAAGACAAAACTTAGAGCCAGTTTCTTCGGTATGCTCAGTTGTAGCTTCCATATATGAGGTAGTGGAAGTGCCATCACCATGAGGTCGGTGATGAGACTGAGCGTCCCGGCGACAACGTACGTTGCGTTGCGATTTCCACAGATCCCATTGGGGGTGGTGATGTCCCAGTTATAAGCGAGTGGGCGGCATAGCAGGAAGGTCTCGAGAATGACGCTGATAGCCCAGAGCCAAACGATGACCATGACCACACAAACGCACATCCTGAATGGCCGTTTGCTACCGAAGATGCGCGTAAAGAAGAGCATCACAGAACATTTAATCAGACCCATGACAATCCCGTACAATGCCTCAAGGGGTAAAATGGTCTATCCAGAGTCATGCTCCGTCTTCTCGATTTCTTCGGACGGTATGCTGCTCACCTTGAGGGTCACCACTACCGATGCCGGGTCGATATCACTCGCATGACGACCTGCGCCGCCCAGAATGGACACTGCGCGCTTAGCTTCTCTCAAAACTTGAATTGGGATACGCACGGATGTATTGAATTACTATGTCAATATAAACGATTGACTGAGCAGTTAGCTTTGAAGCTCGATAGAGAGTCCAACCTACCAAGGCCGCCAGGATGAGATACTCCGGAGCCCCTGGCTTTACCCGGCGAAGCCTTAGGGCGTAGAACCGCAAACCTGTAGTTATAGTTGCGAGTGCGCCAAAAACCGTCCCGACAATCACCGGGTCCCGCGACAACGGTGTATCCAACCCATAGGTCACCGCCATCTAATGTCTTGTCGTGAAGGGTATGGATAGAATCAAGATGCTGATCTGTGAAAATCTGCTGGGTGACATCTAAATATTAACATGTTGCGAACTAGGTCGTAAAGGAGTCGAAATCATGTGCGGATTAGCCCTTGTCCTATTGGTCTGCCCAACCATAACAAGGAAAAGGATATCAGCATGCATCTTTAGTCGAGACCAAGGTCAGTCTTAGCTTAGGGCTCATTGGGAAAGTGGAACACATGGGCCGCGCTTGACCATTTGACGTGACCCAACAGCAACGACGCCCCGCGCCATAGGTGTACGAGCAGGAATTTCCCCTTAGCTGCTGCACAAGTGCGCCCGCTAAGTCCAACTAAAAAGGTCCGTCGGTCACCGGTCGGACTGGCACTAGTGGTAGGCTTCTTTGTCAATTCCCGCTGTGACCCACCGACAGTCGCTTCCCCTCAAACGGTCTCCAGTCGGTTTGAGGCAGCCCGGCTATAATAAAGGCTGATGACGCCCATTCCCGCGAATCATGTTCGACCCCTGTCCTTTCCGCCACATTGACTGAACTATTGACCGCAATGACAGTAGATACTTCCGCCCTATCAGGTCTTCGTCCAGAGTATGACTATGTCGTCGTTGGCGGAGGGACTGCCGGGTTGGTCGTCGCTAGCCGATTAACCGAAGATCCATCAGTTAGTGTCCTAGTCTTGGAAGCAGGAGGCTATCACATCGACGATCCTCGAATTGCCATTCCTGGTCTGGCAGCTAGTACCTATTTCGACCCTGAGTTCGACTGGTGTCTGACTAGTCAACCTCAGGTATGCATCCAGGTATCCAATCTTGGTTCGTGGCTAATGTTGGTTGGATTAGGAAGCACTTAATGGTCGATGCATCGCCGAACCCCGCGGTCGTACACTGGGAGGCTCCTCCGCCATTAACCTGGGTATGGTCATCTACCCTACCCGCAGCGATATCGATTCGTGGGAGCGGCTAGGAAACCCTGGGTGGAACTGGGAGTCTCTGTCCACCTACCTGAGGAAATCACAAACATTCACTCCACCGTCCGATGAGGTGCGTGACCAGTTGTCGTTAGGCTATATTGACCCGGCTGTGCAAGGCACCAGTGGGCCTGTACATGTCTCATTCGGTGATGGTCCGTTTCCTGCCTTCAATGCCGCCTGGCCCCGGACCTTTGAGACGCTAAACCACCGGCTAAGCGGTGACCCAATGTCAGGTCGGGCCAACGGTGCCTTTTGCAGCCCAGGCACCATCCACGCGACCTCGCGAGCGCGCAGTCATGCGGGTGTCGCCTACTATACTCGGGATATCGCTCAACGTCCCAATCTTCGAGTCATCACTGAAGCCTTCGTGGAAAGGGTACTTCTGAAAAAGGCGGACGATGGCGAAGTTGTTGCGACAGGGATTCAATTCGTTGGAAAAGACCGCAGCCAACAGACAGTAGCCGCTGGAGCAGAGGTTATCCTGTCCGCTGGCGCTATTAAAACGCCACATCTTTTGGAGCTATCAGGAATCGGGGATGCCAAGCGCCTGCAGGTGCACGGAATTGAGACCTTTGTTCTTAACCCCAACGTCGGGGAGAACCTCCAGGAGCACGGCTTCGTCCCTTTCAGCTGGGAGGTTGCCGATGGCCAGGTGACAGGAGAAGCGCTGCGCAACCCAGAGATCGCGAAAGCTGCCATGGAAGCTTGGCAGTCTTCCGGAGCCGGTCCATTAGGCCTATGTCCGATTTCGTCGGCTTTCATGACTCTTCCGGAACTGCAAGATGGTGAGCTACAGGATCTCCTAGGGAAATACCTGGATAAGGAAGTTCCATCCAGCCAGGCCGCACAGTATCGCATCCTGCGTCAACTACTGGAAGACGTCGATGAACCAACAGGACAGTACACGTTGGCTCCGTTCCAGATCACTCCTGAGAAGGGCCCTAGCCCGAAGGGAATTTTCGCCATGGCTGAGCCAGAATGCTTTGTTAGTATTGTCGCCGTGCTGAACCGCCCGTTCTCCCGTGGCTCTGTACATCTGACCTCGTCCGACCCGACGACTCTGCCGACCTTTGATCCTCGTATGCTGTCACATCCACTTGACCTGGAGCTACAGGCCCGCCATGTAAAGTGGCTAGAGACATTGGCAGCCACGGAGCCCATGGCTTCGCTGATCAAACCAAACGGACGTCGACTGCATCACTCGAAACCTGTAACGTCTTTAGACACGGCGCGGGAGCTTACGCGAGACCGTATCGTGGCTCACTATCATGTCACCGGAACCGCGGCTATGATGCCACGGGACATTGGGGGTGTGGTAGATGAACGGTTGAGGGTGTATGGATGTCGGAATATGCGGGTGGTGGATGCCAGCGTGATTCCGTTGATTCCTCGAGGTAATATCCAGACGACGGTGTATGCTGTAGCAGAGAAGGCAGCCGATATCATCAAGGAGGATAGATTGGCTCAGTGATGGGCCACTTGCCAATAAATGGAGTACGTTCGAGAAGTGAAACATCAGCCTGGTGGATGTGAGTTACTAGAAACATTCTGATGCCGTCTTCGCTTGCCTGCCTCTTGCAAGATTATCATGGAAGGGGGTAAAGCTGACACTCGGGGTGACTGTGGAATCCCCTTACCTTTACCAAGAGGAATATTTGATGAATGATAACGTATCATAGCAAGGAGACATGATGAAATGATAAAATGGTAGCTTGCTTCTGATGACTTCGCCCGGGGGAAGAAGAGGGGTAAATCCCTCAACGAAGAGGAAACATACCCTGCGCCTATCACCTGACCGGTGTAATTATGTTTGTCCAATGTAGTATTGAGGTCCTGTGTACGCCGTAGCACCGTAACATCACTCTGTGCTGACAGGACGTCGTATCGACAGGATGGTTACATTCATAGGTGATCTAATTTCCCATATGCGATGCCAGTACTACGAGACATGGATGGGAAATCCAGGTTGGCGTGTCAAAATGCAAAATAGTCGATTGTGAATTCGGCTTATATTGTACAGACATATCCAGGTAGCGTCATAACTCATAAATCGTGTCGAAAAGTTACCATATCCAACGATAATCCAAACGGATGTAATCAGCAAAGTGAAGTAATGTACAGGTCAGGAGAATGATAGCCATTGAAAGCCCAAAATCCAATGCCAAAGAGGTAGCCAGGGCAATAGGACTTCACGCGTGTCCTACAACAGCTGTCAGCAGTAACCCACGATACAAAGGAAGCAATCACATACGGCCCAGTGGCTTCGCCCTCTTCGTAATCGACTTCACCTGATCCTGCTTCATCTTTGCGGCGCGTGCCCTGTCATAGATTATTAGCTCATTTGACCCTAGCTGACAAGGTAAGCGACTAGATATAACGAAGACGTACTCAATCTTTGCCTCCTCATCCAACCGCTTCACGTGTTCTCTAGCCTCACGCACTGCCCGCTTAGAGGCCATTAGTGCCCGATCGGCTTCGCGTTCTGCGGCCTCTGCGCGCGAGACCTGTTCTTTTGCAGCGAGGACAGAACGATCTTCGTTTTTCCTACTGCTTCCGAAGAAGGAGTGGCTGTGATGGCGGGACGAGGGGGAAGAGGAGGAGGAATGGTGTGACTGCGAACCAGAGGAGCCGCGGGAGCGGCGGCGCGAGGACGTGGTATTTGGATCGTCGATGCTGCTGCGGTCGGAGGAGCTTGAGTGATGGAAGAGAGGCATTTTGCTAGATATGAATAATAACGGATTGATTGATGGGGCGGGTGATGGCTGTGTGATGTGCAGATGTGTGATAGCGAAGAATATGGTTATGAGTATTAGGGGGTTGGATGGTGAGTTGTGGCGTATATATCCCCATCCTTGACTAAAATCGAGTAATACGTCAGTGGCATCCTCGTGGGATGGTTCAGAGGCTTACCCAATTAACATCCGGATTATAAGGCACGTCTCGGTGTTGATAAGGCGTGTCACATAATGCGCAGATGCGATTCTGTGTTTACCCCAGAAAGATAGCTAGTTATCGGAGGTATGACGATATGCCGAGGGATCAACAATATGAGTGGATGGTCGCTCCCGCGATGATGTCAAATGGATCGTTGTGCCGTTAGGTGGCCGATCTGCGGTGACATCAAGTCAGACGTGGCACCGCCAATATGGGTGGTGTTGTCGATTTTCATGAGATCATTTCGAGCTATAACTGGCTGAGCTGTTTCGCTTCGGAGGTTTTCCCTTTTTCATACTATTAAAAACGTTAGTAGCTGCATGCTGGGATTAGGATGCCGCTGTGGCTTATTGCTTCTTAGCCAAGGCTTGTATCTGACCTCTATTCAAAGATACAGTCCAATAATCTCCGATGGATGATGGCCCTGTGAAGTGTTCTCTGAGCTGTCTATTCTCCATTGTCCGCGATAACCTCCTGAAGTATCTCAAACTTCGTGTGTTGTGTCTTGCTGCACGCCGTCCTGCTCCTTCAAGTCACCAGAGTGTCGCAGAATCTGCGCTTGAACTTCGTAGCTCTTGAGCTGACACATGATAAAACTATACCCGGTGCTATATGGTAGGCTCTATTATCCGCTGACGACAATGTCATAGAGCGTCATTGCCACACGATTAGTCGCCAGGCAGCTTTTACAAGGTATAGCCGGCTCAAGTGCGCACGGAAAATCACAACAGATGCTCGCTATTTGGTGCATGGCACCTAAGAAAGCATCTTTTCTTTGCCTTGATCAGGCCGGGATAATTAAGCGAAGAAACAAAGGAATGAAACCATCACGAAGAGCAGGTATTTTCACCAAATCATCAGTCAAGACTTTCGACCCTATCATGAGAGGCGGGAATCATGAGTACTCACATTATTGATGAGACCTACTGAGCGCTGTGTGGGCTCAGGTTAAGCTAGTCTGACAGGATGCAGAAACATTGCGCCGACAAGCGGCGACCCCGTGGGGATCCATCTGTGGAGCCTAGAATTTCAGGCAGCACATATGCCCTACCAGGTACCGGCAGGAAGAATAGTAGGCGATCTCAATGAAATGATGGAATGCACCTGCAAATTTTGCTCGACTGACCGTATATTCAAATCCGTGAAACCAACTTCTGGTCGATCTGTCCTCAACCAGTCAAACAGTCAATTCTAGTCCTAATCATAAGACAAGATCATGATCGCAGATGTCAAAAAGTGCAGGATGCCATCGGCTCCACTTGCCGGACGGATGCGGAACAAACAAACCAGCCACATCCTCAATCTTCCTCTTCACGTGCGGTCGACATCACCAGACAAGATTTGGAATCAAGAACTTGAGCCATTAAATTCCTAATGAGGGAAATGGGTACCAACTGGATAGATACTGCATCGCACGGCAATCCAGGCAACTTTAACCGAGATATACGGCCCCAGAATGTCTCTAAGCCTAAAAAGGCTTAGCAATACGAGCAACTATTCTTCAGGCTGATGAGTTCTGCAGGACTGAGGGTCTTGTCGTGAGCCTTTATCTCACTTGGCCAAAGACTTGAATCCAACCAGATTCTTCTTCACGGTACTGTTCTTGCAAAGAGAAGTGCAAGCTGCTATAATCTGTGGAACACATTAACTTCTACAAAGAAACACATCTAAGCTGGTTCCCTGACGGTCCAGCCCACCTCGGCACGGCCCATGACCACGCCAAGAATGTCCGCTCTTCTTGGCGTCGGTGCCCGTGGACAGGGCGTCTCATCTAAGCATTATCTAACGATTATGGATGCTGAGCAGCTGAAGACTTCAAGGTGATATTTTCAACGTGGGGACCTGCATGCTTGCTGGTTTTGTGTACCAATGCTATAGAAAATGACCATGGCCAAGGAGGCAAACAATGATCAGGATCAAATGCTTCAGTCTGATATACAGGCTTGACAGGGACTGCAGTCCAATCTAACGAGTGCAATTTCATTCATATCACATCCGGTGTCTAAATTGACCTCAGGCTTATCTCGGTTACCCAGACACTAACAGATCCAGGCACTTAACTGTCATATCGATGGATCCTCCTCATACTACGGAGTATACTACACCATTAACCTACATCAGATACGAGATCACCATCCCAAGACAGGCTTAGCCCTATAAACCATCATCAACTCAACCTATCTAACACTTCAATCCAGCAGAAAGCATACGTAACGCAGCATCCACCCATTCCGCGCTGTAAGCCGCCACAGAGATATCCCTCATCGCCTGACTGATACCACTGCAGCAAACCCTCACCAGACTGAATATATAAACCCCATACACAGGAACCTACTGAACACCATCAACTACACAACCAAACCGTCACCTCAATCCTCAATCCCCGAAGCACAACCACAACCACAACCACCAAAATGAAGTCCTTCCTCACCAAGGTCCAGCCTTCCCCTCCCCCATCCCCCAACAAACCAACCAATCTAATCATCTAACAAAAAACCAAACAGACCACCCTCCTAACCCTCCCGACCCTCGCCCTCTCCAACCCCTTGATCTCCTACGCCGGCTACTACTACACCAACTGCACGTCTCCCAGCGTAACGGCCGCCAACGTCGCCGCCTCCTACTGCGTGAACGTCGAAGACATCCCCATCAAATCCTTCACCGCGTACGTGTTCTCCGGCGCATGCGCGGATGCGTCCACCACTCCTGTGCTGCACACATACACGGAGTCCGGATGCGCCGCGGACTCCTTGTTTGAGACTGTCGACGTGGATGAGGAGAAACAGTGCTTTGAGGCCGACGTTACGTTGGTTAGTTTGGGGGTGGAGTGTGTTTGAATCAACTTGTTGGTAACTTATTGAGATTGGATGCGAGGTGGAAACATAGAGGTATCGAGATAAACTCAAATATCGATATCGCTCATCTATCTATACTATACTCCGCACCGCACATAGTACTATGACAGTACTAGTAGGATGGAAAGTTAACTAGTACTCTAGGGTATCATCCTACTTTACTTTATACTGCTGCGTAGTACTCTACAACCCCCAACCTTAATTGATACATCGGACAGTTCAACTTTATCCAAATATAGAACCCGGAGAACAGCCAAACCCCTTCAAGAAAACGATAGTATATATTTCCCCGAACCCCCTCCGAAGTCCCAGCGACCCGAAGATTCAACCTTCAAGACAGCTGAGGACCTGCAGATCACACCACACCACACCGCACTGACAACCCAACCCAACCCCACTACAACAAAATCACAGTATCCGATCTACATAATACCATCGGACTCGCCACTTGATTAGGAAGATCCCGGAAATCTAATATTTGACTTTAATATGTAAACAACTAGTGCCAACTAGCAAATGCCGATCGTGTCCGTGATCCCGTGATCCCGTGATTCCGATCGGTTTGTGGCCTCGGAAGAACACCGTCAAGTGGAGCCGGACCGCAAGATGGGAGAAAAAAAAATTACTCATGAATATCCCACGATGGATGGGATCAAAAAATTGACCGACGCAGGACTCGAACCTGCAATCTCTTGATCCGTAGTCAAGCGCCTTACCATTGGGCCAGCCGGCCTTATTGAGGTAAAGGAGTAGTAAAGTGGTTTATAGTCGGGACTTGGATCATTCCATTCGTGTGACGGTCACGGGTATGCTATGCTACATGGGATATCATAAATACAAAGTAAGGAAAGGTGATCACGTTGAGTGCGTGAGAAGGAAGGAATAAATCATTGGAAAGAGTGGGGAGCGTCAGGTTCCTGATCGCTGTAATGTTCCAGAAGGGCGGCCTTTTCGGAAATGGGCTCGCCGTCTTCGATTTGAATGATGGGAATTTCCCGCTCATAGCGGCGCACCGTGCAGAGGTAGATGGAAATGACGAGACGTCCCAGCAGGAATCCAAGGACGCAGGCAATTCCACCCGCCAGGATGCCCATGAGGGCGGGAAGGATGACCGGACGGGCAATCTTCATGATGCTCTGCTCGCGTCCAGCCCAGAAGAACCCAGTCTGGCCGGTCTTGGAGACGGGGGGGTATTTGGTGGAAGGATGACGGTGGTCGTGGGAGTCTGCGTGGGGTTGCTTGTGTTCGTGTTCGTGCTCGTGCTGGTGCTGTTCAGTCTTCGAATGTCCCGGCTTGATGCAGTTCTTGACGGCTTCCTTCGCGGTGTCATAGTAGGATTCGAGCTGTTGTTTCCAAGCCTTCATCTGCCAAATGCGGTTTCCGTGTCCATACTCGCGGCTACCATTGGGGTCGATCATGGCCAACTGCAGGTTACCGTGGGCATCGCTCAGCAGGCTGATGGCAACTGTGTTCTGCGTGGCAGGGCGACCGTGCTGGTCAAAGAGACGGAGTTTCATGTAGTAGATCTCGCCCAGATCGGCACCTGGACGAATGGGGAGAGGTCGGACGTCTAACGAGTAGGCCACCTCGACGGGCTGAATGAACGATTCCCACTTGCGGTTTGCGGTGAATTGCATCGGGACGGAAGCCGGAAAGATGGATTGTCTGTTGGCCAGGAGGGTGCCATTTTGGGTGGAAAAGTCGATGGTCTGTTGACATTAGTATAGATTGGCCAACTGCATCACTCATACATACCAGATGGGAGATGGGATCGAGAGTCTCGGAGCAGCTGGAGTCGGAGAAAGCGCAAGGGACGGCGGGGAGGTTGATCTGATGCGAGTCGGCGGTGACGTGCAGCTGACCAGCTGGCAGAGCTGCAGCGGCCGCCGTGCTGATGCACAGAGCAAGGCGAAACAACATGGTGGTGGTGGATGGATGAGCGAATGTACGTGTAGTAGTAGCAAGTAAAGAATGTCTGAGGGCAGAAAAGAGCGTCGCGTGGAAACTTTATAACAAACAAGGCAACGAGAGAAAGCCACGCCGAGGAACTAAGGCAGCAGAAGGCGACCGGGCGAAGCATATAAAAGCGAGCAAATCACGGCCGATGACAACATGCAGCACTAACGGAGGGGCCGAAAGTGATTGGGCCAGTGCTACTGACTTTTACTTCAAGTTAGCACTAAACACGACTAGCAACCTCAATTGGATCTAAGCAGTACCTAAGAGTAACTAAGGCTGACCCTGATTCACCGGACGGCAGCTGCTGGGCGCTCCGCCCCTTCTCATGGATCGATCGGCACCAACAACACAGCCTCTTCGCTTCTGCTGTTGGTTTCCCGGGGCCAGGAACCTTTCATTATACTCTTCTTGGCCTTCTTTGCCAAATCGCCCCCATGACATCTCCTGTCAGCATCCCAGTTCCTGCAATGATCCGTCTACTTGAAACGTCCAGAAAGCGACCGACTTGACTGCCCGACAGTCCAAGTCTACCAATGCAACCGCCCCTGTCCCAAGTCAACTCGCCGTCTATTCCTGGGCAGCTGTCTTGGATTTAGCGCGAGACATGCGCTCCACTTTGCACGCGATGAACCCTTGAGCGCCAACCAAAGCCTCTCCGTCGCTCCGACACGAACCTGCCAATTGCAAAGCCTCGCTGGCCCCCACGGGCCATTGCGGCATTACCGATAAACCGATGCAATCATGGCCGTGGGAAGCTTAGCAATGAGGTTATTGTGAGTGGGCTCGGGGCCTTGTCGGCCACCGGTGCCCCTGGCCAAATTTTCGCGTCTCATTCTGCGACCGGCCCCTGACACCTTGCCAATGGCCTTGCCCGCCACTGCGGCTGACTCCGACCATGGAATCCTCAGCTTTCACAGCTCATATGAGGTGGAAATTTCCTCATTGCCGATCACTTGGCTAATTTACAATTTCACGCAGTTCTAGTATTCCCATGCCTCTCCACCCCTTTATCTTGCCGAGTGCCCCCCGAAAATCTCCCGCCTTCACGAATAGACGTTTCGGATCGCTAGGCTGCCATCTGCCATCTGCCATCTGCCAACCTGCCAACCTGCCAACATGCGGGGTCCGCGGACACCGTAGGCAGCCATGAACATCAAGTCCTCTCTCGATTGGCCGTCAGATACCTCCGGTGTTTCCAGAACAAGATGGTGTGTGCCTTGCGACCGTCATGTTTGGGTCAAGCTCATTGCGCCGTGGTAGTCGCCCAGGCCAAGCTCTTTAGCCCGAGGACTAGCGGAAAATGCTGCTATTTATACCGAACCAATGGTGGTCAAAGTCTCCAAGTACACTGCGGGTTCAAAATTCTTCGGGGATGTCTCACCGATGGAAGAGGCTATTTGACAATGGATGGGGCTCTAATGCCTGATTTTTGCGGCGTTCAGATGCGGCTCTTTCCCGCGTTGATCATTGGCAGGGTAGCACACTGTGGTTGCAATCACCCACCGTTTGCTCGATACTATTACTAGCATGCAGAATCAGGCAGTACGAGAAGCAATCATGGCGATCTGTCTCGGATGTGACCACGATCAAGTCCATATCGAGACATTCACCCGCTGATATCCCACCAGAGCCGACACCGATTCTTGTCTACCGGATCTGGAGTCATGGCGATGTCCTGCAGTCCCATATCTAGCACGCGTTCATCGTCCGCATATGCTCCCCAATCTGTCGCATTCGCCGAAGATGGAACGCCCCGCTTCACAAACGATATAATATAATCCTGCATCGTCAAAGCCAGCCCTGTGTCGAACGGACCTACGCTCGCACCTGGCTGAGAGTGGTTGTAGAATGTGAAGGCGAGGTCTTGTGAGTGCAATCCCGGCAGTACATTAAAGACAGACGCGTATGCGGTGTCGAAGACCGCGTTGAGATAGAGATTCTTGCATCGAAAGAATGCGTCGCTCACTGTGAGAGCTGTCCTCTCTAGGGGACTGCCGTACCCGAGGCTCTCCGTGGAGGAGGTATTGTACCTGGAGGGATAATATTTCCGCGCTATGTCCTCGATCGATTCAGGCGTTAGACTCGGGACATAAGCCTCAATAATGGATGGATAGGCGGAGCTATTGGCTCCGGCTGGTGGAGTAAATGCTAGCCCTTCGTTGGACGTATGGCTTGTCATAACGCGGAGATTTTTCCATTTAAAGTTAGGAGCCAGCATAGCCCGGCTCGGTAATTTCGGGATGAGGCTCCCGTCAACGACCGGGCCATACGTGAACGTCCCATAGACTGGCGTGGTCGCTATCTGATAGGCATTGGCGGCCATTAATTGGCTTGAGGGAAGACGGCGCGCTTCCTCGACCGACGACACGTTGAGCAACCGCAGGAACTGACGTAGGCTTGACTGTTGCTGCTCCACCGAGAGTGGATACCAGGTCGGACTCTGGATGATGGCCTGGTGAAAGGGCAGGTCCGCAGTTCCATTCGCACGTGCTGCGATTTGATGGATAATGGATCCCCCGCCAGCAGACTGGCCCATGACGGTGATCTGACCGGAATTTCCTCCAAAGAGGCTGATATGTTGCCTCACCCACTGCAGGGCCAGTCGCTGGTCATGAAGCCCAGCATTGGCCATGCCCTTGGCATCCGACAACCAGCCAAAAGCACCCAACTGGCAAGTCAGCTACATCGTGCGACTGGATCGGAGGACTCACCCGATAATTGATGGCCACATAGATGAATTCCTCCCCTGTGTCCATACCCCTCTTGAAGAGACCTTTCGGATCCCATTCAGTCTTGTCACCGCCAACGTATCCACCTCCATCAATCCAAACCAGCACTGGCGCCGACGCATTTTGCCCACTGCTGCCTCCTTCAAAAATACCCTTTGGTACAATCACATCCAAAAAGAGACAGTCTTCCGTGATTCTGGAATCCCCAGGTGGCCAGACAACCGGATAATCGCTGATGTTGCCAGACTGATTAAACGGCGTCCCTAAGAGCACGCTTTGCAAAAACGGGACCATGATTTCCGCACTCCATATCGGTAATCCCTGAGGACAGACGCGTCCAACGGAGCCAGTCTGAATCTCTGTGCGGTTTATACTTGGAGGTTGTGGCGGCAGAAATCGCTGAGTACCAGTGGGGGTTGCAGCATAACGGATGTTGCTAAAGTTGTAGGTTTGGGTCGTTTCCTAACATCGTCAGTACCGATCCGCAAATGAGGGTAAGAGAAAGGAATACATCAAAAGAAATCGCCCGGTGCAACTCATAACCCAGATCCACCACCGGCAGCGAACTCGAGAAGGAAAACGCCGTGAGACCAGAAAAGAGAAGAGAATAGGCCGCGTTGAGGAGACGCATGGTGAAGGATCATTCTTAGCAAACTCAAACCCCCACACCCACAATGCTTAGCGATAAACTCAAAACCAAGAGTAGTAGTGTCTTCACATCGTCGAAGATAATCTCAGACAGAGCATTCTGCAGCGGAGTTCATACTATAACCGTTGCAGTCGTAACTGGAAGACCATACACCGTCCACCCAATCTCTATTCTGCTCCTCTGCTTGGTTTATATATACCTTCTGAATAACTTAACAAGGGCGCTATAAGTGCAGCAAATAAACACGAACTCAGACGTATAAAACCTGTTCTTATGACAGTTAGGAATGAGATGAATGTTTTCATCCTCTCAGTCTCAGCCACACCGCCAGACCGGAATCATAGTTCCGGATTCGGAAATGCCATACCTCCCCGGCCCCCCCTCCTCCCGCTTCTTCCTTCGTATACCGCCGATCATTACGCTAACATCCACGAACGGACACGTCAAAATAATCTATTCCCAAGATACTCGGTACTTGCATACACACATACACACATACACACCCCTATCTCCATACCAATATCGTCTCACCGATTCAAGCATCAAGCATCAACATCAAGCATCCACCTCCCGAACCCCATCTTTCAACATCAATTCATTTGACTCCGACGCCAACCCATCCATCAATTTCTCCGCCGTCACCAGCCCCAAAGCCGGTGTCCGAACCTCGAATTTCTTGCCGGGCGCGGGCGCTAACCCGCCCGGTAACTCGTACGGGAACGGCAACCACCGCGGTAAGAGGTCGAGTTGCATGAGCACGGTCGCTTGGTCCCAGGAGATGTGTTCGTGGTAGAGACGGTCGCCGCGGATGTTGACTACCGAGGTGCAGGGGATGCGGAGGGGTTTGTGGGTGGGTGGGATGTTGGGGAGTCTGTGGCCCGTTTTTTAGTATTGTTAAATGGGTGTATGGATGCAGGGATGTAGAGATGTAGATGTAGGGAAAGGATGGAACATACAACCAGTCAATCTCCTGATCATGCGTAAGACAAGCGACAAACTCATCCACGACCCGGTCAATTCCCACCGTCCGACTGACCAATTCCAGTTTTGTATCTTGTGGATTCTTGAAGATAAAGTGGTTGCGGTAAAAGTTGCTGAGTTCGGAGCGGCCCATGCCCCCGGTCATCTATATTTATCTACACATCAGTTCTCAAACTCATAGTAATATAAAGTGAAATGCAGTCATGAGTTGGGGGGAGGGATTACCGTCGGAATATGATTCACATACGGCTCCTCAACCATGGTAGCCATAGTTTTCTCGACCGACCGATCCCCGAATTCATAGTAAGTGTGCTCTTCCCAGATCTTCTCGAGGTCAAAGTACGGTCCGTTGAGAAGGGGTTTGAGGAAGGTGAGGGTACGCGTGTGGGCCACGCTGGCGGCGGAGTATTTAAAGTGCGGGTGACCGGGGATGATAAAGCCGGAGGAGGATACATCAGGGTAGGTATATTGTTTGCATTCGCTGAACATAGAGAAGAGAGAGTCGGACTCCGGGCCGGGGAGATGGACGAGGGATGGGATTTTGGTGAAGATGGTGTCGGTATTCCAGACACCGTGGTAGACGATTCCTGCAACGGCCGACTCATCGAGGGAGGACAACAATAATTCCGTAAAGAAGGGTTCATAGTCGGATTCGGAGCCGTAGACTTGCGTTTATGTTAGTCATGTGCGTGATACTCCTTTTTCTGCTTCAGATGGAGTACTAACTTAGAATCCCGAATTTATCCTCCCTAGTGCATCCAACCAAACTGATCAAGGCTTGCACTGCGGCTCCGATTTTCTCCGTAAAGTGACAGTCGCTGGAGCTGGATTCGAGGTCAAGCGTGACCTGGGCTACTGCGTAGCTTTCTTCGGCCCATTTTTGTAGAGGCTCGGGATCTAGACTTGTCTTTTGGTGTATGTCCTCTGGCAGGTTGCTCGGTCGGATTATGAGCAGACCTGGTCCTTTGCCGCATCGTGAAAGAGGGGGCTGAAGGATGGTATTATGGCCGAGGTCGATGGGCCGGGCGGCAGGGAGGGAGGTGGAGTGGGAAGCCATTGTAGCTGTAAACTCTCAGTCATATTGGGTATGGATGGTTGAGGAGTATCATCGTGAAGAGAGCGAGTTGTGGGCAACTGGAAATATCGTGTCAGATTACCCCGCACGGCTGCGGGGCTTCGTCCGATGTTTGCTTGCTTATCATGATAAGATAGCCACAACATCCTCTATGGGACAGTTCACTAATTTAGCTGGCCAAGATTGAGTAAAATATCAATACCTGGTTGTTAAAAGGAAACAGCCAGCCAAATTGCATTTTCCCAGGATGTGATGTACACTACTAAGGCTCAGGGTTGCGCGGGGTACTAAAATGGTGAGGAGAACAATATCGTTGTTAGCCTTGATGCATATCTCTGCTATGTACCAAAGCGACAGCATCAGTTATTCGAAAGAGAATTAATTGTGGAGCTGACTTCCGTTAGGAGTTAAACTGCCATAAAGGCTTTCCTTGGACTGACATTTCCAGAGAAAGAATAGGTAAAATAAAAGGAAACCAAGCAGAACGGAAAGGGAATGAGAGAAAAGAAGGAATAGGGGTACCCTGGAGGGCAGATATGTTTCACCCTTGGGTGGTGGGCCGATATTCTCACTATTCTTCACTTCGTGTCGTTCAGGTTGCGACGAGACGGGTTGTAATTTGCCTGCCGACGAAGGGATCTTTCCACCCCTAATCAAGATAATAGGCGGTTCTCCCGCAGGCTTCCTCTGAACTGGTATATCAACTAGCCTCGTATCACCGCAAGCGACTGGATCAGACCATTTCAAGAACATATCCATGGTGTGTATGTACTCCGGTCCGCTAAAGTCATAGTTCTTCGTCACCAGGATGTGCAAATGAGCATCACGGAAGTATCCCTGGATCACCCGGCAATGAGATGGCATCATGAAAGAGAGCAAAAGAACCTATAGCCGAACCAGTCTCAAGCAGTTAGATTAATCCCCCCAGCCTTGAATCTGAGCAAGGGAATCTGCAGCTTGAGGGAAACGTGCAGGTTGAATGTCGTTCGGAAGTATGACCCACCGGAAATATCATATGAAACTCGGAAATCGGAATGCCTTTGCGGCAATTTGCATATGTCTGAGATCTCATGCTCCCTAGCATCCAGCCAACTATCATCTCTAGCTCCGACACAGTCACTCGATCCTCTGCTCGATCTGTGCCCCATGTGACCAAAGTACGATGCGGCTCTTGAGGGTCCAGGAACCCCCTGGCGCCCTCCAGATCTGTATATCGTCCGTCACGAACTATTCTCAACTGGCCCGCTCTTGGACCCGAGTACCTGTATCATTGTAGCCAAGGGTTAGTCAAGGTCAAGCTATTCTCAAAGGTCCCATACATGATAGATTCAGACGGCCGCGGGAACTTCTCCGCCAGAAGAGCCCCATACTCGATATAAGACTCGACCAACGATGAGTGGTCCCTACTGTAGGCAAGGGAGTTGAAATCGTAGGGTCTATCTCAACTCCTCTGCTTTTCCCTCTGGCTCTGATGAGAACTGGTAGACCTTGGCAAATTGGATCTTTCTGCTCTCAGTAGGATGACGGTTTGCAAGATATTGGGTGCTATTGCATATAAAATATCGTAATTGTTTACCATTCTTTCCGACGGGGTTTTCTTTGCGATTCGAGGTATTATCCATAACAAGTTTATTATTATGATGACTCAGAATCCGCTTGTGTGGTCTGCAATCGTTGGATCGGTTGTTATTTTGCTTGCGCTTCCCTCTGTTGTTCCATAACTCGTAGTAGTGGGTAGCAATAGACACCATTTCCTTTCGTTCTTCGGGTATATGCGGAACGTGTTCTTGAATGTAATGATTTAGATCCGGTAGTAGCTTAGCAAAGTATGATAGGGCTCTCTCCTTCTCGGCCTGATGGGGAAAGAGTTGCTCTAAGGTATCGAGATAGGCATGAAAGTCTCTCGGATCTTGACCGTATCGCTGGTGAGCTCGTTTAAGTTGAGCTATAGTATCTGACTGGAGAGTAGCAGCGTTTCGAATCAGAGTAAGCGTCCAGTCTTTGAATTGGGGCCATGATTTTTCAAGTGATCGCCTCTCTTCCGGAGTCTTATTATCGATGAAATGATACTATCTTTGCCTGCACGTTGGGTCCATGTAGCTAACAGCAGCAAAGATCTTGCGTTCTTCGGTGGAATATTTTCTAGGAGCCCCCCGAAACATGTATTCTAGGTCGGTGATCCATTCCTGACGTTTTTGGAGGTTGAAGTTCAATGCAAAGCGAGGGATATCTCTGAACTTGATTTCTCCTTTCTCTTTATCAGATTCAGGGGAGGATCGATAATGTTTGGATGAGATTTCGCTAGGAGAACGATCTTCCTGGAGATGGGCTATTCTTCGTCGTAAATTATTGGCTTGCTCCAGACGATGAACATGATCTTCTAATTGTTGGATCTCTTCAATGGTAGGGACGGTATTCGATGATGGTTCGGAGTCGGTTCGATCGCCGACCACTTCTGTTTCTTCGTAATTTTCAGGTGGCATCTTTCTTAGGTAGTCGAAAAAGAAGGATCAGAATGTGATAGGATCTACTTGTCAGGGTAGAAGGCCTGTCGACTAGGTAAGGAACTGGCCACCAAACGTGTAGGATTCCACTGGTAAATGACAAAGGTAGCCTATATCCACGAGATAGACTGATCCTTGAAGGATCAGATAGTACGACTCTACCCTCTCGTTATATGAAAGTCATCGGACCGCTACAGTACGTAAGTCGATGACCTCACGACTCTGATCCCTTCAGCATGGCCTATTACCGGGCCATGACATCGGTCGGGCTGGTGCCGATAAGATAAGGCCTCAATCCGGACCGTTCTATCACAATTCAAGGCATCCAGGCGTGAAGGGGTCTCCTTTTTACTGCGGTAGTGTGCAAACCTATCGTATTCGATGTTGGCCGCCGAAACGTTGTACTCATCTCTGGGATTAGGGCGGAAAAAGGAAGTCACGCCTGGGGAAGTCTGTCCTGTGGAGATGTCCTAGCTGGAAAACTGGATTCCCAATACTTTGGCTTCCCCATCGGTGAGATGTCGTTGCTCCAGTTGATACAGTCGCTTGTACAGATTGTCGACAGTCATATGCCAGTTGAGGTACATCCTCCCCTTGGGGGTGTCTTTTTTCTTTGAGCCCATTGCGGAGATGGCAGGCGGTGTAGCGTCTGGATGTCAGTTAAGGAAAGAGTGTAGGATGTAACTGTAGTTGAGAACAAGTGTCGAGAGGAAATGTTGTGGTGGAAGGTCCCTGACGTCGAGGTTGAAAGCCGATATCAGGCACCCGGTCATCAGTGCTAAACTGCTTTGGGAGATCGCAGTGAGCTGATTGTTACTGCTAACTTGTATTAGCGAATATGCGCCATTCATGGTTGTCGCTGCCGCTCCAGTAGGGGGAGTTGATATTAAGTAATCATAAAAGATACTAGGCTAGGTTTTGGCTATCAAGCCTGAGCCAATCCTGGCTTCTCATGGGCTTTTATGTGTCTTAGGCGACTTGATCTAGCTTCTGCCAGTGCTTACTACTCCAGGGAGATCAGATACAGGGGTTGTGAACTAAAGGACTATCTGCAGACGACATTTCAAGAAATTTGTGAACCATGACATCTTCTTGAGATGGGCATGTCCAAAGTGAAGTATTCACTGCAAGTAGACGAACATACTACATCGAAAGAAGCACAGGTGATGTTTGATTTACCTTCACCATATTAAAGACATAGCACAGCCGCTACAGAGGGAACCATTGATTGAAAACATTGTCAGGATCCGCTTTGGCTTTTATGGCCTTCAACCTGTCAACATTTTCCCCATACACTACCGATAGCTTCTCATCACTGGCGAAATTGATGTACCTGGATACAATCAATGAGTTAGTTTCAAGCCGACATTTTTGGGGGAAAACATACGCGGCAGGGGACTCAAGCCCATCAGTAGACCTCCATAGCTCACGAAGTTTAGAAGTCCAGGCTATAGCATCCGAGTCAAGGCTAGAGTCAGTGTACCACGGAATGGCGACCGCATTGAAGTTGACCTTGTTTCTCCACGCATACGCAGAGGAGACTTGACCGAACGACCGTGCCTTCTTGAGGGAATATGCCTCCAGAAGAACCAGACTTGTACCGGTACCGTCCAACGAAACAAATGAGACATACTCCTCCCAGGTTTCTTTCCATGTGCTAGAAACCATACTGTTGAGACCGGCAGTTTCCAATAGTTTGTAGCCTCCTTTGACACAGAAAGCGTCTATCACGTCATTCCAGTGAGGATACTGAGTTTCTTTTGTGGTGTCGTTAGTTGGTCCAATATCCAAGATTGATGAGAATGCAGCTCTTCCTTCTTTCTCGGTCCCGTAGTAATGTGGGATCAGAGATATCATGGGTGTATAGTCCGGTTCACCACTGGTCGAAAAGACCAAGAAAAGAGCCATTTTGGGCTCAAGAGTTAATGCATCGATTGCGTCCACAATTTTCTCCAGCTTGTCTGGTGTGAAAATGAGCTGTCCAATCCAGCGGTTTGACCCGAGGGTTCAACGGGATATGATTTCATCTTCGCAGATGTGACAATGCCAAAGTTGGGACCAGCTCCGCGAAACGCCCAAAAGAGATCCTTGTCCTCCGGTGTGATCGTATGCAGACATCCGTCTGCCATGACCGCATCAAGAGACAATATATTGTCGACCCCGAAGCCCACCATGCCCATCAGATTACCATATCCAGCACCAAGGATAACCTCCCAAAGTTCCCATGCAGTTGCAGTTACCGGTTGGTACGAGGGCATTGTTTTTTGAGGCAGCATTTATCACCTGAGTGACAGAGGCACCCCCTCCAACCGTAACCTCTGTTCTCTCATCATTGAAGGTGACAGAGTCAAATTGTTTGAGGCTGATGATCAGTCCATCGTTGTAAATGTGCAGCGATTTTGCGCATCCATGCCCGCCATTCTGAGCTAGGAAAGGGATTTCCTTTGAAGTGCAATATTCCACCTTTCGTAGCGCATTCATTATTAATGGACGTTAAATTATATTTCATTTGGAGAACAACATATTATTGCAGCCACATCCTGCTCATTGGCCGGTGTCACGACGACGCCAGGTTTAGGGGCATGAAATTCACTCCATCGCCCATGTTTAGTTGCATCCCAGCCAGAGATTACAGCAGATCGTGATAGTTGTGGCCCCAGTTCCTTCGATACTTCTTCCGGAGGCAATGCCGAGATCCTCATTGCAGTAGACAAGAAAAGCAAGGCATCTGTGATGAAAGCTTTCATGCTAACATACGACGTACCTCACCACAGCGGGGCATCAAAATATATATTGATGAACCACTAAAAGGGAACGTAAATGGGGCTTGCAAGACTTGACTTATTTCATTGAGCAGATGAATTCATTGTCGCCTTTCTGTGGTTTGTAGCGGATGAGGTGGATGGGCGATGAGAGGATAGTACTAGACATCGAAGGCAAGACATGCGGCCCAGTATACTTCCGGGCCAACGTCATGATTGCCCGCTTCTCAAATATTTCTTGCTGTGAGTGACTAGACGATACAGCTAGTTTTGTAACGTGTAGGTATTGACAGGAAGGATATATAGCACACGGAACAAGCCCACTGGTGGTACAGCAGACTGTTAAGATATTTGACGTATTGAGTCTCATACAGTGACCAGAACACAATGCGATGTGGTGCTTATAGATGACTCCACGTGGCGAAGAACCCACATCACCTAAAGGATATAGACAGTATGCTTGGTACACTTGCTCAAAGAAGCCCAGACAACATCCTGGTGAGATTTCGCGTGTGAACTTGGGAGGTCAATCTTTGTGCTCAAGGTGTTGATAGCGGGAAATTTCGGCAGAATCCAGGAACCTAGTCACGTGGTGGGGAAGCTCAATCACGTGCGCCATCCGGCGATGTCATTGTTTTCCCGACAACAAACGGTCGTCGCCGAAGTTCTGCTGGAATTGCTCAAGCTGGTGCCAGGTTGTGGATGATACCACAGTGAGCTTCCTCAATTCAAGGGACTCAAATAATTCATCACGTCTGCTTCGTTCATCCCAATCGGAAATACTGCAGGTCCTAGCTCATCAGAACCCCTCGCGATTCGTCCTAATCTCAGCTCCCGAAACAAAATGAACGTCGAGTTCCAGGGATCACTCTTCAACCTCGAGAACAAACTCAATGTCCTCATCACTAGCCTCACAACCTCCCCAACAGCTGCAGGGGCGCCTGCCGCCGCGGTCGGCCTATTAGACGCAGACGACTCGTTGACCTCCGCCGTCGAAACCCTCCGGCAACACCAGCAGAACTACGCCAAATTACTACGGCTGCGGGAAGAGGCCCAAGCTTTGGAGGAAAAGGTTAAGAGCATCGTTCGCGAGGTTGTAGCCTACGAGAAGGAAATTCGAACGACTTGTGGGGACGATGAAGAAAGCGATAGCGATCTGGACTGTGAAGATGATTCCTCCGACAATGACTTGGACGAGGACACGAGTGGCGATAAACCTAGGTCTGGTGGGATACGCGGCATCAAGGAGGTGGACTACAAGCTACTCCTGGACTTTGCGCGGAGGATCAGCAAATACAACCATCAAGCAGCCGCTGATGCTGCAGCGAATGCGGAGGCCAGATCACGGGAGAAACTGCAAGACAAGGGACCTGATTCGGACATAATGGGTGCGAATGGCAACACGGACGAGGCAGCGGAGCCGGTCGCAACTGTCACTAAAGAGGCGACCAGTTGGCTTGATGAATCCGCGAATATGACTCGCCAGGCGTACATGTTACCATACCCGATGGAGGATCGCATTCGAATGGGGCTGATGGCACAAATACAAATTGCCGCTGCTGAGGGCCGATCGGGCTTTGACCCAGAGAAGGAAGTTGAACGTCTAATACGTGAGGCTGAGGGCGTTGGAATCGCGGATGCGGTGCCCCCGGTAGACGTAGGCGAAGGTGCTCGTCATGCAGATGAGGCCGCGAAAGCAGCAGCACACGCTGGGTCTGCGGCAACAAGCGGACCGACGATGGGAGCTGCACTAGCACCCAAACCCAAGGCTACCCTGGACCTGGACTTGTATGACCCGGATGAGGATGACGAGTGATGCGACGGGATCTACGAGCAATAATATACGCAGATCTGAGATAATATTTTAACAGCAGGACTGTTTCTCATTCGTCTTCAGACAAAGAACAAACCACTGGTTCATCGCACTACATCCTGTGCACGGAGGATTTGGCCGTCCACTTCCGCAAACGCTTTCCATAAAAGTAAAAGGGAATCGCAAAGAGACACCATAGAACCGCTAGCGACATGTTCAACATAATTGGCCTCACGAAACCACTCTTCTCTACCCAGGGTGTAATGAACTCGCTGAATCCATAGCCCCAGAGGTTCTTGTTCACCGTGATTGAAACGAATATTGAGCCACAACGGGCTTATAGCTATCGACTGCGTAGGTGCTGGTGATGGCTGGGATGGCAGCAACCTGGATACCTGCCGCAGTGTATCCGATTATGACAATGGCCTATAGTTCAGTTAATGGGTCTCGATGGGATTTGTCACAGTCAAATGATCGAGCCAACGTACCCTCCAGTCCCATTGATATTGGTATCCAAATGCCACCACAAAGTTGCCAATTATGGATACGATCACATACGGGATGATCGCGGGCAGTCGCATTTCTGGTTCCCGGATCCCGCGGTTCCTCTTAGTGGCTCTCATCGAGATCCAGTCCGAGAGAGGTCCGTTAGTCGCCAGTCCGATGAAAGTTCCGATCCAGATGGCAAAGTTGAAGAGCCCTATTGTCTGGCTGGGGAAGTTATATGGAGGTGCGGCAAAGGCCTCGCTCTGGGTGAGGTTCAGAGTTAGAAACACACTGGCCGACCAGGAGACATTGAAGGCAGCGAATTCGATAATAGGAAAGCACAGTAGCTTCCACGGAATCCAGAAGCTACTAAGTAGCTTTTGCGTACTGTGGTCGTCTAGCTGCCATAGTTTGAACTGCTGCTTCGATGGATACCCTTTGCCAAGCCATGGATCTGTTTGCTCGTCTCTCTCTGTCGAGACATCCTCCTGATGAGACGTCTCAGCGGGCTTTTCCGGTTGTAATGCTGTATCCGAACCATTTGACACCTGTCCATGAATTTCTTCTGGATGAATCCGGTGCCATTTGGTTTCTGGGAAGAGGAAAATGACCAGAACAAGGACTAGCCCGAGCAGACCGGCATTGAACCAGAAGAAGCTGCGCCAGCCAACATGTTGAGCCATTGGACCAGCAATTATAGGGCCGACCTTAGGAGCCGAAGTCAGCAATGATGCACGGAATTTGGTTGACATCCCTTACCATGAGCGAACCGAAATAGAATGTGAAGTAAAGGGTATTGAAAGAGCCCCTTTCGTGCAAAAATATCGTATCCGCAATAATCTCTGGCTGGGATGTCTACCGATCTGTCAGTCTAACCATTCGCTACGATCGTTAGAAGGACTACCTCTGCAGGCCCAGCACCAAACCCATTGAGGACACAAGCTCCCATATAGCTTCCATAGGAAGTTGCCACGGCTCTCCATATATTGCTAACCAAACAGATAAGAGTGGAGAAAATCAAAACCGGTCGTCGGCCATAGACAGTCTGCAAAGGAATCCTACTACTGTCAATACTCTCCCACTTGAAGGTGTCTGTGACATACCAAAAGAAGTTACTAAACCCCAAGACGAGAATGCACACACCCGTGAACTTGACCACAGAGGCATAGTCCGTGTCGAACGTCTCCATCAGCTGGGGGAACATTGGCGCTAGAGCCAGAGGTCCTAGACCCTGACTGAAGGACACGGCAGTGGACAAGCAAATGGTGATTATTTTCCACAACTTGCTCCAGTTCTGCAGTCTTCTTAGCGACTTATTTCTCTGCTGCACAAAGCGATACGTACCAGAGGATCATGTCGATCCTTCGATGGCTGAGGAACAAGGACACGATCTGACTTCGACGACGCCTTCACAAAGTGATGCGTTCCCACATCTGCCATGATCTCCGTCCCGGGGTAGATCTCCGTATCGAGCTCTCGCTCAATCCTCGCAATTATTAGCACAATTAATCACCAAAGGAAGGAAGGTATCCAAACGCACTGGTGAAGTGCCTATCCATCCAACCATCCAACCCCGTCAGCAATCATCATCCAATTGAAACCATAACTATAACCGACCACTTACCGCTTCATCATAATCCATCTCCATATCAAATCCCTTAAAAAATCAATTCAAATTACTTCTTCAAATCGTTTACACGTCCAACTCCCTCTCTCCCCCACCCTCAAGCAAAAACAGGTTTTATTTAAACCCCGGTAAACAGAATCTTCCCGCCCACCGCGGAATCCTCCCGGACTATCATACCCCCAAAGCCGATCTGACCCATGGAAATCTAGCCAAGCGAGTGTCATACGAAGTGGAAGCGGGGATGCGGAACCTGATACCTCACGAAAGATTGGACATTATAGCCGGTGGATCTTTTATTGGTCCTGGGGGGACTGGGGAGTAGGATTCTTATCCCTTTGTTGTTGTTGCTTGGAGTGGATGGATGGATGGGTGGGTGGGCTCCACTTCCCCGGATTTGATGTTGTCGGACGGCGGGCTCGCTCCACCTTTCGTGTGGGGTTGGAACCGGACCCGCGACCGAGTTGGCGGGATTAAGCCGCTGTGGGGTTGGGTCCTGGGTTTACCGTTCGTGAGTTGTAGGCTTTGAGGGAAGATGTTTTAGTGGGCTGATTAAGTGGTGATACTCGAGTATATTGCTTACTTATACAAGAGAAAGCACTGTTTATGTTCTAAAATTCTAACTAGCGCTGATCCCCCCACAAAGCCTTCAACTTCTGAATCTCCGACTCGGTCTCCCATCCCAAATCCGCTCCAATACCAGATAACAGATCCAGCAGAATCTGACGCTCGGCCAGTTTCTCTAAACATTGACCCGTACCGTACAAAAACGCAGTCATATAGATACGCGCACAACTCTGCGGTCGAGCCAATGCGATCCCGATAATCTCTCTACAGCGGTGATCCACTTCCTTCGTAACTTCTCTGTAGCCCTGGAGTCTGTCAAACGCGGTGGTGGGGTTTGTGATGGCGTCAGCAGGACGGTTCAGACAGAGTGCCAAACGAGCGAAATGGTATTGTTGCATTGCGGCGGCACAGGAAGGGAGACTGTAGAAGATTTCGGGAAACGGCATGTATGAGACGTCGGGGAGTTTGGATGTGTCACGGGGGTTGCTGAGGCGGAGACAGGGGCGGAAGGTTTCGGGCATGCGGTCGATCCAGGATTGGAGTTCGACGGAGAGGGTGAGCCAGGAGGTGGTGGTTGGGGGGTTGATGGGGGTGGTGTTTAGTGATTGGGGTGGAGCTATTTGGTCGAGTTGGGAGGTCTTGAAGTGGGCGAGGAAGTTGGTTATTTTGGTGAGGAGATAGGTTAGGCTGTTGGAGGCGAAGTCTTCGTCGGAGGGAAAGGCGGCGCTGGGGGAAGTGATTTGGCCTTGTTCGTTGATGGGGACGCCGGCTGCGCGCCAGAGGGGGAGGTTGGTGGGGTCCAGGTAGGTGGGTAAGCGGCTGAAGTATGATGCTAGATAGTCCTGACGGGCGAAGTTCCAAAATGATGCGTTTATTTCTTGGGAGAATTTGACGGGGTTCTCTGGGGTACTGCCGTGTAGTTGTAGTAGTGATTCGAAAAGTGGCTTGATGCCGGTGAGATAGCTGTTGGTCATCGTCAGATAGAAGTCAGGGAGCATGGGAGGGGGGAGGGTGCGTACGACTGCCATTTCTCACCAGGCTCACTAATGAGTCTATACATAGTAAGGACGGTTGCTGCAGTTAGTAGAGAGTCTGCCTTTTTACAGACTGAGTCGTCTGTCGCAGATGGCGCACTGTTCTGTACTTGCTGACGTAGCCATTTGTTGATTGTACCCACGGGATATTCCAAAACGGTAGAGCTGGACGGCGTATAGGACTCTGACATGCTCTGGTTCATGCGTGTGATAGCAAGATAATAATAGTTTGCAGATTTCAAGAACCAGTCCACATCCGGCGCGTTCAGGTAGATCTCCATGGTTGCCGGAGCTGTGAACATCCCAATGCTTGCCGTACATATGGCTCCTTTCATTCGACCCAGATGTTTCGCTGCCAGGGCTGCGATCGAATATCTCAGAAAATCATCATCAATAGCACGTACAGGAACGTAGGTTGTGAAGAATCTTCTCGAATCAGAAAGATCAAGCCTGCAAAAGTGAGCATAATACACAGACAGATATCGTCAAGCTATTACGCACCATGGTGCTATGACTTGAGTGAAATGACGTATGAGAAAAGATATCTCGTGCTCGGTGTCGGTCATCAGCTCCGACACAACATCGTGGAAGTCCTCCTTCTCACTTCGCAGTAATTGGCTATCTAGGGATGGTATTCTGGCAGGAGTCGGTGCGTTGTCGGGTTGAAAATGGAGAGGCGTGTTGCCGTGGGGCTGGGACGCATCACCTAATGTATTAATTGGAGTAATTGGGAGGTGGGTATTACCCCTGTTCAGAGCACTCCATGGCTGTTCAAGTGTCGCAATACTGTCGCTTTGGAGCAATGCAGCAGGCGGATAGGGCGAGTTTCTGCCAGAATGATTTCGAGTATGTGCTTGTCGATTGGTTTGCCTCGACTCGTCTATTGATGATCCAAAGAAGGCTTGGCTGGCCTCCAGAAGTTGGTCTGCTGCAGAGGATGGAGCATGCTGTGATGCAAAGTCACCTTGATTGGTTATATCCCCGGTTGTGTTTCCATCTATACCTATACCGGACGGACTTTCGGTAGTGGTCTAATCGGTGTGAGCAGCAATAACTAGCAATTATATACGTGCGACCGGAGACCGGCTGCAGATTGCAGCTGGCTGTATCAGACATACCTTCCCTGGGCTATCTGAAGTATCTCTCCTGGAATCGCTCTCCCTATATGGAGCATATCGACGCCGGACTGAGGCGCCTTGATCGATAAACTTCCGGGTCTGAACGTATCCCGGGCATTTAACCCCGGCATTGGTGCAACGCTGACAACTTGGGCGTGTCTCGTCGCACTAGGATAGTCAGATCTAAGCAGCAGAAGAGCAAGCGACCAGATATTAACCTTGAGATGACGCTTTTTACATCGCTCACACGCCTTATTCGATGGAACGCCAGGCATCGTTTCGGCAGTGTGGTGTCAGAAAAGGACTGTATTCTTGACCTTGAAGTCGAATGAATAGCATTTTTATTCCCAATGAGGTAAGAAGTAATCATCCATCTCACAGATAATTCAAATTGACCAAGCAAGTTGCAGAAGTGGTGTTTCTAGTTCGGCAGCACGAGGCGAGGGAGCTTTCGTCGTCGCGGAGCTTGGCGGTCGATCGAACCGGCCTCGGAGCCGGCAATCCCTCGGACAAATCTCGGCAGACTTCCCGGGTATAGCCGCGATGCTCCCCTTCGTCTCCTCAAACTCTCCTCCAAGTTTCAGCTGGATCGATGAACGCCGACACAGGCTTGATCCAAGACCTATCCTGTATATGACGTATTTCCCCCCCTGCGATCTGCGCGGTGTCCAAAGTTGCTAACAGATTTGTTCAAGTGGAAATCAATCTCTATGAATCATTGATACAAAAGTCCCCGGATGGGCGTGTGCTGTTCTTTCGCAGATTCTGGCTACGGATGCGAATGATTCGAGAAATTATCTCGCAATCATCGAACGCCATTCCCATCGATGCTATGGCGGCTGTGCCGCTCGAGTCAAGGTTGCTGCATGGTTGAGTAATCGGCGACATCATATCCCCGCATTCATTGGAAATTGCGCGGGGTAGGCGTTGCAATCTTCTCTATGTCATCCATCTGAATTTATCTATCGATTTACAAGCACGTGCAGATACTCGTACTAGACATGAGCCACGGGAATCTGCAAAATGAAACGGCCATCGTGACCGGAGGAGCCTACGGGTTCGGTGAAGGCATTGTGAACAAATTCATTCGTGAGGGTGCCAACGTTATTATTATGGACATCGACTCAGACAACGGCATACGAGTTCAGTCTAATCAGCCGACAAGAAGTGCCGTCTTTGTGAGAGGAGATGTTTCAAATGAGAACGACTGGAAGGCTGTTCGCGATACGACATTGAAGACTTACGGAAGAATCGATATCGTAGTTAACAATGCTGAAATTGTGAACAAGATTCAGATAAGTTATCCTTATACGTGCTTAGAATTTGAGTACTGACTGCCTAGTCATCTCTCAATGTACCAGAAGACATGTTTGATCGTTTACATAGCGTCAACGTCAAAAATATCTACCATTCCGCAAGGGTCATTGTTCCCGTCATGCAACAACAGGGTGGAGGTGGCGTGTTTGTGAACATCTACAGCATGGGGTCCCTTCGTCCTCGTCCAAACTTTGCTTGGTATGCCGCCACAAAAGGGGCAGTCAGCGCGGTATGTCTTGTCCATCGATGCCCTAGCACTGATAAACGACCTTTCATGGTCATGTTGTAACATGCGATGCTGAGACGATCAATAGGCAACCAAGTGTCTAGCCGCGGAGCTGGCAAAAGACAATATTCGCCTCAATACTGTGTGTCCTGTTGCAGGAGAGACCGGAATGTATGAGACCTAGTCTGTTTCTTGTGCCCGTTTATGCACCAAGGCACAATGCTAATGCATGATCAGGACACCATTGATACTTGGGAACCCTGATACTCATGAGGCCAGGGGTTCCATCCTGTCCGGTATTCCGTTGGGTCGATTTGCCACCCCAGCAGATGTCGCCAATGCCACTGCATTTTTGGCGAGTGATGAGGCTTCATTTGTTACTAGAGTTGAGCTGCCAGTCGACGGGGGAAGGGCTTTGAATTAAACACACCAATTCAAGGGCAAACCACAAAGAAAAAAGAATTTGCCAGAGATGAATAATATGGTCCTGCAGAATACAGGACACTAGGTAGAATTTCTCTATTGGGTAAAAAAAAGAAAAGAGAAGCAAGAAAAGGGCCAGCGAAAAAACACTCTGATAGACGGCCCGGCAAAGAAGGCATTCACTTCAATACAGGATTACAGGCCAGCTGATCTCTTCCCGCACTACCTCCCAGTAACCTTCAAACCGCCTATGAATTACCACCTCGCGTGTGCCGCATCGATTGTTGAAATCACCGATACCAACATTTTAGTTGGTGCTCTTTGAATGAGAAAGAAGCCATCTAAGTCCGCTAATCAAGTCCTGTGTGGCAGCCTTCGTCGTCGAGAGTTCAGGGAATATCCAGAATGCGTGTGGCATCCCCGGGTATAAGGCGACCCGCAATGGAACGCTAAGCAATACACCGTCAGTACTGAGTCGTTGCATGCATGACAGGAATCTCCATGTACCAGGCTTTTTCGATCCTGTCTGCATAGGCCAGGGCTTCATCGCGAAGCGGGTCCTGGCCACAGATCATAAGGAACGACGGAGGAGACTTATCAAGCATGGGTGACAATAACGGGGAGATTATCGGGCGTTCAAGACCGCCAGGCTGGTACCAATCGAAGAATTGCTTCATGGACTGGCGATTCAGGATAGGGGTATCTATATACTCGGTCATACTCCTCAGCCCCATCCTGTGGTGATACAGCTCGCTGCAACACAGAACTGGAGCTCGAAGAAGCTGACCCTGAATGGAAACACCGAGTGCCAGAGTGAGCTGACAAAGTACAACAGCCTAGGTCAGATGGCGATATATTCCTGTTAGCATGGTTATCCTTTCTCCAACTCATATGTCGCATGATGTATCTCACCAAAGTTGCCCCAGCACTCGTTCCACCTACATAAATCTTGTCCACATCGAAGCCATGGGTTCGGTAATTGTCCGACACCTAAGAATAATGATGTGAGTTATCAGATGACCTCACCTTGGTGATCGGTAAATACCCAATGGAATGCTGTGATCGAGTCCAAAACCGCCGCTGGATACGGATTTTCCGGGGCACTGTACGATTTGATCATCTCAACTTGTGAACCAATCCTGGAAACAACTCGGGTCTCACATACAGGCGATAGCCAACGCTGACTACATGGAGGTCACCTTCCACGCACAACAGTCGACAGGTGTTATCTTCTCCGTCCAAGTCTCCCATTGCCCAGCCACCTCCATGGAAGCTTGACGCCTCATAATCAATATTAGACCCACTGCGATGTGAAAAAGCGGAGCACATACTATATCATCACCGCTCCATTTGCCTTTGACGACAGCGACTTATATAAACGAAGAGGAACCTCGATGCCAGTCTGAGAAACGGCAGTGTATTCGTGGATCTCGAGCCCGTGAACTATTGGTCGTCCATATTGCTGTGCACGCATCTTGGCTTGGTGCATCGTTTGGCGAAATTGGCCGACCGAGCCTGTCAAGTCAGGAACGATACTCCTATGCTCTCGATAAAACTACACTTGATGTCAGCATTTGTCTTGCAATTTTACCGCCACTTTCTCTGCCATCTCTTCTTTAGCTTTTTCTGTGCACTACCTTACCTCTTCCCATTCCATATTGGCATTGGCCAGGGTATCTCGTTGTGAAAGCCATCGCCCAGGCTTTGTACTAAACGCATGTTCGGTATCCATGACTGCTCAAGGTTAGTCTAAGTAGGTATCAAAACAAACCAAGAATATATTAAGAATAAGATAAGAATAAAATAAGAATAGGTTGAGAATAAATGAGAGTGGAAGTCAGGTCAAAGAGGTTGATATCTCACAGCTCCGTTAAATAGCCACTGTTACCTGTCCTTTGCTCATCATTGTCGAATGCTTTTCACTACCAAACCCAATCATGGCATCATAGTGATCAGTGGGTCAAGTCATAGTGCTGTCCAAAGTATACCACATGGCATAATGTTCATGTGACCGGATATAGATAGGATTGCGCCTCCGGGGCCTCTCTTCTGTCCGATATCGCCGAGTTGAACGGTATACATTTGATGCGCTACCGGAAGTAGGCATGCTTGTAACAACAGATGCATCTCAGAAAAGGTTTCTACCTCAAAGTTTAATTCTTTCACCACATCCTGGTCACTGGTATGGCAAGATGGAGCCTAAATCCACTTAACAACCAATGACTAAGGAACACCCTCACCGCACGGGTAGGTTGAAGATACAAGTCCGACTATAATCCTTACTGTACACACAAACAGTCTAGCGCACCCGACCGTCTGAGATTGTCAGACTCGCACCAGGAAGCAAGTAAGCAAGTTACAGAATGGCACGCAGACCCAAGAAAGCATCCTATAGGGCAAATGGGAGAGGGTCTCGGGCCAGGACTGAGTTGCTGGTTCTCCGCATTTCGGCAACCGGATCATTTCATCCCTTGCAGAGCCCGGCCAACGCATTGCTCCGAGGGAGTGTTACATGCCCCCTTCCCGATGAGGCATCTCTGCTTGTCAATCGCTGCAGCTAACGCGCTTTGCCAACGTTCGAGGGATGTCAAACCAATTTGAATCCCCATGATTGGCCTCGGCTGTCGCCATGATCTCCTATATTCTACCCCTCCTATGGCCACCTGCCTCGAAGTGAGGGGTGGCTGCTTCCTGAGCATGCCGTGGAGAATTGGAATGCAACTATCCTATGCGACAAGCGCAAGGTTAAATACCTGGCCTCATGCTCGCTTGCTTTCGACGTTGTGGTTACTATATGAGACGCTCTCCATCTCTTCAAGATGTCACTTTCATCGGTGAAAGTACTCAGAGCGGTCGTGACAGGCTTGCTGGCATCTGTTGTTGCGACCGGTCTAGACACCAATAATTCTAGCTTTGATGTACTAGACTATGTTGACCCCCTAATAGGAACTTCTAATGGAGGCAAGCATCTTCTGGGTTGGTCCATAGAAATCATCCGCTAACCTAGTTCTGTAGGCCATTCATTTGCAGGGGCAACTCTACCCTTCGGTGAGAGACAACAATTCGCTAGGCATTCTAGCTCCGCTAACTCGTACATAGGCATGGCAAAAGCCGTAGCAGATACTCTCGGTGAAAACCAAGCTGGATTTGCCTACGACACAACATACGTCTCAGGGTTCTCCCACATGCACGACTCTGGAACTGGTGGTGTAAGTCGTCTGATGCGACAACACTTGAGCCGTTCTGAGTGTACTGTCTAGTCGCCATCCTTAGGAAACTTTCCAATTTTCGTGCATCCAGGCTGCCCTGATGACGCTCTCGACAAGTGTACATGGCAGCAGTCCGATCGGGCGACCGCATGGATACAAGGCTCACCGAAAGCTCGACCCGGATACTTTGGCATTGCGCTACAGAACGGCGTTAGTGCTGAGATGACTGTCACGAACCATTCGGCTCTGTATCGCTTTACTTTCACCAATACGACCACCCAGTCTCTTAGTCCTGTTGTTTTGGTCGACCTTATGGATCTTCCACAGTCACGCTCGAATGGAACGGCTTCGGTGGACCCGTCGACCGGTCGCTTGACGGGAAATGGTACCTTCAACCCCAGCTTTGGTATCGGATCCTATGATCTCCACTTTTGCGTCGATTTCAAAGGCGCTAGCATTCGAGACACCGGTGTGTGGTCCAACAATCGTGCCGGTCAAGGCCAGACAGCCATATCACTGACATCTGATGGGAGCAACACTGCGGCAACACTGTCTGCGGGGACATTCGCCCGATTCAACGCCCCAACGGCCAATCAAACACTCCTGGCGAGAGTGGGCGTCAGCTTCATTAGCGTGGAACAAGCCTGCTCCAATGCAGAAAAAGAGCAACCCAACTTTGACTTTCCCGGGACCGTGAGCGCTGCAGAGGCTGCCTGGAGGGATAAGCTGAATGTCTTTCAGGTTGACGCGAGTGGTGTCTCATCGGATTTACAAAAGGTCTTCTGGAGCGGAATGTACCGTGCAATGATCAGCCCACAGGACTATACAGGGGAGAACCCACTCTGGCAAAGTGATGAGCCGTACTATGACAGCTACTACTGGTAAGCAGCTTTTGGCGAAGTCGGCATCCACTGACACGTAGCAGCATTTGGGATTCCTTCCGTGGCGTTCACCAATTGCTCACACTGGCGGATCCTCTGTCTCAGTCCCTCATGATGAGAAGTCTGGTAGATATTTATCGCCACGAAGGATACTTACCGGACTGCCGTATGTCACTGTGTAAAGGATACACGCAAGGAGGGTCAAATGCAGATGTCCTCCTATCTGAAGCTCTCCTCAAGAACGTCAGCAACATTGATTGGGCCACTGCATACGAGGCTGTTGTGAAGGATGCTGAGATCGAGCCCGCGAACTGGAATGTCGAAGGCCGGGGAGGGTTAACTAGCTGGAAATCGCTCAACTATATTCCGACCGATGACTTTGATCCCTACGGTGTCGGGCTTCATACACGCAGTATTTCTAGAACGGTCGAGTATGCGTACAATGACTTTTGCATTGCTCAAATGGCCCAGCGGTTGGGTCATAAGAGTGACTACGAAACCTACACCCAACGTGCCACCAACTGGCAGAGCATGTTCAAAGATGATCAGAAGTCCTATCTGGGAGGTGTTGATACGGGCTTTACGGGATTCCTTCAACCCCGGTATCCCAACGGAACGTGGGGCTATCAAGACCCAATCTTCTGCAGCCCATTGCTTAACTTCACGTCATGCTATCTGAACGCGGACGGACATGAGACATACGAGGGGAGCGCATGGCTCTATTCATTGTAAGTCCAATTTCCTTCGCATTTCCTTATCTAAGCTGATCGACACAGCTTCGTACCACAAGACATGGCTGCGCTCGTTACCCGCCTCGGAGGTCCCCAAACCTTCACCTCCCGTCTTTCCTACCTCCACGACTCGGGTCTTCTCTACGTCGGTGACGAGCAAGCCTTCCTAACCGTCTTCCAATTCCACTACTCCGGCCGCCCTGCCTTATCCACCGAACGCGCCCACTACTATATTCCATCCCAATTCAACACCTCCGTCTCTGGCATCCCCGGCAACGACGACGGCGGAGCCATGGGCGCCTTCGCCGTTCTCAGCATGATGGGATTATTCCCCGTCCATGGCCAGGATGTCTACCTCATCAATCCACCGTTTTTCGAGGAGATCAGTATCCGGAACAAGGAGACTGGAAAGGTCGCAACGATTCGAAATATCAATTTCGATCCTACGTACAAGTCGATCTATATCCAGAGTGCGACGCGGGATGGCCAAGCGTGGACAAAGAATTGGATTACGCATGACTTTTTCACTCAAGGAGGTGTTTTGGAGCTCGAGCTGGGGCCGGTGGAGAGTAGTTGGGGGACTGGTGATGAAGACTTGCCCCCGAGTATGAGTACTTGATTTTTGGTCGACCAAGCTCTGGTAAGCTCGGGGGCGTATACTGGCAGAGAGGTAATAGCAGATGCCTATAAGCATGATTCAATACGAAACGATAATCCGGCGCAAGGCAATGCTTCTCCAGACGCCTTGCATACAGAAGAAGCACTATAAACCTTTCCCAATCAAGAATACCATACGGAGTAACCAGTTCCAAAACCAACCCGTCCATCACCACACCAGGTAATAGCTGAATTATCTCTACCGTCCCCCGCCAAATAATCTCCCCGCATCCATCTCCTTCAACTGCATCACAACCCTCTCCTACTACCCCCTCATCTTATCAATAACCAGAAACAGCGGCCCCGCCTGTATATCCTTGTCCATATCCAATCCAGAAAAGTGTCAATACATAGCTCGACTAGATAGTGGGGGTTCAAAAGATGAGTGGCACTCAATCATGCCAACTGAGCTGATTACTCAGATGCCTGTCTCAAGGAATAGTGCCCCTATCGGACTCAAACGTCAAGCGTGCCCATGAATTTCGAGATTGCAAAGCTCGAGCACGGAATTCATAACCTCAGGACAATGCTCCAACCTACCATCACTCCCGAGCTCTATATAATCGCGGTGACACGGGCGGTCTATACGCAAAATCCTCTCCGCGTGCTAGCAACTAGCTCTTCCATCAGTCTCAACCCCTTCCAGACGTATGGCAGTTCTATATACCGTCAATTTGTGACTTGGCGTCTTCTACAACCTCATGCCCCATACGGGGGCTTGCTTCTACATTTGCTTCTCGTTCCCGCTCATACGGTGTAGTGTGATCCAGGAGCATCCAAATGAAAAATAAATAAAAGCGAATGAAACATTCGGAGAGCTCAGTTACGCGACAGGAATGGAAAGGCACAGCAAAGTGCAAGATGCAGAGGAGCATAGGGGCAAGGATCAGGACTAGGATCGAAACATCACACGAAAGATGCCAATGGTCATATATATACGGACAACCGAAAGCTAGATTGCATAACCTGGGGAAGAAACTATACAGCTACATTGCCAACGAGAGCAGTGTTGAGCAGGGGTGTTCACATTGTCCTCTACGGAGTAATCCGTAATGAATCCAGCAACACATGCGACCCACGTCATGTGCTCGGCCCACTTTCCCCTTGCCATGACAGGGTTGCACTTGCCGTATATGGCAACTCAACAACGCTGTGCCTTATCGGCCAACGGGAGATTCCGATTCCGCGGGAGGTGCCTTAAATAATCCCGCGGCTCCTCCCCGTCCCATGGAAGAGATTTCCCACGTAGGATGGGTATTTTTAGACGCACTGACGCCTAAATAAAGGGCTAATCCTTGCTTGGCTTGTTGACAAGCGGTCAGTTTAACCGATCATATTGCTTGATCTCGCACCCCCACTACCAACGCGGGTACACGGCAAGTGCTTGGTGACACCAACACAGAAGTTACTAGCAAGATAACTTGAGGAAACAAAGAGACTCCTTTTTAATGAGCTGTTAAGACCCACTTCGCGCACAAGCGTGGGGTCACAGCTCAGGTGGTGAGATACAATCTCGCTATTTGCTGGACTAGACGATCCCTAGCCGTTGCCCCGGCCCGAACGACGGCTGGATATCAGCCACACTAACTCCATCAGGGCACCAACAAGGCTGTCCGCCCCCAGCTTCAGCTGAGCTCCACCAGCAGGTATATCTGATTGGTAGGGTCGCGTATCCCTGCTGGGATGTTAATGAACCAAGCCCGAGAACTGCGCCGCACTGAAACCTCAATTTACCAGCTTTTTGACGGTTAGTACCTGACCGGGGTCTCCCTTGCGTGTCAAATATAAACCACCACCCCACCCGCCCAATTCATCGCTTTACCCTCATTGTTAGACTCCCACAGCAATTTTGGGATGGATCTCATCAAAACAACCCTCTACGGCTTCCCCAAGCCACCCCCTCGAGTCTGCACCAAGCCCCTCCGAGTCATCTGCACGGGTCTCCCCCGCTCGGCCACCGAAAGTCTCAGTACCGCGCTTGAGCAACTCGGCTACCAGCCCTACCACGGGTGGGACCTGGTCTTCGACTCCCCCGGCTACATCCAAGAATGGGCCGCCCTAGCGCGGCGCAAATACGACGGCGCCCCGGACGGGGACTTTCACGCCACCGCGGCAGAATTTGACGCTCTCCTAGGCGATCACGACGCGGTCCTCGACTCTGTCCCCGCCATGTTCGCGGCGGAATTGATCGAAGCGTACCCGGACGCGAAGGTGGTTATGAACACACGAAGTGATCTCGATGCCTGGCACCAAAGTATGATGAAGACTCTCGTGGCAGAGACCGAAGGCAGTTGGAAAACATGGTTTGTGAGTACATTTAACGCAGAGATGTTTTGGTTATGGGAGGCGTATTACACGTATGCCTATGTGGGGCTGTTTCGGGCGCCGAAAGGGAAGACTGCTTCACGCGGAATCGAAAAGAATGGGAAGTGGGTGTATCGGGATCACTGTAATATGGTCCGGGGCATGGTGAGCAAGGACCGGCTTTTGGAGTGGTCTGTGGAGGATGGATGGGGACCGTTGTGTGAGGTATGTCTTGACACTTTTCTTCTCTTCTCTTTTGCTAGGATGTCCTCTGTGTGCTGATATCCGATACAGTTCCTGGGCGAGAAGGTCCCGGATGAGCCATTTCCCAAAGGAAACAACCCGGCTGCGTTCAAGAACAAAATAGCAGAGAAATTAGGGCCGCGTGTGCGGGGTGCAATGATCAATATCGCACTCACTGCCACATCCGTGGGGGTCATAGGGATAGTCCTTGGCTTCGCAGTCAAGGAACGGGGCGTGCCCTGGAAGACTATCGGGGGAGTTTCCAGCGCGATTGGGAGCGGGTGGGCTGTTTTGACGAATTTTAGGAACTGAAAGCATTTTTCTGTATTGACTATAGAAAGATAGATAGATTCGCTAGCTAATAGCCCTCTCTGACTGTCCTGTACACAAGGGTGAGGTGATTGACGCGCTTTGTTTTTTTCTTCTTTTCCTTACCCCTCATCTCTATCTGTATAATTCACAATCTCAAAAAAGGCAACTCATCAAAAGTCATCACTTCACATTCATTTCTTCTATCAAGTGGCAGAGAAGGGCGCAAGGTTAAGCTAGCGATGAGTCGAACCTGATAGAGAGTAGTAAATAGCTATTCCTCTCTAGTACTCTACGCGAGGTCTTACGCTACGAGTATTTGTGTAATCAGGGTCTTTCAGGACTAAACACAATGTGCGTTGTACGTTGTATAAGAGTGACTCATTGGCAAAAGAACAGGTAATGGATATGTAGAGTAATCAAAAATCGAAAGGTACACTGTCTACGAGGAAAGCAGAACAGCAAATGGAGTCACAAATTGAGTAGATATTGAATCCTTCTCCGTATGATCAGTTGCTCGGTTGAAAGTTGATTGAGAGCCTCCGATAAACCCATTGTAGACGTGGAACGTATTGCCCATTTCACAGAACGATGTAGACTACCGTACTTCATGATGGCAATTGTTGTGTATGAATGCCATGCGCAGTGAAAACTAACTGGGATTGGTAGATCGTAGCCTGCGTGTGGTCCCTTGTCAAGGATTGGAGTGTGAAGCCGTGCTGCAGGAACTGCTCTGAGATGCTAGGGCCGATTGAATGGAGAGCAGGTCGGTCAATGGGGATCGTATTGTTGGTGTTTCACTTGATCATATGGATTTTACCTCAATCTCATCATCGAAGTGGGCAAAATAAGAATTTGAGGCTATGATTGGATTAGTAACAAGTTTGTAGTAGTCTCGATAATGAAGGTGACTATGTTCTTCACGTTGGTCAGCCGCGAACGGACGTCGCTCTTTACAACGGGGTGTCTATGACTGATCCCCAGCTCGGGACCTTATATTCCAGCGATGACCTCATTCGCGCAGGTTATACCTACACCTATCTATCCCCTATGAACCTGAACCTTTCTCAGGCTTATGTTTCAGACGGCCTCCTGGCTCCTGAAGCCCCAGCATACAAAGCGATCGTTGTGACAAGTGACCAGAATGTCACCTTGGCCGGTGTCAAGGCTCTCCAGGACGATGCCAATGCTGGACTCCCTGTCATCTTGAGCGGCGGTCTTCCAGGGTATTACCCCAACGGTGCAGCGACTGACAAGGCCGCTGTATACGCTGCTCTTGAGACGCTCAACGGCTCTCGAAATGTCTACACGACTGACAATGGACTGGTTGCTTCAAAGCTCCAGCAGCTCAACCTCACTCCGCGCGTTGCGGTCCAAACCAACGGCACAAGGTATCCGGTACTCCGCACCGATAACAGCACAGATTACATTTACATCTTCTCCAAGGATTCATCCTCCCAGGGCCATATCACTGTCAGCTCCACCAAGGCCCCCTATCTTCTCGATAGTTGGACCGGAAAGACCACCCCATTACTCCACTACCAAACAATCGGCAACAGAACAATTATCCCCCTTCGCCTTGCTGCAAACCAAACAATCGCTCTTGCCTTCAGCAGCCAGTTGAAGTCTGAGGTTGCTACTCCACCCCTTCACGCAGTGCGTCTCCCCTCCAATGTCCTGGGGTACAGCTACACCACTGCCCACGGTCTTCTCCTTCACACATCCACTGATGTCTGCAACAACTGCATTTTCCAACTCTCCAATGGAACAACCTACAACCTAGCCGTCAACGCCACCACCTCCACAACAACCCTAACAAACTGGACCCTCGTCACCGAACACTGGGAAGCTCCCAGAAACATGTCCAACGCGGCCATCCAAGCAGTCAAGCGCAACACAACCAACCCATCACCTCGACGCCTTGGTCTCCTGGCTTGATATTCCTGCTCTCCAAAACGCCTCCGGACTAGGCTACTACTCCACTTCATTCGCCTGGCCACCGACCCCTTCTTCCAACATCGACGGCGCATACCTCACCCTCCCACCAATTGCGCAAGGCATCAAGGTATCCGTCAACGGATACAATGTGGGACCCCTGGATCTCACCAACCCTAAAGTAAGGTCATTCCTTACACTACTTCTCATTTTGCTATCTGATTGGAAATTTCCTGACCTGGTTCCATAGAGCTTTGCTTAAGACACACTATATCCCTGTTACATTTCTCGATTCTTCTTTGTTTACTTTTCGTGGGATGTGGAGGTTTACCCTCGGATGTCTTGGATTTTATATGGGCAGTTTCTCTACACTTTTGATAACATGTCAAGATCCACGTAGGCCAAAAGGAATATATCCCTTCTTAGCCCCGGGTGTAGAAGGTAGAAATATGGCATGTCTCAACATAACATTATGTGTCTGTTCTCGTATCATACATTCTCTTCCCGAATATCATCCCGAGATATATCAACAGGCTAAAAAGGTGGTCGGAGACCTACCAGAAGTCTTCTGGATGGAAGCGCGTTTGACTACAACGAAATATGATGGTTAGGCTCTGAATGCTGAAGATTAAAGCATTAAACTCGAGCTCAACCCTTGGAGATTGTTATTCTGTGGACTAGACTCGGTTGCGAACCTCCCGCAGACTTGGTGTATACATACCATGCAAATTTGGTATTCTGGGCGAAGCGTGGGTGATTATGTATTGACTTTCCGTAACTCGTGGGTCCTAGTAGAGGGGAATTGGAGCGTTGGTTAATTATCAGGTAGGATTGTCATTAGTTTGCCATTCATCTAGCAAATTGGTTACGGAATACTTGCGTTGGGTTTCTCCTGGCCATCGCGAGAAGAAGACCTATGTTGTTGTACAGATTACTATAGTCCTCCTAGTGAGTAACGAAAAGGAATTGTCTAATATCTAGGATCCAGACTTTTAGTAAAAGATCGCTTGAAGGGAACATGACAATGAGCATTCATTGAAAGTCTCTGTTAGAAATGGCTGGAGCATTGATGTTAGGGGGCCACGCTCAGCCTGCTAGTTGTGGATGCAAACAGAGAGTGGTTTGTTTGACGCGCTGGCCTCGTCGTCCACCTGACTTTCTTTACCCCTCTTCACAGCCTCACCACCTCGCTTCCACAATTTCTCGGATCATCTCAGTTTCATCGTCGCAGCGCAGTCGCTTAGCCCTGTCTTTCTTGCTTCTGTATGTTTAGCTCCTGTACTCCTTTGCATGATGGATTTCTGATGCATATTGACCAGCATGGAAGTCTTCATGCACAATGTCCCGAGTCAGCTCACGGATGAGGGGCTGAAAAAGCAGCTGGAGCCGTTCCTAAAGCCACTCGGAATCATCGATTTCTATTGCGACAAACCCAAGAAGAAGAACATCGCATTTCTTACATTCCGTCATCGAGAAAACGGAGAAAGGTTCTTGCTATTCCATGGACAAGAGGAGACCCCAGGGCTACCGAGCCCTCGTGGGAAACCACGTCTGAAATCCAAGTTACAAATCATGGGGTCGGATGTTTTCTGCGCGCGAAGCAAGAAACCTCCAAACAAATTCGCCCTACAAAGTCTTCAGCATACTGCCGACCAACGAACAAAAGACAGTCTTCACAAGTATGAGGAGGATACGCATGTCTCTTTCCGCTTATCTAGCTTCAGCTGTGGCTATCATAAGTTCCTAGGAGATGAACTCGGATACGTCCCTGAAGTCCAGTGGTCGGATACTGGCATTATGAAGTTCAGAAAGCGATCCATCACCATCAAGTTGAACAGTAACTACAACATCCGCATACCACTTAATACCGTTATAGAGTTGATATGGTCCAGGGATGGAAGCCTAACCCTCACCTTATCCACAGTCCCATACTTCTTTAATCAAAGGGGGGACTTGGACGCCATCATAACACAGATGGTTCAGTTTGGCTTTCGGGGAATGAATGTGGCAACACCTTCGCGCTCGCGTGTGTGCTCCCTGGGAGAGTCCCACGCAGAGGCTGTTGGACAGTGTCTTGTCTACCAGTTTCGGGTTCCTACCGTCGATCTCATGGCAGCCATCCAAAATCTGAAGAAGTGGGAGATTCCGATAGTGCGATACGATATCATCTCTCTTCAGATGGCACGCGTAGGGTCTTTTCAAGTTTCGATGAAGGCCCTCATGAGTGAGTTATCTATCTACACCACACAGAACTCCCTCCCATTCAGCATTTTGTTTCAGCTGCAAGCCCTTGCGTACAACGCCTATCTCCTACCGCACACAGTTTTGAGCCTAGCAAAAGAGTTAGCCAGGGCATATAAGGAAGACTTATCGGCAGAAAGGAGACCTATTTCCGTATTGGCAATGAAGAAATTGTTTGACATGATCGACTGGCCCTCTCCCCACGGCAATCCAGACGATTTTAAACCGGCCTCTATCTTGAGGACTTTGGAGCAAATTGACAGGGAAATCCTACAGGACATAGCACATCCGGGCGAGGTCCTAGGCCCAACTCAGAACTTGACGCCGATTCACAAAGTCATGGTTACGCCAACAAGAGTCACCCTCCACGGACCCGAATTGGAACCTTGGAATCGCATTCTGCGCAGGTTTCCCAACCACCACGACTACTTCATTCGAGTGCAGTTCTGTGACGAGGATGGTCAGGACCTACATTTCAACGGGCGTAATAGCTATGATGATGTGCTTTCCCGATTCAAGCATGTGCTCATCCGGGGTATTCAGATTGCTGGTCGAACTTACTCGTTTTTGGGATGGTCGCATTCGTCGCTAAGATCTCATGCAGTCTGGGCAGGTACAACTAGAACCCTGTATCTTGCCAGGTATACTAACGTCTTCTTACGATAGTTCTGCTCCCCCTTTGTTGATGAAGCTGGCCGTTTCCAAACGCACTTCAGTATCATAAAGGCGCTTGGTGACTTCGGCAAAATTCAATCACCCGCTAGGTGTGCCGCCAGAATTGGACAAGCATTCACGGATACGCCATTTGCCGTCTCCTTGTCCGATTATAACATAGAGGTTTCGGAGATAGCCGATGTGACCTCCAAGGATGGGTCACGAGTGTTCAGTGATGGTGTAGGAACTTTGTCCTGGGATGCAGCGGAGTCCATTTGGGATAACATACCGGAGAAAAAAGGATCTCCTACCTGCTTTCAAATCCGACTGGGAGGAGCGAAAGGGATGCTTGCTGTTGATAGCCGGCTTTCGGGGTCTCGTGTCAATATCCGGCCGTCAATGATTAAATTCAACGGCGAGATGAAAGATCTCGAGATCTGTGATGTGGCAGCCAAACCGATGGGCCTTGTCTTGAACCGGCAGATGATAAAGATCCTGGAAGACATGGGAACATCTAATGATTGGTTCTTCGACTTGCAGAACACAGCACTCGCCCATCTCCGCCAGGTCACCGCAAACGCTCATAATACCGAAGTCTTTATCAAACGACAGGCGGTCGGTGACAGTATCGGTCTCTTCAGGATCTATCGCCAGTGTCATCTACTTGACCTGGATTATAGGAAAGAACCGTTTCTTCGTTCCCTCGTCGAAGCTGTGGTTCTCAAAGAGTTGCGTCTACTGAAACACAAGGCTCGTATTCCCGTCCATGAGGGCATCACATTGTTCGGTATCATGGATGAGACTGGCTTCCTCGAAGCTGGCCAGGTATACGTAACTTATGATCCAGTGAAAGGAAGACACGCGGCCCCTCCTAAAGCTGGGAAACTTCTTGTAACTCGCTCGCCCGCTCTCCACGATGGAGACATTCAATATGCATACAATTCTATTCCCCCCGCTGGCCACCCGTTGACAGAGCTTACGAACTGCATCGTGTTCAGTAGCAAAGGAGATCGTGACTTACCAAGCCAGCTTAGCGGGGGTGATCTTGATGGCGATATCTTTAACATTATTTGGGATACCGATGCCTATCCAATCCGAACATTTGCCCCTGCGGATTATCCTCGTGTCAGCCCAATTGACATCGGCCGCCCAGTCATGAGAGAAGATATGGCCCAATTTTTCATTGACTTTATGAAGACGGATCATCTTGGAATGATTGCCTCAAGACATATGGTCTTAGCTGACCAGGAAGATGGGGGTACATCTCATCCCGACTGCCGAAGACTGGCGCAGTTGCATTCCACGGCGGTGGATTTTTCCAAAACCGGTATCCCTGTGCACATCAGCGATATTCCACGGGGGAATAATTTCCGACCGGACTTGTAGGTTGTCTTCCAGCATCACATGATCGATTGCCTCTAACTACTTACCTAGCATGGCACCAGGACCTCTAGCCCACATTCACAGCCGATCGGAAATCGTGCTTGACCAGTATGTTATTCAAGCAGCGTACGACGAGGACGACGATGCCGAGCCGCCCCGCAAGTATTATCGGTCCGAAAATATTCTGGGCAAGCTCTACAGGGCCATAGATGAGCGGAAGATTTGGTATGACGATGTTCACTCCAAAGTCTTGACGAACGAAGACGAGTTCTGGAACGAATTCCTGTGGTCGACCCATGAGCGATGCAATAAAATTGGTCCTATCTCATGGGAACGGTGGCTGGATGAAGCTCGGCGTATACGCTTGGTGTAGGTTACCAGAGACCCGAGCTTGCCGATGATGACTGACAGGTGGATTCAGATACGAAGAGGCCGTGTTCTCGGCAAGAAACAATTACTCCGACCACCCAATCAACCCAATCAGCGAACTCGAAGTGTTCATCGGATCCGTCATGAACAAGAGCGGAGTACAAACTCGTCGCCAGCGGGATCAGTCCACTAAACTCGCCGACGAATTCGATCGCATCTCGACCTGGATTGTGGGTCAGATGCGAGGGAACAGCACAGCCGGGCCAACAACCAGCCCCTCGGATCCGCTCAAACCTCTAGAGCTTTGCTTCGCCAGCGTCCATGCTGGGGGTGAAACGGAAAGAGGTTCCACACGCCGTCGCAGAGACGAGTACGGGGAGCTCAAGAGTTTCCGAGTCGTCGCATCCTGCGCCTTGCTCTTCGAGCTGGATCAATTCGAGAAGGGGAAGAAGCAACCTACCGGATACCAGTAAATCTTCCGCTGTCCAGGATGCCGGAGCCGATCGGCCACACAACTTATCCCTGAATCACAACGGAGTATCATCATCGTTAATATGCTATTTTCCCTGTCTACTACTGTACCATTCAAAAACATAAGACATGCGGGTTAATCTTTGCAGATACGAGTCAGCCCCCGAATCAATGTGACATGCGGTTTCAAACTATGAATCATCTCCCCTGCACCTGGGGAACGGTAACAAATGAAATTTTCTCCTAACCACAGCCAAGATAATTTAAACTCTACCATCCTGACTGCATCTATTTCTGTCCCCTAAACCGAGAATCCCCCCTGTTTCATGTCCCTCTTACTTCTCGCTTCCCATTTCCTGTTTCGACACGTACGTAGCATCAAAAATAATCCTGACCTTGCAAATCTATTTCTCACCTTCCATCACACCGTAGCATTACCCACAACTTCACCCACCTTACAGTCACAGTATATCCGTTCATCCCAAAGACCTAAATCCCACTGCAAACTCCTCCCCTCAACCCTCCCAAACCTACTAAGTAAGAAAGTAAGCACACAAGAAACCCCAATCCTCTATACACCCCATTGTCAAAAGCATTCAATACAATGCGTCGAAGACATTCGTGCTCTTCTACCAAGGCCCACACCACTTCTCTATAACTCCATCCCCGGCGTTCAAGCCCACTTTGAGTGTTTTGTATTTTAAATTTGTGGCCCCGGGCCGCGGAATTCATCTAATCTGATATGATCGTACGCCAGGGACCCACCACTGGCAGGACCTAGGATTATGTTGGTGGGGAGTAGGCGGGGGCGGTTATTGGGTTTCTGAGAGGTTGGTGTCATTGTGACCTGTCAGGGTCAATGAGAGGAGAAGGTAGTGAGTCATGGGGAGATCTGGTGGGTCTGGTATTATGCGGTGAAAGCGTTTTGTAGAAAGTACTCGAGAAGGTGATAGAATAGTATATCGCTCTCTTTATTTCTGTATGTGCTATCTTATTATGCTGTATATACGACCATCATCCCGTCATCCCATTATTAGACATTTAACCCAGACGCGTGAAGAGAAGCAAAAAGGCTCAGCTATACAAAATCATATGCACAATATGCAACAAAAGATCCGAAATATAAAATGAGAGAAGGGGAGAATAAGGGGGGTTTTACTTATATTCCCGACTCATATGGTCCATGAAGACCCCGATACTGGTTTCCGTACGGGTTGACCTTGGCATACTCGTCCCATGCTGCGCAGGTATTCTCCAACAGGTCTGCATTGAAGAAGGTGTTGAAGTCATTCTGTCGCTCCACAATTTGCTGCGCAAATCCTTCGGTCGCGTGAAACCCAATGTGACAGTGGATAAGCCACACACCCGGGTTATCAGCAGGGAAGGCGATGACCAGGAATCCACCGTCATCTTCTTCACTGGCGATCATGAGAGCAGTGTCACGGCGGGGTGGGTTGGTTGTTTTGAGTGTGACATTCTGAGGGCTGAATCTGCCGAACCCTTGAGCAAGGACGTAGAAGTCGTGGCCTGCAGTCATTTGTTAGTTTGAGTGGCATTCCACTAGTTATAACTGGGGGCGACTACATACCATGCAGATGTATGGGATGAGGAACCGGAATGTCCGTTTGGATAACTAGAACGGTCCATTGATACGCTGTTGCGGCCTCTATTACTCCTTGGTTGGCTGTCCAGTTCATTTTATCAGGGTCTTCAAAGGTCTGCTGCAGAGTGGGGTCGTTCCAAGAGATGTTGAGAGCATTTCCTCCTAGGGTCCACAGATACAACGGGACATCACCGAATGGTAGGAAGTCTACATCCGATGCCACCGTCTGAGCACCTCCAATATCTGCATCAAGAGCAAGCCATGGGACAAGTTCGGACGGGGAAAAATCCAGGCATTGGATATCGTCACCGTAATCCCACTTGCTGCTCGTTGGATCAGAGTCATCCGCGGCTCCTTTGTAGTGCAGGATACCTCGGATGTTATCCGGGTTACTATTGTCGCTACAGAACGACTGCGGGATTGCCCTGATCCAGTAGTTGTCAGGGTTCTGGTTCGCTGTCACGACGATATCGTAACGCTCACCCATACCAATAGGGACATTGTTTGTTGTAAACGGCACAATGGGGACAAAGTCATTAGCGATGACGGTAAGGTCGTGATTGTCGATGGAGAACTTGAAATGGGTGTGCATGGCTGCATTGACCAACCGAATCCGATATCTTTGACCTGGAACAAATTCTGTCTGGAATCGACGACCGACCGTCTGATTATCCATGTTGGTCCAAATGTTGCTCCCGTTGATAAGTCCGGTCTGGAAGTGAGGAGGGTTCGGGCTCTCGAGCACAGATTGATACATCTCGTCGACGGTCTGATGTGACCAGTCATTAAGGAAAAGTACCCCCAAATCGTGGTCATATTCTGCCGCTGCGGGACCATGAATCACGATGCCTCCGAAGACTCCCTCCCATGCTTGGAGAGAAAAGTGCGAATGGTACCAGCTCGAACCGTATGCCTCTGCTCTCCAGACATAGGTATAGCTGGAGTTAGGCGGAACGGGGCACTGGGTCAGCGCCGCGACACCGTCCATCTGGTTGTTGTACAACTGTCTAATACCGTGAAAATGGATGGCGGTGCCATTGTCTTGCATGCGATTCGTGACATGGACCTTGACGATGTCCCCCCAGTTGGCCTCGATGGTAGGCCCGGGGAACTGCCCGTTAACCAGGAGCACTGATCTTTCGACTCCGTCGAGGGCGGCGGTTGTGTTGACGATATCAAACCAGTATTCGCGGACAACGTTGGTTTCCGGAGTAGTTTTATAGTAATTTGTGTTAAGATCATAACCGTGCCATGGGATATCGGCTGGCAGCGAGGATGTATTGCCTTGGATACCCCGAGGAATTGGGCCAACTTGTCGAGGGCCAGGGTCGGCATGTTTGATTGGACTGCATAAGAGCAGTGGGGCCAAAAGCCCGAGAAGCAAAAGAACGATTTCCATGATGGGGCCACTAGTGTCCAGTAGCGGAGATTAAATAAATTAATTGACGATAACGATCTACGTGGATCGCGATCTTCTTGTCGTACCCTTCGTCCATGATGACCTGTCTATATATACTTCTCCAGCCGGGCTTGGCCATATTTCCTCTTTGTTTTTTTGGCTTTCCTCACACATCCACTAGAGGAGTCACTTGGCTCTGCTTGGCCGGGATATTGCCTCCACGAATATCCGAAAATGTCCTGCGTCTCCGGGACTCACCCTGGCTCCGAGTTCACCGGATGTGGGGTCTGATGCACAGCCCAATGCAGATAATCCTCCAGCTGTACGAGCCCTCGCCCAGCTGAGTGGATCGGGGCATCAAATGAGCGGTGCAATGTAGTCACAGCCAGTAGCTTGACAGCGTAGCTTTGCCATGTGTGTGGAATGAAACATGTGAGGGGCCTGGCGGCGGAGCCGCAACAACCCAGAGGACACGATTTGCTGGATTTCGTGTTGAACACATCACACATGAAATTGACCTAGGTAGATGGCCGGCAATGCCTGACTATCTGCGTGGTAGCGTTCAGAAGCGACCAGGGATATCAAGTTCAAGGAACCTCAGCTGCCAGCCACTCTGGACTCGTCTGTGATCAACTGACTGTTCGAACCCTGTACTTGAAGCCATCCCCACTAATCCGGGGAATGGTTGGGTCTAGATACAGACCCATGACCATAGTAGCGGATTCTATAGTACCTGTCATGGCTCGGATCCCGAACACTTCATCTCGGCAGATGTGGCGCTCATGCCGTAGGCCACGGTCGACCGATTTAGCTTACCACCTGCGAAACCTGGCCACTCCCCGCCCCGGATTCTACTAACGCATAGAATGCCTGATTCAGGTATCGGTCGTGTTGTTGAGGGCTAGCTGACCGCTATTCAGATCGTATAGGCTCCACTCAGGCACACCCACAGCACGCTCGACGTATCAGTTCGTTCCTAGAAACCTTGTAGCTCACTTCCCGATCCATCAGTTGTCTTGTTTTAATCAAGGTAAGGCTGATGATAATAATAGTGGGATTGTCGCTGGGGTAGGCGCCTTCCACGCGGATCCTTTGAAAGAAATGCGGGAATGACTCGACTGATTCGCTTAGTCCTCGGACTCAGGCCACCCATCCGGGCCAAGGCTCCCAAGCGCATCGCCCAGCGATGTACTGGTTGAGGGGCCATACCAGACGGAATCTGTGGACAGACTGCAGCTCGGCTATTCTAACACGGTCCGGGCCAAGCCAGCGGTGACGGGCCAACCGCAAGCGGGAGCCATCCACCCGACATCGGTCAGGCTGCAGCCCCCATAAGAGGCGTGGATGGAAAAAGCAACGACAGCTCGGCCCCTCTCGTCTTCCTGTGGATGCCCTTCCAAGCCTTGCTAGCAACCGCCCAGTTCACTACTCCCAACACAATCCCACTCTCCGCCATGACCATACCCACGGTCAGAAAATAGCGTGGTCATGCGATCTATACAAGGCACCTTATCAAACAAGGTGGATTGTGAGTCACCTTTAGGCCGTCCGTCGCCATTATTCCTCCTTGAGCTGTCCACGATGACGTTAGCTGTCTCGGTTGAGCTTCTGGAGGCTCCTCAGATTCAATAGAGGCTCGATAATATCTGGCGTTATTTCTTGTGTAGGAGCGGTCGGGGGAGGTCAATGAGCGGCATCTGACTCTGACATCACTTGGAACTATCACAGTATACCTCAGCCCAGAGAGCCCAGACTGAGTGAGCACGCGATCGCACGGCCCAGCCAGGGGAGACAAACAAAGGTGACTTCACCCCTGAGAATGTAAGACCATTATCGCCGAAGTGACGGAGTTGGTGAAACAACTGCCACAGACAAGCCACAATGTCAGATGTTCCAGCGCCGTGGGAACGAATAGGCAGGAGCAGGTTATGTGGCTAGGCTTAGCTATCGTATTATCAGCGGCCCAATCATCCCATGAATCGCATCAAGCGTGACATGCTTGCAGTCCGTGAGCCGAGTCCAACACTTCGCTTAGCTGTGAGTTCCAAATCAGCCTGCCTGATGCTGTCCACCACGGAACCACGTGCTTGTCTTAGCAATTGCAGAGAATGTGTTACCTGTAATGCGTGCCTTGCCTATAGCTTCCTAACCAGGTCGGCTTGTCGGTCTTGGTTGACGTCACAGCTTTCAGGCCAGCTCTCCCTCCGCCCGCGTGTCATCTCGCGAAATACTGCCGATCAGTCTAGTCGGCCTGTGCCCAGGAAGGACTGCCCACGTGCGTGCAGTAGGCTGTGAGATACAATGTGAAACATCGGCGAGTACCTTCATCGTGAAGGCACGAGGGACCAGATACCAGGGGTGACCCTGGACATTCAGGTTGAGATAGGAGTCACAGGCGCCTTTTCTCCTATCTCCGCTCGGTGAAGCCACCTTGGAACCGATCTATAATTACCTCTCCCAAGAGATAGCACAGATATTTTCCGATATCTGCTTTGACTTTGGTCTAGTGACATGCTTCGTCGCGACAAACTCGGCAATATTCGGCCAAGGAGCAACTTGTACTCCGCTGAAAAGGTTGGCTGTCTGCCTTCGACATTCCACTGGACGAAGCATCACGCGGATGCAAGTGTTGACGAAGAACAAAGAACATCGAGCTCATATCCTGGAAGAATGAAGGCAGAAGCGAAAAGTTCGACGTGGTTGACGCGGTTGCGTGACCCAAGCTCTGCAGGAATGTTGTAGTACTCCGGAAGCCGCCATTTCGGCCGCCGGCCAGCATCCACCTGCCTTTCCTAGCCAGGCATCATTCGACATCGAAACAGAGTCGCCATGCTGTAACTAGATCGCTTACAGGCACTGCACTCTCAACTCTGATGTTCTCATGACCTTCGACGCCCTTGCGCGCTGTTTTCTGATTCCTGTTCTCTTATTAACCTTATCTAACTATGCGAATAAGCGAGTCCTCCTGACAGCAGGCCATTGATGCAGTGAGTGATAGTGCCTTCTCGACGATTTTATGTTGGAATATTACGTTTGTGTCTGAAGGTGCCAATGGCTGTTCTCTACATGACCACGGCAGCCTCACCTGCAAGATCCACTTGTTGGTTCATTATATTACTCACATACTGGCCATACTTGACCTTTTAGGTATATGATCTGCTTGGCCTTGCGTTGCGCAGGTCCCCGGTGCTTCGATAACTCGCGCCATCCTGTTTACAAATTCCACAGTTGGCTGGCGCGGAGCACAGTGAGCGAGTCTGAAGCAGTCTAAGGCGCTCAGTATCCCAGGACACCTGTGACATTGCCAGTCAGCTATGTTGACCCGATAAGTGGTTCTCATCAATGAGATAATGATAGTGAGGATATCATAGTTCTGTGGATGCGCGCATTATTGGAATCTAGAGCTAGGACAATTAGTCTGACCCTCATCATCAATAACATACTGGATCTTGTCCAAGTAATATTTTGACTACTTCGTTCTCCTTGTTTTGTTTAGATTTCAAGCCGCAGCTTATATCGGATTCATGTGCAGAGGATTAGATGAGCTATCCTACTGATAAGGAGAATAATAATACTAAAAAAATATGTATCGTGAATGTCATTTGAGATAGCTACTTTGCAATGTGTATGTGCCTTGTTTGTTTGCTACGGAATTGGTTGGAACAACTATCGGAGTTAGTGTTGCTGCAGCTAAGGCTAAGCCGCGTGTCTCGGACTGACGCCATCAGACGGCGCTAAGGCGCAATGTAATCCACGTCAATATACCAGCCGAAGCAATTGTAGACCAGAGTACTCCGTACATTACTGATATCTTCAAGGTTACGCTTCCTTAGTTTGCCATAATTTGGTCGATTGTGCAGAGAGTTCCTACATCGTCCGTACATAGATGGCCGATCGCAGGAGTCAAAAAGCATCAGATCCATGCTCTCAGTGTCGGTCACGCAAGGTAAGTCTTATATCATTTTGCTTACTAGGCTCCCTAGTCATTTATTTAGTCATCTTTAGGTTCGCTGCGACCGCAAAAGGCATACTTGTGGGCATTGCGAGCGGTTAAAGTACCCATGCTCTTTTCAGACAGAGGTCGCGGTTCCAAGTCGCCCGAGGACATATGAAGATGACCTACCTGAGAGACGCCGGGGGTCTCGGGCGTATATTAACTGTCGTCTTCAGAAAAGCCGTTGCTCGGGCGAACTGCCACAGTGCACTAACTGCCAACGGCGACATCGAGAATGTCAATATCCGGCTTCTGGACGAGCTCGCCACTTACCACAGAAATCTCCTGAGGCATTCAAACTCACATATCCTGATCGTACCGTCGCTAGGCCAGAGCTACAACAAGGATTGTATGGCAGGCAAATAGCCTGGAACTCATTCAACCAAGAGACTGACTTCTGTCAGAGTATACCCTGTCCAAGATGGCGCCGAGTTAGCCAGTGTGCTTGATGACTACTTCTTGCATCTGTATCCTCTACCATCATACAGCTTTCTTCATGAGCCCTCCATCAGGCGGATGTGTGCAGATCGAACGCTTGAGCCAAGCCTAGTGCTATCCATCTGTGCCATGGTCAAACTGCACTGTAAGCGGGCCTGGCAGTCTTCCGAGAGCGGGTTGTTGGTCGAGTTATCAGAAAAGCGGATCTGGGACGAGCTGGAAAAGCCTTCAATCTTCAGATTGCAAGCCCTATTCCTCATTATCCAGTACCATGCTGAAGTGGGTCGATTCGAGAGGGCCTTCATGATGGCTTCCATAGCAAGTCGCCATGTAGCTGCCCTACAGCTGAACCATGAAAGTCCGCAACTCAGCTTTGTCACGCAGGAAATTAGACGGAGAGCTGTCTGGACGATGGCACTTCTAGATGGCTATTTTTCCGTGGGCCTGCCTGGATACAGCACAATCAACTATGAAGAAATATATCAACAATTTCCGTGTCGCGAAGAAAGGTTCGGTTCGCCGATTCCGGAGGATATCAATATGGTCGCGATGCGAGGCGACAACAATAAACGCTCTTGCGGTATGTTAGAGCTGATTCTGCGTGTTTCAAAACTTCGCCGAGATATAATTCGTTTCACCAGGCAGTTGGCCCTTGTGGAGCAGCCCCTAAAGGAGTTCCAGGATATAGTGGAAGGGTTTCGAGTCAATTTGTCGCAGCTGCAAGGAGAGATCGCATCTGCCGTTGGTCCTTCAGAAACAATCCGGCCAGAGTCTCGATGGTTCGTGCGAGCGTTGGAAATCCAACTAGCATGGCGCCAGGCCCACTGTGATCTTTTTCGCCTTTTCCTGCCTGGTCATCCTAACGCAGCTCCGGATGTGGTATTGCGTCCACTAAGATCAAGTGCCTACGTTAGCCAAGCCCGCGCTATCTGTCAAGAACACAGTGGCTGGATTGCGGAAACCATATCTATAGTGCAAAAAATGGATCTTGGAGTACTTTTCTCATTCGATATCGCGAGGTGTGCTTATCAAGCAGCGCGACTCAGGCTGTTTCTCGCGCACATGCCAGAATCACGGTCACAACTGAGACCAGAAGCGGCGATCGCCAACGCTGCATCGTGCCTGGATTTTATCAAACGAAATTTCGCATCGGCTGCTCATGCACAACGGATGATTTCAGATCTCAGCCTATTGATGGGAGCCTATGAGACGGGCGACGGGCATTTAGGAGCGGCAATGGCGCTCGATTCACTCCGAGCTTCCGGTAACGCGGTTGAGCGGCATAACCAACTTGCGGTCCATAGCCTCATTCATCAGGCCAATTTTGTAGATGATAGCTTTCTCTATGAGTTGTAGAGTTCGCTACCTGAAATGCAAAGTGATGCTCTAGGTAAGGCGAGCTATGACCGCTACGTCATCATCACAGGCGGGTCTCGGAGGGGCTCCGGTGCGGGGTCGCCTGCGGGGCAAGTGCTCACCTGCTGCAAGTCCACTATATCCCTTGAGCACAACGTCAACATCTCTTTATCGCCACAGTTATCACCATGGTTCTTTCGAAGCCCGAAAACAAACACGTTCTCAAAGCCTTTGACCTCACCGGCAAGGTCGCTGCCGTTACAGGTATGTCCCCTGCGTCCGAGGATCAGCAGCTACTTAACGACCACCAGGTGGTGCTCGTGGGATCGGGTTAGAGGTCTCGAGGGCTCTAGCGGAAGCTGGTGCCAGTGTAAGTAAATTCATCGTGACTGCCATTTTGTATGCTAATAGCATCGTAGGTTGCTCTGATCTATAACTCGTCGAAAAATGCGGAAACACTCGCCGAAGAGATCGCGGCCACTAACTATGTCAAAGCAGCTGCATACAAAGCTGACGTCGGAAATCAGGAGGATATCGAGAGGGCCATTCACCAGATTGCATCTGATTTTGGCAAGCTCGATATTATCGTCGTGAACTCGGGGATCACCTCGAATATCGCGGCCGAAGACTACACCACAGAGCAATGGCGCGACATCATGAAGGTCAATCTGGATGGCGCATTCTATAGCGCTCAAGCAGCTTCTCGACTCTTCAAGGAACAGGGACACGGCAATGTCATCTTCACAGCCTCTGTCAGTGCAACGTTGGTGAACGTGCCTCAGAAGCAAGCTGCGGTGGGTTTGTATATGCTCGGCACTGAAATATCTGCTAATGGTGTGGACCAGTATAATGCCTCCAAAGCTGCGGTGGTACAACTGGCGAAATGCTTATCAGTGGAATGGGTCGATTTCTGCCGTGTCAACTGCATTTCTCCTGGCTTTATCTCTACCGAGATTCTTGATGTCCATCCCCAAGAATGGCGTGAGAAGTGGAACAGCATGATTCCGGCTCAGCGAATGGCGGATGCCTATGAGCTTAAAGGAGTAAGTTAGCTTCCATGTTTACTCTTCAGCCCCTCTCATGAAACTCACTGTCCTCCAGGCTTATGTATTTTGCGCCTCCGATGCATCAAGCTATATGACCGGGGCGAATATCGTGATTGACGGTGGCTACACGCTTCCTTAGGTCTGATTTCTCAGCGTAGCTTTTGCCATGTGCTGGATCAAATTGAGGTACACCGAAGTTCCTGAATGTACATATGTTTAAATATTCGAGATCTTCTTGAGAACCAGGTTTGTAGGCATATAAACCAAGCCACGTAGAGCACTAGATATAATGAAGTTTTTTTGAGGGACAATAGGACGCGGGCGTGACTGTGTCTGAAGACGGTTTCTTGTTGATGCGCCACCATTAGTCCAAGCTCACTTCAAGACGCGTTATAAATGACACACAGAAGCCCTTCCCAGAATATCCATGTACTGAGAGACTGAGACTGATTCTCCGTCAATCCTTCGAGAGCGACCAGCGCCATGTGGAGGTTCGGTGTTTTGCTCCATAGTGATGGGTCGGCGCTAAACCATTTCGGCAAGGCTGGAGGCTGGTTGTTTGTCTTGTGATCGACTCCCCCTGCAGCCCCTCCAACTTGCCATGCGCTCATTCTAGTTCAATCTATCTGCGACAGAAGATAATGCAAGGTCTATATCTGCCAGATGAAACTAATGCAGATGCCTACTTGACAGAAAGATCGGTTTTAGGCACCACAATAATATTACCCGAAGTCCCAATGAGCATGGGCCGCTGGCCGCTTCACCCAAGGATCACGGCGCTAAGCTCTGCCTACGTGGCTGCCATCCCGCCTATGAACATCGGATCCTCAAAGTTAAATTCCAGTCTGAAATCCCCCTCATCAAGATAAAACGAGCTCCGTCAAATGGGGTTTGTAAAAGACGGTGAGTGCGATCTAAGCTGCTCCCTACGATGTGCCCAAGATGCGGGGCGTTGATATCATTTGCTGTTCCTTAGAATCCGCATTGACAGTGCCGATCAATACGTCGGGCCGGAATGAATCGAAGGGCTTATCACTGGCTGCATTGATACCAGCCTCGATAATGCTTGAGCCCGATCAGCCGTAGAAGGCTTGCGTCATGGGCTCTGGCGTGGGGTGGTTAACCAACGTTCGGTGTCGAAGCCGATATATAGCTATTTGAATCCGCCTCATGGTGGCTGAGCAAAACACTCGGAAATTTGGAGTTTACCGTTATTGCGATGATAGCCAGAAACATCAGTCTCCTCAGCCTCGATGGCGGGGGCGTGCGCGGGCTATCTTCCCTCTACATTCTGAAGCACATAATGGAATCCATCGACCCTGAAAACACACCAAAGCCATGCGAGTATTTCGACTTGATAGGAGGATCTGGGTCAGGCGGGTACGTTTCCTGAGACAGAGATATTTCCCACAAGGAATCCTTCTAAATGCTTTGACAATAGATTGATCGCAATCATGCTCGGTCGCCTCGAAATGGACATTGACCAGTGCATCAACGCATACAAGAGGCTCTCGAACCATGTCTTTTCTCGGAAGAGACTTCTTCCAGTAGGCGGCAACTTGCGCCGCCAATCGAAATATGACGGTCGCAGAATTGAAACTGCTGTGAAGGCAATTCTTCATGAGCTTGGTTACGAAGATGACATACTTCTGAGAGAACCAGCATCATCATGCAGAGTGTGAGTCCTCCCAAAGTCTTGATCACTGATGCCTGATAAAGTGTGAAGATACGTCTGCGTGACCGACGACGGTTCCAAGCGGAATCTAGCACCCTTGACCAGCTATCCGAGCAAATACTGCTCTAACGAGCTCTACAAGTCCGCCAAAGTATGGCAGGCTGGCAGGGCCTGTTTCTCCACGGCTCCTCTCTTCGATCCCGTCCCCATTGGGCCAAGCGGACGGCGATTCTACAACAGCAGCACGGAAGCCAACAATCCAGTGAGAGAAGTGTGGATAGAAGCGAGAGGCATTTGGCCTTCCGGTTCATTGGACAGTCAGATCCGGTGCATGGTCTCAATCGGCACCGGTGTACCTTCGATCAAAAGATCCAGCAAAGCGATGTTCGGCTTACTGAAGACATCGCGCGCTGATTCTATTGACACCGAGATGGACATGAACAAGTTTCTCCGAGAGCATACGGAACTAGACGACGAGAATCGGCTTTTCCGGTTTGACGTTCCCAACGGACTGGCAGATATTGACCTCGATGGTGTGGATGAGATCGACACGATTGTCGATGCGACTGAGGAATACCTCGCCAAGGAGCTTGTCTACAAGCAGATCCAGAAATGCGGGAATGCTCTGAGTGAAGGTGCTTAGACGATGATGTTTAGAATCTTCTGTCTTTTTGTATATTCCCGGGTGGCAGTCTCTGGAGTTGGTGGACCTTGATCATTCCCGTTATAATCGTGCAATACAAGCCAACGTTTCCATTCTAGACCCAAGACCCTCCACCGGAAACCAGATAACCTTCCCGAACCTTAACCAAACAACATCACAGCTTAGTACAACCTCGAATTTCAACCCCAAGCAATGACGACGTCTCTGTTTCCGGAACCATGACGTCAGAATCAAATCGACCTCATCGAGTACAAAGACAGCTTAAGAATACTTCTCTCATTCATCAACTCTCTCATCAACCCAACCTACTCAATTACTGCTCACCAAACCCCTCAATCAACCACATTGTACCCAAACCACCCGCAAAAATGGTCAAAGACAAAGACACCGTCATCGGGTACTATTCCCCATTCTCCTCTTTTACATGCAATCAACGACTGATACCTCATCCAGCGAATTCAACACCCTCGTCAACATGACCCCCAACGAACTCCGCGAATGGCTAAAAGACACCCAATCGCAATCCTCCGGCTGGAGCAACGAATCCGGAGAAACAATTGGCCATGAAAGGCATTACCCTCTCCCTTCCCTTCCTTCCTTCCCTCCTCCTCCCTTTCCCAACCCAACAAACCCCCAATCAAGCTGACCGCATACACACTCCGATAGTGGTCGCAAAATCGTCTCCATTCTCGAACACAACCCCTCCAAAGACCCATCCAGCTACACAGACCAAGACGTCGATCATATGCGTCGGGTCGTGGCGTACTGTAAGCGCCATCTAGCGCAGGAAGGGACGGCGAAGCAGGATACGGATAGTAAGAGTTATCGGTCGTTGAAGAATTGGGGGCATGATGCGTTGAAGGAGTAATTTTGCTTCTTTGAATGAGATGAATAAAAGAGAGGGAGGGGTGATTGGAAGGACTGTTGGGGGTGTATAGGTGTATAGGAATGGGACTTGGTGATTGGTTCTGGTGGATGAGATGTGGTCTGGGTATAATCGTATAGTTAATTACTAGCTGGAATGATGTTGGTCTGGAGAGTGTGTGTGGAATATCATCTTATGAGAGAAATCCTCGAAATCCTGATTCTCGGGCTTCAGGCCCGAGACGCATCTCTTTAGTGACGGAGTCTCATGAGCTGGCTGGCTTGCTATATTGCTTGATTTGGCGGGGTTGCTACAGATCTATGCATGGGCATATCTACTAATTTACGTCGCATAACCAGATAGGAGAACAGAATTCATTGCTATCTAGTTGAGCTCGTCTTAGCTTCACCATAATGGCTACTAGACTCCAACACCACGTTGAGGTGCGAGCTCGTCGTTGGAGGGCCTGCCCGCACACCAGGCGCCCACCTTTCGGTGAGACTTTGACGCTTTTCAGCGTTCCCCGACAAGCACCTTTCGGCGCCGCACTTGCACAAAGCATGTGGTCGGGGGTGCGGGAACTGCAACTCAGCACTTGTTCAGCGCCGGCGCATGCAGCCGAAACAGCCAGAGGCACACAACCAGGGGGCCGAGTGGCTAGAAGGTGTATATTCGAATGGCGAGTCTCAAAGGGTGTGTCTCGAAGGCGTGTCTCGAAGTCGTGTCTCGAAGTCGTGTCTCGAAGTCGTGTCTCGATTCGGTGGGCGTCACTCGATTCGGTGGGCGTCACTCGATTCGGCGGGCGTCACTCGATTCGGCGGGCGTCACTCGATTCGGCGGGCGTCGGTTCGAAGGGCGTCTCTCGGTCGGCGTCTCTCGGTCGGCGTCTCTCGGTCGGCGTCTCTCGGTGGGCGTCTCTCGGTGGGCGTGTATCAGGACGGTGTATATCAGGAGGGACGTTATTAATGCCGTGTCCCGAAGGGCGTGTATCAAAGAGCGTTTAGTCAAGGTGGCGTGTAGTCAGAAAGACGTGTATCTGGGACGACACACAGTCAGAGCGATACAGCAGCCAGAATGGCACAACAGCCCAACGACACACAGCCAGAAAGATGCACAGCCAGATCAAAACACAGCAAGAACAACACACAGAACAATGGCACCCAGTCAAAGGAACAAACACAGCCAGCAGGTGGAAAAGCCAGAACAGTAACACAGACAATAGACATACCGACAATAGGCACACACACAGTTTGCACACAGCAACACCAACAGGACCAGAAACAAAACAGCACACTAACAACAGTGTGGCTCGCAACCAGTGCAGCACACAGCCGGAAGAAAGAAACAGTACATAGCCAGATCGGTACAGCAGCCAAGATAGCAACAACAACAACCAGATCGGCAGCACCGGAAACCCAGTCTGTCCATGGCACTTTTCAGCACCCAGACCAAACACTCTCAAGGCACCTTTCAGCGCCTAAAGAGTTGAGCTCGTCTTGGCTTCGCCATAAAGGCTACTAGACTCCAGCACCACGATGAGGTGCGAGCTCGTCGCTGGAGACCTGGCCCGCACAACCAGGTGCCCACCTTTCGGTGAGACTTTTGACGCTTCCCAAAGCTGAGGCAGCTGGGGCGTTTACCTGGCAAGCACCTTTCGGCGCGACACATGTACAAAGCACTTTTCAGCGCAGCATGTGGCCAGGTGTGCGGAGCGGCAACACAGATGTGTACCGACAGTGGGTTTTGTAGACCGAGGGATGGCATAGCGGACACTTTGTACATGCCAAACAAGATGCCAAGACGCTTTACAGCATCAGCCTCACGGGCACCCCGGTAAAGGCTCAAGCACACAGTGGAGCCAGTGTAAGACACTTTGCAGTGCCGTATCACGTCGTTGGTGCAATTTGTACTGTTGTTGGCGGGACAGATCTTGCGATACCGTCACTGGGTGGAAGGAGGGCTGGCATCGCCTATGCCTGTCGAGGAGCACGAGTATGCAGTCTAACAACGAACACGGCATGTTAGCAAAGCCACGTCGGGGTCCGATCAACACTTGCATACATACCGAAGTATGTGTGTATGTATGGGGGCGTGTATTCAATTCATACGAGCTGCTAATTGTTCAACCGAGTAACCAGAGGGCGTGCTCAACTGCCGTCCATAGCAGTTGTATACCGAGGAGAGAATCGAAGTGCAGAAAGTGAGTAGAGAATGAAGATGGAAGTGGAAAGGAAGATATAAAGATCAGTATGAGGATGAGAAGGTCAGGCTGAGGACAAGAAGACCAAGATGAAGATGGGGAGGCGAACTGAGGATGGGAAGATCAAGGTAAGGATGGGAAGGTCAAGCAGGCTGAGGATAAGAAGGTCAAGATGAGGATATGTAGATTAGTCTGAGAATGGAAATGTCAGGCTAAGGGTAAGAAGATTAAGATGGGAAGGAAGTTGAGAAGGTTGTAAAGAAGGAGAAGAGAGGTGAGAGTTGAGGAAAATAGTAGGGGAATGGGCAGAGTGAAATGTTATGCTGGATGTGGCTTTAGTGACAGGACACTGCCCTGACTTCACTTTTGGCCTCTGAGTCAAAAAATGGAGTGACTCACGAGGAGTCACTGGAGTCCTGAGCTCAGAATGATGAGGCTGGCTAGATTGCAGTGGCCGCCAGGTTTGTTGCGTACCTCGTCACAAGATCATCATAATAGGTAGAATGTTTAGCGATTCGCCACAAGACAGCCCTGAGCGTCCAAATCGTAATTAGCTATCCTTGACATGATGTACATCATTCCGCATAGATTCAGACATCCTCCACCGATAGTAGTATTCTCATGGTATCCAAAACACTGCCATGTTCTCCCATACGCCGAAAGTCGCTCTCCACTCACAACATCCAAACTGAAAGACCAAGAACCGCCAGAGCAACCACATAACTTGTGACCTTCCTACGAGAAGTCAAATCATTCCCATCCCTATCGAACGGAGCTTGAACAGGCGGTGCTATCTTCATCATATTCTCAATGGTATAAGGCGGATACCTCGCATCCGTGAACCTCTCCAGATAGTTGGGAACGGCATTCGTATATGTGCGAAGGTATGAGAAACACATGATCCCATGACGGCCATGATAGGCTCCCATACCCGAGTTTCCGACGCCACCAAACGGTGCGTCGCGGGCAGCTGCATGTAGGAGACAATCATTGAAGGTCACACCACCTGAAGCGGTCTCATTCTGGATGCGTGTCTTTTCAGTCTCATCGTTGGTGAAGCAGTATAGGGCTAGCGGGTGTTCTCCGCTACGGGTGAAGGATATAGCTGTGTCAAAATCTGCGTCGATGATGGGCAAGATGGGGCCGAACAGCTCTTCGGAGAGGAGATGATCGTCGGACTTGACGTCCACAACGACGGTAGGTCCAAAGTATCGAGTCTGACGATCGCGGATGCCAGCGTAGACCACATTTCCGGATGTTCTCTGGAGAAGTGACTCGAGACGGTCAAAGTTTCGCTCGTTGGAAATGTGGCAGTAATAATCTGGTCTGTTGTCCCGGCCGCCGCTGAATTCGTCAAAGTAGTGGATTAGCTTGGCCACGAGGGCATCCCGTACACTGGGGTCTACGAGGACGTGGTTCACGTTGACGCAAAGCTATTTCAAGCAGTATTAGTGGTTGCATGAGTGGGTAATGTTGGTCTTCTAGGTGGCATGGAGGTCATACCTGTCCAGCGACAGCGAATTTAGCCGCAGCAATGTGTTTCGCCGCGAGATCAATATTGGCGGACGAGGCGACAATGGCCGGCCCTTGACCTCCTAATTCCAGGGTGACGGGAGTGAGATGCTTTGCAGCGGCAGCGTAGATGATCTTCGCGACCGTCGCGGATCCGGTGTAGAAAATGTGATCAAACCGGTGCTCAAGAATGTATTTCATTTCCTTCGACCCGGCACTGACGCATTGAATGGCCTCGCCATCCATATACTGAGGGATAATCTCCATTAAAAGGTCCTGGCAGGCCACTGCGACGTCCGAAGGCTTCAACACCATCGCGCAGCCAGCGGCGATCGCAGCGACCATGGGTTGTAGAAGCAGTAGGATAGGTAAGTTCCAAGCACCGATGATCAAGGACACTCCCAATGGCTCTTTCCGAACCACCGTCCCGCCAAAGAAATTAATGGGATCCTTTCTCGTAGGCTTCTCATCTTTTGTCCATTCATCGAGTTTGTCAAGTGTGCGTAGGATATCTTGTTGGAGGGCCCCGATATCCTCCAGCATAGATTCCAGTTTATGTTTGTTTAAGTCGGCGTGAATGGCAGCGAAGAGGCGCTCCTTGTTGTCCTCAACCATCCACCAGGCCCTTTTAAGCTGATGGCGCCTCCATTCTTTAGTCTTGGTGCGGCCCGACGCGAACGCGGTGCGGGCCTTGCCAATTGCCTGTCTCCTGTTAGCGATGGCGGTGCTGCCACGGTCGCAATCAATGGTATGAACTTGCCTGATCGAACTCAGCCTCGGTAGTGAAAGCCATAATAATACTGCGAGACTCGCTACTTTACGATAGAGTTGACGGAAGCTGCGGGCGGGGTTGTGGTTTCTTCTTAAAAGCGATCTTCGCAGCGTTAAAAGCAATTCAGCCTACGGAGCAATAGTTGCTACTAGTACGGTTTAGTGCTGCATCAAGAGTGCTTATGTACCCTTATGCAAGGGAGGGCAATGGTCCGACGGGGCTTGATTGGACCAAATGAATCGAACCCGCCGTTCGACTGCCGGGAATCGATCGAAAGCGGACTTTAGTACCTCCGTAGTGAGGAACGCAGACACGGGTCTTGGATTCTTGAATGCCTCGGATGTGGATATCTCTCAGCTATAGCTGCTGTACATACACGTGAGTTGCTTCCCCTTTACCCCTCTCGAGATTCTCCTCGCTTTGACCCTCCAACTGCGTAACTTTTGTGCTAATACTTCCGTCGACCTCGGATCTCCAGTCTATATGTTCCATTAGCTCCTATAGATCTCCTCGAGGCAACCAGTTCGAACATACCAGAGAACTTACGGGCGGGGATTCGCCGCTGCCACATCTCTTCCAGTTCCTCAAGAGAGCGTCCCGTGAGCTCGGGAAGGAAGAAGTACCCACAAACCACCCCCAAGGCTGCGAGGGACCCGTATATAAATCCGACCTTGGATTGGAGGTCTGCATATGGGGCTTTGAGTAAATATGGGAGGGAGTAAGAGACTGCAAAGTCGCAAACGATGCGAATAAGCCAAGCGACAACAGAGGTCTTATCGCGCAGTCGGAGATGTGGCGTTTCTGCACCTGTGATGACAGATCTGAGATTCATTGTTAGCGCTTACGTGATCGACAGAAAATCATTCTGATCCGGGGTAGAACATACATGGAACCAAAGGACATGATGTAGAATAGCCCGTACATCATCAGCACCCCACAGACTCCACGCTTTTTGCCATCGGTAATGGTTCCCGTTCCCAGGCCACCACAAGTGAGAAGCAGGGCGGTTGTCATGGTGCCACCGATCAGATAAATAGGTCGTCGACCTGTCGTGTCCACTAGGGAGAATGTGACCAGCGGACCGAGGGTCGAGAAGCCTCGGGACAGAAGCGTGAAGGCAAACGGATTCATGACATGGAGCGATTTGACGAAAAGACTGCCGTATTGACTGACAAAGGCTTGTCCCGTTAATTGATTAAAAGCCGCAGTCATGACTGCAACCATTGTTCTCCTCTATATTGATGTCAGCATCACACCGATGTATACCAGCACTCGTGCAAGAAGGTGGTAGCGTACTCGGTTAGTTCCCTGGAGAAGCTCTGCCCAGGAGCCTTTTGTCTGTGCATCTGCCCCGATAGACGCTTGCAAGAGCGCTACTTCAGCTTCAACATCGACATTCTTGCCCTTGTTCAGATATTCGAGCTGCGTAGCCGCTGCCTCTGTCCTGTTCTTCCGGATAAGCCACCGAGGGCTTTCCGGCACAAACCAGCTGAAAAGTAGAATGAAGCAGGGGAACGTCCACATTACGCCAATAGGGATCTTCCATGCGGAGTTTCCGTCCAGTTTGGCTGTTTCATATGTGATTATGGCACAGATAAATGAGCCAAAGATATGGGCAAAGACATATACTACCACCGTCGCTCCGCGAATCATGGCAGGGCTGATCTCAGCTAGGAACATGGGCACAAGCCAGTCTTCCCATCCAATGAAGCACTGCACTATCATCCGCCCGGCCAGGATCTGACCAAATGTTGTCGCTGTGTAGCTGGTCGAGATACCAGCTATGCAGATCAGCTGCATTCCAATAAAGCAAGCCCGGCGCCCATAGTACTCCCCAATGGCCCAGCCAAGAAAGGTACCGGCCGCTTTTGCGGGAAGACCAAGCGAATTGAGAAAGGCTAAGTGCTGGGTACTGAAACCGTATTCACCGGTGGAGCGATCGTAAGTGCCGAACTGCTTCTCAAATGCTTCTCGAGAGTTAGCGGGGGGCTAATACACAATTGCAGTCTAAATCAATAGATCTCGAGCTCCTTACAGTCCATGGTCTGGATGGTGGAAAACACGGCGTCATCAAAGCCATAGCTAAATACACTAATGGCAATGATCATGTATGCTATCAGCATATTCCAGGTGAAAGCATGGCGCGCGTGCTGCAAGCTCTTGAGGCCCGCCATTTGTCTGTCCGCAGTGACGAAGACTGAAGAACTTGAGTATATTCCAACAAAAGTCAAAGACGCCTCCGCCTCAAGTAAAATCCAGATCGAGCATGGGAACGTTGTGCCAGATGGACATTGCTATACAGTATTGGGTGCTCTTCTACTTGCTTTATAGTGTTTTCTGTGATATATCGCGACATTCTGGGGCGATGTTGCCATTTCGCTCTAGGATGTCTCGAGGGGTTGGCGCTCTTTGCCTGGATCAGTCAAACTCGAGCTAACTGACCGATAGCCGTAGTCTCGCCGAGTACCGTTCTCTAGAAGCTTAAGTCATCACGCAGTGGGGGGAACAGAGCATGATCAATGGCAGGGGATGAAGCCATCGCGGGGAGAGATGTCACCATCGCGTGGTTGTGCCGCGCCAGCATTAGCGGCAGAGCTAATTCCCAGTTGAATCCAGGCCCCCCAATTATGTCATCAACAACTTCCAAGATTTGATTGTTATCGAACAGCGGAGGATGGAGGGACTCAGCGCATTACTTCTATCGGACAGATATAAAGTGACGGAGCACGACCTGGGGACGAGCGTGGTCGTATCAAACGCTCCAAAATCCTACCACGTCGCACCACAACATGACGGCGTCCAAGCGCCCAAACTTCCTGGTCATTGTCGCTGATGACCTTGGCTTCAGTGACACTTCTCCTTTTGGGGGAGAAATTGATACGCCAAACCTCCATCGTCTGGCAATGGAGGGTCTTCGAATGACAGACTTCCATACAGCGGCATCCTGCTCACCAACCCGGGCCATGCTCCTCTCCGGGACAGATGCCCATATCGCAGGTCTAGGTGTCATGGCTGAGAGAAGGAGTCGATTTCCACACGTTTTCGATGGCAAATCCGGATACGAAGGTTATCTGAACTATAAGGTCGCCGCATTGCCCGAATTATTGCAGGACAACGGATACTTTACCTGCATGTCCGGCAAGTGGTGCGTCTTCTCGCTCAGCCATCCATCGAGCTCACGCTAATGTAGAGAAAACAGGCATCTAGGTCTAACAAAAGACGTCGCGCCCTGCTCACGAGGCTTCACCAAGGTCTTCACTACCTTGCCCGGTGCCGGAAACCACTTCAACCACGAACCCCAGCTATACGACATCACAGAAAAGCCACGAGTAATTATCAAAGGAAACGAAGGACTGTGGATGCGCGACGATCAATTCATTAACGGCGCCACTGATCTTCCCAAAGACTTCTACTCCTCCAAATCCTTCACCGATAACCTCCTATCGATCCTCCAGAACCGCACCCACGAACAAAAAGAACAACCCTTCTTCTCCTACCTCCCCTTCACAGCCCCTCACTGGCCCCTCCAAGCCCCATCCGCAACAATTCAAAAATATCGCGGCCTCTACGACGACGGCCCCCTCGCCCTCCGCGCCCGCCGTCTCGAAAGCCTTATCAAAAACGGCCTCGTCCCCGCAGACGTCGACCCCGCCCCCATCATCACTCTCGGCACCACCCCGTGGGCTTCTCTCTCCCCCGAAAAGCAACAAAAATCCTCCCGCGCAATGGAAATTTATGCCGCCATGGTCGATCTCCTCGACGTCAACATCGGCCGCGTCCGCTCCTATCTCGAATCAACAGGCGAATGGGACAACACCTTCGTGGTCTTCATGTCCGACAACGGCGCAGAAGGCCAACTCCTAGAAGCCATCCCCGTCCTAGCAGGGGCAACACTCGGCGACGTCATTGAGAAGTACTATGACAATTCGCTCGAAAACCTCGGAAACCACAACTCGTTCATCTGGTACGGTCCCCAATGGGCATCAGCGGCAACGGCCCCCTGTCGAGCTACAAAGTCCTTCACCACTGAAGGTGGTATCCGATGTCCATGTATCGTTCGGTACCCACCCCTCATGAACATGAAACCGGGTAGTATTACGAATACGTTCACCACGGTCATGGATATACTCCCCACGATGCTCGACTTGGCTGGGATTGAGCATCCAGGGACAATATTCAGAGGAAGAGAAGTAGCTCCTGTACGGGGCCATTCGTGGCGGCCATTACTAGAGTCACAAGATGGGGACGTCGATATCTATCACGAGGATGTTGTGGGATGGGAGCAGCTGGGGATTGCGGCCGTGAGGGTTGGGAATTGGAAGGCGGTGTTTTTGCCTCCGCCTAGAGGGGAGGGAAAGTGGGAGTTATACAATCTCGAGAATGATTTAGGGGAGGTAAATGATCTTGCTGAAAAGATTCCGGAGAAGTTGGCAGAGATGATAGCGCATTACGAGACGTATTTCCAGGAGTCTGGGATGTTTGATTCTTATTCTGTTTTTCAAGAGGAGTTGAAGAAGAGTGGTGTGAAGAGGGCTTGGTAGAGGTGTTGGATAAGAATCTACATCAAATTCGATGGTAATTTGTCACATAAGAAGGTACAGGTAGGTACTCCGTACATTTCCATTTGCATGTGCAGTTGCAAAGATTCTCCACCCGTCTAGTTCTTGAACATCAACTTCTCCAAATAACCGCAATGGTCTTAGCATGGTATCGCCCAGTTGGCAGTCTCCTGGTTGCAGTTCATAGTCATGTCGTCAGTGAGGTCAATTTCCACTTCGGGGTCCAATTTGTAGGATGACTTACATACCTCTGGGCTGTAATTTCAATAGAACGGTGTGGCGCAGATATGCTGCCAGGCATGCTTAACATCGTTGATATACTCGACGGTCCTCGTGGTGTCGGAGATGTGGAACTTATCTCGCGAAGAACGAGAGCAGAAGGGATATGAGTTTACGTTTCTCGAGGAAACAACTTTCCCGGTCTTTCTTTCTTTCGTACGTGGGTTCGCAGCATGGGAGGATTTTCTATGCGTGCTTGAGGGGGCTGCAGGTGAGGATTTTTCAGTCAGGGATTTATAGCTGTCACGCAGAGAGATGCGCCGGTGGGGCTTTTTACGGGGATCCTTGTGGGTTGGCCTATAGCGACTTCTTAAGATGTTTCGAGGGTCGAGAATAGGGAATTGAGGCTCTAATGAGGAAGTAGATTTGGTATCCCCACTGAAAAGTGGGCGTCTAGTATCGCTAGCGGCGAGCTCGCACCTCACCGTGGTGCTAGAGTCTGGTAAGTATCTGGTGACGCTAAGACGAGCTTTTCTAAATTCGAGACACTGATTATATTTGATGTAAATAGTATTATCAGGTGTTAAGTAGATTTCAATCTGCGCAGCAGGCATATACAACCTCGTGCCGATGTTCATTGCTCCCCATTAGCTACTATGTAAATCTTAAACAAAGACGCAATCAGTCAGCCGACCCTATGCATAATTACATGTACTCTACTCTACCGTCCATCGTATGACTCGTTGCTAGTTGATACAGCTCGTCTTCCCCATCCACTAAACAGCCCTCCTCCGTTCGGTGCTGGCTCCGTCGCCGCCTTAGCAACAGACGGCGGCCTTCCTAAGAAAGAATGTCGGCCCTCGGGTATGATTCCGTGCCGTGACATGATCTTCCGCATCGAGTCCATTTTGCCTTTGACTTCCTCTAGCTCCTGGCGCGCAACTGCTTCGGCGGTTTTAGCATTGACGAGTTCGAGAAGCAGGGCGTCCTCCGCCGCGGGTTTATTGTTCTCGGTTGCGAGGACTGATTGTAGTCCCAGGCTGCTAGACCGTTTGTTGAATGTGGTTGGCGTCGTGGTACTCTTTTGGCTCTTTTGCGAGTTCGTTCGGACTAATTTGAGTTCGCGCAAGCCAGTGCTTGTGTAGCCCTCGCTGGTGTCACTGGTTGGAGAGCCGTAGGTCTCTGATGGAGCCGTGTCTGAGTTCCGGGTCTTAGTTTTTACCGTACGTAGCTCTCGGACCATCCGTTCCAAACGCTGGCGTTCACGATAGCTATCTTGAATGCGACCGCGAGCTTCGCGGAGCTGCTCCCGCAGTGAGGAGTTCTCCTTTTCGTGCTCGTCAATCCGACGCGTCAGGCCCTTGCATCGGCTCGATTCTAGGGCATGCATTTCTTTGTAGCGGTTGAGGTCGTCGCGGAGTTGGTGTTTGGTTTGGTTCATCGTGACATTCTTGGGGGCTTCAATCATTGCGAATCGTGCGTCGGCTTTGTGTACAAGCTCCATTGGGGGTTCTTCCGCCGTTTCCTTGATGTATTGGAGCATTGACTTGGCGAGCGTTTGATCCTCCTCGCGCTCTTCGCGTTCTTGCTGGAGCTCTCGCGTGAGGTCAGCGTGTTGGCGTTGGAGGTCGCTAAGAGCTATAAGAAGTTCCTCGATTTGCGTGTGAAGGTCCCGATCTTTGTGCTGCGATATGGCTGATTTCGCGCGTGGTTTTGGCGCGTCTGTCGACAATTCTGTCGGGGCTGTGCTGGCGTCGGATGCCGATTCCACGGAGTTGAGGGTTGACGTCATGCTCTGTTTGGATGCTGACCGTCGGATGCTGGCTGCAGTTGCACTATTCGGATTGAGACTGATCGACTTGACGGAGTTGTGCGAGTTAGATCCTGCCCAGAGTCGGCCAAGGAATCGAGATGCTGCTGCTTGCATCTGGGGGAAGGAAATGCCGGTCGGCACTCCTTGTGACTGATTGTAGCTGGCTTCCAGGGCCTGCAGGCTTTCCTTGGTGACAAGCGATGTGAGAGAGACAAAGTCATTGACAAATTCATCCGCATGGCAGGCATATCTAGAGATAGTTAGATGGTTTCTTCTAGGATAGAATGGAAACTTACGTGTCCCACAGACTTCTAGAAAGCAGAAGTTGCATAACGTCCTCGAACTCGGCGCACGCCATGATCTTCTTCTCATTTCTTGTCATTAACGAGAGGGCAACACGCATCAACGTCTCGCAAGCTCCCTCGAGAAAGATTACATCGTAAATGCGAAGAAGCATCGGAAGCGGACACGCGACTGCGAAGAAGGACAGGAACCACTGTGATACGTAAACCGGCTCGACGTTCAGCGCCTCGAGATGTGCGAACAGACCGGGCCGTAGGCGAGCCAGGAGGTTCTGAAATTGATAGACACGGAGATGAAGCCCCGAGAGATCAGGAAGGTAGCACGTCCGCAGATCATAATGATCCATGAGCCTGAGGCCTCGGCGTTAGCTCCAATTGTCAGCTGCAGCATGCATGAGATTATTGCCTTACCGAACCAGCACGCAGAACGCCTCTGCATCCGTCATGTGCATCAGCAAGGGGCCAACGACAAATCCCAATCCCTGGCAGTAGCCGATCTTGGTATCGTACAGACTGAAGCATTTCAGGACCCGTCCAAGCATCTGCTGCCCCTCACCATTAGGGTCACGGAACATCTCCACATTTGGGAAGCTCCGGCCAATATCCTTGCCGATCAGTCCTTCATATGGACTCGTCTCACCGCACAGTCTCTGGTATTCCGCCAACAAGGTGTTGTCCCGGGCTCCCGCCAGGCTGGGCCACACCACGCCACGGAGTGGAGGAGGAACACCGCTCCGGATCTTGTTCGAGGTTAACGTCGGTAATCGCTGGGCTGTTTGAGGATAATCTGCGACCAAGGCTGCCCAAAATTCGAGTTCGGTCATCGGTGGAGGAGGAAGTTGGGAGTACCGCAGTGATGATCGAGGGTCCTCGTCGATCAATCGCTTGATCTGGTGCAATGATTGCGAACGAGACGGTCGGGTTATTCGCTGCGCATGTGATTTGCTCGCCAAAGCAGACTTGGGGTTCGTCGCAAGTGCATTGTTTTCCTGTTCTAGTCGTGCTAACAGAAGAGCAGTCGACTGACTCACATTAACTGCTGTATCTGCAGTCTTCTATATTGTCACGCACCTCATCCGATCCCTCACAACGGGGTTCTTGCTCTTCTGTCTTTTCCAGCTCTTCCCAATCCACTGCATCGTCCTTTCGGTCCCGCTCTGCACTGCTGCGGGATCGTATCGAGCTAGCATCACCACAAATGGAGCTTGGTGCTAGATCCGCCCTCGGGGGTTCCTGTGTCGGCGTGGTCTTGGGGTCATTCTCGCCATCGCTTGACAGTTCTCGAGTCGGGGACGTCACGTCGACGGGGGTTTGAGGGATGTCGAGGGTTCGCCAGTCAGGTTGCGTGTGTTCTGAATTGGAGGTCAATGGCACGGTCACCATCGAGTCAGTATCGTGGGACCCCGTGTTGACGGAGTCCGAATGGACATGGGAGGGGGTGCGATCGGCGCCGTCCATGGCCATTGCGTTTCTGATTGGGTTGTGACGTTCAATGCCGATGCCAAAGGCACATTCCTCGGGAAGATCCAGATGTTAGGGGTTTTTGTGGAGGGCGGCGGCGGAGGGGTTAAACCAGCAGCCAGACGCGATAAGGAGGGCGAACGGTAGGGGGAGGGGCTGTCAATAACGACAGCATATCTCTCCGGTGTGGAAGTGGGATCGAGGGTAAGGACCGGCGTGGGAATTGAGGGGCCAGAAGAAAGGAAGAGTGATGGGCAGAGGCGAGGGAGAAACGGCGTGATTTTGGTTTCAGGGCCGGATGGGGGGAAGGGATCAGGAGCGTCGCCGTCGCGAGTATTCTTAGCGTTGGCGACGGTTAGTCCCCGACACTAACTCACCACTAACCTGTCAGGTCCCTTCCTCACACCTCAGTCAGGGGCAGCGGCGGGCCACTCGAGACTCTATCCCCCCAATCGCGTCCCGTCGATCGCTTTCAATAATCGTCCCAGACTACTGTCTATCTACGCAGTGAGTCCCTTTTCTCTGAGAGCCGCCGCAGCAACATTCCTCCTGCTTACGTGGTTTTGCTCGTTATCAGGACCGATCTCCACCCACCGCGAACCATGGAATTATCTCCCAGATCGATCCGATAGGCAGGTATGGCCTCTCCAGGCCTGCCCTGAATCCCAGATGGGTTGAATGTCTTAGGTAGTGATACCAGCGCAATATCCCACGGCCCTGCCGCCGTTTGGCTCGGGACCGGTCGATCCACGACCCATCTGGTGCAATATCGGCCGGTGCTCTTGATCCACTGCAGAATCACTCAAGGGGCGGAGGACTTAGTACTGCAAACACAACCACAAGTCGCTAGGCCAACTCGTATCCTGCTTATCTTTCGAAGAGGGGCCAACATCAGACAAGCTGCCAATTCGACGCTCTCGTCCAGTGGTGAGAGACTGAGAGTTGTGCTGAGGTGGTGGGCCCCTGAGTCGTGTTCGAAACATTGCATGACCAGTTTCATCTGGCCCAAGTTATGGTGTTACACAATTCTATTGGCGGGGTGCTATATGGGGGCTGCTTTCATTGGCTGCCATAGGCCCACTTTGAAAATTACCGTACCAAGTCGACCAGCTTCTAGAAGGCGACGGGAAGAATGGCCGGCTTGATCCCAATTCAAAAAGGAAAGTGAATGAAGAGAACACTGAGCTAGTGGATTGCATAGTCTGTGTGCTGTTTATAGTAAATCAGGGCCAGTCACTCCGTAACACGGGTAGAGTTGACCTTGGGGGTTGTGTTGCCCGAGGTTTCATGGGATGTGAATGATCCCTTGACTTGGATATATATTTTCGCCTGAGTCCTATCTATCTGTGGGCTATACCGAAAACTGCGAAGAATTCATACCTACAACACTATTACTAGTTTTCTTCTGTACACAATAATAAGCGTCTGGAGTAGCCAGGCATCATGAATTCAAATCAAACAGTGAGGTAGATATACAGGTCTGGTGAAGGTTTAAAAAGGTTTCTGTCTACAGTTCTCTGGTTGTCCAGGGTGATCCGCCGCAACCTAGATGACAGCTGCCAGCCCATGAGATAGAAAGCCGCTCCTTCACACTGCGAGGGGGTGAATCACATGGCATCCCCTATCCTCCCTTTGTGCCAAGAATAAACTTGGCGGGAAGTGGTGGTGGCTTCCATTGTTGTTCCCCTCCCCCGCGGTAGCCTTGCATGTTTTGGTGGTGCCTTCCGCTTTGGGTCCGAGTGTTTAGAGATTTCCCCTTCGGGCCCCTTCGGCGCCACTTCAGGAGTGGCCCGACATTGATCCGGGAGCGGTCGGCGGCCAGTTCTGTTTCTTCCGCCGCAGAGCAGTCGCATCGAGCGCGTCAACAACAAAGACTTCGACAACAAACGGCCGACACAAGGTAGCCTATCTGGGGAATCGGCTGCTCTCGACATAACACCCCCTCCATTTGCTTCACTTTCTTTCTGGCTGGGGGCCTTAATATTCCAGCATTTCCCCGACCTTCCTGTCACTCCTTATCCTCCCTTATCTTATTTTTCCCCGTTAGTCTGCGCGTGCAAGACGCCTCCCTTTCACAATGGATGATTCTATGATGGATTCTGTTTTCGAGGACGAAGGAAGCTCTGACTTCGTCCCTGAGCCCGCGCCGGTTCGTAACCTCCCTTTTTTAAACTACCGGGTTCAATTGCAACCAACTGACTATCACTGCAGAAGCCTAAGGCGAAGGCAGCCCCCAAGAAGACTGCTACCAAGGCAGCACCGAAGAAGCTCACCCAGACCACCCTCACCGCGAAGCCTGCGGCAAAGGCGAAGGCAGCTTCTAAGAAGCGTGCCAAACCGGACAGCGACGACGACGACAACATGGACAATGATGATGACGACCACATGTCGGACGACTCCGTGCTATCTCACACTCCTCCCAAGAAGGCGAAGAAGTCGGCTGGCCCTACCAAGAAAAGTGGCTCCAAGCCACTCGCCGATCTGGAAAATGAAGCATTTGAAAATGATGATTCCGCCGAACCCTCAAAGAACACCGACGTATCAGAGAAGTACCAGAAGGTAACCATCTGCAATATCGTTTGTTGCACCCCAGCTAACACTTGCGCTTGTAGCTTACACAACTCGAACACATTATCAAACGTCCGGATACATATATCGGTTCTACCGAACGTACGTCACAGCATATGTGGGTATACAGTTCGGAAACAGAGGGGATGGAGTATCGTGAGGTCTCCTACGTGCCGGGTCTCTACAAAATTTTTGACGAAATTGTTGTCAATGCGGCCGATAATAAACAGAACGATGCGAATATGAGCGAAATCCGCGTGACGGTTGACCGCGAGTCGGGTGTGATCAGTGTCTGGAACAACGGCCGTGGTATTCCGATTGAGATGCACTCGAAGGAAAAAATCTACGTCCCGGAGCTGATCTTCGGTCATCTTCTGACCTCATCTAATTACGACGACACTCAGCAGAAGGTCACGGGTGGCCGTAACGGTTTCGGTGCCAAGCTCTGTAACGTGTTCTCGACCGAGTTCTCCATCGAGACCCAGGACTCCCGTCAGAAAAAGAAGTACAGACAAACATGGACCGACAACATGACAAAGATGGGCAAGGCCAAGATCACCGAGGCCAAGGGGGAGGACTACACCAAGGTCACATTCCATCCGGACTACGCCAAGTTCGGCATGACAGGCATGGATGATGACTTCGAGGCCCTCGTCAAGCGTCGTATTTACGACTTGGCGGGTACCTCGAAGGTGAATGTGAAGTTGAATGGCACTCGCGTCCCAATTCGCGGCTTCAAGAAGTATATGGAGATGTACACCAAGGCCATCCGCAGGGAACGTGGAGATGATGGCCCGGCGCCAAAGGATGAGATCATCACCTGCTCTCCAGACCCTCACTGGGAGGTTGGTTTCGCTGTGTCCGATGGCGCTTTCCAGCAGGTATCCTTCGTGAACTCCATCGCGACTACCTCTGGAGGTACCCACGTGAACTATATTGCCGACCAGATCTGCAGCAAACTGGCTGATCAAGTGAAGAAGAAGAACAAGAATGGTGCCACGTTGAAGACAGCTCAGATCCGGAACCACATCTTCATTTTCGTCAACGCGCTGATTGTCAACCCGGCGTTCACCTCCCAGACTAAGGAACAATTGACCACCAAGGCATCTCAATTCGGTAGCAAATGTGTGCTGGATGATGATTTTTTCAAGAAGGTGCTGAAGACCGAGGTCATGTCAAATATCCTGCATTTCGCCCAGCAGAAGGCCGACCAGATGCTCAAGAAGACGGATGGTGGCCGTCGCGCTCGCATGAACAACCCCAAATTGACGGATGCCAACAAGGCAGGCACCAAGGATGGCCACCACTGCACGTTGATTCTAACGGAAGGTGACTCGGCCAAGGGTCTGGCCATGGCTGGACGAGCGGTGGTCGGCCCGGATCTTTTCGGTGTCTTTCCACTTCGAGGAAAACTGCTCAACGTCCGTGACGCCTCGTTTGACCAGATCTCGAAGAACCAGGAAATCCAGAATATCAAGAACTTCCTGGGCCTGCAGCACAAGAAAGAGTACACCGAGACCCGCGGTCTTCGGTACGGCCATTTGATGATCATGACTGATCAGGATCACGACGGTAGTCATATTAAGGGTTTGCTTATCAACTTCCTCCAGGCTCAGTTTCCCAGTCTGCTTAAGATCCCCGAGTTCTTGATTGAATTCATCACCCCCATCGTGAAGGTATGGAAGGGTGACCCGAAGAACCCTACCAAGCAGCGCTCTTTCTTCACTATGCCGGAGTATGAGGCGTGGAGGGAGGAGCATCAGCATGAGCGTGGTTGGGATCACAAGTACTACAAGGGTCTGGGTACCAGTACGACTGAAGATGCACAGGTCTATTTCCGCGACTTGGACCGGCATCTCAAGGAGTTCCACACCATGCAGGATAACGAGGCGGAGTTGATCGAACTGGCTTTCTCGAAAAAGAAGGCCGATGAGCGTAAGGAATGGCTGCGGCAGTTCAAGCCCGGAACCTTCTTGGACCATTCCGTTTCGAAAATCACCTACACCGACTTCATCAACAAGGAGCTCATCTTGTTCAGTATGGCCGACAATATCCGTTCGATCCCCTCTGTTGTGGACGGCCTGAAGCCTGGTCAGCGTAAGGTCCTGTACACCTGCTTCCGTCGCAACCTGAAGAAGGATATGAAGGTCGTTGAGTTGGCTGGTCACGTCTCAGGTATGACTGCGTACCAGCACGGTGACACTTCCTTGCAACAGACCATTGTGGGCCTCGCACAAACCTTTGTCGGGTCTAACAACGTCAACTGCCTGGAGCCCAGTGGTAACTTTGGTAGTCGTCTTCAAGGTGGTTCCGACTGTGCTAGTGCGCGTTATATTTACACGCGACTGTCCCCGTTTGCTCGGCGCATCTTCCAGGCATCCGATGAGCCTCTTTTGACCTACAACACAGACGATGGCAAGACGATCGAGCCCGAGGTTTACATGCCCGTGGTTCCCATGATTCTGATCAATGGTGCGGACGGTATCGGTACCGGATGGAGTTCCTCCATCCCCAATTACAACCCAGAGGATGTTGTGGATAATTTGAAGCGACTGATGGATGGCGAAGAGATCAAGCCTATGCAGCCCTGGTTCCGCGGGTTCACGGGTGAGGTCACTGCCATTGGCGGCGATCGCTTCAAATTCAGCGGTATCATCAAGGAAACCGGCGAGAAGGAGGTGGAGATCACTGAACTGCCCATCCGGACCTGGACTCAGGATTTCAAGGATAAGCTTGAGGATATCATCAAGGCGGAGAAGACACCTTCGTTTATCAAGGACTACCGGGATTACAACACGCACACCAAAGTCCACTTTGTGATCCAAATGGACGAAAAGCACATGAAGGCCGCCGTCGACGAAGGCTTGGAGGATAAATTCAAGCTGACGAAGACTATCGCCACCACAAACCTGGTCGCTTTTGACCCAGAGGGGCGGATCACCAAGTATGCGACCGTCGACGATATCCTCAAGGAATTCTTCACCGTTCGTCTGAAGTTCTATGAACGCCGCAAGGTACGTGAGCCGACGATTCTAGGCATATGACTGTCTACTAACATGGGAATCCAGCAATACCAACTTAACGAACTGCAGAAGGAGCTGGAGAAGCTTAGCAACCAGGCGCGATTTGTTCAGATGATCATTGATGGCGACCTGGTCGTGTCGAAGAAGAAGAAGAGCGCTCTGGTCGTTGAGTTGAAGGACAAGGGCTTCAGACCATTCCCCAAGGTGGCGGATGCTGCCAAGGCGGGTGAAGTTGAGCCGGCTGCCGAGGACGAGGAGTCAGAAGAGGCAGACGACACCGACAACCTTTCCAACGCCTACGACTACCTGCTGGGTATGGCTATCTGGTCGTTGACCCAGGAGCGCGTGGAGCGCCTCCGCCGCCAGATCGGCGACAAGGAGATGGAGATTGACTCCTTGATCAAGCTCTCGAAGGAGGACATCTGGAAGCGGGATCTGGAAGACTTCATCAACGAATGGCGCTTCCAGCTCGACGATGAAGCCCGTCGCCTGCGTAAGGTCGCGAACATGGGCCGTCGGACTTCCGCCAAGTTGATGACGACAGCGGGCCGCGGCGGTGCTCGCAAGCGCAAGGCTGCGAAGGATGATGACTCGGATGATGAAGACTTTGGGGCCCCCAAGACCAAACGAGGCCCGAAGAAGGCCGAGCCGAAGGGCACTCTCAGTAACTTCTTGAAGAAACCATCTCCCAAGCCTGCTGCGGATGATGAGGATGACGATGACTTTGATTTTGACATGGAGGTGATGCCGAAGAAGGACCGTGGCGCGACCAAGGCGGCACCCAGGCCGAAGGAAGAAGAAACGGTCGACTCGGACGAGGAAATTGTGCCGAAGAAGAGTCGGGCCGCGCCGAAGGCTGCACTCAAAGCAAAGGAAGAAGAGTCTGGTGAGTCGGATGTGGAAATCGTGCCGAAGAAGAGTCGGGCCGCGCCGAAGAAAGCCAAGGCCGAGGATACCGATAGTTCGGAGGTAAAGAAGGCGCCCAAACGGGGCCGACCAGCCGCCAAAGCGAAGGCCAAACCAGCGGAGGAAGAAGATGATTTGGACGACGACGAGTTCATGGAGATCACCAAGGCTCAGGCCGCAGAGACTGCCAGGCTCGAGCCGGAGCCCAGCCGAGCGCGCAAGCCGGTCAAGTACACGCTGAGCGACTCGGATAGCGACAACGGCGACGACCTACTGGGCGACGTCAGCAAGATGGTCAAGGGCATCGGCGGCACCGCAGGCGGATCGTCGGACTCCCGACAGCTATTCTCGGAGCGATCTGGGCCCGGCGGCAGTTCCGGTCTGGCGGCCAGCTCTAAAACCTCGAAGGTGTCTCCGGATTTCGACGAGGATGAGACGGACTACAGCAAGCTGGTGCCACTGAGCTCCCCGCGCCGGTCCCTGCATGTGAAGCCGAAGGAGACGAAGACGTTGGTTGACAGCGAGGACGATGAGCCTGTGAAGCCGGCCGCCACCAAGGCCAAGCCGGCCGCCCGGGGTAAGGCTGCGGCAGCTAAACCGGCGGCCAAGCCGCGTGGCCGGCCCAAGAAGGATGCCACCACGGCCGTTTCCGCCAAGCAGACGACGCTGTCGCCGGCAGCCAAGGCGTACGCTTCCAAGCAGGCCAAGACGACCAGCAAGAAGAAGCAGTTGGCGGACGATCTGTCAGACGACGACATTGATGCGATGGCCAACGACATTCTGGACTCTCCGGCGGCACCGAGTCGGCCGTCGCGACGCACGGCGACCACCAAGAAGAAGACCTATGTGATTGATGATGACAGTGAGGACGACGGCGGTGCGGGAGGCGATTCGGGGGATGATTTTGACGAGGACAGCGAGTAGGAGGGATGAGCGTGGAGGTAATAGTTGTTTCGTATTTGTGTAGTTAGTGCCCTGGATGCAATACACTGGATTATCTTTTGAAGTTCTCACATAGTCTGTAGCATGTACCTGGCTACTGCCCCTCGGCCACAAGTCCGAGGCCGACTGACTCACGGATCCACCGGAACTCCACCGGATCCACTCCGGGACGTGACGCTTTTTGGTTGTGCCTTGAATCCTTTGCCTTCTCGAATTTACCGCTGTCCTATCGACCGAGACTGGCCCATTATTCAGCACGATGTCCTTCTTTTCATCTCCAGGTTGGTCGTCTTTCCCCTCTTCTCTTCTTCTCTCCCGTGCACCTCCCATTGACTTCCCCCCATGCAGGCCTATCTTCAGTACCGTCGCATCGGCCACGCCGTGCGCCGACAGCTCGAGGATTACCCGGAGTTCGCCCGGCCAGAAATTGCCAAGGATGACCTGCCGGGGGAAACCCCCAGGGACAGTCCCAATCCGGACTTGCATCGCCGTCCCAGTCCGTTACTACCAGGCGTACAGCTGAAAGACATCGTCGAGAGCGATGGCTCGTCTTCGTCGGTTCTTCTGGTCGACTGGGAGAACGACCACGACCCCATCAACCCGCGCAATTACAGCCTCGCCACGCGCTTCGGCGCAACCCTCATGGTGTCCGCGCTGGGCTTCGCTGTCGGTGCGGCCTCCTCTATCGAATCCGGCGTGCTTCCGCAGAACGCAGCAGCCTTTCATGTCAGCGACGTTGTGGCCTCTCTCGCAACAGGCATGTACTTGCTAGGTTTCGCAGCTGGCTCGCTCGTGTCCGGACCCCTGTCGGAAATCCTTGGCCGCAATGTCGTCTACACTGGCTCTCTCACCCTTTTTATGATTTTCGTCATGGCCTCGGGTCTGGCCCCCAACATCGGTGCACAACTCGCCTTCCGCTTCCTGGCCGGCATCTTTGGCTGTCCGCCGTTGACCTGCGCCGGCGGCACCATCGCGGACCTCTGGAACCCGCTAGAGAAGACCCTCTTCTTCCCCATGTACGCTATTCTCTCCTTTGGTGGCCCCGTCCTCGGGCCCGTTATCGCCTCCTACATGGGTGAAGGCACCCTCTCGTGGCGCTGGACCAACTGGATCATCCTCATCCTGTCGGGGTTCATCCTCGCCTTGATTCTTCTGCTGCAGCCAGAGACCTACGGCCCGCTCCTCCTGAAATGGAAGGCGCAGCATCTCCGACACCTGACGGGCGACAACCGGTATCACTCCTCCATGGAGCTCCAGAAGACGGCCCTGTTCTCCCGCATCGGCAACGCCTGCATGCGACAATTCGCCTTGACGATCCACGAACCCATCATCCTGCTGATCGCCCTCTACATGACCGTCATCTACATCGTCCTGTTCACCTTCTTCGACGGCTACACGTACATCTTCTCGGACGTGCACGGCCTGTCCCAAGGTCTGACCAACATCGTCTGGGTGGCAATGTACGTCGGCATCTCGTTAGCCAGCCTATTCGTCCCATTCGTCTACGTATGGACGAAGCGCGAGTTCTCCGACGCAGCAGCCTCCGCCGCCGCATCCGCAGCAGTCTCCCGATCTGCCAGCTCCGAAATGGTGAACGCCGATCCCAATCCCAACGCCACCAGCGAGAAACCCCAATCCGACAACACCGATGACCAAAAACCCACGCACAAGCACGTTGCTCGTCCTGAAAACCGTCTCTGGTTCGCCATGCTTGGCGCCCCGGCTATCCCGATCGGACTGTTCTGGATGGGCTGGACGGATTATGTACGTCTCACCTTTTTCCCTTTTCCACCCCAATCCTACCCCACGCATACTAACGAATTATTCACACAGAGCTCAATCTCCATCTGGTCGCCGATCATCGCCTCCACCGTCTTCGGCTTCGGCACCATCTGCGTTTTCATCTCCTCGTACATGTACGTCATCGACGCCTACGACATCTACGCCGCCTCCGCGCTAGGGTTCATGACCGTGTCGCGCTACTGCGCGGCCGGCGGGATGACCGTCGTGGGAATTCCGTTTTACAGTAATATGGGCGTGCATTGGACGTTGACGATCCTGGGCGCGATTAGTGCCTTGATGACCCCGGTGCCGTATGTGTTTTATCGCTATGGACGGGTGATCCGTGGGTGGAGTAAGTATGCGGTTTAGTTTTTGCTTACGATGTGGAGCAGAGCTGTTGGGGTGGTTATTGTGGAGATGGTTGGGGTGGAATTGGGGTGCTAATTCGGGGTTTGCCTTTTGGTCCGGTTAAGATTTTGGATCCACCCCACTCTAGATGGATTCCATCGTGGAATCATACGGAGTACCTTAGATATAGATAGATAGAACGCAGGTAATGATAATATTTGTTTCTTATAATCATGAATCAACTGTATTTATATATATACCTAGCTAGTACGGAGTACTAGTTATAGCGATTTTTGAAAATACGACATCTTCGCACAAGAGAGCAAAGGATTCCACAGTGAACTTTGGGAGAAAACTATTCACCTCCGGAGGGCCAAGTACTCACTTGAGCCTTACAGAAGTCCCGCTCTAGATAAGGGGATCGTTATAATTGAGCACACCCTCACCCTGCACTTTATCGAGTCGAGACAAACACGTCACCATCGAACGCATGATTATTTGCCAGCCACCCGTCACCAATGCAGGGGCGGTTGAGGGGGAACCTCCGCAAGACTACTTAATAATGGGAGGAACGAATCCTATCGCGGTGGTCTTCCGAAGTATGTCATCTGGATCTTTTATTTCACAGTTGACGTGGGATTGTTCATGAGAGGAGGGGAGGGGAATAGATGCTACCGCCATGACCGATGGTAACGTGATCCAATCACGATAATAGTTGCGTACAAGGAAATCAACAACAAAATAAGTTGAAAAGCTGAGGTTGTAGAGTTGGTCGCATGCATCAAGTTGAGTATACTGGTTGCTTGGTACGTATCCTCGTTGTCTCGGTGATGTTAGTCCGTTTGGCTGATTCGTACTTAGGTAGAGTAGTGTCGATGTGTCTCACTGATGTTGTTGATGCAAGGACTAACCATCGCCTAGCTAAAGGTCTTGGTCTAGTTGGCAAGTTGTGAGGTTTACTTAGATGACATGGGTGATTGTTTTTAGATACTTGGGCCAGGTTATTCTTGCAGCGGTGCTAATCACCAAAGTGGACCGGTACTAATAACGAATAAATGCTGAAAGCTATCTCCATGGAAATTAGGTATCGAATGGGCGTTCGCTACTATCTACAGGGACAGTCCCTGGACCCTATCCTAGGCAAAGCTACCGCGAAGGGACTGGCTTCAAACGGAGTATATTGAATTTGGAATGATATCTACTAGGATGGCTCAGTTGAGAAGGAGGTCAAACGAACAACAAACCCGCAAACGGAATGAGTAAAGGGATGGCTGACTTACGTGATACGGTCTGTGCGACTGAGTCACGCGCGGAGACTCGAGGACGAGGACTGGCCGACCGTGAGGAGACACAGTTCGATTCGTGTTGACTATGACACGAGAGAGTTTGGGGGTTGATGAGTTGTGTACAGTAATGGACGACGGGACTGGATTAATGGTTGATAGAAGAGTAAATGAGAGCAAGCTATTGATGTGATCTGATAGATGAGTGACCGCAATGCATCGACTCACAACAGAAATGTGAATGAGAAATTGCCAAGTGACTTTTATGTCCTGCCCACTAACCCAACCTTGCAATGTAACGCCAATGTCATCGTCTCTCCATCCCTTCATTTCGAAATGCACCCGATCCCTATGTACCTGTTCATCTAGGTTTTTACAACTGATGATCTAGACGTAATCACGAGAATGTGGAGAAACGGGAAATACATCGTAGAGAACAGAGACCCAAGTCAACAGATATGAAAGGAAGAATAGGAGGAAAGGATGAATCAAAAAGATGCTCGGCGTCGCTTCGTCCCGTGCTTCATCGATAGCCTCCCCCTATTATTCTTGCTGTCCATTTCCAGTCTCGCACCCGCATTACGCAGTTTCACCAGCGCATACGCGGCGAGCATTGTCTGCTCCCTGTCCAGGTCGGCCACCGCAGACTCAAAGGCATCCGTAGGTGAGCAGGTACTGGCTTCGATCTTAAGAGTGCCAGAGGGGTAGCCAGAGGCCGGGGAGGAAATACTGCCCTCGTCACTCTTATGAAAGCCCGTTTCTCCCTCATAAGTCTTCACCTCGTCCTCAATATAGCTGCCATCCTCGACATGGCTATCGTGACTGTCGTTCGCGCTGTAGCTCTCCGAGAGGCTGCGGTCAGAGCCCGTCACCCACGCGTTGAATTCGTGCTGTGTACTTTCCGGGAAAGCTGCGTATGACAAGACGCTTTCTGTTCTGCGTGGGACTTTGGCTGGAGTGAACCGGACTGGGGAGGTGCCGGGCGAAATATAATATTCCTCACGTTCCAGGTTAGGCGAGGAACTTGAGAAAATGTGCCTGACATACTGTCGGTCTCCCTCGATGTCTTGCGGGCGCGGAGAGGCCGCCAGCTCCAAGCCGCGGTAGTAGGCTGCCTCTCTGGTGGCTTGGAGGATGATCGCCGGGTCGATCCTCATGTCACCATATCGGCTGTCTTCCGGGGGAATGCACCGGGAGGGGAAGTCGAGACCAAAAAGAGGCGTTAAGACGTATCGAATCCTCCAGCAGAAGGTGGCAGCCAGTGCCTTGGCGGCCTCGAAGGGCATCCAGTACCCTTGATTCTGGTCAGCGGCGGGTGGAGTGATGAGGAAAAAAGAGCCTTACCTTGTCCGATGAGTGCGCCGCCCGTAATGCTGTGGCTGATTTTGCTGAGGCCGGGGTTCATTTTCAACGCCTTTGCGGGGGCAGTCTAGGATCTGTCAGACTTGAGCTCTGTTACACCAATATGACGGATGCACCTTCGGATGCTGGGTGCACTTGAAAAGGGACGTCGTGCGAACAAGGCCGATGTTGTAGTCCCAGGAAACAACCCATTTCTTCCCGTCGCCATTGGGGATCTGGAACGTGTAGTGAAATACTGTCACGGTCAGCGGAGAATTGCAGCGTGATGGCTGGCACCCACCTTCCAGGCTACCCCGTCCTGTTCGCCCTTTGAACGACTTCTTCTGACTACAATAGGGTATGTGGGCCGGGAAATTGGCAATATCACGCAGTGGATGGAGTTGGAACTGTGTATGGATCCTCTCCAACTCTTCATCGCGTTCCTCATGAGGTGGATAACGAAGGTCCCCGCGGGTGTTGGCCTTTTTGAAAGACGGTTGGTCTTTGACAACCTTCTGTCTCTTTTGGCGGGGCGACCGGGAAGTCATCGTTGCGGGTGACAAGCTCGTCGGGGTAGGACTGCACTCCCTGGAGGCAGGGACAATGGGGTTCAGAAGGGACTTTATCGAGGCCATGGTTCAGTCCTCAGACCGGGTAGATGGAAGAAAACGTAGGACGCCTGGATCCAGTCAAGGAGGAGAGGGAGGGGCTTAAATAAGAGAGAGAGTCAAAAGCCAGGCGCGCAAGCAAAAGCCGCTTCCTCTGCTTCTCTGCCACTGTATCTTCACATCAGTTGTTAAGCCCGGCTGGGGGAACAGAATTCTAGAAGCCCAGTGGAGGTTTCCAAAAGTTAAAGGATTGTCGGCCAGCAAAGGCGGGCAAATCACGGACATGCCACGCAGGTGTGAGGGCGCAGATCTTGGAGGTGGCTCTGACTGAAGATACAGAGAGCTAGCCAAAAGAAGAAACATGCAAAGGAGAAATATGATCACTGGTGCATCTTTCGCACGAGCTTCGACGAGTGCGTTCCTGATGACATCTCATCAAATGGCGTCGATGGCTGATTCGGTGCAATAGATGGCTTTTTTCGTTTGCACGGATTGGCCATCCGTCGAGGATTTAGGCTGGCGGTGAATCAGGCCACAAATAGATTCTCGAACAGACGGATGGCGCGGACGATTGTCTTGGATGGAGATTTCGCCATGAGACAACCTCGCCGGTACCTGACGAAAGGCATTACGAGACATCATCAGCCCCTGTTCGCGAGTCCAGACCTCCTTGGAAGAGATCCGCTGCCCAGATACCACCGTCATTCCCGATGCAACCGTCTGATAGAGTGCTGTCCCGGTGCAATTTCATCCCCGGCATCAACATCGGTTATCCTAGCACGAGCGGAGTTCATGTATCTCTCTAGCCTGTCGAGGCTTCCATCGTGCCACTGGCCAGCTGCAGTTACCCAATGTCAGGTCCATGACGCAAACCCGAGAGGCAACAGAGTAGAACGCGTTTTAGGGACTCCTGCGGCCATGTGGACGTCTGTCATTGACACCACATCCATAGCTTATTGAGTCCGCGATCGTCCCTCATGCAAACAGATGGACCCGATGCGCTGGGGAGCATACGCCAAAAAAGGGGCTATGGATCCACGAAACCTAAAATGGGTGGTTAGATGGCAACTTCGTACTGCCGCGTCTGGGTCCCGCTCATGTTGATGTCTTGGGCCTTCCCGCACGTCGCCATCAACATTTTCGTGCCGGCGGATTCATATGGCTCATCCGCGTCAAAGCTCGATCCCAGGAGGGCAGCACTGCTGCAGCATCCGGGGAATTAGGAGTCTTGCCAGCACGACCAATAATGGACGAACAGGACCTAACTGATTCTGGTTCGGCAAGGCGGATATTAGAAGGGCTGAGAACGACGGGAAGCTGCAGAACATTTTCATCTTGTATCACAGAGAGCTGAATTTCTGCCAACCAAATATTCCCAATGCGTCTCAGAGGTGCCGGAAACCTTTTGCAATACGGTGGTTTGTATTGGGGTGACTTTGTGGCTGGCAGGCTGTGGAGGCCGAGCTGGGAAATGCGATCGAGAAAAAGAAAACAACGGACCTCCATTGTCTCACATCTGCACCAATCGATGAGCACCAGTCGATAGGGTGCTCTAAGCTTGACGGGCTAGCGGGTCACACAGCCCCTTGCACGACAGTCCCCTAGATCTTCGCGACAACGCCGTTGGCCATTCTAGCTCCCCGCTTTGCATCAGACGACAGCTCTGTCAAAGTAACCTCGGTGGGATGGCTTCAACACTAGCCTTACCATAATTAGGGGTAACATCTGTATTAGCAGGGTTACTCAAGCCCACCCGCGAGATCACTGCTCGAGTCAGACCATGCCACATAGGAAGGCCACGTACACCCCGATACAAAAAGCCATTTAGGTGGGCGGGCCATCCTAGAGTCTTCCACGAGGGCTTCTTTGCAGGAGTTCCACACTTTTGTGGCGCGCTAGCTGCGTGTTCGTTTATCACTTGGTGATTCCAAATTGCTCCTTCGTGTCCAATTCTTCAGCCGCGTGCCGGTGACAAAACAGGGAAACCACGGTGGTTTGCAATCAATCCTGCCGGGAAATGAAGGAGAATATGTGAAAATGGCACTTTAAATCGGGCAGTGAAGACGAGCAAGCAGCGAGTGCTTGGGGGAGCAAGTGCTCAGGTTGCGACAGAAGGCTGGTCTAGAAAACGAGGGGAAACTCAATATCCGAGACAACGAAAACCTACTGCCACCCACGCTAGACTGAATCGTAGGCCGTACCTTCGCTCCAGCGGAAGAGCTCTGGCAATGTTGGACAGACTTGGGGTCGTTGCATGTGCTCGTGAGACGTCACTTTGGCCGAAGCATCCTCAAAGACATTGATTGACTGGCCAAGTAGCCATCCAGACTGCAAGATTGCATTGTTCTCTTTGTATTCTGGGACCGTGCGAATGGATGGAAAAGGCGGAGTGAAGGAAGGAACCTGGAATTCCACGAGAGGATAAAAGGTTAACTGAGTAAAGTGAATCACAAAAGAAAGTTGATCAACACGATGACCCTTAGTCATCAGGCAGCACTAGACCCCCAGCCAGAGCCTAGAAGCGCTGCCTGGCGGGGCTTTCACCCGCCCCGGGGCTCCAGAGTCACAGCGCTGCGCCCCGATCTCCAGCTGTCAACCAACTCTAATTCAATGATGCTTCCTACCCCGGTGATTGGCAGATAGAATCAGCAACACATTATTGCTATTATTATTTTCCTGGCCGCTACAGGCACGTGGTGGCACCCTTGTAACCAGCGCCGTCCTTCTACTCTCTTTGCCCCCCTCGCCTCAAGTGAGAAAGCCATGTCAATTCGCGCAGCAGCTTAAATCTGAGAATCTCTCCGACAAAAATGAGTCTTCCTGCAAGGTAAACACCAACTCGAGGCAAGAGCAACCAAAATCCTGGCTGCCCCTCGTTGTCCGCGACTGAGGCCTATGCCCACTGACCTCCTATCAGTCTCTGCTACTACTGCATTAGTCGTCCTCGCACAAGACCGATTTAGCGTCAGCACACAGCGCCATCCAAAACACGGCGGTAACACCGTACGACGTCCCCTGATTTAGACCACAAGCCCGTCGGGAATCCATCCGAGGATGCCGTAGGTCTGCCCGGCCGGCGATCATCGAGGAACTGGGGCTTATCTGCTTCAGCCGTCGTGAACGGTCCGGGAGGTGGAAACTGGATGGCAGGACTGAAACAGGTGATACGAACTTCGATGCAACTCGATCCTTTCCGAGGTCTTCGGAGAAGCGGAGGCGCTCGTACTATTGCTCAGAGGTCCCTGAACTCCAGGTTTAGCCTGCCAGTTGCAAGTTAGAGCCGATGGAATGGGACAAGATGCATAGATGCATTAAGTAGTGCTCGATATGGCTATAATTTAACACACAATCTGATAAACGCCGGACCTGCCATGCCACCCACCCATTGTCTGCAGAAAACGGCTCCAATAGTACGAAAACATCCCAGATAAGTCATGTAGCCCCATGGAGGTATAAACGCATAAATCCCGATACGAAAACGAACTGCGGCCCCATCAATTGAAAGACCATCCACCGTTCAGGCGCAACCGCTGCCGCTCGGCAAGATCACGGCGGATCTCCTCCTGCGTCAACCCATCAGCTCCGGACCAGTTCGCGCTGCTGGTGCGTTCGCGGAACTTCTTGATCTTCTTGTCCGACTTGAACGTCTCCTCCAGGGAGAATGGTGCAATAGGCCCGAAGATCGAATCCACCTCCATGCCTTCCTGCTGGCGCAGAAGGGACTCCAGCTCCTTGGGCTGGGCCCACTTGGGCACGGGAAGCATCTCCGCATCCGAGTCCTCGTCCTCACTGTCGGTCGCAATCTCCGGGAGGTTGATGTTCTCGCCATTCGGGTAGTTTGGCGACTCCTTCACCGGGACTTTCTGCGACGCGCTAGCGGCGGGGGTTCGATGCGCAGCCGGAGGCACGTTGGACGGTTCTGCGAAGGGGATCTTGCCGCTTGCATACTTGGCCATATCCAGTGGATGCGCGGGCCGCTGTGCTTGGGCCGTCTTGAAGATCGAAGACCCGGACTGATGTGGAACGGAAGGTTGTGCATGGCCAAAAATGGACGGCTTTGTAGGTTCATCGTTACACGTTAGCACACGATCAAAAGCAACCCGGGACTGCGTATGACTCACCTTACGGATGTTTGATTGACGGATCGGCGGGGCCATTGCCGGACGCATGGAAGACATGCGGCTTTGCTCATCTTCTGTCCTCCTGCGCTTGGACTCGCCCGACGGCTGCATGGTGGCGGTCTTGGGTGCGGTCGGTCGATGGGAGGTCTCGTCGTCGAGCCCCCGCTTCGGTGGTTTGGCCGGATTAGGCTGGGGCTGGTTGATGGACCTATTGAACGGCTGGATGGAACCCAATCGCGAGGCTGGTCGAGCCGCACCAAGCTCACTGCGTTGGGAGGCTTCAGGCTGTTGGCTACCCTGGCGTTCCAGTCTGCGTTGGTTCTCCAATCGGCGTTTCTCAATGGCTTGCATGTGGGCGGCCTTCTTGGGATCCTCGGCAGCAAGTCGCTCTCGGCGCTCAGTCTCTGCCCGGCTGCGCATTTCCTGACGACGAGCTTCTTCCTGCTGTTGAGCTGCGCGCTTCCGCTCTACCTCACGCCTCTGCTCCTCCCGACGCCTGGCTTCGCGCTCCTCCTGCTCTCGCTTCCTCTCACTTGCAAGCTGTGCTTTCCTCTGGGTCTGGCTAGAAATAGAGCTCTTAAAGCTGCTGTTCGAAGAGGCGGTGTGCAGTGAAGTGTTGCTGGCCTTCTTCTTAAGAGTCGGCTGTTTCGAAGCCGAGGCTGGTGTCGGTGCAGGGACACTAGACTCTCGGGTGCTGGAAGAGACCTGCGACGCCAGTGGCATTTGCCGGGAGAGCGCACTGCCAACGCGGATAGACACAGGCTGGGGCTTCGGTTTCTGAAGCTCACGGGTGGGCTTGAGGGGGCGACGATCATTTTGCTTTGACGCCTGTTGCTGCGAGGCAGGGAGTTGGGCGGCAATTCTGGGGCCGGCTTCGATGCTAGATTCTGGTTCCTTGGATGGTTTCTGTAGCTGCGACATCTTCTGCGTGGTCTGTGCGGCTGTTGGCTCGGTAGCTGGTCCACGAGCTTCATAATCAGCAGTCGACTTCTCCTGCGTCGTCCTGAGTTTCATGACTCTCTGTTTCTCCTGTTGCCGGGTTCTCTCTGCTTGTTCCTCTTCCCTCTGACGTTCCTCAAGTTCTTGCTGTCTACGCTTCTCTTCTCTCTCCGTGGAGCTCCGTGTCCTGCGGCCTTCTTGGCGCGGAGGACTCGGCGGTTGTGTGGACTGCGGCCGCTGGCTTCCCGCCATACGATCTGTATCCAAGCGTCCTTTATGCCGTAATCTGGGTGCGTCAGGAGAGGCAGCTTCCGTTCTGGCAGCAGCCGCAACGCCAGCGGTGTTCGTAAAAAGTCCCTTGGCAGATTGCACGATGGACTGTAACCTGAATTTTGAGGCACTTAGTGGGCCATCATAGCGCTCGGCGGGAGATCCAACTGGGGTCGTCGACATCTGGTGGTCAATGTTTGCGGATGCACTCTTCTGGTGGCCAGACCGCTGTGGCGACGAATACATCGGTGTTGACGACTTGCCACGCGCTGCATCTGACGTACGTTTCGAGTTTACTTTCGGGGCCTCTGACAGATGAGATTCGTGGTCTCTATCAACGGAAGGACGATCGTCATCTGCAGCTCGGGCTATCCGGGCACTGGAATGTTTGCTCATGCTATCGGCTTTTTGACTAGCACGCGTGCCTGGTTTGTAGGGCGAATTTAATGGCTTAATCCAATCATCATCCACAGCAGAGGGTTCGGGCGCTTGGGTATCCCGGGATTTCTGGCTAGATGTCTCCTGTTTGGCATCGGATTTGGTAGTGGGAAGTTCGGGATATGTCACTTGTGCGGCGGACAAGCCAGAGACCGAAGGAATAGATTTGGTGGGCCGCGAAGGCTGAAGTTTACCAAGCATGCTGATCTTCTCGTGCAGGAGCTGAGTGGACGATTTGGTCTGGAGCTTGCTGGCTCTGGTTTCCGCATCTGGTTCCTCATCGGATCCGTCTTTTTTGTCATCGACATCCATCTTGTCACCGTGAATGGTATTGTCTTCCAGAGCATGCTGAGTTGTTCTGTGACCTCCAGTCTGTCTGCCCAGATAGCCTCCGGTGCTACTGAGCTTAGCGAAATCAAGATGGCTTGTGCGGGAAACCCTCGGACCACCAAGGCTCTTCTTCATTAGCGGCTCCCGGGCTGGAAGCGATGCAAAACTCAGACTGCTCTTGCGAATAGGCGGGCGTACGGGAGAGCTTTCCGAAGGTGAGCCAATTTCGTCGAGACTATCAAGTGCCATGTCATCTTTTTCGTCGTCCTTTTCTTCCTGCTGGTGTTCTGGGGACTGTGCAGCCGGAGTCTTCAACGGCGAAGTCGATTCCGCGTCTTTAAACGGCTTGGGCTCTGGCTCTGGCTCTGGCGCAAACTGCTCCTTGGGCTTGGATATACGCTGGGGTGTAGATTTAGGCACCGGTTCGAGCTCGTGTTCATGCTCAGATTCGGGTTCTGGTTCGGGTGCATGTTCAGATTCCAGCTCAAGGTCGTCTCCATGCTCGGGTTCCGGTTCTGGTTCTGATTCTGATTCTGATTCCTGCTCTTGCTCGGGCGCCAGGTCCGGCATTGGTTTGTCTTCAAGTTCTGGTTCTCCATGTGCAACATGCTCCGTTTTATTCGCCCCCGGCTGCTTCTTCGGAGAGTCAGTTCCAACGTTCCGCTTAGGCGACGACTCAATAGTGACAGGTTCAACGGTTTCCTCGCGCTGGCGCACATCTTCCTGGGCGGAGTGAAAAGATGCTTCTGTATTGCGACGGTCTTCCAGCGGTTGAAGCGATTGCTCTTCGGCGATAGTAGGCTCTTGATCCATGGGCTGAGTGGATGACTGGGACTCGGGCTGCACCTGTGTAAGGACAACATCATCGTCTTCCTCCTCGTCCTCTTCCGGCATGCCATGGTAGCCTGAATCTGTGTTGTATTGTGGGAAGGAGTTGAGGTTTTGGCTCAGATCCGGGTACTGGGAGTGGGTTGTGGTCTCCGTGATCTTCTTAGTTTCTGTCGTAATGGCTGGAGCTGCGGTCGCAGGGGGGAGGGCCTTGGTCGGTGAGCGCTGAATTGCCGGGCTAGCACCAAGCTTGTTCTCTGTCTTTCCATGGTTGTGCGCGGATGAGAAAATCTCGCTCAATGGCTAAGAGCAGTCTGTTAGCAGGTAGTCAGGGCGGACATGGTACTCGTAAAACACACCACTCGTGGCTCGTTCGCATCCCGCTTTCGCGCCGTGCGAGGCGTTTTGCCTCGCAGCTTTCCGGGGGTCTTGAACACATCTGCGAAATTGCTATACGACAGTGAGTATGAGCAGCTATGCGTAAGGTCTTGAGTCTGGCGCAACGCACGGTTGGTTGTTGGAGAAGACCTCGGCCATATGTTCGTTCAACCAATCCATCTCATGGCGCACTGGGTATTCGACTTCCTCCATTTCCTGGTCCACCAACTGCATAAAGTTTTCCTTTTCGGTTGAGATCCACGCTGCAGAGCCTACAGGCTTCTGCGCCCTCGCGCCTGCCGCGGCCATGGTGATGTAAACAAAGCGGTCGCACGGCGGGTTGATCGGGTACGATAAAGCGGACGTAATTGATCGAAGGGCAAGAAGGCCCGACTATATTATAGCGAGAGACAACGATAGTGACATCGAATAATGGTGAAGTGGTGGTGGAAGTTGATGGTCGACTGGTGAGCTGAGATCGCCTGTCGTCGGGAGTCGAGGCATCAAAACATCGGCAAAACGCGTGAGTCCCGCCATGGCACGTGATGGTGCATCATATTTGATGCCTGGCATTACAGGCATTCAAATGAAGTGGAAGCCAGGCAGGAAGTAAGGCAGTACCTCAATCCTCACCATCACTCCTGGGCTGCGACGATGACAGTCTGCAAATTCCCCGAGCCGTCTTTTGGCTTTTTACCGACTTGTTCTATTATGTACCTATTTTTACTTTACTCCCGATAACCATCCTTAGTCTCGTCCTGTATTCAAAAGCATACATAATTAGACCGGGAACGAGAAGTGAGATAGATCATTTTCTTATTGCGCTGAATACCAGGAACTAATCTCTGCAACAATCTCAGGGTCATCTCCAGCTGTCACCAGGCTCAGATCTTGGTTATTGCAGCGTCTGATCTCCAACCAGCCCATGTACCATACCAAACCGGACGGTATCACGATTGCGACATGACCGAGGGTCCGATCAGTCTGCCCCGACCTCGACAGACATGGTTCTTCCACTTAGAAGTTGGAACCAGTATCCATCATTGAGGATCCGTATGATCTGATCATGACATCATCGTCACCGGTTGTACAGACGGCGTTCAGCAGAGTCGGTAGAACCACCCTTTAGCTCGGTTCGGAGAACATCCAAGTGGACAAAGATGTACAGTAGCCAATGCGTAGCTCGAGTCGCTACAAAGACCCGGTGGGAAAGTCCGGAGCGTTGCTCGAGCACTGATCTAGACCTTGCATGCCGTCGGTGCGGGGCTGCAGTCCACAGGAAACAAACGCATGGGATCTGACTGGGGGAAGGAGTAGTCTCAAGCTCGGTAGATAGCTGGATGAAGGGACGAAGACATGGTATCGGTCAACCATGGAGTCGGGGCCTACTTAAGTACATACCTCGGTCGACTCGTTGGCCAAAGCCCCTTGCAGAAGGCCACACCGTCTTGAAGAGGGCGACACCGATGGCCACCAGGAACGAGCTTGGATATCGTTCCCATTAGGACAATGTAGACCCAGCACTTAAGACAGACTAAAAGTTAGTCCGAAACACCCGGGCATCGTCACATGCGGGCCCTTCCGCTGGAAGGCGCGAGAAAAGCAAAGCAAAGTAAAGCAAGCAGCAGCAGCAGCAACTCAGCAAGCAAGCACACGACCGGCGGCCTGGCCATTGCATCACCCTCCTCTCCTATCCTCTTCTCCCTCTCGTTCTTCCTCCCCCGTCCATCTCGCCCCCTCCACCGCCAACCCTCCGTTTCTTCTCTTCTCCTTCTCCTGGCCGTGGTCATTCTCTTCATCTTCAATTGTATTATTTAATTTCCGTTCCCCCGGGCTTCCCCTGAATCGTTGTCTCGCCCCGGCGCTTTCCTGCTTATCTTTTCGACCCGAAAATCCTCCAGACCTCCCGAAACGCACACACAACAACAACAACACAATCTTCGCCATGGCTGACGTGACCTATCCCGACACAAACGGCCACAGTAAGGTATGGTCAATTAATATCGCTGTCTTTTGAGGAAGTGCGCATTGAAGCTGATTTGGTCTCTAATCGCCAGTTCCGAGTCTTTTACATACATGTCTACGGTGTGGGTTACACAAACTGATCGTTACTTCCTCGCTTAGGTGCTCTTGCAAAAGGTAAAGATCTGGCTTTGAACGCGACAGCTTCGTGTTTTCCGCTCGGAGTGATATGTGGAGAATCAATTGATCTGACAGTCCATCATTTTAGGCCCCATTGCCGATAACATCAAATCCGAGGCATCCCGCACCGGTCAAGAATTCCGCGACTTGAGGAATGCCACTCCCTCATCCACCACTGCGACCGGCCAACCCCTGACCTGTATGTTTGGATATAGACCAGCTGGCACACTCTTTGCTAATTCGGCTTAGACTACCACTCTTTGCTGTACGGCCTTCTGAGCGTGAGTGACCCGGGATTTACCAAACGTGAGCCTAGTCTGATTAACGGATATAGTGGGAGCAACCCCGAGCCACCGCCGTCTCCTTCGCGAGTGTCGTTACATTTATCTTCGCCGCCCGTTATCTCCCTCTCCTCCGTTGGTTCTTTAAGTTCATCTATGTCGTTCTGGGGTGTAGGTTAAATCGTGGCTGCCCGGTGTCAACACCCTTATACTGATGCCTGATTATACTAGTCACTGCTATTGTTGAGGTCGGCGGCAGACTTGCTCTGTCACAGAGTGTCGTAAGCTCATTCCGGCCTCGCAAGTACTACACCGTGCCCAAGGAGACGATCGAGGCTGTGTTGGAGGACCTGGAGCAACTCATCGACTTTGTTCTTATCGAGTTCCAGCGTGTTCTGTTCGCCGAGAACATCGTCCACACTATCGCTGTATGTTTGGATGTCCCTATCGGTGCCTGGCGAATCGGCCTGATACTAATCTGATGTACAGTCTTTCTTCGCCGCATTCACCGCCTACTGGCTGATCAAGTTCCTTCCGTTCTGGGGACTGTCCCTGATTGCCGTTACTATCGCGTACATGGGACCCCTGGTCTACATCAACAACCGTGAAGTCATTGATGCACACATTGAGCACGCGCAGGAGGTTGTCAACGCTCAGGCCCACCAGCTGAAGGATCTCGCTGAGGAGCGCACTGCCCATGCCACGGGTGTTGTGCGGCAGTACGTTGGCGACTACAGCGCCAAGGCCCAGGGATACATGCGTCGTTCTGCAACCCCCGAGGTGGCCCGGGCCCCCAGCCCTGTCATCAAGAAGGAGCCTGAGGTCGAGCCTGAGATCAAGACTTCGGACTTCCCCGAGGCACCTAAGGAGGAACCCGCGGTCGCCAAGGAAGAGCCCGTTGTGGATTCCATTGAGCAGCCTGCCGAGCAGGTGAAGGCGGAGCCTCTTGTTGCGCTTTAAGAAACTTGGCTCGTTCATTCTGGCTGGTTATCAGTGGGGAGTCACGAACTTGCTGGTCTTTGGGGCATTGTGAGGTGAGCGCGGGGGATTTAAATTGGTAGCTGGGGCATATAGTATGTATTGGTTTGGTGTACGAGAGAGCGGTATGATGCGTTTCGAGAGTTTGCCAGCGTATTTGTATCTTTTCTAGGCTGGCCGACCTGTGCTGCGGCTCTTCGAATGGTGTTGCCGTATGACATTGAACTTTACTGGTGTCTCTATCAATGGCCTTCTGGTTATAACAAGACGTATAGCTCGTAGAATGGCGGTAAACTTGCAGCTAACACATTAGTGTACTGCAACATGGACTCTCTATTTGAGAATCGCTCGTACTTTGAGACGGCTGGTAATGGTAGAGCAGCCGAGACTAATGTGACCGCCGAAGATCCATTAGTCGGTGTTTCAAAGAAAAGAAATTGGGAAACGGCGCTGCATAGTACAAAAAACCGATTGGCGGAGCAGGTAAAAGCAAAAACAAAAAGAAATGGCTGTGCATCATCCGTGAATCGAACACGGGCCTCATCGATGGCAACGATGAATTCTACCACTAGACCAATGATGCTAGTACATATTAAATGAGCTTACTTATACACTATAACTGTAGCAATGTGTTTAGATAATCTAACCACCTCGATCTCTTAGTCGAATGTTGTATCTTGACCCTATCTTCTTATTCTGTCCGGGGTGATGTACCTGGTTAGGCATCTGGCTTAGGCAGCTAGTTAGTAGCAAAGTCTCTATCATATTCTATGTTAACGGGGGGAAAAGCGCGAAATATATACGCTGCTACCCGCCCGCCTCCTGCTTCCAATGATGGCGTACATGAATGCCCAGGAACCAGACTCTGCCAGATCAAAACGGTCCATTTAGATTGTCGTAGGCCTTTGAACCGACTTCATCGCCAATTATTATTCAAAAGGGAGTTTGGTCTCATACACCTTCATAAAACAGAAGTATTCCGCTTCTACTATACAACAGTACAGTGCACTATAAAATCATCCCAACAAACGCACGCTCCCGAAACAACACACACACACACGTACCATTCCACGAAAAATAGCAGTACGTAAGTATACAATAGTTGACTGCAAATTGACCTTAGACCACAATGCATATCCATATCCAACAGCTATCCACGATGTCCACGAATTCAGATACATACATAATATAGATCAGATCCACGTCCACCCATCCCACATCCTTACCTAGATCTAGATCCAGATCTCCAACCACACCGCGGGATAAGACCTATCGTGTCCCATGCACTTCAAAACCTGTTTTCAGGACTGGAAAACCCAGATCTGAGATGCAGGTGACGACGGTAGAGCCAAGGGATCTGGCGCGAGAGATCTATATTTGAGGGAGGGTATTGATATTCATGTCGCCCCCTTGCGTGGGGGATAGGTAGCTGGTTAGTTGGGCTGCAAGCAAGCAGGCAGGGATTTGGGGGAAAGTTTAAGGTGGTGCGCTGCAGTGGGTTGTGCGTTTGAAGAGGGGAGGTAGGTATTTATATAGTTGGTCATTCCCGCTTCTATGTTCCTCGAGTTGTTGTTATTCTGAGTGTTTTCGTTCGCGTTGTTTGTTCTGCGTTGGTTGTATGTGTTATACACCAACAGCACTCGTTTTCACACGCCCCCGCTTCATATCCAACGCAACCGAAATGTGTGTTATGGTCGATGGCAGTAGTCCCAAGCAGGGTTGATTAGTTAAATATTATGGTATGTATATATGTCCCTCTTTTATGCAGTTCCTCCCAAAGTATCATCTGAGTGACCAGAACAAAGGAAATTAAAGATGAAGACGGCCGTCATCACGCCCCGCTAATAACCCAACCACACCCGAGAAACAAAGGAAATGTGCAACAAAAGGGATTAAGTCTAATAATTAAAATAATAAGGATGTGTGCATCCCCCCAGGTCAGCTCCGGATAACCCTAGCACGGGCAGCGACTGCTGCGCCTGGCTGTGTGGGTAATACTTCATGGCATAGGGATTTGCGTCTAAGGCGGTTGCTGCTGCTGTCGATGATGGCTCCTGGTGGAACATGGACCCACCGGAGAGATCGAGCGGATATTCGCCCTCACGGTGCCGCTTGAGAGGTGCAAATGAGGTCGATGCGCCAGTATCCCACGTTGTTGGGATCGGGGGCTTGCATGGATCTGAGGCTTTAGAGGTGGGTGGCTTTGAGGTAAGAGGGGAGCTGGTGCCAGTGGACGGGAAAACAGAGGTGTGGGATTCTAGATCGGGTATTTCCTTCCTATAAACGGGATTGCCGTCTTTGAGGGCTTGGGTGGGTGAGCCCATGGTTTGAGAGTCGGTTAATTCGGGGAGGTGGACGCGCGAGACGCAGATAACGGCCGATCCGTCTGCAGGCTGTGAGTATATCGACTTGAAAGAGCCGAATAGCAGGAAAAGCTTACCTGTTCGACCGTCTAGGTATCGCTCCTCTTCTTCGCGGACGTGGTAGATCTCGTCGAGCACAGGGATGCGTTCGACCGGAGCGATTTGTCGACGGACGGACTGGTCTGCCTCTTTGAGTTTCTCCACGCAGATGGAGTGGCTTTCACGCAGCTCGCAGAGAATGTGGACGAGAAGGCGGATCCGCTCTGCGTTCGCTATTAGCAGGAATACTGGAATGAAGCGATGGACTCACACACCTGCTTTGAGGAGATGATCTGGTTCGCGGTGAGTGACGCCCGACGGCCACCAGGCGGGCTTGGTCAGCTCGGGGTCAAATTGCTGCGATGAGCCGGAGATGATCTTGCGCCCATTGTATGGATAATTGACCTGTTTCCGGGGCTCTACGAGCTTGATGTATGCTTTGGCAAGGATGCGGCAGTTGATCTGCTGCAGGCTGTCGAAGGCCTTCTCGTAGTATCTGCGCAGAAGGCCGGTGTTGCGGACGGGCAACATGGATTTCTGGTGACAGGTAATACTCATCGGGACGAGGCATTCGTGGGACACCCGCTTCCGCTTAGATTGTGGGGGTTCTGGGGTGGAGTGGAACCTGGTGGTGATGGTTAGTGGTTGGGTTGCGTTGGACTGGGAAAAGGCGTGAGAAGTACATTGATTTGGCGGAGAGATCATTGGTGCTGGGCGATTCTGGCGACAGTGGGCTTCTGCGTCGGACATCTTCTGTCGGGGCCAGTGTCAATAGGGCATCCGTGCGAGGGTCTCGACAAGGAATCCTACCGAGCATTTTGGATGGGTCACCTTTGCCCGACAACGCCACCGCGCGCAGAAAGTTTTCCGTCACATTGGGGGAGAGGATGCTCTGGCAGTTGTTCGCGATCGATTGCGAAGCCTCGAAACGCAATTTGCCATTGTCGTCGATGTAGATGAGGGCAAAATGAAGACAGGCCAGCCCGTCTAGCGGCGCATCCATCGACACCGGGGTATGAGACTGGCGCGGTCAGCTTTGGATTGAGACAGCAGTCGTCACTGTTATCAGTCATACCATGGAAGCGAAGGATAAGAGGTCGAATGTGACGACTCTTAAGGAAATCAAGGAAGACGGGCCCGTGGGATGACCTGTAGAGTTCTGTCAGGCTTCTGGGTGCAGTCGCGCAGAAGGCAGAGAAGAAGCATCTACACGTAGGAAAGCAAAACTCAGAAGCAAGGCACGAGAAGGAGCATTATTAAAGAACAGGACTCAGGCAAGAGGCAAAGAAGAGCGATGCTGCGAAGAAACGGGGAGTGGCCAATAGATCCACTCGCCGTGTTAAGCTTACCGGATCGTCCGCAGCCTGGGCTTCAGCTTCGTTTCGTTTCCGGATCCGCGACGCCCCCGATGCAATTTTATATGCGTGCGCGAATATATTTTGTGTCTCTATTAGAAATTATTTGACCGTTGCTCGACGGTAGACCCGCGTCGAAAAAGGAAGAGAAAAAGCAACTCGAAGCGTCGGCTAGACTATACTTACACCGTAATGATGGACAGTAGTAACCAGATCAATGGATCAGCCCAAGCTGTGTCACTAATGTGCGTGGCCCTATGTGGCACAGCAGCCGACGGGTCCTTATCCGCTCGCATGCATTTGGGCGTAAAACTAATGCTCTGCTGCGTCGTTGCTTCCAATCACCGACCCCGAGAGGGAGGGTCAGCTTAGAGTCCCGTCCTGCTGGCAGCCCTGGAGTAGAGCAAGTGGCTAGCTACTCGTATGGACCAGTCGGGGGTCCCTTAATGCCATCCCCGGTTTGCTCTTCTTCAAGATCAGGTTTCATCCCCGAACTGGGGGCATATGCAGGAGGGAGGAAGAACTTGTGTCGGGTAGCGTGGGCGACCAAGGTCGACAGGCGTGGTGTGGCAGGCCATGCAACCTGCTAGCAAGATTAGCAAGATTGCCTCGAGCCGGGGACCTAATAGGCCCGCTGGGGCAACGATGTAGGCTGCAATACCTACTCTATCTTGCTCGATGGCATGCGAGCGTGCCAGCCTCCCTACCCTTTCTCGTTACGGAAGACGTCGTGTGTGTTTTTCTCCTATCTACCCCGTCCTCCATACGCGATTGCCTCTTCCAGAGATTGCTTTATTTTACCGAAATACCTCCCCTTACCTGGTGCATCGGGTGTCAGACATTGATAGTTGCAGTGCGTCCATGGTTCGCTACTCGTCCTGGCTGACCTGCGGGGCAGACGCTGTCACCAGATAATAGCCAGCACGCCAGGCACAATATCGGAATGTCCCGAGGACATTTGTCATGCTATTAACAAAAGTCAATAGCGGATGGCCAAGTAGGTACGGAGCGACTGGAGGCCATTTACTATACGTGGCCCATCGAGTATCTCAAAGCGATGCACGGAACTTGCAGCGGCAATGCCCACTTCCCACTTCCGGGATCCATCCATTAGTCCAAATAAGATTGGTGCCATTTACCTAGTCAGCATATGGACCCAGTCGGGGACCATAGAGGCGACTAGCATGGTATCGGTATATGTGTTAATCGAGGTAAGTCGGTAGGCAATACCTACTCCATACCCCAAACTGGGGCCGGAAAACAGTTGCGAGGCTGCCTTGACCCATGGCAACTACTTTCCAGTGTTGCACTGCATTATATTCGATGTTTGTTTTCCCCCTTTGGGAGACCGGGACAACACAACGCCATTGCTGGTCATCGTTTCTATTACCCACATGGCAGATGTCAATTAGTGACTTTGGTCGAGTCTAGATCAAAGGTAGCCTTGCCACATTGCGGTACTTCGTGGCAACAATGAGCTCGATGTCGAGATGCCCAAATCGGTGTCTCTAAAAGCCCAGAGAGTTCGAAGTTACCTCGGAACCCGTAGAAAAATCCGACGCATAAAATTTAGGGGGAAAAAAGAAAAAGAAATTTAACTGAATAAATAAATAGATAAATCAAATCAAATCAGAAAGCAGAGAAGAAAAACTCAGCAATTTACCTGGGACCCTTATGGGGACAGGATGGAGACGGTTGCCGCAGGCTCACGGTGGCCATTGGCCCTTTTGCCTTCGATCATGTCTGATCGAATGATGGCTAAACCGATCCTGTCGCGACTGATGGAGCCCCGCCTCTGCCGAGACCAGGGTGTGACAGATCGCGGCCAGACCACCCACTTGCGTAGAGGTGAGACTATCGGCGAACAAGCGGATGCTTGAGCACTTCTAGGGTCTGGCTCTTGTTGGTTCCGGCAGAAGCGAGCAAACCATCGCGGCATTGGTCCGCAGCCGAGAGGAACCGACAACATGGATAAACCGTTGGTCGGGAGTTCCAAAACCCGTTAATGACTGCGGTCCTATCCGTCCGTACCAGTGGTTGATGGAGGGATGTTCATTTGTCCAGATGTCTGATGTGTCGGCCGGTCGGACTGCAGTAGAGTGCATATTGCATATGATACGGTGACCTGTCACAGTGGCTGGACGCCTATCATGCAGGCCGGAAAGCATCCGGAAGTAACGAGTAATTTATTAACCTACGGTCGAGGTTCCCTTTAGCATAACTTATAAATAAATAACCATCGGTTAGGTGGGGGCCCTTTGCTGCAGGTGGGATCAAGCGATTTATCCAAAACTATTGTTGGGGATGGCTGCGCCAGGGGGCAGATCATCGATAGATAGTAAGCTGCCAGTCAACTGACAGGCTGCCTGATTGTTCACATGATGCAAAGTGTGTGCTCCATATACGTTGAAGGTTGGGCCGTGCCGGTCAAGTCAGTGCTCCGACTAGGTTTGTACTATGTCATGATGACAGCTTGGCTGTTGAACCTCCCGGGGGGTGAAGGTATCCTATTCCACGCATTACCGTCACGATCTCGAGCAAACAAGGTATGAATCTGGAGGTGAGTAAGCTTACTTATCCTTGCCAATGGTGCTTGCAGCCCACCATTCATCGCATGGATACCATATGCCACGCCACAGACATGGATGCTGTCATGCGTACTTCATACAGGGAGACATGAATGGCACGAAGCGGAAGTAATATCTGCATATTGTTTCCTGTATATGAAATGGATATGTAGGTGTACTTCATGCTATGAGCAAGCTCCCGATTTGTATTTCAAGTGACGGGTCAGGTCGAACTGGACATGGCAGGCAATATTTCCCCGATGTGGTAGGATGAACTGTCGCTAATTCCGTATGAGATAGGAAGGAGGCAGAGTTTGCTCATCCATGTCGACAGGCGGGTTTCTAGAAAATTGCCCATTCTGCGAGGTAGATCCACCCGGGGTGCCTGTCCCATAGTTCGTCTTGGGTTCATCGTACGTTTGTTGGACTCGGGTTGTTGTCGGAATGGGGTCGTTTCAAGCGATTGCCCCGGGCTCCTCTTAGCGGTATGGAGCCCGAGCTATGGATGCACTGATCGCCTAGGTGCCGACTGTGTTTCCAGTCGCTGACGTTGCTGACTTGGGACGGTCTGTGCATGAGATTGAGTGAGCTAGCTTTATGGAGATGGATCATTGATCAATATCGAAAATGATGTATAGCTGCTCACTTAGTTGAGTGCAAGCTTAAATTCTCACCAGCAGGTAGATGATGCCATTGTCAAACTAGTGTGTGCTTGCAACGTTTGGAGCAGAGGGTGGGTGAGTGAAGCAAGTAAAGTTGACCTTGTCGACCTTGATAGGGAGAGATACCTCTGGTAGGTATACTGGAAGATGCCATGGGTGTTCTGGTGCGGTCTATACCGTAACAGTACAGCTATGTGAGCTATATTTAGGTAAATTGTACAGTCGAATCTAGATACTGTATCATCATACATGTACAATACGTGTACTGGCATACTCACTACATTTGGGATCCTGCCTCTCTTGTGACTTGCGGCCACCTCATCTTTTCCTGCATTTTCTTTTCCCCCTCATTTTCACCCACTCGGAACGACTCTCTTCCCCAGTATCTTATTTACTCTTTCATCCAGCTCTTTCTGGCTTTTACCTGCATTTCCGATCCACCCACCCATCTTCGTCTTTGACCGCACCTGGGCCTCCATCTCCTCCTACCTACATACTCCGTACTCCGTACTACTGTGGTACATTCCCCTCCTCCACTCCACCGCCCGGACGAATCCCATCCACTGCATTAGTCCGTCCGCCCCAAGGCTGATCGCACTGGACCGGCCAGCAAATCTCTTTCCTTTCTTTCCGTCCGTTCACTACTGACTGACTCCGTACTGAGGTCGCAACCGATGCTGACTTTGGACTAACTGACTTATTCCCGGTTACACCTCCAACCTGACTAAGTTGTCGCTTTCAGGGCGTCCTTTCATCTGTTGCCCTTTCCATTCCCCCCCTCCCTTTTGGCTGTCGTGTCCGCATCGGCCAATCATCGCCCCTCCGTTTCCAGTTTAATTTTAATTTTTCTTTCTTTCATCATCCTTGATTTCCTTTCGTGGATCGTTCCAGAAAGAAATTATACGGAATTAAGCAGCGCAATCGCCAGGACACTAAGTCGTTAGGGGAATTGGCTTAGTGTCTCATCCCGTCCATCCCTGGATTCCGGCGAGTCAGAGAGAGCGACCGACGGTGACAGTCGCTGTTGCGGACCTGATCCGTGGACGATTTTAATTTAACCAAACAAATAATAATAAAAAGAAAAGGAGAAAAAAAATTACAGAGGAAAGCTTGCGGCCTGGCCTAGCCATTGATTATCGTTCCTTTCTTGCTCTTATCGACCGACATGGACCCCAACGTTCCCGGCTTCCCTTCTGCGATGCAGCAGACCGCGGGTTTTTCTGTCACTTCCCAAAGTCCACAGCAGTTCCCGTACTATTCGAATGCCATCCCATCCTTCCCCCAGCCCAAATCCGCGTCTCATCCTCCACCGCAGCAACAGCAGCAGTCTACTTTCGGTGCCGTGCCCATGCAAGCCGGTCCCAGTGGAGCAATGATGCCGTCCGGCTTCCCCCAGCAGTCATCCGGTACGTCGGGATCTTTCCCTTCCCTTCTTGACCTCTTATCTTCAATGCCCTTTGTCTTTGCCCGGGGCTCCTCATTCCCTGTGACTTGCCGAACCTCATTCCCCCGTCTTTCCATCATTGCTTCCCCACCTTTCCCCCTGGATCTACGTACTGTCGCTCTGTGGCGCCGGATCCTGTCCCCCATGCCGGATTCTACTGGAGCTCGCCTGGCCTAGTAGTTTCACTACATGTGGTGCTAATGGTCTGATGGGTATCCACTATTGCACTACCATTGCTTGCCATTCTCTTCCCAATCGTGTTGTTGTCCTTTGCTTCAATTGCCCTGGCCAGAGTGTCAGACACGACGCTGGCTGCAAGGACTAGCCGCTAACCAACGGGATGGACTAGCAGGACCCCACGCCAACTTCTCTGCGCCATTTGCCCAGCCACCTGTGCCGACGTCTATGGGCCAGTTTCTTCCTCAGGCGACCGCGACATCTACTCTCCCTGCGACCACCGCGCAGTCGTTTCCTCCAAACATGGCTTCAATACCCGCGACCAACATGATCCCTGCGCAACAGCAACGGCCAGTGCCTCAGCAGGCACCACTGCAGAGCACCGCCCAACCGGCTGCCCAGTCACCTGCAACGGCCGCGCGGGAGAAGGCTCGCGTGTCGACTCTCTTGGACATAAACTCAATGTTGCTGCAGGAGGTCATGAACCTTCAGGCCGCGGGCAAGGCTGGCGGGCCTTCGCAAGGGTCGCAGGAATCAAACCCATCACCTGGATCTGACCAGAACCCCGATAAGCCGAATCAGCGGCCGAGTCCAGAGTACGTCGAGTGCATGCGTCGGTTACAAGCCAACTTGGGCTATCTCGCAACCATTGCCGACCGGGCCAAGAAATCAGGAGGCGTTCCCCCTGCCGCACCCGCTATCATGTCGCCGCCTCCGAATATGCCTTCAATGAATGAGATCTATAGCAAGCTCAACGAGCTCTTCCCTCGCAACGCACAAGGTGGCGTAGGAACTCCCCAGCCCAGTCCACAGGCACTGCAGGGCAACGGCCGGCCCAGTCCGTCTCCAGTCGTGGAAAGCGTCGTTTGAAGAGTCTTGTCTCCGAGAACAAAGCGATGACGAATTGCGGATACGTGCGAGGCCCTTGGGGACTTGAGCATATAGATCAAAGATCGAAAGCCTATCAACTTGCATGCTCCTGCCGATACTTCCATGGTCGCATCAGTTTCTTGCTATGACTGGCTGTTAATGTGGTGATATCGCCCTACAAAGTACACACATATCCTTCACTGGGTATCGCAAGCGGAATTATCGCTCCATACTTCTGCTTTCTCAAATGACCCTGAGATGGGATAGCGAAGCCCGGCGTCCAAATTGGAGGGGCGTCCTTCTGAAGGAAATCGCGCTCGACGTATGGGGCAATCTTGCTCAGGGGCACGAAGCGAAGTACGATGCACATGCAGGCGCGAGGATGATACAGGATTGTAATCAGAAGCCGATTATGGCCGGAATAAATCGGAGAGTTCCGACTGTAGATAGCCAGAGATAGAAAATTAGATATTAGAGGTACTTTACTCTACACTGCCATGGGTTGGAGTATTACAGTTGCCATTGTGTAAGATGGATGCAGCAAGCAGCAATAGTGATAGTGATCAGGTCAGAAGACGCCGCAGCTCAGGTGCGCGGCGGGCAAACAGCGCCAGAACCAATCAGAGCGTGCCAATCGGTCTGTCCGCCCTCCTTTTTCTGTCACTGCATACGGCGCGATCATACGGACTAGTGGAAGAACAATCCTTGGTTTTTGCATTCTCCATTCGGACAATTCTCTGCCGCATGTTACGCAGAATCGATTCGTATGACAACCTGCCAGTGGAAATTCACAGTGATTCAACCTGCGTGCATGAAATTAGAAGGCGGTGGGTGTGAGCAAGCGGTGATTGAAGCGGTGACAAAAGCGGTGAAGGGTCTTCAAAACAAAAACTCGTTTTTCAGTATGGCCGCTACCGTCCGCCGTACACTGCAGCTCGCCTGACTCCAGTCCTTTTTCTTCGCTCCCTCACGGTCCTCGTCATCCCCCCCTCTTTTGCTGTCGTTATTGTTATTGTCGGGGGTTTTGTGAATGTCGTGCGCCTGGCTCCACACCTACAGAAGGAGCCTACTGACTGTCGCTACTACCACATCTACTGTGAGTGCCGCTACCTCTACTTCCGCCGCGCCGCCGCCGCCGTCATCGCCGCCGCCCTCTGGTCCTACTTCTACGCCTCTTCATCACCTTGCCACCAAATCCATCGGACTTTCCTTGTCATCAGTGTGGTCACCATATCTTCGATATCGTAGTACCCCCGGTCATTGGGGCACCAATCGAAATTTTTCTTTGTGGTCAGCCACTGTATCACCCGGTATCGCCACTAGCATCTGCACCCATCAGGCCGTCCGCTCCCTCAGCTCGCTCGTTATAACCCCAAAGCTCCGTGATCTACAGATGGATTTGAATGGAGACGCAGGTGCAAAGCGCAAGCGCAGCTCGATTGCCGCGCCCGCCGAGCGGCCTGCCAAACATCTTCGCCCCGAATCAAGCGCATTGACTCCCGGAGACTCGACGCCTGCGAATGGGACCGTCTATGACGTGGAGGATGATGAAGATGCAGGCCGGGTGCTGCCCGTTGTGCCTGCACAGGCGGATTCGCCGGAATGGCAGGCTACCATTGAGGAGGTCGTGAAGAGCGTTGTGTCAATCCACTTCTGTCAGACCTGCTCCTTTGATACGGAGCTGTCAATGAGTAGCCAGGCTACTGGATTTGTGGTGGATGCCGAGAATGGGTACATCTTGACGAACCGACACGTGGTCTGCCCGGGGCCATTTTGGGGATACTGTATCTTTGATAATCATGAGGAAGTATGTGTCCCTCCTCTTACATCTGGCTTTGGAGGCTAACAACTGTGATATGACTAGTGCGACGTGCGTCCGGTGTATCGAGACCCTGTACACGACTTTGGAATTTTGAAATTCGACCCGAAGGCTATTCGATATATGAAGCTGAAGGAGCTGAAACTGCAACCGGATGCAGCTAAGGTGGGATCGGAAATTCGCGTTGTGGGTAATGATGCAGGAGAAAAATTGAGTATTCTGTCTGGTGTCATTAGTCGGCTGGATAGAAACGCGCCCGATTACGGCGAAGGCTACAGTGACTTTAATACGAATTACATCCAGGCCGCCGCAGCAGCTAGCGGTGGAAGTTCCGGCAGTCCTGTAGTTAACATTGATGGTCATGCAATCGCGCTGCAGGCCGGTGGCCGTGCTGATGGCGCGGCAACGGATTACTTCCTCCCGCTGGACCGGCCGCTGCGGGCACTGGAATGCATTCGTCGGGGAGAGCCTGTCACGCGTGGAACGATTCAGACGCAATGGATTTTGAAGCCGTTCGATGAGTGTCGTCGTTTGGGCTTGACGCCCGAGTGGGAGGCGACCGTGCGCAAGGCCGCGCCCACGGAGACTAGCATGCTGGTGGCGGAGATCATCCTGCCTGAAGGCCCGGCGGACGGAAAGCTCGAGGAAGGAGACGTGCTCCTGCAAGTCAATGGGGAGCTTCTGACCCAGTTTATCCGGTTGGATGACATTCTGGACTCGAGTGTTGGGCAGACCGTGCGTCTGCTCGTCCAAAGAGGCGGTCAGGATGTGGAGATTGAGTGCCAGGTTGGCGACCTGCATGCCATCACGCCCGACCGGTTCGTGACGGTAGCTGGGGGCACGTTCCATGACCTGTCTTACCAGCAGTCGCGGCTGTATGCCATCGCAACTCGCGGTGTCTATGTCTGCGAGGCGGCGGGCTCCTTCAAGCTGGAGAACACCCTGTCGGGATGGATCATCGACTCGGTGGACAAGCGGCCGACTCGCAATCTGGATGAGTTTGTGGAGGTGATGCGGACGATCCCTGATCGCTCGCGGGTCGTCATCTCGTATCGGCATATTCGCGATCTCCACACCCGCGGCACTAGCATTGTCTATATCGACCGACACTGGCACCCGAAGATGCGACTGGCGGTGCGCAACGACGAGACTGGCCTGTGGGATTTCTCTGACCTCGCCGACCCTCTCCCGGCCCTTCCTCCGGTTCCGAGAAAGGCCGACTTCATCCAGCTCGATGGCGTTAGCCAGCCGGCTGCGGCCGATATCGTGCGTAGCTTCGTGCGAGTGTCCTGTACGATGCCCTTGAAGCTGGATGGCTACCCTCAAGCCAAGAAGACAGGCTTCGGATTGGTGGTCGATGCCGACAAGGGTCTGGTGGTGGTGTCGCGCGCCATTGTGCCGTACGACCTCTGTGACATCAATGTAACTGTGGCCGATTCGATCATTGTGAACGCTAAGGTGGTTTTCCTGCATCCGCTCCAGAACTACAGCATCATTCAGTACGACCCGAGTCTGGTGCAGGCCCCAGTCCAGAGTGCCAAGCTCAGCACCGACTACATCAAGCAGGGGCAGGACACCATCTTTGTGGGATTCAACCAGAACTTCCGCATTGTCGTGGCCAAAACGGCCGTCACGGATATCACGACGGTTTCTATCCCCGCCAATGCCTCCGCGCCGCGCTACCGTGCGATCAATCTGGACGCCGTCACTGTGGACACCGGCCTTAGTGGGCAGTGTTCCAACGGCGTCTTGGTTGGTGAGGACGGTGTGGTGCACGCATTGTGGTTGAACTACCTCGGTGAACGCACGGCCAATTCGCATAAGGATGTGGAATATCATTTGGGATTTGCGACCCCGTCGCTGCTCCCCGTGCTGTCGAAGGTGCAGCAGGGAGAGCTGCCCAACCTGCGGATTCTGAACATGGAGAGCTACGTCGTGCAGATGAGCCAAGCTCGCATCATGGGCGTGTCGGAGGAATGGATCCAGAAGGTGACACAGGCCAACCCCTCACGACACCAGCTCTTTATGGTGCGCAAGGTTGACTGCGTCCCTCCTGGGTTTAATTCTGCCGCTGACAGTTTCGAGGAGGGCGATATCATCCTGACCTTGGATGGACAGTTGATCACGCGCGTCTCGGAGTTGGATATCATGTACGAGAAGGAGACCCTGGAGGCCTTGATTGTGCGGAATGGGGAGGAGATGCGGATTCATGTGCCGACTGTGCCGACTCAAGATCTTGAGACCGACCGCGCTGTTGTATTCTGTGGTGCGGTACTGCAGAAACCGCACCACGCGGTGCGGCAGCAGATCTCCAAGTTGCACAGCGAGGTCTACGTCAGCGCAAGAGTATGCCTTCTTTCTACTTTACTTCTAGCTCAGTACTAACCGTCGACAGAGCCGTGGATCCCCTTCATACCAATACGGCTTGGCCCCGACCAATTTCATTACGGCCGTGAACGGCGTTCCAACCCCGGATCTGGACCGCTTCGTTGAAGAAGTGAGCAAGATTCCTGACAACACGTACTTTCGCCTTCGGGCGGTGACCTTCGACAATGTCCCGTGGGTGGTGACGATGAAGAAGAACGATCACTATGTAAGTTCCTTTCGAATTGATTCGAAACGCAAACTAATGTGATAGTTCCCTATGTCGGAGTATGTCAAAGACTCGAGCCAGCCCGCTGGTTGGCGGACGGTGTCGCACGACAAGGATAAATACAAGGATGGGATTGCACCGGATGCAGCGAACTTGAACCCGGATGCTATGGACGAGGGCTTTGATGGAGTGAGTGATATTGAGCCGGACATGGAGTAGTCGGAGGGTGTATAATATGGTATAAATGTATAGCACAGCCGAGATACGAGTAATAGAGGCGTATCACAATATACTTATTGCTAGAACTTTTAATCAATTTGTCAATCCATTCCTCAGCCTTATCGAGCCATCAATACGATGGATGACACCCCAGAATCAATAACATACGCTGTATGAGATAGCTCGACCTGCAGGAACAAGCAGGGATCTCTACCATCAATTCGGGGGTCCTAGAAATCACACAGGAGCATTCCAATATTATCAAGGAAGCTAACATTACGACGGATATTACCATAGCTATGAGGACAGTCTCCTATTCAATAGCCTAACTATCCAAAGATATAATCCTCTTCTTCCCACTTCTACTTCCCATATACTTCACATCTTGAGCATCCACAGTCACCATTCCTCCCATCATCTACTCCATTGACTACACTATTCATCTTAAACCCCTCTTTCCATCAATCTCCCCAGATAGATAGACACAAACGCTGCACTTGACATCACAATGGACCAAACAAAGAAAGACCAGGCTTTGATGGACGCTACCAAGTCCGACGCCGTGTCTGAGATCTCCTCCCGTCTGCCGGACATTAGCAAGTTTTTGGATTTTAGTGCCTTGGATAAGGGGATTCAGGCTCGGGATGATGCTTCGGGGGAGGAGACGGAGGTTGAGGATGATGAGCTTGAAGATACACGTGAAGATAAGACTAAAGCTGAGCACAAAGCTACGCCCAAAGCTGAAGCTGAGCACAGCGCCACTGACCCGGACGCAGTACCAAACCCCCAAATCACTCCTTCATCCCCATCCAACATCCTAACCAGCCTCCCCCGGGGCTACACCATCCACGAATACACCACCCTGCCCGCCCTCCAATCCGCCGCCCAAACCCTCAAAGCAACCCTTCACCCAAACCACCCCCAACCCAACAACACCACCACCAACAACAACAACAATAACCAATGGCTCCTAATCCCCAACCTCGTCCCCTCCCTCCTCACCACCCTAACCAGCACCACCCCCCTCCCAACAACCCCCTACTGTATCGAATGGGCCCACACCACCGGGCTTCTCAAAATCTTCCACAGCGTTATCCATGAATACATCACCGAGAACACCATCAAGGTGATCGACCACCGACTCTACGACATGGGGATACCTAAGGGGGATGGCAAGTTCCATAAACATGGCGATGTTGTGTACTCTTTGGGGGATTGTGGGAGGAGTGCGGATTGGGTGTTTTTGCCGGGGTCGAGGAAGGTTCCTCATGATGATGATGATGGGGAGGAGGAGGAAGAGGGGGGAGGGATGGGGATGTGTTGGCCGACGTTTGTGTTAGAGGCGGGGGTGGGGTAGCGATCAGGGGGATGCTGCGCCCGCTTTGGTACTGGACCCAGGCTTTGTTGTCCCTTCCAAAGTACACCGCAGCCTGGGCCTGAGAATCCTTCTCCAGCCACGTTCTCACCAGCGTCCGATTGTCCATCTCGAGAATAAACGCGCCCGCATCGATGAGAACGCGGATGCCCTTGCTTTTCAGATTCACCAGGAGTTCCTCTTCCGATAAGCGCCTGCCATTGGTGACGGCAAGTCGGTATTCCCGGTTGCGTTTCTGCAGCAGGTACGTGAGAACTTCCGCATTGGTGTGCAACAGCTCCGGCAGGTCATGCTGCTCAATCGTCAGAGGCAGCAGTCTGCGGTTGTCATTCGTCCCACTAAACCCCGTTGTCAGTCCGGCGCGACTAGGTCGGCTTGGGGAACCCTCGGTAGAGTTCGTAAAAAAAGGGACGTCCCACCCAGACGTCTGGAGTTTGACGGCAAATTGTTTGGCATGGACCGGAAAGACAAAGTTCTTGAGAAAGTAGTTAATGACCGTGGTCGAAAACCGTAGGTGCTGCCAGATCTCCGCCACCTGCCCCTGGTCGTCCACGTTGATGAGGTTCCAGTGCCGGAGCCCTTCCGGAAGCGCGGAAGATGCATGAGTCCATCGATCGTACTCTGTCGCAGGATCATCCGACCTCAAGAGGGCCTTAAGGCACTGCCGGGTTTGTGCCTGGTTCATGCCTTCGTGGTAAAAAGCAAGACAGGTAAACAGGATAGCCACATCAGGGTGACCCCATTCGGCATGATCCGATGGAACGCCTTTGGCATGAAAAGGAACTGCCACGGGATCTCGTTTCGGATGGAGCCCGTATTGCACATTCCATCGTTTCTTGAGGCACAGCAGCAGAATCCGATGTACCAGAAGTCCCCGTAAGAGGGAAGCTTTTTTCCGGGCCCGAGGAACGTCTTCTAGCAGGATATTGATGTCTTTCAACACTGGGGCATCCAGCCGTTCCTCGGAAATAAATTGCTTGATCTTTGCAGTCTCCATTTCATCGTATTCTTCAATGGGAAAAACGGAGCCTCGGCCGGAACACACGTCGTCCACAATGCGCTTGCAGAGAATCTCCTCCACATCTTGTCGGAGGAGATAGGCCAGTGGAAATGCACCGACTGCCCTGTTCACTACGTCGATGCTTTGCGGAAGCTCTTGTGCCAGATCGCGGAGATGCTGGGCCACCAGCCCCAACACAGCCATGATGACCTCCCAGCGATCGGGATGCCCGTCCACGACGAGCTGCGAGCCACTGGGATAGATGAGTTGGGTCTTGGGAGACAATGTAAAGTCACACTCATCGAGAACATCACGGCCAACCTGGTCAATCCAACCTTGGATTGCGACCATCTCCACCGCCTCGGAGATCTTCATGTCCGAAACGCGCTGCAGCCCACTCAGCTTAAAGGACAGTGCGTGCTCTGGCACCCCCAAGACGATGCCTGATCTCTGAAGCGTCTCTTCATGCAAGGATCGATATTCTCCAATCAAGTGTGGGGTCGTCGGGGTACGCCGGGAGAATGGGATGTGGATCAGCTCCCGGCCCACCAGGCCACCCAGGCGGGCTTGCAAAACCTGCGCCGTCTGAGTCGTGAGTGCCTTTGGCACCAACAACCGGACAAGGACGTCGCCGTGAGCCAGGGCAGATGCGACCATCGGCATGATGACCGAAGTCTTGCCTTGTCCCATGTTCATTTGCAGGACGGAATTCGAGCCCGAGGTGGGAGAAACCATCTCCAGGGCCACGGTCACTTGTTCCTGGCGGATCTGCATATCGGCATCAATTTCTAGTAGAATCCAGTCCGGATATGCCATATAATCCCAAATGGCATGCGAAGGATGGAGGTGTTCCTGATCCAGCCTGCTTTGGTCGCCTTTGGCATGGAGCTCCTTCATCCGAGCCGACCGCTGTAACCGGACAACGGCAAGCGCATAGGAGACCAGGGCCTCCTTCATGTTCGGTCCAAAGGTAACAGAACCAGTGGTCCGAAGCTGCTGCAAGATGGTGACGGGGGTGATACACGGCCAAAGACCACCCTGTCGCAGCCAACGATATCTCCGGTCGCCAGCTGAGAGCGTGTTACGGATCTGTTGATAATAGCCGTCTACGACTGCGCGAGCATTTCTGATCTGATCATCGAATTTTGACATTCCTTCGGAAAAGTTAAGCCTCTCTGGCTGACCCCGTTCTGGCTGTCGGTGTTTCTCTTTCAGCGCATTAATACTCAGCTGCAGGTCTTGACCGTACCTCGTTCTGACGGAGCAGTCCGAGTGGGCAACCCCTTGCACGATGTGCTCGAGCTCCGTGATCCCAGGCACAGAACTCACTTCACCCCCTACTGAAACTCGGCAAGGCTCCTGGACCCGCTGTACAGCTAAACCCGGGATTGCAGTTTTGCTCTGCTCCAAGCTTGGGCCCTGCTTGAGGAGGAGCTCTTGTGCTAACTGCACCGTGGACTTTCGGGAACTGTTGGGGAGGGACCAACAGACATTAGACGGGCAGCGCTGTGGAAGATCCTTGGGTCGGTTCATCGTTGCACTATGGGCATCCAGAATTTCCTGCACATTTCGAAGCTGGTCCGTAAGCCGCATGTTCTTGTACTGCCGCTCCCAGTCAGGCCTGATCGCTTTCACAGCACCCTCGATATCCAAGAACTCCGACGAGAACCCATCCACCGAGGGCTTAGCACATGGCCACTGTTGATAGAGAAAAGTGGCAAATTGCACGCTCGCAATTCCGGAATCTATGTCATGTTTCTTCCGGGCCTGTTCCATCTCCGGGCTCTCAGCGCGCGCTCTCGCCTTCTTTCCTTTCCTCTTTCCATGCGTCGGATGCTTGTATTCGGTTTTGAACAATCTCACCTGTTCTAGAATTGAGCTAAAATCAGGGAGTCCCTCGTCCTGAAAGTTTTCGAAGGAGGCGAACTGGGGTAATGGGAGTCTCTTCAGATCATCCAGGATAAAGAAGGCTGCCAGAACCCTGATCACCGTCATATCCACACGATCACCGTATGCCATCAGGCCCAGGCGGAACATGACATAGTAAGCGTCGTGCGTCGTGCACTCCTTACAAAGGCGGACCAAACTACCCCATCCTACGGCAAGATCAACAGATAAGCTCTCATGCAACGCACCCGGAGTCAATTTGCCGAGGTAGCCACCGATGTATGGCCACTGCTTTAGGATTCTCGCAAGGTCTTTGGTAGTGTTAATCTCGGAGGGCATCTCTCGGAGCAAGGTGACAATTTCGCGAGTCCTGGTCGCTCGTTTAGATGGGTAATGTGCCACGCGTGAGAAATAGGTCATGTCGTAGCGTTCAGTCGGGACCTGGCACAAAGTATCCGCTCGCTCGTAGATGGACCGGCGCCAGCGGGCCCTTTCACTGAGGTGTGTCTCATTTGTCGCCTTGTCCAGTGAAGAGGGTGCCCCCTCCAGTTCGAATAGCGAAAGCCGATTAGACCTGCTGAGAATCAACTCAATGACGGGCCGGTATCCCTCGTGTTGTATAACGGTCGTAAGATGTTGGTTCCAGGTAACGGCCTGCTGGCGCTTCGCCTCCTTTGGATAATACTGTCGCAACGGTGTAAGATGTGAAATTGTCTGAAGCAGGTCCACGATGTTTTGGCTCAACGGGGTCCATGGTTGAGAATAGGCGGATCCCAAACAAGCTAACGCCTCTTCGGTTCCGGTCCGGCCTGTCAGTAAATCGGGAAGCGTGAACGAGGTGTAGGCATGCAGCTGGGCCTTGGTGTACAGCTGCAGGGGGTCTGCAGAACCCTGGAGCCGACCAAGAACATCGTCAATCCGATACCTCCCGTAGTCACCATTGTTTCCTTTCCGCACAAGGACATGGATACCCTGTCGTCGGTATTCAATCTTCCCCAGCGTTGTAATAACACTACGCTGAGAGCGATTGTGGACATTTCGCAGCACCAGCATACTCTGTAGACCATACCACGTGCCAGCATCTTGATTGGGATCAATCTCTGCGGCCAGCTGCTTGCACTGCAGGAGCCGCTTCTGCATATTCACATGGAAGCTGAGATTCATGCGCTTTAACTCAACCGAGAGAGTAAAGACGGCAGGTTGATAAATGGTCAGCATTGATGGTTGCTCAAAATGCATGAAGATCTTGGCAATCGACGCAGCCAGCCGGGAATGGGGATCAACCAGGAGGGAACTCCCACGTTGCGCCTTTCGGGTTCGAACATGGATCTTCCAATTCCCAGCTCTCTCTTTCCAAATGGCGGGTGACCGTCTAGCCTCTATAATCCCGGACCTCAGATCGAGCCAGTGCACGCAATCATGGACCAAAGGAGTGGGCAGATCAATGCTTCGGCCATTATCAAACACCGAGCGGGGGACAAGTTCCAAGACCATGTCAGCCTTGCAGGCTCGAATGACCAGATCTTTGCCTCGATATCCCAGATGAATTTGATGGCCCTCTCTTTGGAGTGCTAATGCGTAACTCATTCCAGGTTGGTTGGAAGGAAAAGCGATTAGTCTCTGGTTGCCAAACAGTGCTTTCAGCGTCTCCGAGTCACGAATATCGGCGGGAAGCTTCCCGTTTCCAGCTTGGCCAGCCGACGACATAATTTTGTATTTAACCAACTCCATTGCTCGGGCGCCAAAACTTTCAGATCAACCAGATCCTTCAAGAGGTTCGCCAGAACTGTGCAAAGCAGGAATTTGTAGTGCAAGCGGCCTAGTTCGTCACCCAAGCACAGATAGAGCAAGCGTTGGACGCAAACGCGAAACACAAGCCAGGCCGGGCTACGTCGCCACGGCAGCTCGGCGTTATCCCAGCATACATCATCCTTTATGCGCTTGCGTAGAACGGGTGGGTAGACGTACCTGCCATTCACCCCGAGAAGTGTGATCAAGAAATCTGTGATGATGGCAGGGTCAACAGTATCCCGGCTCTCGACCAGCTCTTTTCCCGCTTTGCGTGTTTTGGCGGCAAACTCATCCAGGTTTTCCATACTTGCATCCTCTAAGAACTGGGCAAGTGTTTCTTGGAGAACAGGGTTCTTAAATTCTTCGTAAGGCAAAGAGACTGCCGTCCCTGGAAACTGCCACTGCAGAGCCCCTGAAGCGGCCAGAGTCTGCTCCGCGCTGGGCGACGTTTCGAAGGCCTCGAATATGATGTCATCACCATCTCTGTCGGTAGAAAAGTTAGTAGATCGGCTTAAGAAAGCACTATCGTAACCTACTCGGCTTTTCGAAGAAGAAGTGCTGCGTTTTGCTGTCCAATATTCACGATAATGGCACATTTTGCATTTAACTTGCTGAATGCCTCAAGCAGACCAGCCTTGTCTACCATCTCTTCCTTGTTTACATCGCGACTGATGTCGAGTGTATTTTCCATTAACTTCCACACCGGCTTCATATCATCATCGGCCAAGCCTTTGAGCGTTTTGACTGCATCGAGCAATCGGGTGAGCAGCTCATCTTGGACCTCTGCGATGTTATTGTCCTGTCGGCCTGGAAGCTTGGGGGGGAAGGCGATATGATTATAGATGTCGATCAAGATGTCGCGGTCAACATCGGGGCCAGGCATCCTGATGGTGGTTGTCGAAGTGGTCGCAGAGCGCGCGGGCCTACGTGTCCAGTGTTAGCAGTTAGCACCGGGGGGGGGAATGAAAGACGCAAAAGGAATTTTTGACGTGATTGGCCCATTCACTGTATCTATCGTGTGACTCTGAGAAGAGAGAGTCTGATTGGCAAACAAGATCTAATTCACCTACCCATGCATGGCTCCAGTACCAGGAATTCACCTGATCGCTTAACGTAAACACAACATGTAGCGAGGGCAGGGGATTTGGAGGGGAGACGAGCTTAAATAAATATGACTTTGGACCTGGCGGCACGAGCGATTCGGGCTTTGTCGGATCGTGCCTACAAATTCCCTACCGAAGCATCCTCCGGCGAGTGGCGGTTGGCAAACCATCCTTGTCGAGTCATCCTAACCAGGGATTCCGCAGACCACTAGAAGACCAGAGTCAATGTGGCGGAGTGCTGTTCAGTGACGCTAACCACGACATCCCTGTCATCATGTTGGATTCGAGCAGGGTGCCCGTTCCTCCGGCTAGGCTGCCAGCCTTGCCAACAGCAGCAACAGTAGCGCGGATTCTGGTTCCGGAGTTTCAGCCAGTGACGTGGTTCCAATAAATTCCCTCTTAGGTGCCGGCGCTATGTTAAGTTCATAGCGTAAGGCAGATTCAATGAGCTCGCGAGTTGTTGTATCAGTAGTACTTTTGTAGGGTGCGTGGTAGTATAACCGGGACTGGAGGACACTCGTATTCCGTGCTACATGTCAGTAATGCCACAACGTTGTTGGATCCTCGGGATGAGCATACGTCCATTTTTCTTGGAGGAGCCCTTCCTTTCACTGAGGCTGGCTCGATTCATTGCGAGGTCTGCCTTCCAGAGGGTGCCTTGCCGCCTCCCTGTCATTGAGGACAGTGGTCTGGATTGCGCCATCCGATCATGCCTTAGCTTTCCCGAGCAAGGGATAAAGTACTTGGGGGGGTTGTGGGGATGAGAGTGATTAGACATGTGTGATATTCGAGTAGCATGTGAAGTGAGAATCAGAGAACACTTCTTGAATCCGTTGATTGTGAGAGGCAGCTCCAGTTCTTGGAGCTCGAGTTGCGGGGCAGCCTCCTTCCCCAACCGGGAGACTGCGAGGCAGGTGACAACTACGGAAGACGGGTTCAACTCCCTCATTTCGTCCCGGCTATGGATCATTATACATTGGCAGCTATTTGACATCTCGCTACGATAACTTCTACCCTTCAAAACTCCAAGTGGAGAAAATGAAAACTCCCCGAATCGAGCCTTGTCGTCCGAAATATATAATTAGCCGTCGGAATGCAAGAACCACAACCATCAGGGTTGCCACTATGGGAAGGAAGCTTGGGAGACAGATGGGAAGAAGTGCCAAGTCATGATCAGATTTATGTTCTGGCGCAAGGGACATGGACCAAGTTCAAGGAGTAGATGGACTTGGTTCGTTCATGATTGCGGAAATGGCGCTGATCAGAGGGTTGATTCCAAGTTGGGTATTGGATTCGAAATTAGTGAAATTATTTATATACTGCAATGCAATCTATCATTACCGTTGAACATCAAACATCACGAAGTCTCCTTCCCCAGGCGATGCCGTCTCCAACTGACGGACATAAAGAAGATGGATGTGACCAGTCCCAACGCAGCAAGCCCGATACCCAGGTACAGGGCCCCGCGGTACCCCTTGAGGGGATTTCTTCCGCCATCATTCACATTCGACTCCACAGTGCCGGCGAATCCCAGGCCAAGGGAGATCGAGTAATTCACGGTGGTGGTGACTAGCGATGCCGCAAGGCCTTGGTGGTGATGGTGCATGGAATTACTCAGAATCAGCGTGCCAGAAGGAAAGGACATGTCCCTAGTGATAGTCAATATCTTGAGGTAGTTAATAGGGTATAGCGTTACGTACATTCCCCACGAGGTGATTAGGCTGACGACAAACGCCTGCGCCCAGTACGTCTGATTCAGGGGCACTGTGGCGAAGATCGCCTGACCAGCGGTGAAGAAGCACATGGCGAAGAACATGATGACACTAGGAGGCAGTTTCCCGAGCAGAAAACCTGTAACAAGGGCTGCGACTGCACCAGAGGGCGCTGCAGCAGACCATTTGGCGGTTGCGAGTAATGGTGAGTCGCCCTTAATGACCTCCATGAACTGGTAGAAGTAGTAAATGATGATGCCGAAACTAGACCAGCCTGCCGCAATACATCCAAGGACCCAGGCCAGATCGCCCGTTAGCACCGATCTCGGGATCAGCGGGCATGGAGCTAAACGTTCGACAAAGACGAAGATTCCGAAGATAACAAATCCGACAATAAGGAGTGCGTAAGTGTAGGGGGCTGTCCAGCCAACCAAGGCAGCTTGGTTCCATGCAAAGTTGATTAGAACAAGCCCGGAAATGCCGGTGATAGCACCGAGAATATCTAACCTCGTCCAGGTCGTCATGTTGTCTTTGAATTTCGGGCGATGTGTATACGGGATTACGAGAATACCGAGCGCAGCCAGGACAAAACACACCGTGCCCATGACCCAATACGCCCACGGCCACCAGACGAGCTGGGCAAAGAGAGAGGAAAAGACACCTCCAACAATAAAGCCTCCTGGTGCTGTGGCGCCGAAGCAGCTGAAGATCATCTCCTTGCGCAGACCGGGAGGATACGCGCGACCGAGGATTGCAATCGCGTTTGGAAGCAACATTGCGGGACCAATCCCTTGCAATGCCCGACAGCAGTCGAAAAAGATCTTGTTGGACCAGACACTGAATCCGGCCAGCAGAGACCAGAGTCCGAACCAGGAGAATCCGATGATGAACATGAGTCGATGGCCGTAGACGTCCCCGAGCCGACCAGCGACCAGGATGAAGGTTCCGACCGTCAAGCTGTAAGCGGCAGCAAACCAACTCAGTTCTCCGGCACTGCTGGTGTTGAAGCTCGCGCCGATGATGTGGGCCGGGGCGATGGACATGCAGAGCCCGGCTTGCGTCATAAACTGGGCCATGCAAACCACTGCAATGAATATGATTTCCTTCCAGAGCACGGATGGCGGTTTGAGGGCCGACTGAGCAGTTTCAAGCCGAGTCAGCGCCTCGGGATCCTCATCATTCGTATCGGGCGGTTTATCCTGCAAATGCCCGCGACTGATTGTGGACTCGGAATCATATGGCGTCGAGTCATCGTGGGCCAACTGTTGATTGTGGTCTACGGCTTCCGAGAACATTTTCAGTCAGCCTTTGAAGACCAAACTAGATATATCAGGGGCGAAAACAGCTGCCCAGCGGCCGAACGGCCGAGCCCGGGGGCAGCGCATCTTATGTAGGATGAAAGGGAAAGAGATGAACCCAAGATAACCTCAGGCCCTATGATGTTGGCTGGAGACCCACCGCGTCGCCACCAATGTATCGCCCTGCACAGCTATTGGTTCACGCGCGGGTCTAGACGACGCCGTCAGCGGATGCATCCACAGGATGAAGGCACATCCGTCGGAAGACTGACACATCCCGTCGGGGCCTTCCACGGTCGGCATTGAGGTATTGGTTCTGCTGCAACTCAAACGGGGAGAAAAGGAGAGCCAAGGGACATTCAAGTCCGAGCGGGATGCCGATAAGAAAGAGCTTTACTGTTTGTTTTCAATATCAGGCCCGACAAGTGGAGGACTCTTAACTGCTCCGTAGTTGAATGGGAAATATCTTATCCGGATGATATGTGCTCATTAGGTACTGCCCACCACATGCCAGTTGAAGTGCCAAATCGCGTTGAGATCATCATAATTCATGAAGCTAATTCCAGAACACTCCATCCGATCCCTGCATGGCGGCTCTCTGACTTGACGATGCTGATCTATGCCCAAAAAGGGATGCATACGATGTCTTTTACTCTGCATCATGTGATCGTCTGCTTTTCCCGCTTGGTCGGTCTCATTCTTCCCACTTTTTCTACAGTCGTCAGAATCGTCGTTGAATCCCCTTCCTGCTGGAAACCGTGTATTGGAGCTATGTTCATCTAGAAAGCCAGCCTTGTTTGTCTCAGCCTCAGTCTATCAACGCTTCATCACCACCCTACTGGCTCGTCAACGAAACCGCAGCATTGACTCCGTGCTTCTGTCTCCACGAGGCAAGTTGCTCCAGGTCCCCCATAAGCCCTGATCTGGCATGCGTGCATAACTGAGCCAACGTGTGCTTGTAATAGCCAAAGATCTCATCAATCTTCTCTTCCCAGAGCAAATTGCTGTCATATTCGATCCATACGTCCACCTCGTCCGCCAACACCGTGATCTCAAAGAACAACATCAGCTGCGCATGTTCGGTATGCACGCGGCGGCAAAATTGCATGCCTTCGATGAGAGCTGGCTCCTGGAGCTGCGGTTGGATCACCATGGCACTCTGAAATGCCCATGCTGAAGCACCACTTCCGTCGGTAGTCGGGAGCATGGGCAGACTTTGTTGTTCGTGGGGAATCATATCCAAGATGCGCTGGTGCACATCCTCGATAAAAGAGGCCACCGGTACTGAATCGTCCCAGAAAACGCGGAGAGGCACCAAAGTGAGCGTCGGGGCAATCAGACTGGTCAGGCCCGGCAATGCGCCCATGCGGCCGTTCTGAACGGCTCCAAAGACGGTATCCGTGATTCCGGTGTATTGGCCAATACAAAAGGACCAGGCAGCGCGGAAAAGAGTTGAGAGGGTGATGTTTCGTCCTGTTAGGTCTGGCATCGGTACTCGATAAGCTTTGGACTTGTCTCCAATTGCGTGGCAGTCTGGCGAGGGAAGTTCGGGAAACACAATTCCTCGGTAGCCATCCATTTGTGCCGCCCAAAATGACGCGGAATCCATCTGCAGGATATCTTCCACCCAGTACATGAACTTCTTGAATGGCAGACCAAAGTCCACCGCTCGGCCCTCATACAAGGGTTTCAAAATTGACAGGACGCGATTGGCGCACCACCCATCGTAGATTGAGTGGTTAGCTAGCCACACAAAGTGATGGCCCTGCGCACCATCCGGAATGAGGCCAAATCGATACAGGCGGGTACCTTCACAAAAGGGCACTGCTTCCATTTGGGCACGGCAATACTCATCCAAGTCATTGGCAGTTTCCCACTGAACCTCCTCGTCCATCACGACTTGCAGAAGCTGTGAAGAGCCCGGCAAGGAAACGATTCGGGTCCGGAAAATCTCTATACGAGCCACAATTTCATTCCAGACTGCACGGAAGCGCCCGATATTAACGTCAGGTGAAAGGTGGAAGGTAAGCTGCATCATCATGGCACGCGGTTCCTGTTTCATGATGGCAAAGACCCCAGCCTGAAGGACGCACGCTGGGTAGATGTCCACGATCCCCTCCAGATCCCATCTCTGGCGGATGCGTTCGCGGAGTTCAGGGTCGTTGGATATTTTATCCACCTGGTAGACTGAAGTAGGTGCGTCACTGTCCTCTTTATGGTCCACGAGAGCCATTTTTTCTTGTAAGGTAGCTGCCTGGGCAGCCAACTCAGGTTGAGCTAGGATGTCTGTCGGCAATAAAGGAAGTCCGTGATCTCGAGCCATGGCAGAAAGGGCAACCGCCGTGACAGACTCACCTCCGAGTCGGTAAAAGTTATCATGAGTTCCTACCGCCTCTGTTTCAACTCCCAGCACCTCGGCCCATAGCCGCTGCAATTGCTCTTCCAGCTCATTTCTCGGCTTCTGCTTAACAGCGGCACCGGCCGCATACAGACCTAACTGGTCGTCTGCAAGATCGCTCACCAAAGACTTGAGTCTGCGACGGTCCAGCTTGCCTGACAGGTTCAACGGCATAAACGGCAGGGGAAGGTAGAAAGTGGGTACGGTGTAGGCAGCTATCTGTGTTCGGAGGTCTGCATCAACTTTTTCGATAATGGAATTAGTTTCGGCCGTGGGCGGGAGAGGCTGCAACTGCTCGTCGGGGCGATCCTCTCCCTTTGCGCCTGAAGGCCAGTAGAAAGCAACAAGGAGAGTGCGCTGGGTTTGGCCATTCTGTAGGCGGATGGCTTCGACCGCGGTGGAGATGCCCGCTGGAACACTATGGGCAAGATGGACCTCGATTGACTTTAGCTCCACTCGCCGACCGGTGATTTTAACCTGAGAGTCACTTCGCCCCAGAAAATTAAGGCTTCCGTCTGCATTGTATTTCACCAGGTCGCCGGTCCGATATGCGCGGTGCGGCCTCGTTGGACAGAGGTCTTTTAGCCACGACGGAGCGATAAACGAGCGTTTCGTTGCTTCGTCGTTTTGCAGATATCCCCGAGCTAGGCTGGGCCCCTGAATCATCAGCTCCCCGATAGACCCCAGCGGAGCGAGTCGGTCAGGATTCCAAGGGGAGACTACCCAGAGATGGTTATTAGGTGTGGCGTGGCCGATATTCTCACGGTCCGGGCAGTCTGCCCGGCTGAGGTTATTGATCGAGCAGCAAATGCTTCCTTCCGACGGGCCGTACCCATTCAACAACTCGAGTTTGGGTCTTAATAGATCTATCACGCTCTGTGAGGGGCACTCGCCCCCCAACAACATGGTTCGGACGCCTTCCAAATCCTCGGGTCGCAGAGTCTGCGCGAACAAAGGAGTCATGAAGATCCAATTAACGCCCATTTCCTGAATTGCTTTGCCCAGATCGTTGAAACGTCGCTGTTCAGATGAGATACATAGACATCCTCCTGCAGTGAGAGTGGCAAACATTTCCAATAAACTGGCATCAAAGATATACGAGGCGAACTGCAGGACTCGGGACTCTGGACCAATGTGAACTGCTTGGTGCTGGGCAATCATACTGGTCAAGAAGGGCCCATGTTCTAGGACCACGCCTTTGGGAACGCCTGTTGTTCCGGATGTATATTGGATGAAGGCCATATCTTTCGAGGTAATATTGGTCTCCAATGGAGTTGTGCTATCGTCGGGGTCATTCTCTAGCAATCCCGGCTCAACCGTCATTATCGTGACTCCAGCTTGCGTCAAATAGTCAATGCTACTCGTATCGACAAGGCATAGAGCGGCATTCGTTTCACGAAGAATATGATTCAGATGGGCGGGTAGAAATTCGGGACTCAAGGCAACTGATGCAGCACCTGCTTTGAGAGTCGCTAGCATCGCGATCACAGCCCACGCAGATTTCTGGAAGCAAAATGGCACAATTGACTCACGACCCACACCAAAACTGCGGAGCCGAGCAGCTAAAGTCGATGACAGCTGGTCTAGCTCCCTATACGTAAAATTGCCGTCCCAGGAGCAGATTGCGGGAGAATCTGGATGCGTTATAGCTCTGTTATGGATGACATCGTGCACGCAAGCGTTCACAGATGGTAAAGGCTGACCGTTCCACTGAGCAAGCCTTTGTGTTGCCTCGGGGCCGATCAGGTTCAATTCCCCCAAGCTGGACCTCGGATTTTGCAGAAGGCTGTGGATTGCAGCTGAAAAACATGCCACCATATTGTATGCGATAAATGAAGACACATGGGGTGCCTGATAAACAGCCGAGATGGTACCCTCGGATGGTTGGATCCTGACAAACATCTTCACCGCACTGATGTTGTGTTTCCATAATTTCTCACTCTGTTGAAAGGTGCCATCCAAGCTATCCACTACATGCAGTGCTGTATCGAAACATGGTTGCGATACAGTTGGTTGACCGATGACTTGCTTGGACAGGGGCGCAAGGTCCACCTTCCAGTTCTGCACCCTTTCGGCGAGATCGAATACTGACTGAGATGCCTCGATCGAGCACTGGAAAATCAGAGAGGTTGTTGCTGAGATATACCCGGCACAAACATCGTCCCTATTGGTAAAGGCACTCAGCGTCACTGCCCAGAGAGCTTGGAGGGTCTTGTCAATCAAGACACTGTGGTCTTGGCAAGTTTTTACTAGCAATGAACCGTCAAATGTTGACTCCAAAGAAATCTTGCGCCAGTCTACCTCCTCCGTCTGGGTGGTGTTCTGGGTGAACACTACGGACGGCTCCAAACTGTCAAGGATATCCACAAAGCTGACGTCGCCCATATTGAAAATCAATCTGGCGGGCGCGTTGAACCAGCTTCGCTGCATGCCAACAGCTCCTTTTCATATATTTCAACTGCTGCGCTATGATCGCGCCTTTCCCCTCTTACCACTCAACACAGTCAGCACCAGCCTTCCTGCCGCATCTGCGCTCACTTCCCATCATCGGAGACAGGCGGAATCCGCGATAGCAGCCCAATCATATATTCATCGATCCTTCTGGGATGTTGGTGGACAGTCTAATTGGAGCTTGGTGTACAAGGATCTGTCGACTAGTAAGCACTAAGCTTTTTCATCTTGCACTCGTGGCGGCGGAATACGAGACTTGGACCCAGCGGGTCTGCTATTTTAAGAGTTGGCTTCAACCGAACTTCGGTCGCTGACTCCAGACAGTAAAGCGAGGTCGTCAGATCTGTGAGCCAATGAGGCTGCTTTGAACAGACATTCTTCTCAGTGAGTTCAGGGCATCTCCTAGTAAGCCGACGATTTGGTGAACGACTACCGGTAGTGCATCAAACTTGCATGGCAAGCCCGCCCCAGGTTGTCAGGCTAGTCCGATAGAGGTCTATAATCTTCCTGCCTGCAGGATCAAGATCAATTCTGGGCCCATATCTATCGAGGTGGTATGTACCACGCTGTCAACTCCAATGGTTTACCGAACCAAGTCACCTGGTCATAGTGTCAATCCATGGATCCTCTGATCGAGATCCCGGGCTACATCAATTCCGACTGTGGATGGAATCCGTCAACCCCAAGGCCACGGGACTTTGCACCATAGTGGAGAAGGCTCCACGGGCCAGATCTACGATCTCCGGCTGCGGGTTGATCTGGGTGTCCAGCAGACATCAACCCGAGAGAGCCCACCACGCCTTTCGGAGCGTATCACAGTCTGACGAACAGGAATACCTGTTGCTGGTGAGCTCGTTGCCGCTGAGATAGGTCTAGTCGTTTGTCCAATTCTAGCTCGACAAGACACTCCGGCTCACGCTTGCGGCGAATACAATTTCCTCTACGGCTTTTCCATCCTGGGCCGGATGGAGTAGGATGGGCTATGTCCTGGCCGCTTTCGTTGGTTTTCCTGCTCGCAGTGTCCGGCAGCGACGGTCGCAGGCATTGATGGACTGTCTCTAACCTGCAGATCAAGCGGGCCACCAGACCCAATAATGGAATTATTGGAAACAAGATCCGGTGCTTCTTGGCATGCTCTGCCTATCGAGTGCTGCTGTCGACCAGATCATCTAACTTGCATAGCTAGCCTCTTACCCGCTCGATCCTTGTGTAACGCGGGCCACTGTCGAATACTGCACGGGTGATGCATGAATCTACCGATAGAGACTAACAAGGCAAGGCAAATGGGCAACCATTCCCTCCTCACTATGCAGGCCGGAGATTTGCGGAGTCCCTACCGTACGCCACTCACCAGTTAATTTGTTTCACGGCATTCTTCGACTGTCGGATCAACACTATCAAAAGCAATGCGCTTCCCAAACCATCTCTGGCAAGCTCGGTGCTTGGCGCAGTCAATAGTGCGCAACCATACATTCACTAGATGAGTCAGGAAGCCCATCTGGATCGTATATAAGAGCAGGAGAGTCCGCTCTTCTGTCTGCGAAATACAGCCTTACCACTTTCATGTCTTGCTATCTCTTGATCACTTCCATTCTACCACAATGCATAGCGTCCTTCCGAGCACCGCTTCTTTGGCCTCGTCGCTTCTCTTCCAACCAATCTATGGCGCTTCACGCTTTGAGTCCCTGGAACGCTCCTACCAGAGGGCCATTGCTATAGGCAAACACTATAGTAAGCGTCAATGGCTCGATTACATTCAGTTCTAATTAAAGGCAGGGCTCACCACGGCTGATATTCTTACGCTCTCCGAAAGATTCTGGGCTGCCCATATGGACCCGCTGATGGCTGTGGACATAGCTGCGTCTTACATCCTCATGATCCAATGGAACCTGGTGGTAGGCACTATTGCCCCTTTTGTGGAGGAGAGACCGGATCTCAAGCCTCTTATGGAACAGCTCTTAAACATGGAAGTCTTGTAAGTCCCTTGTCCATGCCACATGCGATCGTCCTGATGCCTGATTCCTTCAGCGGCGAGTTCATGTTGACGGAACTGGACCATGGCTTGGATGCTAAGAATCTCGAGACCACGGCCACTCGACAGTCCGATGGAAGCTTTGTCCTTCATACTCCTCGGCCCGGTGCTGCAAAGTTGGTCTCCCTTTCTATGTAAATGATAAACCCGAGAGCTAATGTAATATAGGTTCATGCCTCCCACGATGCCGATTGTGAATGTCCCTCGCGTTGGCCTTGTTATGGCCAGGCTGATCGTCGACGACGAGGATCGCGGACTTCGTGCCTTTGTCGTTCCATTGAACGACGGAAAGACGATGTGCAAGGGGGTCACATCCGTGTCAGTGAGAGTACGTCTGGTGAAGGCTTGAGCTGACTATTGCCACAGGCTTCTGCCAGCCATGAAGGGCGGGGATGCACTCGATCACGCCGTGACCTCATTCAACAAGGTGACCTTGCCGGCTGACGCCATGCTGGGTAGCCTAGCCAGACCAGTTCAAATGCATCAACACTTCCTGGCCCTGATTCACCGCGTTGGTGTGGGATCTGTGTCGGCCACTCTACTGCTAGTGCCCGGCCTGAAGCTGGCCACGTACCTGGTTGGTCGATACAGTCTGCAAAGAGCGATTGGGGGGCCAAGGAATCGCCGCATCCCAATTATCAGATTTCGGACACAGCAGTTGCCCATGTTGCATGCGCTCGCCCACAGTGCCGTGCTACAGCCTTTTGCGACCGAGGTTATCTCCCGCTTCTGTGATTCAGCTACGGGTCCGAGTGATCGTCAAACGATCAGTGCCATTCACAAGGCGGTCTTCGTCCAGCATAGCCAGAAGAGCTTTTCATCGCTTATCGAACGTTGCGGCGCGCAAGGCGTGTTTGAGCACAACCACTTAACCAACTTGGAGGTACGATGGTCTGTCCTTTGGTTTCTCCTTCGGCTGACTAGCCAACTACACAGGCCCACACCCGTGCCTTATCGATCATGGAAGGCGATGTGCTTGTTCTCTGCATTCGTACGTCGATCTAAACGAGCAACCATTTTCCCAACCTGCTTTCTAACAGGACGATCAGGAATGGCCACGGAGCTACTCCTCGGGAGATGCTCCGTTCCTCCTGCCCGACATCCAGGCTCCCTCCTCGCGCGTCACGAAGCCGGACTGCTGGCTGAAAATCGCGACCTTCTCCGAACCATGCCCCATGGCCACCGAAGCGAGAAATACAACCAGGTGATTCTTCCCCGGTGTCGGCCCCTGGTGGAAGCCATCGGCCACCGCATGGCCTACGAGGCTGCTGCCGACGCCGGCGTGGACCGGGACTTGCTGTCCCTGTATGAAGCGGGCGTTGTCCTACTGGATGCCAGTTGGTATGTTGAACACGGATTGCTTTCGCGGATGGAGATTGTGAGCATGGAAGAGCAAGCAGCGACTGCGCTTCTTCCTCGTCTGGAGGGTATTCTGGACGGGTTAGAACGGGAAGTGTATGTTACGGCGCCGATGGGGTCGGCTTCGCGGTGGGGAGAATTTCTCCATCAGCTGCCGGTCTATGGGGAGTCGACGTCGCGGGTGAGTAAGTTGTAGGGTGCAAACCAGAGATTCCATCCGATGCTACCGTGGCCAACTGTATATATAATGGTGCTGAATGAGATTCATTCTTCTAGTTCAGCGAGCAAGTTAGCCAATCGCCCTGAATGCATTTTCCTGAATGCGAGAAGCAAACAGTGCGAGCCTGCCACGTAGCCAGAGCATGTGGCGTCTGCTGTAGGCCCAGGCGTCTCATCGCCTATTGTCGGCGCGGAGAGAGGCAGAGAGAGAGGCAGATGCCGAGGATCGGCGGTCGGCTGACCTAAGCGAGCGAATGACCTCACCGCCTCCGCCATCCGCCGCCATCACATGCACGCCGGAGAAAAAAAAGCGGCGGCCTGACCAGCGCCAGCAGCAGAAACCAAAAGGATCCTCCGCGGAAAATTCAGAGGGCATCGTGCCGATTCTCTCACGAAACGATGTGACAGCGCCGATCCGTCTCGTCTGGGTTTCATCTGCGCCATGTTGTTCCTGTGGCCTTTTCGGGTGGTCTTGTGTGACGCGTTGTGATCGTGGCTGGAGATGCTTTACCCCGCCGGACAGCTCGACGGACAATAAGGAGCTTCCCTCAAGCCATTCATTGTTCTGCTCTCTCCTCTTCCTTCTTTCCCCTCCTCCTCCTCTTCTTTTCATCTTCCTCCTCATCTGCTTCCACACATACTCGTCGCGTCCAGACGCAGTCTTGCGCCATGGGGAAACCCCCGGCTGCCATCATCATTGCTCGGTATGTTCTACCCCCTGTTGCGCTGGCGCTGTCCACGCTGACCAGTCGCAGGCATGGTGCTCGCTTGGATGCTGCCGACAAGAACTGGCATCTCACCTCTCCCACCCCCTATGACCCTCCTCTCTCCTACGGCGGTTGGTTACAGTCTCGTGCGCTGGGGACTCGCATCATCGACCTCATCCAGTCATTAGCGGATTCTCTGGACTCGACCACACAACCCGAGGACAAGGTCAAGTCTGCCGACCGTCTTCAAAAAGCCAAGCCCAAACGCCGGATCATCATTCACACCTCTCCTTTTACTCGATGTCTGCAGACGGCCATCGCAGTCAGCTCCGGCATCTGCCAGAATTCTGGCGAGCCAGATGCCATGCCGTTGAAGGGTTCTACGATCGTCCCGTCCAGCTCGGATTCTTCGTTGACCCCAGGGCCCATTTCATCAAGCGACCATCGATGCCTCCTCCGTGTGGATGCCTTTCTCGGCGAATGGCTGTGTCCGGACTATTTCGACGAGATTATCCCTCCCCCCAATTCGGATCGTATGATTACCGCCGCCAAGCTCGAGTTGCTGCGACGTGAACCCAACTTTGTCCCCCAGGCTGATACCGGTCCTAGACCGTCCACGGGCTTCTTTCCCGGTGGCTGGGGAAGTGCCTCCACCCCGGTCTCGCCTGCTCTCGAAGCGACTGGGGCGGTCCAGGCAGGGCCACCCATACGCCAGACGGGACAGAGGTCTCGCGCCGGTAGCTGTGATACGTTTGGCTCGGCAGAAACCAGGCGAGGACGGCGGATCCTCGGCCGGATCAACACCAACCTCCCCTCCATCCCGGATGCCGCGTACGTGCCTCCGACACCGAGCTATGCGATCTCTCCGTCGGACCCTATCCCCGCTGGCTATGTCACGCATGCCCAGGATGCCTGCGTGAAGGTTGACTTTCAGTGGGACAGCATGCGGGGGGACCAGAATTGGGGCGATGGCGGCGAGTATGGCGAAGAATGGAGCACCATGCACACGCGGTTCCGCACTGGACTGGAACGCATGGTCACCTGGTATCAGGATCATGACCCGTCAATGCCCTCCGGTCGGCCGCGACGGCACTCGCAAACGCTTGACGGCACGGAGGAGCCTAGCCCGCGCAATGAAGCGGAGGATGCCACCGAGACGATCGTGGTTATTATCACCCACGGAGCAGGCTGCAATGCGCTCATTGGGGCATTGTCTGGGGAGCCTGCACTGGTCAATATTAACACGGCATCTCTTACCTTGGCGGTCCGGAATGATCGCCTGCCCGAAGCGACCGGGTCTGTCGGCGGTCCTGTGCGGGCAGAGGACTCCAGCTTGGCCCGCTATAGCATGAAACTAGTTGCCTCGACCGATCATCTGCGTGTTAACACCAGCACGTCGCGTGTTTCTTCGCCAAGCCAGGTGACATCTCCGTCGATGCCGTCCTACCGACGCGTGGCCACTCGTCCGTCGCTCTCCCACGGGCTGTTTATCATCGGGCCCTCGTCGACATCTGGTCCCACGACGGAGGCATGGAAGGCAGAGCGGCCTCTGACAGCAGTCGCCACTAAATCACCTGGCCTCTGGGGTTCCATCGCCGAGCCGACCGAGGAGATTGTGCCCAACTTTGACTGGCCAGCTCCGTCGCCGGCCGTCAACGGTGAGAGCCCGGCATCGACATCAAAGGTGGAGGATTCGACCTGGAAAAAAAACGTTCCTCAGCGGACGCTCTCTCAGCGGGGACTATGGAGCAGCGGGGCGCCAAGCGAGCGCGATATGGGACATAAGCGGCGGTGGACGGTGACTGAACGACGGCCGTGATGGATGAGATGTTAAAATAATAATTGGCGCGGCGTTCGGATAGCCATTTACTCGTGATGGATGATACTGGCTGTGAATATGGGTTGTATAGCGGTAATATACCCATCTGCTCAGCAAATACGAGGAGAGGATAGAAATGTAATTTGACTCATGGAAACCTCCGGTACGCGACCCAGCTCAACACAAGTGCTGTGTGTATGAGGGTTTCTATGAAATAAAAACAATCAATTTTTCGTCGCTCCACTATCTCGAATGATAATACGTAAAAACCGTAACACATTCTATACTTTGATAGTACGGCGAGTAAAGCTGTCACCCTATCGATGTAAAAGAAATTAAACCAGAAAGTACATTTCGACTGGATTACTTCGGCACCAATCTCGCTAAAATCTATTATATCTTCGAGATTATAATATCAACTTCATGTCAATAGTAAAGCCGTCCCGACAGATGGATGTGATATCGAAATCTTAGAACTATACTGTATGTGGTTTATGATTTCGATAATTTTTGATACAAAAGCGGAAGATTTATGGAGCTGTCCGGTCATCAGTAGTAGTTAGTTACGGGTCGCGACCGCTGCTCAACCATCCCCTAGAACAGCAGCTTTCTAGCCCAATAATGCCGAATTCTCTCAGTCTAGTATTCTCCTCATCCTCATCCAACAGCTGCATATTCCATGTATTATCAATCAAGTTTCACTCATCTATCTAACCCTATCCATCGACCGACAATGCCATCAGCCCATACTACAATCTACCCGAATCACCCATCCCAGCCCCGAAATGACCAACCCCATACCCATACCCTACCATACCCCCTTCCCGATCCCATCCCCCAATCCGGTAACTCTATCCAGCCTGTCCGTGCCACCAGCAAAATCCCGTGACAGGATCCAGCCCTAACTTTTGTGCTTTCATATCCGTAGGGAGTTTTCCACACCATGCATCGTGCGAGTGAAGTGAAAAAGAGAGATATCGTGATGTCTAATGCGGAGATACTCCATTGATGAATGACGGGATGATAGGAAGCGTGAAACATGGACCTCTGAGGGTGGGATGGGATGGGAATGGGAATGGTGGGTGCAGAAGGATTAAGCTCAAAGCTCAGTTGCAGCGGATATGTGGGTCATGGCGGTTGCAAGGACTTAGAGCAGCGTTTAGCCTATAAGGTATTAAGGCTAGACAAGTGTCGATCTGTGGGTTGGGTATGCTGCCTTCCCGTCTTGGTCGGTTGCAGGATTCCATGCTGGATGAAGTTACAGTTTGGATTTCGGGTGGGGATAGTATCTAGTCTGTAGTGAAAATTACGATTTACGATGGTATGGACGATCATCTCGCTGCAAAAGGATTAACTAGTTCTCCACTGTGGACGGGTGGGGCGGGTGGGGCTTATCTGATCGGATGGAGACCCACTGAGTTGCCCGTCTTTCATACATACACACAGTATTACTTAGATAGGCCTATCTGGGGTATGTGGCATCTGAGCCGTCTCACACAATTGTCAACGTGGACGCGGATAGAACAGAAAGAAATCAAACCTATGATCGAACAGACCCAGGCGACACTCTTAAATCCCGATGGATGATCAGGTCCCACTACATCCCATGCGGCCTCAGTCCGACAGCAGGAAAGGTTCCTGATGATCCCCAGCCGTGCCGTATGAATGTCTATAGCGTATTTTGAGTTCAGTATTGAGGATTCACCAAGGGTCGAATATTACGCGGGCATATATATCGCCTGAGGCAGTACATTCTGCCTGAGTGAGGAGAGGTGTAGCCTCAGGTATGAATGGCCTGAGGGATCAGGTAGGAGGTAAGTAGGCGGTGAGATTCTGCTGGTTGAGTACAAAGGCGGTGGGTATGCTGCCCGGCCGGTATGCCTCGCTTTAGTCTGTGAATCTGGCGGATGGGAGTGTGGGGGATTCCGCAGGAAGACTGTAAGAAAGTAGTAAATTTGAGTTTGAAGCAGTGGAGTGGACTAGTTCCGCTGGTAAAGGCGGAGTTGGTTGAAAGAGCCGGTCTTGGATATATATCAAAAAGGAACTGTTTCTGATGATGACGGAAATCAGCATGGGTTTGCAGGACTGGGTTAATTGCAGTGGCATACACCCGAGCAGCCGGAGATATCGATCGTTTGCAGAACTTGACGAGGAGTTCATCATGTCGAGCCTAGTCTTGCCCGTATGGCGCAGGACGATTGAGAAACAACCGGTCGATTACCGATCTTTTCCTCTTGAAGACAACCCGTAGGATGCATATACCTCGCTGCTCCCTCAGACCTCCTGATATAGAACTGAGAAAGATGGACAATCCCCGACATGGACAAAGCACCAGCCCTGGCAAGGGTATATATAATCCCGCCTCATCGTCAACCATTCTCTGCCTCGCTGTCTTCTTCCATCCGTATCCTCGCCTCGAATCCCAAACCCGATGGAGCCTCCAGCCCACACCGTCGCCATCGGCGACTGGCCCTTAGAGCTCTGTCTCCACATGGAAGAATGCCTGCATCGACCACTAACCTTCCTCAACAACCTCGGGCAGGGAATAACCTTCTTTCGCCTTCTCCAATCAGAGGCATTAGCCTCGCGGACATCCACAACAGCAGAGGATCCCTTCGAAAGCGAGCCCGCGTTCTATCAACGCCAGTACAGCCGGGGCACCGCGCAACGATGTATGTTTGAGCCATCGGAGGTGGAGAACATACCGCCGATCATCAAAGCCGGCAACTGTGATGAACTCGAGTACCTCCTCAGAACTACCAGCCTGGATCCCGCCTTCCTGAGTGATCCGGGGATCCCGTTGCTTTCGCTGGCGGTGGTGCATCTGCAACTTGGATGCGTGAAATTGTTGCTGCAATATAACGCGGACCCGAATCAGACGGGGTCATGGCGCGAGGCGTATCCGCTGGATTATGTCTTGCCTGATCAATGTCGGGGTTCGTATGCCACGCAATGCGCGATCATGGAAGTGTTGGTTCGGGCCGGAGGGAGGTTCACGTACGCGAGCGCGCTGGATGTTATTTGTCTGGAGAATAGGCTCGATTTGCTACAGCTGGCGGTGCAGAATCGGACGGATCTCCGCGGGTTGAGGTTTGCGGATGGCGCCACGGTGTTGCAGCGTGCGGCGCTGAAGGTCAGCGGGAGGTCGGAGATCATTGACTATATTCTCGAACAGGCGCCCGAGCTGCTCAATGTGACGGATACCTTGGGCCACACGGCGCTGCACTATGCGCTGCAGAACCCTAACCGGGACGTGGTGAAGCATCTGCTTCGATTTCCGATTGATTTGTCGGTGGTGGATGTCTTTCAGGAATCCGCGCTCTCGGTGGCCATCTCGTCGAACCGGGTGGAGGCGGTTGATCGTATGTTGGGTCGGAAGGACTTGGATATGTTGCACCTGCACCAGGGGATCCCGTTTGATAAAGCCCCGCTGGGTCGGGCGATAGCCACCCGCAACGAGGGACTTCTGGACTTGCTACTCAATTGTCCTCGGATGCGTATCCCGGAAAGTATCCGGGACCTTGCCCTGGCTCGGACTCGCACTACATTGAAATCGCATGAGCGGTGGGTCCGAAGGATACAGAAGATTCCTGTGAGCTAGTTACATTCTGATGCAGTCGATGAGTCATTTGGTTCGGGATTGGAGTGGATGGAATCAATCAGATTATTGACGGTACGGGACATTGCACCTTGTAGGCTAGTTCCTGTCCATAATACTGAACGCGAAGGAAGTCTGCAATATCATGGCGATCCATCCTCCGCTCGGGTAAGGTAGAAGTGAAGAACCCCAGAATCGCCATAGTAAGCCCGGTAATCATTTGTCGCAGCGATCGTACTTTCATCCACATAGCGAAACCGTTTCCCAACGCCCTGATTGTCAGAGACCAACAGACTGCTCCCAGCCCCGTGAAATCTAATCTCGTGTACCTATTCAAGTAGTCAGAATCCGTAGTACTCATAGGTAGCCGTGAGTGGCAGACCTTCTCGGCACCTTCATCGGAGCTCATGGTACCCATGAGTGGAAGGATATATCCTCAGCCAAGGCTTGGGCGGGATGGCCGGTGTCAATGACATGCATGTCCCCATTCACCATCCAAAGATGCCGGATCTGCGGGCTCCAGCTTGCTGTAGACATCGTCGACCTCGGCTGGATCCAGTTGATCAACTTGATTCGTGAGGAAGATGTACTCGTCGGCGGGAGTGCTAGACGATCTGTCAGTCTGGAAGGACAAGGAGCATCAACCTACCGAGTCATGGTGTGCCAAGTTGAGAGCAACTGGCAGATGTGTCGGTAAATCAGGTTCCATGGACTGACAAACCACGTTGCAAAGCCCCAAGAGGCTCTGTTCAACTCAAGTGCAACAGTTAGACCATCTTAGACTTACTCCCAACATGGCAAATGCGCGTGGCGGGTTTTCAAAGCAAAATCTTAGGTTCTGAATCTTGTTTGACGGTATGCTTCAGCAGCATGGTCAATCATCCCACGGTCCGTTCAATTTGTCTGCCTTGTACTGTTGGATACTGCATTGCGTGCATCCTCATGGCTTCACAGTGCATGATGCACACGCCGATGTCTCACTAGCTGTATGCACACCACATCTACGAGCATTCCTCGGATGATGAAACCGATCATGTTGATTTAAAGTTGGCACCAGTTGGAATTAACTTTGCCGATCTTGGATAAACAAAAACTTCCAGCCGGAACCAGGGATGTGACATCGCGTCCACGGTAGAGGGTGCAGTTCTATAGTATGCCAAGATCGGTCAAGCAGGATTTCTAATGCAGCCTCGCTGTCGACTAAGTACTGGCGATGTTTTGCCAGGCCCAGTAACTAGCAATACGACATCAGTCTCGCTTGATCGTAGGCAACCAGCACTTGTCACGATATAATGCCTCAGCGAGTCTCTAGCATAAGTCCAACTCATCGCGGTTATCTGAAAGCGGGATACGTCCGAGCGATGTCTAAAGTGGGTTCAATGGGACAGTTAGCCTGGAAACGCATGTAGTAGGGCAGTGAAGTATCGTGCTAGCTAATCCCTTTGGGTCAGCGATCACTTTTGAGGAGAGTACATAGGGTCGATCAGGGAAGCATAGAAGATGATCGGAGAGGGCATCCATGGCTACCATCATGCTAGACCTCGATCTGGTTGAGGTACGTCAAAAGAAGACCCAGTTTGGTCGATCTCCGACCGTCAGAATAGGTGTGGTAGATGTGGTAGGGTGGGGTCAAAGCGGACTGTGAACCCGTGGGCTCTCGAGGAAGGGTGCCGCTGTTTTGACGCTATTGTACGCCAAAAGCCATTCAGTTGGACTTGTCGCCAAAAGACATGGAGGTGTATCGTGGCAACCAGTGCTTGCTTCTAGTCATCGAGGTAGGAGGGTGCTGGGAGTGGTTGTAATCTCGGGTACAGGATGGAGGCAGATCGATTATCTGGAGTGTCAGCGACCGACGGAGGTTGGTACAAACGGGGTGCCTGTCACAGCCAGGAGGATGGTTAGATTAAAATAACATCAGTTGACCCCACGGCCTCGTAGCAAATCTCCGAGTCTCGTACCTTGCTTTCAGGGAATGCCCATAATCCACTGCAATTAGTATGTACCCCCATCCTGATTCTCAGGCGAGGTATAACGGCTTGAGGCGGGATATAGCAGCTTCGAAAAACTCGGGAACACTTCGTGGATCAAAAGGGGATGACCGGCCGCGCATTCCAGCGGTCGTAGACAGGCCATCGGGTGTGGGATGGAGATCCCATCGGCCTCTCGTCCGGCTTGCCTCATCGCGAATCTGCCCATTATCCATGTCCGTCAGGGTCGATTAGCCTTTGCGTTCTGGTTATAATGTCGGTGTCGAGCGGGGGATATCGCCGGCGTCGCATGGGATGGAGTAGCCTAGAAGACGGCGCGGGTATATTAGTACTTGCTTGGAGATTCAGGAATAGCTGACACACGCAGAAGCGTCAATAGACTTCAGAGAAGTCTGTACGAAGTGACCTCATGGGAGTCGTCAGCTCAAGAGGAGAGGAAGACAACCTGAGAGGTTTGTTGTGGTCATGGCAGCTGTCTGAGCCCCGTGTCAACAGCGGCACCATCTCGTATCTATTGATAGAGATAAACAGTTGGAAACACTTAACATCCTGTAAGAGACAAAAGAGACTAAAAAAGCTCAATCTCATAAGTTACGGAGAGAAAAGCCACTGAAAGTCGATCTCGTGAAGGCCTCACCACCACGGGATGCAAAACCGCATCTGCCAGACGGCCGCCGCTGTCCACACCTCGTGAGCGAGAGCAATCCGCTTTGCTCTACAACCAAATCTGACTAGCCCGGACGGTCTCACTTTGCGGGTCGCAGACCAATAAGGCTAAAGCAAATAAATGGCATCATACTATTTTTAGCCCATCTCTAAGGCGCCCCTCTTCCCCCTCCCCGCGGAGATATCCTCAAGGGCCCAACCCGATCAACCTAATCGTTCCTGCGTGAGCTAATTCCATCACCGACTCATTGATCTCCACCTTCACCATCGCTTCAATCAGGCGATTGTAGTGGTAGATGCCCTTCAATCCAAGTTGGCATCCTTTAAAGCCCCAGTCTGCGTTGAAATCGGCCTGACTTCCACGCGATTCACATGCAGGCAGGTCAAATGCAGGTTGCGACTGCACTGGGTGACACTGTGTCTGCCGTCCAGATTCGAATTTTTAAAATTCAAGATGTAACGGAGGGAAAATATGATTAAGAAAAGGTGGGGGGGGGGGAGTAAAAAATAAATAAATTAATTAATTAAATTAAAAGAGAAGGCAAGAGAGGCGACGGGGGAAAGGAAGCCTTCCCATGCCACAGACTAATCTTGTCACAGTGCCCTCGCTCACCACCCACCACCCTCCTTTCCCTCCCCCCTCCCCCAACCCTCCAGAACCAAGCCATAGCGCCCGTGAAGAATTCGCGGCCGTTGATTTACCAGCAACGCTGTCGATACCGTTTTCTCTTCCGCGTACCAAACCGACTCGCTCTTCGTAGACGGCCTCAATGCGACTCTTGAGCGGCCACCAAGATTGCACACCGCTTAGAACTCGACAGAAACCACTACTATCACATTTGGTGAGATGGGTGATAAAAAGGAGCTTGCGTAGTAACACCCGACCACCGTCCTTGCTGCTCATCAGAAGAATATTCGCGTAGGACTTGCTCTTGTTGCTCTGTCGCGCCCCAGACCTCTACCGGAATGCTGCACAAGGCCTTGGTGATGTGTGTGGTAGGTATTAGGCAGCGCTTTGGAACAGGAACAGGCTGTGTCCAAGGCACTGCCTCTTGGGCGAAGAGTACAGGCGAGGCCCGAACCTTTCAACCTCTGTACCACCGTGTGGGAATGAAGGGGAGAACTGATCGAGGCACCAGTGTGAGTCTCTACCTCAGCTCTCATGGCCTCATCGGTCCCAAGGTGTAACCTCGTTTAGGAGAGGGGGGACGGCGCCCGCTCGGTGCGTGTTTTTTTCCTGTTATTACCGTGACGTCATGAACACGGTGGCAGCCAGCTCAACACGAACAGCCAGGGCCGCTAGATAGTGAAGCGACCCTATGTGACCAAGATGTTTTCCTTCCCGACATTGAGTTCTTCCGTGTGGTACCTGTGCTGCTACGGTCCGTCACAGCGAGAACCCGGGCTCCTGATAAGGAATGAGGAGGGGGTACGCTCCCCTCTGGCATCGTGAGAGACCGCTCCACGCCACTTCCAAAGCCAAATAATCAATCTGGAATTGACTCGAATCCGAAACTCACATCAGAGACTAACGGGGATCGATGAATCCAACACTGATGAAAAGTGGTCTGTTTCGATGATGGGACCCGCATCCCGCGTATTCCCAGGCAGAGGAGACATGGCAGCCAGGACTCAGAAGTTCCTGACGGAGGAGGGGTCGATTCCACGCGCGCTGCGCTAAGTGTGTCGGGATTTTACACTGCAGCGTCAATAAAATACACGATGGCGCCCTCGCTGCCCCGATTGGTCGACCACGCCAGGGAAGCCGATTTTTCCCGGTAACAACCAGCAGGCCAAAGTCGAAATGTACTCAATCCGCCCCGTCACCGGAACCGATCTAACATGGCAGCCGGGCGGGCGATGTGAGTACTGCGACCCTTTATCGTAGTAATTCAGAAAAGAAACGATACAGAAAGCCGCGGAAGAAGAGGGAGATCGCCCTGAAGACCCCAGGAAGACGCGCCCCTAACCTAATCTGGCAGGCGTTTGACGTGGCCCGGCAGCCAGCTTCCAGCAGGTACTTTTTTCAAGCAAGGGTTGCAGAAATCCGTACCTTTGTAATTGCTTGGTTCCGGCCGCGGAAATGACAATGTGGAAGCTTATCGGTTTTGGCAAAGTTAATCCATCCAGGCACGTCCTCCGCGGCCGGGAATCTGACGTATCGCGTACCGGCTATCAATCAACTGTACGCCAATGAGGCCTACACCACTGGGAATTACCCTGTCGCTTATCAGATGACTATCAGTGGATGTTGGTGTCTATTTCCGCCTCCGCTGTGCAACCGTGCATTATGTACGTAGTAGTACAGCATCAGCCCCTCGACGCAGTGCGTGTCACATCTCCATCCACCCAGCTGTGTCTACAGTCTAGACACCCGTCGTATACTCCGGCTTAGCCAACCATCCATCCATCACTCAATCTAGCCAAGCCATCGAACCATGGATCGCTCCGTCCAGCCATTCATTGATCTAGCCATTCATCCAATCGGAACCCGGGAATGACTCACTGATACCCTTCCTCTTTCCATCTTCCAGAATCAACTCCCATCCTTGTCCATAGCACACCTATCACCAAAACAGGCAGCATCTCAAGCTAACTCTTACTCAAGAACCACAATGATTCCCACACCCCTGCTGGGGAGCCGTGCAACCGGAAATTCTACCCCTCTCTCCCCCGGTCGCCGCGGAAGCCACAACCGCCGGTTCCCAGCGCCGATAGTACCGATAATTGGTCGGAAAAGAAGCACGTATTTCCGCGGCGGCTACCGAGCAGTAGCTTATTCAGATACTAGTACTAGTACTGGTAATGGAAAGTTCACTGCATTGTCTTGACGAGGTGAAGAGAGTCAAGTAAGACAGTGGTGATATGGCAAGTTGTAGGAGGTATATTGGGGCTGTACCCTGTACCATGTACTCATAAGACACTGTGTAGCAGGGACTCTCGATGTCAGTCCTGAGTGGGCAGTCTCTGGCGATGGAGGAGTGTAGTAACTTGCACACCGCTGGCGGGGACAGGCGCAGCTGTGATGAAGCAGGATGCAGTGGAAGGAGAAGGAGAATGAGAAGATTGCAGTTCGTCCTACGTGAACGAAGTTGCGCTGGTGTCTAGTCGGCCGTGGGATGGAATGCGGATGCGGACGCTGATTCGTTCCGACAATTGGTAGACAGCGCCTATGGGTTTCAATCCGTTGGGGTCTCGGAGCGTTCCGGTTGGGGTCCAGAAAAGCTCGTCAGGTTCAGGAAGATGTCTATACTTAGGGGAATTGTCTATGTTTTGTAGGATCTTGTATCCGTTCGATAGGAGCTTCTCATGAATGTGAGGTAGTTGGATATTTGGCTTTGTCTACATAAGCATCCCGAGTCTCTCGGGTCAGGTAGTTCTTTTCATCAGCAACTCAGGCATGCAGCGAGTTCGATGATCCTGATCCGACCCGACCCAGTTACAAGGTCGGGCCTGGAGTCGCCGGGGAGTGTGACGGGTGCTCTAGCAATCACACAGACTTTCTGGTGATGGATGCCATTGTAGCTTGCCACTCGCAAGCTACTCAATTCTGGGTTAGCTGCGATGGCTCCTGTGCGAGCCCTTGGCCTGTTTGTCGCCGTCGCCATCTAGGCACAGCGCAGCCCTTGACCACTCGTCTGCCGGGCTTCGACCTGAAGACTATGTGTACCACCACCCGAATTATATACCCGTATAGCTTCGCCCTATGGCCATCTGTGTCTGAAGCAGAGATTGGTCTGCCTTTCATCCGTCCGCAATATGTCGTTGTAACCCTCTCACCGTCACACCCCAAAGATTGGAGTCTCTTCATCAGACGGTGGCACAGAGCGCTTGGTGGACATTCTCACCAGCATGCCTGGGCTGTGCTGTGCGGTTGTATATATGATGGACATATCGGGCTTCCAGCAGACCTTAGCGTCTCTGCAAGACAAGATCTATCTCTTGCAAGACAAAGAATGACCCCATCTATTGCGGTCATGAACATCTCAAGGACTGGTTTGACGGCCTTGTACTGTCCAGAAAGGACAGAGACTCTAGCAGAGTATGTTGAACCCAACTGACCGACACGTTGTGGTGGCTGACGGCTTCGCCTGTAGTATTGTTTTCGTACATGGGCTGCAAGGACATCCTCTCAAAACGTGGACAGCAAACGGCGTGTGTTGGCCAAAAGATTTGCTGCCGGATGATGTCCCCGATTGTCGCATCCTCACGTTCGGTTACGATTCGATCGTGACCACGTGGGGGACAAGAAATCCGGGGACAGTGCCCCAGTACGCGACGGACCTGCTATTGGCCCTTGCCCAAGCACGAGTGACATGCGTTAGTATATTCAGGGCATATAGAAGAACATCAATTGACAGGTCCCAGCCCAATCGGCCGATTATATTTGTCGCTCATTCTATGGGAGGTAAGAATTTCGGTGACCCTCGAGTGACCAACATGGCTGATTGGATTGTGCAGGTCAAGTGGTGAAATCTGTATGTCCCCAACTCAGGGAACAGGGTCCACTGTGAATAGAACTCATGTGTGCAGGCTTTGCGAACGGCTGGTCCAGGAGGCAACGCTAGTGGGTTCGAGACCTCGGTGCGGGCGTTGATCTTCCTGGGGGTGCCGCACCGGGGAAGCCAGCTGGCCGCGCCGGCCCTCTGGGCGGTCGGTCTTGTCGAGCTGGCTGCCATCGTGGGTCTCTCGACTAACAGGAAGAACCTTCAGGCGCTCCAACCCGGCACGCAAGAGCAGGTCGAGCTATCAGAGGACTTTCATAGGAGGTTAGACCGTCTGCCGGGGGGCTTCCAGGTAAAAACGTTCCAGGAGGGGCGCAAATTCCTTGGGCTGTGTAAGGTGGTCCCAGATTACTCCTCGTGCCTAGGCAGACCTTCTGAGGACGCAGAGGTGATGGATGCAGACCATCGGGACATGGTCCGGTTCACCTCCAAAGAAGATCCGGGGTACCACCAAGTTGGGGGATGGATTTGTGCCGCCGTGGAACGGCTGCGACACCCGGAGGCGGGGCCCTCTTGTCGAGAGAAGGACAGACCCGATGAGACATAACAGTGATGTTATCGGGGCCTGTACAATAGCATGATCGACCGGATGTATATAGTATAACGGAGTATGGAGTGATAGAAGATAAAATATAGATATCGAAGACCTGAAGAACCGCATCGACGCAGTAAACAAATGACTGGGAGAAGTACTCTGTAGAAAGATGACTGAGGGGAAAAGCTTCTCCCGATCCCGCACTAGTCCCAATGCAGCCTAGCGGCCGTCCAACCCCCTCGAGCGGGATTTTGGGTTTGGTTTCCTGCCACTGCAATTTACTGCAATGACTTGCAGCTTAAATACTCCGCCCACTTTCCATCGCTGCTCGAGCTCCAACTCATCGCCATGCTCTCCCTCTGGCCCGTGGCTTAGACCTTAAATGCTGCCCAATTCCCCATCTCTCCCCCATCTCCCTTTCCCCTCCCGGGCCTGGATCTCAACACCATGACTTCCTCACGACGAAACGGCCAACCGCTGCCTTGTGAACCTTGTCGCAAGGCCAAGGTTCGCTGCGACAACACTATCCCCCAATGCCAGAATTGTATGCGTCGTGGCAAGGCGGACAATTGCGTCTACCCCACGGCCCCCGTCACTCGGACGTGGTACTCGGACAATGCTCCCTCGCCCACCGCATCGCCTCGTCCGCAACCCCGCCCGGACTCGGCCCTTCAAGATCGGCCGTCGTCCGGCGGGGATGAGAAGCTGACCGTCGATTTCACTAACAACTCGGCCGTATTCAGCGACATCGGAGACCAAATCAAACGCTCTTTAGTCATTGACGCTCCCACAGCGGCTCGGCCCGATTCCAAGCAAATTCAACTGGGCGCCCGACTGCTGGCGTTGTTGTTTGACAACTTCCAATTGTACGAGCGACTGGCCGAGACTTCGGTTGAGGTGTGGCCGGAGGGGTGTGTTCTAGGCTACCGTTTGATCAGCGGCATGTTTGAGGCTCTGGAAGACCTGCACAAGGCTCTGACGGAAGACCCGAACACCACCAAGGACCTGCAGTCCAGTCTGCTCCGTTGGTCTCAGAAGATCTTTGACGACAGCTCCAAACCCCTCGCCGTACATCCCGCCATGTCCCCGGAGGACTACATCCGTCGGATTTCCGGGAGATGGGAGGGAATCGGGCTGGTCTTCACGGTCGTCGGTCAAGGTGCCATGCTGGAACGAGACTGGAGATCGATCCGTGCGAAGGAGGGGAACGTACCGAGGGACCAGAAGACTCTCGCGGCCCAAGCGGTCAGTGGAAGCGACGCTTGTCTTCAGTTTTGCGATCTCTCGGGTGCCGTGAACGATTCCCTGGGTTGGCTGCTTTTCCAACACATACACCTTCTGACCTTGGTCTCTGGCGAAAGCGGTATGTGCCTATCGAACTAGTATGAATTCATGCTAATCAACTTTAGATCCGCGAGCGTGGAGAAGGCTCGCTGACCTGTCGACAACGGTCTTCACACTCAGTCACAACCCGCCCGAAGACAAGCGCATCCCCTTCTTTTTGCTCGAACTGCGCAAACGACTGGTTGCGGGAGCATACAGCATCGACAAGCAGCTGGCAACATTTCTCGGACGGCCTCCTCAGATCAGCTGGCGCTACTACGATGTACAGTTTCCCCTGGACTTGAGCTACGATGAGATTTTGGCGGAGCCAAAGGTCCGCGAAGCGGCCATCAGCCAGCTTGACAAAACGGGCTGGAACACCCAGGGCATCGTGGAACAGGCTGCCTGGATGCGCATCGCCCTTCTCATTGGGTCCACAAGAGAACAGATCCTCGAGCTGTCACTCAGCCGTCGCATTGAGGACTTGCCACGTAAAGTCCAGTAGGTGCCTTCTTCCCACCCCAGCCACCCAAGCTAACGTCCGTCATAGGGAGGTATCGCAACAATCTCACAAGACATGGAATGACTTGCCGGGCTTCCTCCGCTGGCGCCCCGGAGATTCGGACTCGAATGACAGCAGTGTCCTGGTTCCGTTGTATCTCAACTTCCTCTACAATGACTTTCTCCTCTACCGTGTTCTGGTCCGACGGTCGCAATCGGGGTCGGAGGGTCTCATCAGCGTGTCCCAGAACATACTGGCCACGATTCTGGAGCTCATCGGCAAGGAAATCGGGTCCAGAACGGGGACCTATAATGTGGGATGGAATGTGCGTGTTACCCTCCCCGTGCCTTTTCCCGTACTCACCCTTCGCTAGGCCTCATCGTTTGGCATTCCGGCGGCCGGCGTCTTAGCAATCGAGCTGCTATGCCAAGCCGAATCCCAGTCGCAGCTACCTCCCAGCACCTTCCGACGATCGGAGGTGATCCAGAAACTGACCGTCTTCGCCTCGCACCTGCAGTACGTTGTGCGCCCGCATGACGGCATGTATGAGATCTGCCAGCGTGCGCGACAAGCCATCTCCAATATTCTGGATCGCATCCTGACGGTCAATCCTCCTCCGTTGCCTGCATCCCTGCCGGCCGATGTGCTGGCGACCAATTGGTTGAACGGGGAGGCGGTGGTCCTGGACGACGGGACAGATCTTTTCCGCTGGCTGGACGGCGCTTACTCTCACGCGTCCCGACGGGAGTCCTGGGCTTGATGCCGCGTACACATGATGACTTATGACGCCTTTGACGACCATAGACATCCCGGCGTCGGGCATTTACTGGTATCACGATTGATGATATACCCTGCTTTGATGAAAAGTGAATGATCTACCATGATTTTCTGCGTTCGCTTTCGGCCATGAGATTCCTTTTGCGTTGCCTCATTGCGTCCCACCATTCCCATGCCATAGGTTGTTTTCTTTCGTTATCTACGTTCACCTAATGCTATAATTGACGTCGTTATTGGGGTTGCCACAGTTTCCCATCCGGAGTGTAAGCGATTCGAAGAAGATAAGAAACGAGAGGCTAAAATTAGTTCTTACTGCCCGATAGGCCCCCTGTCAGCACCCGTGATAGGTTCCAGCCACCTATTTCTTCTCTGTCGCCATCTGTTGCCATCTGTTGCCAACTTACATGTTTTTTGAATTGTGATCCAGCTCGATGGCCCCCTACACATACGACGGTAACTGCCATTGCGGATTATTCCGATTTGAACTCCGCCTCCATCAGCCCCTGGAGACGGTGTATGCTTGTCAATGTGATCTTTGTTCGAAGAAAGGGTACCTCTGGCTCTTTCCCGCCGAGGATGAATTTGAAATCCGGCGAGGAGGCGGGGAGGTCGCCAGGTACCGCGCCCAGGCCAGCCATGAGGAGCACTTTGTAAGACACCAGATCCTTTTCCAATCCAGGCTGTTCGAGAAACTAAGCGAGTCGGTGCAGTTCTGTCCCACGTGTGGTACGGGGATTTTCGTCAAGGGTCATAAGACCCCAGCGGGGGGGATTGGCATGGGCGTCAATGTAAGTGGCGTGGTATGTATCATCCAGAAACAGACATCCGACTGAGTATCATGAAGGCTAGGGCGTTGCTTGATACCAACCCGTTCGAGTTTAAAGTGGAAAGGTGGGTCATCTCCTGTTGCTGGGACTGCCGAGGACTGAGGATTGTAGTTTGGGCGAGGCGTCGCATGCTTCTGTAACCATCAGCGAGCCTACACTCGAGGTTGGAAGCGAAGGCTGGAAGGTCTACACGGGCGGCTGCCATTGCGGTGCGGTCGGGGTCACCGTCCGGACCAAGCCATTGCCCGAGATCGAAGTCAAGGAAGATAATTGCAGCATCTGCCAGCGGGTAAGCTGTCTCTCATCCCCCAGGGATTGATCGCACTGCTAACGGCACAGAATGCCAATGTATGCATCTATCCCGACCGATCTCAGGTCACTTTTCAGGGCGAGGAGAACTTGGTGGAATACCAGTTTGGCCGGAAATTCACGGGCCATCGATCCTGTGGCGTGTGCGGTGTGCAGGTGGGCATGAAGCTGCACGGACCCCCGCAATCGGTGGTGGAGCGGCTACCGGCGGCCAAGCAGGAGATGATCCGGCAAACCCTGGCCATCACGCCGCTCCGTGTGGGCATCCTGAACGGGGTGGAATGGTCGGACCTGAAGATCCAGCGATCGGATGAGGGCACCAAGGGATACGTAGTGGACAAAGACCGCTAGCTGGCATATTTGGTAGATCAATTGACTTGATGGTCTTATCGTCACGGTCCGTGGATCCCCTCTAATCGGGGGCCGCGTGATTGGGCCCTTGCATCCCTGGGCCTCAGGCTCCATCCCCAGCCGCCCCTCCTCCTCGTCTTCTCCCTTCCCCTCTTCCTACTTCTCCCTGCCTCCTCCTTTTCTCCCCAGTCCCTCGTTCAATCGATCGTTATCATTATCAGATCTCAAGGAATGCCCTCTGTCGCAACCGACGGTCTATCCGTCACCCACGCCGCCAAACAGTCAGGTCCTCCAGACCTCCGTCTGGTCCACTACAATGACGTGTACCACGTGGAGTGCGCCGACCATCCCAACCCCCTCTCCCCCCAAACCATCCCACCTAACCATTCCCCAGGGAAGGATCCGCCGAACCCGTGGGCGGCGTAGCACGGTTCCAATCCGTCATCGACCACTATCGCAGCGACGCCTCCTTCGCCGGCCAACCCGATATCCTGACCTTCTTCTCGGGCGATGCCTACAACCCCAGTCTCCAGAGTACAGTCACCAAGGGACGGCACATGGTGCCGTTTTTGAATAAGGCGGGGACAGATGTGGCCTGTGTAGGGGTACGTGTGTGTGGGATTGACTGGCCGTGTGGTGCAGCGCATTGACCCTGGCAGAACCACGATCTCGATTTCGGCGTCGCACAGTTCCGCCATCTCCGTACACAATGTCGCTTTCCGTGGCTGTTGGCTAATGTTTTGGATCCGGCCTTGGGCAAGGATGTGTCCATTGCGGATTGTGAGAAGACGTTGATGTTGACGGCGTCGAATGGGATTAAGGTCGGTGTTATTGGGCTGGGCGAGAGGGAATGGTATGTTGGATGGGATGTCTCAGTGCAGTGATTAGGCTGACGCTGTCAAGGCTCGGAACTATTAATGCCCTCCCGCCGAACCTCGTGTACAAGTCCGCGTACAAGACGGCCCTGGAGTTGGTCCCGCGTCTCCGAGAACAAGGTGCTGAATTGATCGTGGCCGTCACCCACCAGCGCGAACCAAATGACTATAAGTTAGCTGAGAAGCTCCCGCCGGGTACAATTGATATTATTCTGGGAGGACATGATCATTTTTATGCCCATGCGGTGGTCAATGGGACCCATGTACTCCGATCAGGCACGGACTTCAAGCAGCTTAGCTATATTGAGGCGTGGCGGAAGGCGCAAGGCTCGGGATGGGACTTCAATATTGTGCGCCGTGATATAGTCCGGTCGATCCCGGAGGACCCGGCGACGTTGGTCATGGTGGACCGATTGACGTCCAGCCTGAAGGCGAAATTGGAGAAGCCGATTGGATACACATCGCTGGCATTGGATGGTCGCTTTTCGACCGTGCGTCAGAAGGAGTCGAATCTAGGCAACTTTGCCTGTGATCTCATGCGATTCTACTACGGTGCCGATTGCGCGATGATGGCGGGCGGCACCATTCGTGGCGATCAGATCTACCCACCGGGGATCTTGCGTCTCAAGGACATCCTCAACTGCTTCCCGTTTGAGGATCCGGTCGTCTTGGTCCGGCTCAAAGGCCGGGCACTTTTCGATGCCCTGGAAAATGGAGTGAGCCAGCTTCCCGCGCTCGAGGGACGGTTTCCGCAGGTGTCAAACATCACGTTCAGCTACAACCCATCGGCGCCTTCCGGCTCTCGCGTCAAGTGGGCCAAGGTCGGTGGGGAGCCCATTGACTACAACCAGCATTACACGTTGGCAACCCGCGGATACATGGCACGCGGGAAGGACGGGTTCGCATCCCTCCTCATAGAGTCGGAGGGCGGCGAGGTCGAAGAAATCGTGGATGAAGAGAGCGGTATTCTCATCAGCACTCTTCTCCGCCAGTATTTTCTGAGTCTGAAGGTGGTAGGGAAATGGCGGCGGTGGGGTCCGAGCATGACGCGACACTGGAGCACGGTGCATGACAACCTTCACTGCAATGGATGGCTGAAGCCGCCCTCATCCAGAGGTTCCCCGGTGTCGGAAAAGGTGCCGTATCGGCCATCTGTGCCACGCTCGAAGCAGTACTTTTATGGACGCTTCCCTGAGATCCCTGTCCCAGCGGGGGCCGATGGGGTGGGCATAGACCGGGAGAACGAGTCGATGGACTCGGACTCGGACACCGACCCCGACATCCTGACCTCCCCTCAGCCAACCACCAACTATGTCACTTTGCCGGCGCGGTCAGCCACGGAGGAAGAACGTCGTCTCCGCCTGGCGCGCAAAGCCACGCGGACGTGGATGCACCGGGCGGGGCTGCAGCCGTCGGCCATCAACGACGCCGACGAGGTGGGAGAATTTACGCCGACGTGGACGCCGGGGATCTCGCCTCGCTTGGAGGGGCGGATCATAATTGAGACATGAGGTTCAACAATGAATGTGCGTTTGGTTGAACATGACTACAATCTACGATACACTATGTGCCGCTGTGTTCGACAGTAGAGATAGAATTGCAGTCTGATTTTCTTCCTCCACCTTACTCCTGGACCAGCTCCGGGCTATCTCCAAAACACATGAACATGATGGCCGCCGGATACCTCGCGCCTTTGACTCCCCCTACACTCTCCACCAGGCTCCGAATGCGCTCGTTGTCGGTCTGGGAGAAGGGCACCTCGAGGGCGCCGGCATTTTCCTCGAGATACTTGACGTGTTTCGTGCCCGGGATGGGAATGATATCTGGGTCGGTTAGCATACCACTCGCCAGCGCCGCCAGTCACTCACCATCTCCCTGAGCCAACAGCCAGGCCAATGCCAATTGGCCTACAGTACAGCCTTTCTCCGCCGCAAGCGCCTCCAGTCCCTCGACCAGTCTCAAATTGGCGGCGAAGTTCTCCTCGGAAAACCTGGGATGCGTTAGGCGCATATCCCCCTCGTCGAAATCCGCCCTTCCCCGGATGGCGCCGGTCAGGAAGCCCCTTCCAAGAGGCGAGTAGGCGATAATCTTGACCCCCAGCTCCCTGGCGGCGGCCAAGACGCCCACGGCGGGGTCCTCGATATCCAGGGCAAAGAGCGAATACTCCATTTCTGCCGCCGCAATGGGATGCACCTTGCTGGCCCTGCGCAAGGTCCGTGCGGAACATTCGGACAAGCCCAGGTGGCGGATCTTCCCTTCCGCCTGCAACTGCTTCATGGCGGCGACGGTCTGCTCGATGGGGGTGGCAGGGTCGACGCGGTGCTGCATGTACAGATCGATGTATTCGGTCTGGAGAGTGGCTAGACTGGCCTGACAGGCCTGTCTCACATATTCGGGATCGCTGCGAAGGTCCATCTTTCCGGCTGACGTATCGATGCCGAACTTGGTGACGAGAAAGATGTCGCTCCGGCGGCCGGTTTGTTGGAACCATTTGCCCAACAGGGCCTCACTGGGGCCGTAGGCATCGCTGGTGACCCAAAAGGTGAGGCCACGGTCTGCGGCGGCGGTCAGGAGCGCGAGGCTTTCTTCTTCGGACTGGGGGGTTTTGCTAGGGATGGCAAAGCTCATGCAGCCAAACCCGAGGGCGGAGACGGGGGTGGTTCCAATGGTCCGGGGGAGAGACATGTTGATGGACTCTGTGTATGATTGTTGTGCGAGAACATGATGCCTGGTGAAGCCAATATATAGGGCGTCGTTGGTACTGGCGATGGCATCCCATGTAGCTGTTGTAGCGAGAGGGCTTAAGTCCTAACTCCGACAAGGAGCTTCTCCAAAGCCCTAACTCCGTGAGGCAAGCAGCCACACCAACAGCCACCGTAGGGACCGTGTCTATCCGGGTGGATGGTTGTAGTGGTGATTGTGATTGTGGTGGTAGTTGTAGTGGTTGTGATGGTGGTTGTCCAGGCACCGTCATCACCTAATACGCGGATTGTCCCAATGAGATCATCCGCCAGGCAACCGCCAATCCCCGCATTCTCCGTCTCTCCATTTCACTCTGTCTCTCTCTCTCTCTCCTCGTGTTCTGGTTTCTCTTTGTTTCAATCGCTCTCTGCAGACTCCTCCAGCACCATGGATACCCACGCCGACCGCATCCAGCCCCTCTGCACCCAAATCGCCCACTTCCACCACACCCGCACGCCCTTTCGCATCTATCACGGCTCCACCAATTCCACCCGCCATTCCGGCCTCACCTCCGCCAATTCCGTCAGCACCGCCCATCTCAACCATGTCCTCGCCGTCAATTCCTCCACCAAGTCCATCCAGGTCGAACCCAATGTCCCCATGGACGCTCTCGTGACCGCCACCCTCGCCCACAACCTCGTGCCCCTCGTGGTCATGGAATTCCCCGGCATCACCGCCGGCGGTGGCTTCTCAGGCACCTCGGGCGAGAGCAGTTCCTTTCGACACGGCTTCTTCGATGCCACCGTGACGCGCATCGAGATCATCCTCGGCAATGGCGAACTCCGCACGGCCTCGCGCACCGAGAACGCGGAATTGTTCCACGCCGCGGCCTCCGCCTTTGGCACCATGGGCGTTATCACCATGCTCGAGATCCAATGTCGCGACGCGAAGCCCTTTGTCGAATTATCCTACCTTCCAGCGCGGAGCATCCACGACGCTATGCAAATCTTCCACGAGAAAACCCACGACCCGGACATTGACTACCTCGACGGGATCGTCTTCTCCCAAGACCATATCGTAGTCTGCGCCGGGAAACTGAGCGACGGCCCTCCCTCCCCCCCCAATCCTCCAATCCAACACTTCACCCGTCCCCAGGACCCCTGGTTCTACCTGCACGCTCAATCATCCGGAGGATTGGGACGGGAGCAGACCCCCACCACCAACCTCATCCCCCTCCCCGACTACCTCTTCCGCTACGACCGCGGCGCCTTCTGGACCGGCCGCTACGCCTACCACTACTTCCTCACCCCCTTCAACCGCCTCACCCGCTACCTCCTCGACTACTTCATGCACACCCGCGTCATGTACCACGCCCTCCACGCCAGCGGTCACGCCACCCAATACATCATCCAAGACGTCGCCGTTCCTTACTCCTCCGCTGCCGCTTTCCTCACCTGGCTCGACCAGCCCCAGAACTTCGGCGCCTATCCCATCTGGCTCTGTCCGTTGAAACGCTCCACTGACACCGATGCCGATGCCCAAAGCACCAGTAACCCGGAGCCACTCACCCGGGGGAAATTCCCCACCAGCAGCGGCAGCAGCAACCCAGGAATAAATGATGACACCACGCACCTCCTCAACTTCGGCCTCTGGGCGCCCTCCCAGAACCGCGGTCCCGCCTTCATCGCCCAGAACCGCCGGCTGGAGCAACAAGTCCACGCCCTGGGGGGGAAGAAATGGCTATACGCGTGTGCGTATTACACGGAGGCGGAGTTCTGGGAGATTTACGATAAGAAGAGATATGATATGTTGCGGGGGAAATATCATGCGCAGTATTTGGGCGATTTGTATCAGAAGGTGCGGGTGGAGTTGGAGCCGGAGCCGAGGGCGAACGGGAAGGGGAAGAGGAAGGGTGTGGTGGGATGGGGTGAGTGGGTGAGGGATGTGGTCTGGGGGGTGTGGCCGGTTAGTGGGTTGTATGGGGTGTGGAGGGCTTGGTGGGGGGGGGAGTATTTGCTGAAGAGGTAGTTTTTATTCTATTGGTTTGGGGGGTAGAGTAGGTGTGTTGATATAGATAATAGTAGATGTATATATTAGTGACGGTATAGCATATGCTATCTAGCGCAGACAGTGATTTCAATGTACAATTCTATATACATCGTACGGAGTACATTCAGGGTTTCAGTTCAGTTCAAATACTCTATCTAGACCATTGTCCAATCTTAACCCATCATATCAAGTTCGATACGGTAATGTACTATCCATTAGAGATACGGTCTGGCACTCATCGTAGAAAGATTTCTCTATGCACGGCGCAGTGACTCTTTCAGACACGACGAGATGATCTGCATACTACATATGGAGATAGGTAGGGGTAGGGTTTGGGTATCATGCTATGCGGAAGAATTCAATTCATTCATTCGTTCATGCAGTTGTAGATAGGATGAGGACTCATCAGATCGGTTCATCTGCCAGTATTATCAACGTACTGGAATATATCAGGGAATGGGATTAGTGCTGTCTGCGCAACTCCTTCCGGAAACTCTCCTCCTGCTTGACCAGCTCCAACGGCAAGGTCCATCCCACACCGAACAGCACAAACGGGGCCCATTTCCAGCGGAACGGATTCACCATGATGCAAAACAGGAACCAATACAGCAGCTCCGTGTAGGTAAAAAAGTCAAACGCCCCGGTCGGGGACAGCTTCTTCATGAAGCGGGTAAAGTCGATCCAGGTCTTCATGCGGCCTTCGGTGGGGCGGGAGAGCGGGTCCGTGAGGAACATCAGGAGGAAGCGGGTGTAGATGCCGATGTGCATGTTGCCGACGGTGCCGATGGCGTTGACGTAGGTGCTGTTGTTGGCGCAGATGCTGGTGTATTTCGGGGGGAAGACCTGGAGGTACCAGCTGGGCGGGCTGTAGGGTTCCTCGAAGGCATCGTCAGGGAGGAAGGCGAGGGAGGGGCGCTTGAAGCCGGTGGCCATGATGATCACTTCGCCGGGCACGGTGGATTCGTGGCCCGGGCCGCCTTTAGGCACGCCGCGGTCCCGGAAGTTGAAGCGGACGCCGTCCTCGGTGAGGGAGACGATGTCGCCGCGCAGCCAGCGGGCTTTGCCGTCGCGGATCTGCTCGAAGAGTTCCGAGTTGGCCATGGGGGTTTGGGTGAAGAGTCCGCCGGAGGGGGCAATGTCGGACAGGTCGCGGTAGAAAAATTTGCGGAGTAGTGACTCGGGGATCCAGGAGAGAGAGGTTTCCTGGCCGAGGATGTTCATGGCCAGGAGGGACTGGACGAAGACGTTGCGAGGAATGATCCATTTGTCAGAGCGCGAGAGGACGTCGATCTCGGCAGCCTTGGACTTGACGGCGAACTCGAGGGCTTCGATGGCACTGGCGCCGCCGCCGATGATCAGGACCTTTTTGCCTTCGACGTCTTTGCCGTCGAGCTCGGAAGAGTGGTAGATGGAACCCTTGAAGCGATCCTGGTCTGGGAGAGGGGGCATTTTGGGGTCACCACACACTCCGACGGACGCGATCACCCCGTCGAAGCGGCCATACTTGTCCTCGTCGTTGTTGATGATCCATCGGCCGTTCTTGGTGCGCTTCACCGAGGTGACCGGGGTGTTGAACGTGGTGTGTTTTTGCAGGCCGTAGCGCTTCCAGAGGTCGACGATCTGTTCCTTGATCTCGCCTTGGCTGGGATACGCGGTGTTGTACTGCACGGACGGGTGGAATCGATACATGATGCTGTGGATCTGCAGGGAAGAGGTGGAGTTGACTCGCTAAATACAGTTAGCAATGCGCGAGGAATCCAGATGGCTCATCTTACACTCCAGATTCCTCCCAACCCCTTGTCCTTGGGTCGCGCTTCGAAGATCTCCACCTCAAAGCCATGGCCAACACAATGGGCGGCAGCGGATACTCCAGTCAGACCGGCTCCAATCACGGCCACACGCTTCTGGGGAAGACCATTGGCAACTGAGGTAGGCTTGGGCGGACTAGGTGCAAAGATCCAGTTCAGGAGGTTCTGAAATAGCAAGTAACAGATGGTGAAGCTCTGGAGAAAAGGGTTTCGGATCAAGGCCGACAGGGAGAAGGCGGACTCTGATTCCGCCATGATTGCGAGCGAACCTGATGGGTAAAATTTGTGTGCAGTCGCTCTCAGGAATACTAGGGTTACTATGAGGGGAAAGAGAAAAAGGAAGATCAGGGAGGACAGGAACGGGCCCTTTTCTAAGGCAGCGGAACTGGACGCAAACGATGATGCTGGCGATGACGTAGGTGTGGACCGGCATGTGAAGGCGGGTCTCTCCCACTGCCATGTTTACTTCATGACGCCGTCCTGCACGAGCCAGCATCATGGCCGGCCTTACAAACCGTCCACTGTACTTCATCCCTGCCTCGTATCTGTTACCGACAAGCTTCTGCTGGTTGCACGGCTCCGGGTGTCGCTGGCTCGGAGTCAGGATCCACCGGGATGGGTAAGGCCATCCATGTATCTCCAAACAACCTGACAATACTGGAATCATGGGTCATGGATATTGTTTAACTCTTATAACCCATTTCGAGCGCTGTTCCAGTATCTGTCAGAGGGGCTCTCGCTGCTCTCGCTGCTCTGCCACGGGTCCGTCTGCATGAGTTCGAACTGCAATGGCCAGGCGGAGGGGCCATGCGTAACATAATGACAGTTCAATGCATGCTACTGTCAGCCTTGGCTGTCGTCTGATTAACCTCTACCACTGGGTTGACTGATGCTGGTCGCACTGCATCTTGTTTTTGAGCCCCTGGTTGTATCACCGAGCGAGGTGAACTTCAACGTATACCCGTCATCCAGTGTATTGACACATCCTGTCTTTGTCTGTCTTTATCGCCCAATTTACGCAAAAGAACCGATTGAAGTAAACCAAGTCGTTCGTTCTGTGCCTCACTGTGCGGGGATTAGTTGCGGGGCAGATGAAGGTAGGTAGCTTATTCACAACTACATTATCCTCGGCTGTAAGCATCTTCTCAGGAATCCTATTCCACAGTGACTTGATTACCGTCCAGGATGTCTCCAAGGAAGTCCCTAGATGAAACTGCTTGATGCGCGGGGATGGTGGATGATGAATGGTGGCTGATGGATGGATGAGGGGAAAGTCGAGGGCGGCAAAGCAATCCGCCATACAGGGTTGCCCGATTCGGCCTAGCGGCGGTCGGGAGCTCGAGCTCGAATCTTCGCCGCATTTCATCTCCTCTCCTCCCTCCATCCATCCTCCTTCTCCCTCCTTCGACGTGTTGATTCTCCTGTCACCCGCTCAGGGGATTCCTACCTAACACCACACCATGTGCGACATTCGTTGATCGCTTCGTCAACACCAACCCATGACGGACCACCTTCGCTAGCTCACCACCCACCCCACACGACCGACATGGCCACACCCACTCTGGACCGCTTCCTCGCCAGCCTCGCCGACCTGGTCAAGGCCCGTGATGGATCCCAGCTCCAGGACTTTCTGCAGCTCGAGCCGCCTCTACCTGACATCTATCGACAAATGGTGGGGGAACTGCGACAACATTATCCGAGCGGGCCAAAGGAGGCAGACTTGCTACGCCGATGTGAAGCTCTTGTGCCCAAAGCCAAGGGCGTTTCATGGACCGCCTTTCCGACCTTTATGAGGCTCTACTTCACCTTCCTACGCGATGTGAACCTAGACAACCTACTCGACACATACGATCTTCTCAAGGGGCTGCTGAAGTAGGTATCAGATGGCTGCTTTTGGTACAATGGCTGATGATCCCTCCAGTCAATGCGTACTGGCATTAGGTGACAGCCAAATGGGTGTCGTGGTCCTACCCACCGTTCTCTACCTGTCCAAGGTCCTCGCGAAGCTCGCCATGGGCTTGGATCGTCGTCCCGAGTTGGTCGCCCACCTCCTGCGTCTGGAAGGCCGGTCGAATCAAGAAGAAGCTACAGAGAAGGTGACTTTGGTGGAGAAATCGGCCAATGTCGTTCGGGAGGCGTTCATCAAATGTTTGACCGACCGAAGCGGGACGCCCGGCATCCATGGAAAACCTGAGGGCAAAAGAATTGGGATCTACTTGATGGCAAACCTTTGCTTGAAACTGCTTTTCCAGGTACGCCATGAATTTAACCGGGAGGGGTGAATGCTAACATGGGTAGTGCGGCAAACTTCGAAACGCCGAGCAAATGTTCGCCAGCATCAGCGCCCAGTCTCCTCCGCTGAAACACTTTCCAGCGTCTCAGCGAGTCACATATCTTTACTACCTCGGGCGCTACTTGTTCTCCAACAACCTCTTCTACCCCGCACAGATTGCCCTGCAAGCCTCTTACGATCAATGCCACCGCCAGGCGACGAACCAAAAACGGGTCATCCTTACCTACCTCATTCCTTGCAACATCATCATGGGACGCTTCCCCTCATCACAACTACTCCAACGCCCCGAGGCCGAAGGGCTCGCGGACAAGTTCATTCCGATCTGCCGACTCATCGCTCGCGGCGATTACATCGCCTTCCGAGAACACCTCGCCATTGGCTCTCCCGAGACGGAATGGTTCGCGCGAAAGGGCATTCTTCTTCCCTTGCGCAATCGATGCGAGATCCTCGTCTGGCGATCTCTGGCCCGCAAGGTCTTCATCCACGCCGGCTTCCACGGCGAATCCTCTCAGGGCCCGGCCCAACGGGGGCCACCCCCGTATCTGTATATCAATAAACTGGAGGCCGCAGTCCGGTGGATCCAATCGCAGCATGCACAATCCTCCCAACGTGCAATTGGCTTTTTCTCCCCCCTCCCCAAAGTGGAATCCAAGGCGGGACAGAGCCCGGTCGGATCCCAGATTATCAACAAAACTCCCGATTGGGATTTTGAAGGCCTGAACGAACTGGAAGCACAGGAGGCAGTCGCCAGTCCCGGTCTGATCGCCAAATACGGAGACTACCTAGCCCCGGATGGCTGCTACGACTCCCATGGGCAATGGCAGGCCAACGCGGCGGGGAATCTCGTCGACGGCCAACCATCGGCGGAATACCAGCAGTATGAGCTCGACCCATACGCGAATCGGACCGACGGCGGGCCAGAGGGCAAGCCCACGCTCATGATGCGCGAGCTCGAGTCCATCCTGGCCTCTCTCCTGACCCAAGGCTTGATGCGCGGATTCCTGACCCACAAGAATCCCCGTCTGGCGATTCCCGGCGCGCGAGTGCGTGGTGCGGTTCCGACTGGCTTTCCCAATGTCTGGCACACCGTCCTTACTCGGGAGCGAGAAGACGAGCACGTTCCCGGCTGGGTCCAACCGCCGTCGGTGGCGGCCATCCCGGCGGCCGGAGGTGGACGAGTCGTCAATCTGTCCGGAGCGAGGCCCGTGGGAGTCCAGTGAGATGTTTTTTGGTCCCGCCGTGAATCACCACGGCGGTTTGTACATAGCAACGATATGATGACACCAATGCAATAACTTGTCCAGCAAGGTCCTCTTAGTATCCTCCACTCCGATTATGAAGGAAACGGCCTGGATATGAAGTATGTCCCGGACTGAGTGGTGAATGCCGACCGGTCGGGCCAAATGACTGGCTTGGGAAGGATCGACAGCCATCTCGGGGTCGGCCCCGAACTCTCGGTCCTAACCAGACTTGCAGCATCACATCCGCCCCAAAGCGGCAATTGATGGGGCCTGCCTCGGCTTGAAACTCGACCCTGAGACCCGCTTGGCGTTCCGGCAGTGGTATTTGCCGACGCCAGAAGTCTTCAGGATTCTCTGAAAAATCCCATGCAGGTGGCGAATGCTAGTACAGCGTCACTGGAGTACCTGCATGTAACCTTATTCAGGCCGGCAGGTTCGAATGCAACGGCGACTTATCATGAGCCCTTTGGCAGGTATTCTGCATCAATCAGACAGCCATCCCCACAATAATCTCATGCCTTGGTCCGGTGGATGACGACGCCCTCGGTGGAAGAAGCATCGTCGGATGGACCCTCGGACTTGCTGCCGCGAGCTTGCGTTTCCTTCTCACCTTCGTCCCCATAAGAAGGACCTCCTCAGTCACTTTGCCACCTCATCACACAGCACATCCTCATCTTTCAACCCTCCTCTCCTCAGTTCAACTCATCCCAATGCGCGCTGTTTCCACTCTGGCCGGCCTGGCAGCCGCGGCGCCGCTGGTCGCGTCTGCAAGTATTCGCACGAGATCGGCCGGCTCCGACCTTCCGATCATCAACACCACCCTTGGCCATGTGCAGGGCACATATTCTCCCTTCCGGGGCGGCGACACCGCCGTCGTCTACAAGGGTATCCCTTTTGCCGCTGCTCCGACGGGCGAGAACCGCTGGAAGGCCCCCCAGCCGGCCCAGGCCTGGAACGGCGTCCTCAATGCGACGGAGTTCGGTCCGCAGTGCGCCCAGTCCTACAGCAGCGCGGGCATCTTCAGCAGCGGCAAGGAGAGCACCAGCGAGGACTGCCTCTATCTCAACATCTGGACCCCTAACTACAACGACACCTCCGACCTCGCCTCCAAGAACCTGCCGGTCTACTTCTGGATCTACGGTGGCCGCTTCGAGGGTGGCTCGGGCGACGTCCTGACCTACGACGGCACCGGTCTCGCCGCCAAAGATATCATCGTGGTGACCATCAACTACCGTCTCGGCCCCTTTGGCTTCCTCGCCCACCCCGAACTGTCCGCCGAGTCCGGCCACAACAGCTCCGGCAACTACGGGATTCTGGACCAGCAGGCCGCCCTGCGTTGGGTGCACGAGAACATCGCCAACTTCGGCGGTAATGCCAGCCAGATCACCGTCGGCGGACAGTCGGCCGGCTCCGCCAGCGCCCTCGACAGCATGTGGAGCCCCCTGAACGAGGGCTTGGTCGCTGGTGTCATCGCCGAGAGCGGCGCGCGCGGTCCTCACGACCCCATGACCGGCAGTGCTGCCACCAGCCACCGCACCAAGGCCGCGGCGGAAGCCCAGGGCGTGGAGTTCCTCCAGGAACTGAACGTGTCCACCGTCGCCGAACTACGCACCCAGGTCTCCATGGAGACGCTGCTCGAGTATGACTCGCTCAGTGACACCACCTTCGACCACACCCAGTTCGCCAACCTCTCCGCCTTCTTCATGGACCCGCCCATGTGGCGCCCCAACATTGACGGCTACGTCCTTCCCCACGACTACACCCAGTCGCTCGCGCTCAACGCCCACGCCGACGTGCCCATCCTGACCGGGAACAACAAGGACGAGTCCGGCGCCGCCACCTCCCCCGGCCTCACCGTCGCCACCTACCAGGAACTCTACCGCGAGGCCTTCCTCAACTTCTCCCAGGACTTCTTCACGCTCTACCCCGGCGACACCACCGCCCAGGCCAACAACAACTCCAACGAGCTGTACCACGACATGAGCCGCATCGGCACCTGGCAATGGGCCCTGGACTGGGCCGCCGGGGGGGCCCAGAGCCCCGTCTACACCTACTACTTCACCCGCTACCCGGCCGAGAACCGCGACGACGGCGCCTACCACGGCTCCGAGCTCTGGTACACCTTCAACAACATCCCCTACTCCGACTACTCCAACGTCACCTGGTACCCGTACGACTACACGGTCGAGGAATACATGTCCAACTACTGGGCCAACTTCATCCGCACCGGCAACCCCAACGGCGACGGTCTGCCCGAGTGGTCTCCCAGCACCGAAACCAAGCAGACCATGTGGCTGGGTGATTCCTGGGGGGCTGGGCCTATCTCTGCTAGCGAGGAGCGCATCGAGTTCATCGAGAGCTGGTTTGCCACGATGCCGGAGTGGTAAGCTGGGCTGTCCCTCCTCCTCCTCCTCCTCCTCCTCCTCCTCCTCCTCCT